ACCACCTCTTCCACCACCTCTTCTACCACCTCTTCCACCACAAACTGGTCTTGCTAGGTCGGCGCTACACTCATCATCTTCAGACTCATCAGAACACAACTTCACAAAGAGACCTACTCCTCATCCTCACCATATGCTGCCCGCCTTGCCTGCAAGTTTCATTTGAATCCAGGTTTCCACCAAGTGTAGCTACCAGATCCATCTCAAATTCACTTTTTCTGGTAAGTACAAACAGATCTTGGAATTAGCTAGGCTGCTGAGGGATAAAGCCACTAACATATTAAAGGCAAGAAATCTAGCATACGAATACTTCCAAAATGGATCGCAATGAATTCGTCGAGTAAGTCAGCTACCGGTTACTCTCATATTAGTTGTCAAGCGTTAATATTTGCTAGTATGCTCACGTCAGACATCGTTCGAATCACGGTTGGGCAAGTCGACAGGCAGAAGACATTTTCTATTCACAAGAATTTATTTGCAAAAAAAGCTCCCGTCTTTTACAAGATGTTTGACGGCGGCTTTAAAGAAGGAGTGACAGGTCTGGCCACTTTACCCTATGATAGTCATGAAGCATTCGAAAATTTCGCACAGTGGCTCTATTTTCCTTCGGCAGAGACGTTCTCCAGTCACATAGTTCGCAATCTTTTGCCTCAAGAAAATTCGAGTGTAGCGAGGTGGGAGCTGGTCGAGACAATCGTGTTTGCCAACAAGTACTGCCTAGATGCATTGAGCGACCTGGCGATGTCATCGTGGATTATCCACCAACGTTCTACTTTCCCACTTGAAGAACTTAGGAAGATTACCAGCTACATTGTTGCTAATACCTCGCATCTTTGCAAAGCTAGGGTTGGTTTACTTTGCTCGCACATGGGCATGGCATATACTTCAGCATCCGGAAAAGGATTTTTACAGATCAAATACATCTAATCTCGATGCCGTCGTCAAAGATAGAAGCTTCATTGCGCAAGTTTTGAATGAGATTAGTTGCCTAGCTCGCGAAACCAGTTTTAAGGGTGTTTTAAAGGATTTGCCATTATGCGATTACCACCACCACGATGAAAACAATTACTGCCGTGCAGTGTCAATTCTACGTGTCATACGCACCATAGAAAGCCTAGAGATAGAACGCAACTCAGAGAGATTAGAGGCGAAATCTTCAAAGAAGAGAAAGTTAGCTTGAAAGAGCGCGCTTGAGCTGCCACGCCTGTTTTATTTGCAGGCTTGCGGCGAGCAGGAAAAATAATCAGGCAAAGTGCTAAGGATATTTCTCCATGGAGCTGCAGCAGTCCTCGTCCACAATTTTGCGATGGGCATTATTACGGAGGGACTCGAAGTGGTTATTATTCTGACATTCAACCGCTGGGAATATTCACTCGAACGGCAACTTCTTTGCTCGTGGGTGTGCTGGAAACCCTTACCGGGACAAACTACGTTTTTCTTCTTCTTCAATTATACGCCATTCCGAACGGTCCTGATTTCACGATTCTACGATGTCACTATTACGGAGCATGCGAGGAGGATTTAATACTTTCGAAATACTTTTACCTGAAGGGCGCGGAGTTTACTGGAGGATATGCGGTAAAGTCATTCATCAAGTAATTTCCATTTTTCGATTTCAATTACACGGCACTCCGGACAGACATGTTCTGGCAAAGAGAGATCAAAACTCACTTCGTCTATCAAAAGGGCATCAGTGGCTAAACCAGACCTCCAAATCAACAACAATGTTGTCAATGGCCAGTTTCTCATTTCATTATCGACAACATCGGTTTTCAAAACGGCATGGTTCTTCACAGTTGTCTTACAGCGAGCAATTTTCCAACAACATTCCAGCGCGCTCAAAGCTCACCAACTTTGCATTCTGGTGCTTGGGAACCTACTCGGTTTGCAGTGGACATTGTTCGTTCGGCAGGCTGGAAGTGGGAGATACTCATGACAGACAATGGACTTGAGTTTTGAAATATATTTTTCTCCCCAAATATGCTTTCGCCATCAAATTATACGTGCATGCCTTAATGATTTTTAATAATTGTCTGTGTTATGAATATCTCTAATCTAGAGTATATGATAGCCGTTTCTATCTCTCCACATGCCAAAACATCATCGTGGGCTACAATCTAGTCACCCACTCGAAGCCTTATAACTTGTTTATAAAGCAAAGTCTCGAGTTCTCGCCCACGCTCCCATCATGCAAGTCGCTCAATACCACCCATCCCAATGCAATCCCCTATTTCTTCTCCGGCCCCGCCCCATCCACCTCCCCAATCTCCTCCCCCCCCGGCCCACTACTCTTCACCCCCTCCACATCCTCATCCACCACCTCCTCCCCCTCCCCACTCACACTACTCGCCTTACTAACATCCGCCGTATCCACCATCTCCCTCCTCAACCCCAACACCTTCCCCTCCCCCACCCCCCCTCTCCAATCCGCCGCCCTCATCTCAGGGACCTCACTCTCCACCCCCGGCTCCACCACCTCCCTCTCTCTCTCGCGGTCCGCAAACCTCCACACCACAGCCACGCGATCCAAGGCCTTAGTCCCCTTCCTCAACGACCCCTTAATCCCATCCATCTTCTCCCACTCAATCTCAAACACGCCGTCCTCCTCCGGCTTTCCCCCGCGCTCAGGTCCATTCCCCTCAAAGAACGGGTTAAACCACACGTGCGCCACGGAAGTAACCATCGTCATCCCATAGCGCGCGCGATGGCGCCGCTCGAAATCAATATTGATATCGCAGCTTGGTAGGATCAGCGGCGAGGAAGGGCGGAAAATGACGGCTTGGCCGCCGGCTTCGGATTCGGATTCGGGTTCCTTCCCTGTCGCGGCGCGCTGGAGGGCGGCTGATGCGGATTCTTTTGCGGATTTGGCAGCTAAGCCGATTTTCGGGGCTAGAGCAGCGGGCTTGTCGATGCTGGGGGTGCTGTTGTTGTTGTTGTTGGAAACTGGCTCGCTGGCAGTGCTAGTCGGTTCGTTCTCATTCCCGTACGTGCCGTCGAGGGCGATGGTGCGGCTTTTGGACGGGGCAGCGGGGGCGGGATTCGCCATATCGGTGACCCAGTCCTTGAACCCCGAGCCGCCGGGCGAGCCGCCCTCGACTACGAGTCTCTCGTCCTTACTGAAGATATGCGCTGTCTCGATTTTCTTGCCCTCTTCGGTGTAGATCTCCACGCCGACTCTGACGCCCTCGCGCAGGCCCCAAGTGTGCACTTCGATGATCTCGACGGGGCGCTCGGTGTATTTCTTGCCCCCTGCCGTCCAGCGAGATACGTAGTCCACGTATCGCAGTTGCGAGGGGATCGAGACGCCCTGTCCGAAGCCGGAGCGCATGCGTCGCTCTGTGAAGCGTACCAGCGCCTCGGCTTTGCTCCATCCGCATTCCGAGATAAGGTAGGAGCAGGCCATTGTGCCACTGCGGCCTTTGCCAGCCTTGCAGTGCACGACTACCACGCGGCCATTGCCTGGTTTCTTGTCTAGTTTTTCCACTGCCTTGGTATCGTTTTTCTGCGCTTGTTCTGTAGCTTCCTTACTCGCTCCATTGGCTGCACCATCTGTAGCTATACCCGCTATACTGTCCCTCTTCCCGCCCTCAGTGAGCCAGTTCCGCATACTCGCCATAACCAGCGGCACGATCGCAAATGGCGGGGGGTGGTGGTCGGGAAACGGGTAATGGCGGACCTTTTCCCTCACCTCCTTATCGGGGTATCCTGTTCCTTCGGCTCTGAACTCCCAGATGCACCAGTCTTCGCCATGGCTTTTGTCGAGGAAGGAGACGAGCTTGTCGAGGGGGTTGCGGTAGGCGAGTTGGGGGTATGTGCCTGAGGGCCCGGAGGTGGCTATTATGAATGGCGTTACATAGCATAAGTCGAGGTTGGAGTCGGCGTGTCGCGCGCGCGGGCCTGCGATTATTTGGCGCAGGAGGGAAGCCATTTTGTGGGGTTTCTCCGGTGTGCGATTGCGGATGTAGATAGCGAATTGGTCGATGTATTATTGAACCATGCTGAGCGTAGGGTAATTCGCGCGACTTTATTTAGAGAAGCGGTTGGCTGTTGTATAATTTTTTTATAAGAGGTTTATATCCAGGGTCAAGAAAGTTGGCCAGGCTGGATGTTGATCCATTGACGTCGTCATTGTTGGAGGATTCGGGCGATAAGGCTGAGCGAGGCTGTGCCCCACTCTCTGATGATTTAAGTGTGACAGGGGGGTACGAATTGCTGCATACTGTTGGATTCACCCCTGTGTATATGTACCTGGGTAAATATAAAGAGAAATATATAAATATTTATGGTTGCAGCCAGAAAAGGGGTCTGGTGAAAGGAAGCTGTAGATATTATCATTTCTTTATTTTACCTTTATACTGTTTATAGGGGTCATAATTATTGTTAGACACAGATGATGCCAGCTCCGGCACTTGTCGGGAAGATTACGCCGTGGCATCCACGTAATAGAGAGGCGACACATCGAGACACAGCCACCATTACCAAGCCCGCATCCAAAACATTCACATAACTTCAAATACCTCCCCCTTGACTCCCTCCTTTTCTTCTTCTTCAACCCTTCTCCATCTCTGTATTCAAAACATAGGAACATCAGATTTCAACGACATCGTGGCAGGAACGCGTCCTTGTCGATCAACCGCCCAGTCCCGCTTGACACCCCCGCCAAGACATCAATACGACAACTTCTGGCTGACGTCGTAATAAAACACAAATTACCTCAACACCACCACCTCGAGTCCTCTCGCACTTCACACCCCCAACAACGTCGCCAGACCTTTCTAGGCATCACCGCTACCACCACAACAACAAACACCAAACACCAACACACCACCTCTCCAAAATGGCAGACAAGCCCCCGTCCGGCGCTCCCCCCCCATACGGCGGCTCACCCTACCCTCCCCAACCCGCACACCTCAACCCCGACGGCGGCGGCGGCAGCAACCAAGCCTACTACGGCTCACCCTCCCCACAACCGCAATACGCCAACCCACAACAACAATACAACAACCCCCAACCCCAATACGGCGCCCCAGCTCAAGGCTACTACCAGAGCGGCCCTCCTCCACAGATGGGATACCAGCAGCAGGGTCCACCCATGGGGTACCAGCAGGGTCCGCCGATGGGGTATCAGCAGTATCCGCAGCAGGATGAGAGAGGGAACTCGAGTGGTGCTGCTGGGGGGTGCTTGGGGGCGTTGTGTGCGGCGATGGCTTGTTGTTGTTGTTTGGATATTTTGTTCTAAGGAACGGAGGTGTGATGGGGATGAGGGGTTACTTGATAGAAGATGGCGTTTTGGGGATTTGCGGGATTTGGATCTTGAGTAGAACTCGCGGTGTGTGCGTGCTATGGAATAGAAGCCGGACATGAGACGGAGGGATTTCGGTTATGCGATGGGGGATGGAGGGAGGTCCGGGGGTATCTTCGGTAATGGGGAGGATGGGAAGATGTACGATGCTGGCATGGCCAATGCACCCACAATTTTCCTTTATCATTCATGTACAGTTAAACTGGGCGGTTTGCTCTAATGCAAGTTCTCTTCGCCTCGCATCTTTTTCGTGGTCCTTGTGGTTTCCTTCGCTCTCATGCCAACCCGCCGCGCGTCTATGGCGGCTCAGCCGCCCCTTTTTCTTATATCAGCACCACAGCACTACTACGTCTCCTTCCGTACCATCTCCATCCGTCCACTCTGTCCTTCCTTGCTCATAAGTCTCCACAGCAACGCAACTACCCCCCCTCCATGGCGGCTCGGCCGGACGCCTGCCGCCGGCCGCCCCTTCCCCATTTCTTATACCAGCACCGCAACACCACATCACCGCCGTTTCTCCTTCCCAACTATCACCATCCGCTCTTTCCTTCCCTCCTCAACACCACGACAACAAACACTCGTCCACCCCACCTGTCACCCCTCTCAGCTCCCCTCGCCAAAAGCCCCAAAAAAAATCCCCAAAAATCCCCAAAAACACACTCAAAACACCCCATTTTAAAAGCCTCCCCCTCCCCTCCACAACGCTGATCTTTTCCTGACCAGGAGTATAGGTTTCTCTTGACTGGCAAAAAAACAGGCTGATTCCTGGCCAAGCGGGTTCCCGCTCAAAGCTCACTGCAAACTTGGGAGAATCAATCCCCGGGGGTGAAGCCAGGTTCCGGAAGAAGGCTGGCACGTGCAGCTGCGCCATTCATGGCACCTCCGTTCCAGACAGGCTACGCGCTCCCTATAATGTTTGGGGGGGGAGGTAATGTTGGTTATATTGGGGGTTTGGGGGGGGGGGGGGGGTGGTTCCTGCCTCTACTACTGGGTTTGGTATGTGGTGGTTTGGTAGCGTTTTGGGGGGGTTGTTGGGCTGGAGAGCAAGCATGGCGTTTATTGATGGTGAGGTTGAAGGAGGATTATGGGGCTGTGTATGTTCTCTTGTCTAGATGGTTAGTGATAAATAATACAGGAAAATCTTTATATATGAACGCTTAAGCCTCCCTAATGACTATGAAGGATTATACACAGCAGATGGGGTTTACAGCAACTGTGATAAAAATGAAGGCGTTCAGTTACTTGGGTCTGTAGTTAATGTGCTGGTGACTTTGAAATAGAAGAATAAAAGAGTATTATTATTATCAGGGTATTTTATAGACGCATGAGAAATTTGAGACTTGATAATAGATTCCCGATTCGGTAGGTATTCATCTTACTGTAGAGCATCCTTCCGTAGAGGCTCTACTACTATACACACTCGACACTGTTTACACTCAAGTCTGTATATTCTCGACACTACATGCACTCGACACTGAACACTTGACACTTTCCCACACAGGCAACACCCCTTAAACCCTCTATACAAAACAATATCTTTTGATTCCGCTATATAACTAATATTTCAACACCCCCCCTACACCTTCTCAATCCTCTGCACCACAACCGCCGTCGCCGCCCCCCCCCCATTACAAATAGCCGCCACCCCATACTCCCCCACCTTCAACTGATGCAACAACGTGACCAAAATCCTCGCCCCCGAGCTCCCCAACGCATGACCCAGTGAAATCGCCCCACCAAGCTCATTGACCCTCTTCCCCTCCAACCCAAGAATCTTCTCATTCGCCTTAATCACCGCCGCGAACGCCTCGTTAAACTCCCACACCGCAACCTGATCCTTCGTGATCCCCGCCCGCTCCAGCGCAATCGGCACCGCCTTCGCCGGCGCGATAGGGAAGTCGACTGGGTCCACAGCCGCGTCCGCGGTGCCGCAGATGCGCGCGAGGACGCGAGAGTCGGAGCCGTATTCGCGCGCGAGCGCGGCGTTGACGAGGACGAGGGCGGAGGCGCCGTCGTTGAAGGTTGAGGCGTTGGCGGCGGTGACGGTGCCGGTGCCGTCGCGGATGAAGGCGGGCTTGAGGGTGGCGATCTTCTCGGGCTTGATGTCCAGGTAGCCCTCATCGGTGTCGATGATGGTATCGCCCTTGCGGCCCGTGACGGTGACGGGGGCGATCTCCTCCTTGAACGCGGAGGCTTTCCAGGCGTCTTGTGCGCGTTTGTAGGATTGCACGGCGTATTCGTCTTGTTGTTCGCGGGTGATGTTGTATTTCTTTGCTGTGGTCTCCGCGCAGACACCCATGTGGAATTGGTTGTATACGTCCCAGAGACCGTCTTCGATCAGGCCGTCTTTGATGTTCTGGTTTCCGAAGGCGGGTTGGGAGCTAGCGCGCGGGAGGTAGGAGGGCACGCGAGACATGTTCTCCATGCCGCCGGCGATCTGGGCCTCGGCGAGACCGAGCTGGATGTTTTGGGCGGCGAAGACGACGGCTTTCATGCCCGAGGCGCAGACTTTGTTGATTGTGATGGCTTCGACGGAGGTGGGGAGGCCGGCGAAGATGGCGGCTTGACGGGCGGGGGCTTGGCCCACGCCGGCTTGGAGGACGTTGCCCATGTAGACATCGGTGATTTTGGAGATGGGGACTTTGGACTTCTCGAGCGCGGATTTGATCGCTACGGCGCCGAGTTTAGGGGCTGGAACTGTGAGGAAGGAACCGTTGAACTAGTGGTGGTGGTGGTGTTAGCATGTGAGAGCCATGGGAAAGGTGATAAAAGTCGATGAGAGCTTGACGAAGGGGAGGATATAATGCTTACCTTTGCTGTTGGTGTCCTCGAAGCACTGATAATGTATGCATCTTGGATCTCCTGCCTCGCGGCTCTGCTGGTGCTGAAGTGCCTCGACACCTGAGCAACGCGCTGGGTTGAAGCCGATAGAGAAGACATGGCCATGCGTAGTGACATGACGAGAGAGCTATGAGAAGTAATCTTCTCCGGTAATATATATATTAAAGGATGAAGGATGAGGGATGAGGGGTAAGAAGAGAAAGAGGAGAAAGAGGGGTAGAGGTTTCAATTGTCCCGGCTGGCAGGAGTGAGGAGTTTGAATCGGATCAGCAACTTCTCCAATTCCTCTTTCATATACTGGTGGCGGCACCTCACGCTACACATGTCGAGCCCGGATTACGTCGGGCTAACGTCCCTCGGTAATCGGGTCTGGAAGTATTGGTACGAATAATATGTGCCGTACGCGGTAAAATCAGTGGTAATACAAGTACAGGTACAATGCACTAAAGTAGAGGAGAGCGGGGCGGGGCGGAATAAGCTCGTCTCCCCAACTCTCCCCCAACTCCCATCTCCTCTCTCCCCCAAATCCCTAATCAAACTAATCACCACGTGACCAGTCCCTCTCTCGACCTCCCCCTCTCTCGACGAACATCAACACCCGAAGTGATTTGGCTTATTTGGCTTACTAAGCAGAATTGACAGGGTGGTCTTGGTCTAGGAAATATAATGATCCTCTTAGCCATCTTGACATGTCCTCCCCCCAAGCCCCAAGTTGTGCGACGTGTGTAACAGGTAAAATGACTTTTTATTTGTTTTTTCCCCGTTTTTGCCCTATAGCAAAATAATATTATAATTATAATCATCTTGATAAATGCATTTGTCTCTTTCTTCCGTCACATACAAATTGAAAAGTCGAGTAATACATCCCGTTTTTTTTTGTTTTCTTGGTACAAGTCAGAAGTATTTGAATGGCGGCGCTCCCGCCAACCTCTTTTCATCTACTGTGGTTACTCACCTGACGAAGCCTCTGTCAGTGTCGCCTCCCCCATACAAATCACTTTACTCATCCATCGACACCCACCCCCAGCACTCCGTCCGTACGTTTGCCATTCAACCCCACTACAACCACAACCACAACAGAACCCTCAACTCCCCAGCGCTTACCTTTCTCTCTCTGAACAACAACACACAATTTTCCTGATCCAAGCGATAATAGTAATCGAAGCACAGAAATGTCTACAGCTGCTCGCCGCCGTTTAATGCGCGACTTCAAGGTAAGCCAGGCCCCCTCAATAAGGTTCGTCGTGTGAGCACGGACTAACATCGCCTCCCCCGCCCCCAGCGTATGCAAACAGACCCCCCAGCTGGTGTATCTGCGTCGCCCGTCGCCGACAATGTTATGCAATGGTATGTCTCCCCTCGAGAAGGATCTGGTGGAATACATGGGAACGGACGGGACGCTGATACTGGACATAGGAACGCCGTCATTATAGGCCCGGCCGACACGCCGTTCGAGGACGGCACCTTCAGACTCGTCATGCAGTTCGAGGAGCAATACCCCAACAAACCCCCGCTGGTCAAGTTCATTAGCCAGATGTTCCATCCGAACGTGTATGCGACGGGGGAGCTGTGCTTGGACATCCTGCAGAACAGGTGGAGTCCTACATACGATGTTGCCGCTGTGCTTACCAGCATTCAAAGGTGGGTAACCCCCGAACGCTATATAAAGGAGGAAGGAGGAAAACATGCTTACACAAACCCCCAGTCTACTCAACGACCCGAATACCGGCTCGCCCGCAAACGTCGAGGCGTCGAACCTCTACAAAGACAACAGGAGGGAGTACACCAAGCGCGTGCGGGAGACGGTGGAGAAGAGCTGGGAGGATTGACGAAACCGGGGAACGGGGGTGTATGAATGGCATTCGGCGGTGGCGTATACAACGGAAAGCTGCATTTCGAGACATGATTCTCCGGTTATGGCGCACGTTTGGGAATAAAGACATACCTTTGCGAGCGGTTGTTGTTTCCTTTTCTAGAGTTATTTTCACAATAACATGGTCTGAACGTTTTTAGTTTTGGGGGTTTCGTGGCGATAATGCACATTTGATGATATTGCAGTGTCCCTTTTCTTCAGGTGTCTCTGGGCGCGTTGAATTCGTTCGAATGTGATTTGGACTTGATCTAGTGAATATATAAACTGACAGAATCAGCCTGGAACTTTCGGTAGAGGGGTTTATAGCCATAGACTAAAGATCTCGTGCCTTACACTAGGGGTGAAGGATAAACTATTCAATATCAGTATAAATGGCCAACATCTGAAAATGGTCCATCATATAGACCGTCTGTACCTTACCATTCGCGTGTATTATGTGCAATATCAGCCATTAGCGATCGTCTCAGACCAAAGACCCGTATGTGACTTCAACCTGCTTAGAACCTCGCGTGGGCCAACAAGGTAATTTATACAATCTTAAGACAAATCAAAGAAGCGCCAGCATTTCAAGATTCTTCCAGATGTTTTTGCCCTGATCTTGTTTTAAGACAGATTTACATTCCTTCCTTCCGCATGCCAACAACCATAATATAAATGCCAAGACACCTGCCCCATTGGGCCACCGTGACACGAAAGCGACATTCGGTGCCACGACCACCATCCCTATACCCCAAACAAACACCACGTCTCGCATTAAAAAAAACAATCGAAACATTGCCACTGCATATACGCACATTAAAGTTACACTGCCCCAATTCCTCCCCGAAGCACAACTCCCGATTCCAGAATCCCCTATGGAAGTCTAGTCTGCATGGCTGCATGAAGGCCACTCTCGCTTCCCTGATAGCTCCGCCCGCAGGGTCCATGGGGCAATAATAGACGCGAGGAACAGGAGCAACTTTGTCGCGACGCCCGCCCGCCCTGCAAGTCAACATACATCCACCTCCTTATCGTCATCGACCACCGGCAACGCCAACCGCGCAACGTGGCTCCCAGGGCGACCTTGTACATATGAGCCGTTTGCGTAGCATCTAGCAGTCATGGCGTGAGTGATAAATTCTCTGGGGATGTCGCGCGCGCGGGCGGCGGCGGTGTGCTGACAGGTGTTTTGAAACAGGTCAACGAATAGTATCAAGGTCGTTCTGCGGTTTCGGCCGCAGAACAGGAGGGAGATTGAGTCGGGGGGCGAGCCGATCGTCACGTTCGACTCGGATGATACGTGTAAGCTGGATGTAAGTTGCTTCGTTCCTCCAAATTGTGTGTTCGGTGTTTTGGGTAGAGGCGGTGTTGATATGGCGGATTTTTAGTCGCTAGAAGCTTCGGGCTCGTTCACTTTCGATCGGGTCTTTGATATGGCTTCGAAGCAGTCCGATATCTTCGACTTCTCGATCAGGCCTACGGTGGACGATATTCTTAACGGGTACAATGGGACGGTTTTTGCTTATGGCCAGACGGGTGCGGGGAAGTCGTATACGATGATGGGAACGGACATGGAGGATGAACAGGGGCGAGGTGTCATTCCGCGTATTGTCGAACAGATCTTCGCGAGTATCGTGGCCAGCCCGAGCAATATCGAATATACAGTACGGGTGAGCTACATGGAGATTTACATGGAGAGGATCCGAGATTTGTTGGTCCCGCAGAATGATAATCTGCCCATCCACGAAGAGAAGAATAGGGGAGTTTACGTCAAGGGGTTGTTGGAGATCTACGTCTCCAGTGTACAAGAGGTCTACGAAGTCATGAGAAAAGGTGGGAATTCCCGAGCAGTCGCGGCGACAAACATGAACCAGGAATCCTCACGATCGCATTCCATATTTGTCATTACGATTACGCAGAAGAACGTCGAGACGGGCTCTGCGAAGAGCGGTCAGCTCTTCTTGGTCGATTTGGCCGGTAGTGAAAAGGTCGGCAAGACAGGTGCCAGCGGTCAGACGCTAGAGGAAGCCAAGAAGATTAACAAGAGTTTGAGTGCCCTTGGCATGGTTATCAACTCGTTGACGGACGGCAAATCGTCACATATTCCGTACCGTGACTCGAAGCTCACGAGAATTCTTCAGGAATCATTGGGAGGTAATAGTAGGACGACCCTCATCATCAATGCCTCACCCAGCAGTTACAATGACGCCGAGACTCTTAGCACGATGCGATTCGGAATGCGAGCAAAAGCTATCAAGAACAAGGCGAAGATCAATGCGGAGCTCAGCCCTGGCGAACTCAAGATGCTGCTCAAGAAAGCTCAGGCTCAAGTCACGACGTTCGAGAGCTACGTCCAGAATTTGGAGGGCGAAGTCCAGCAATGGCGCAGTGGAGAAAGCGTACCCAAGGAGAAATGGGCGCCGGCTATCTCTGCTGGTGCCGTTCAAGGGGCAAAGGTAGATGCTCGTGGTCCACCTCGGCCGTCGACACCGTCGCGGCTGCAGCCGGAAAGTCGTTCGGATAGTCGAGCAGATACACCCGCCACGGACCGTTCTAGTACCCCCTCCATCCCCATCGAGAAAGATGAAAGGGATGAATTCTTACGGCGAGAGAACGAGCTGCAAGACCAGCTTGCCGAGAAGGAGTCGCAGATCGCGGCTGCCGAGAAGAGCCTCAAAGACGCCAAGGAGGAGCTCTCGTACATCAAGGAGCACTCTGGAAAGACTGGTAGAGATAATGAGAAACTGACTGGTGAGGTGAATGACTTCAGGATGCAGTTAGAACGATTAAATTTCGAGAATAAAGAGGCTCAAATCACCATGGACAGCTTCAAGGAAGCCAATCTAGAGCTCACGACGGAACTAGACGAGGTTAAACAGCAATTATTAGACGTCAAGATCAGTGCCCGCGAGACAAGCGCCGTTATCGACGAGAAGGAGAAGAAGAAGGCCGAGAAGATGGCCACGATGATGGCTGGCTTCGACCTCGGCGGCGAAGTCTTCAGCGAGAACGAGAGGACGATCCAGAAAGCAATCGAGCAAATCGATGCTCTTCACGAGCAGAGCTCGCTCGGTGAGGCCATTCCACCTGATGCTCTTGCAGAAATCAAAACTAGACTTGTTGAGACACAGGGCATCGTGCGCCAAGCAGAACTTTCAATGTACGCTGCGCCCACTAACGAGACCGGGTCAAGGAGACGCGAAGAGTTGGAGGCCCGCCTCGAGGCTATGGAGAGAGACTATGAAGAATTGCTAGAACGTAACTTGACCGAAGCCGATTCGGAGGAAATCAAGGGTAGACTCGAGAAGGCTTACGCCGACAAGAAGGACATACAGCAGGATATGGTAGACGGCATCAAGCAGGACATCGCCGACAAGACGGCGGAGAACACGAGGCTAAAGGCATTGGCTGAAGACTTGCAACAGAAACTCAAATCTGGCGCCGCAGCGAACGGCACACAGGCCCCCGGGACGCCGAACGGCAAGAGCGTACAGCAGCAGATCGCCGAGTTCGACGTCATGAAGAAGAGCCTCATGCGCGACCTCCAGAACCGATGCGAGCGCGTCGTCGAGCTCGAGATCTCCCTCGACGAGACCCGCGAACAATACAACAACGTGCTCCGCTCCTCCAACAACCGCGCGCAGCAGAAGAAGATGGCCTTCCTGGAGCGCAACCTCGAGCAGCTCACGCACGTTCAGCGCCAACTCGTCGAGCAGAACAGCAGCCTGAAGAAGGAGGTCGCGATCGCGGAGCGCAAGCTGATCGCGCGCAATGAGCGCATCCAGAGCCTGGAGAGCCTGCTGCAGGACTCGCAGGAGAAGCTGACGGCGGCGAATCACCGGTATACACTCCTCTTTGTGCAGCGGCGACGGACGTCCCGGCTAATTGACCCGCGTAGATTCGAAGCACAGCTCACGGCCGTCAAGGAGCGGCTCGAAGCGGCGAAGGTAGGGAGTACACGCGGCTTGGGGGGCGCGGCGGCGGCGCAGGGCGGGTTTAGCTTCTCGGGCGCGGGGGGGAGGGTTGCGAAGCCGTTGAGGGGGGGGGGAGGGGAGACGACCATCCCGGCCGTGCAGGGGTTGCAGAATGAGGGAGGGGGGAATAAACGCACGTCATGGTTCTTCTCGGGGCAGAAGTAGGATGGGGGAGGGGACGGGGGGGATGGTAAATAGCATGCATAGATGAGATGACCTGATGTATACCCACGCGTTTTTATTGTTTTCGATAGGAAGAGATGGATTTTGGGAAGGGGGATGGATGATTAGAAAGGTGGTGGGTGGGTATTGGATAGGACCGGGTGGGCGGTGGTGGTGGCTGGTATACTTACACTTGCAGGCGCAGATATACTTGTCATACATACTCTCCTCACGCGATAGCGATACCTGATAATGAAAGATTTGAAAGATTGAATTAAGGCTTGATTGATTGAATATATCCCGTCTGTAGTTTGATACACCAGGTTGGTCTGGGCCTTAAGGGGTGGAGAGGGGGGTGGGAAAACGTGATGCCATCGATTGGACAATCACATGTGAGGAGTGATGTCATAACGTCCTGAGAAAACCAGTTGGGATGGATGGACCCCTATGGATTGGTAAAAACGGAAATAGAAACCCTAGAAATATAGACGCCCCCAGGAACAGGAAATTCCTTTGTTTTGAAGTGTTATACTGTCGCTGTCGTCGATTGATAAGTTAGCTATTTGTTTTTAGTGGAAAGTACTGAGCTTGGAGCTATTGAGTCGAGATGGAACATCCAGGTAAGCATGACAACTTCTCACACCATATAGCTGCATATACCTACACCACCCACCACCAGTGTCATAGAGCTCAGCAAGCTCCAGCTTTGGACCTGCAGAACCCATTACCTTGTTCCCAATCTACATTTTCCATTCCCTATTGCTCCCCTTCAATTTGCCCTCGCCTACAAGTATCATCCAGCTAACGACCCCCCCAACAGTCAAAGAAACCCCCCAGCTAATCCGCACCCTCTGCTCCGGCACGCCCTCGCAGCAGCTCGCAGCCCTTGACGCGAACTTCACGCACGACGCCTCGTTCCGACACACCATCTGCCGCGTCCCGAGCTTTGGGGATGTGAATGTGCCGTTGTTGGGGGCGGTGAACTCGAGATGGGTTATGGGGTGTATTTATCGGTGGTATAAGGTGTTGAGTCCGAGGATTGAGGTGGATGTTGAGAGTGTTGGTATGTGCACCTTTCATATCTTTTATATAGCCCTGGGGACTGTGGTGGGATTGCGGGGTTCTGGAAGAGGGGGGGAAGGGTTTCTGGAGGAAAGGGGTGGTTGGTTTGAGGTAAAGGGGGGGGGGAGAGGGGGGGAGATAGATGCTAACAAACTACAGTTCTCGACCCAAAAACTCAACGCCTCTACATCTCAATGTCGCAAACTTTCTCCCTCTTCATCATCCCATTCTACTCCGCCAAAGTCCCTCTGATCACCGTCCTACGCCTCGTCAAGGAGGAGGATGACCGCTTCTACATCAGCGCGCAGGAGGACTACTACGAGCCAGAGGACTTTGTCAAGTTCTTCTTGCCTGGTGCGCACTGGCTGTTGCAGATCTTTCAGTGGTTCACTGTGGTGATCTGTGTGCTCTGTGCGTTGTTGCTGGCGCCGCCGCTGAAGGTGGCGCAGAAGATTGTGGGGTTTAAGATGGATTGAGGGAGGGAGAGGGAGGACGAGAGAAGGGACAATGGCGTTTTAATGAAGAGAAGGGAGAAAACTTGGATAAATAGGGAAATCTGGGACGAAATATATGTGTTATTTTAGAGCCGAATAAGAATATTGGAAACACTAGTCTTTTGACTAACTGAAAATCCTGTGAAAGTTTATCAAAATTATATTTTTAGTCTGTCAAACAGCTGCCGGAAACTTCGGAAATTGAAGTCACGTGATACTTCGTATATAAGAATCAAGAAATCAACATATCGCCACATGAATCAATAGTGGGATTAAAAATAGAATTTAATGAAAGAATTCTCATCATCCCTTCGCTGGATAATATTTGCCGTAGGATAATTGAGAAATGTGAAGCAGTAGTAGTAATTATAACACATAAACCTCTATAAAGGGGAAATGTACGAGTTGTGTTTTGAAGGAGCGAAATGATACGTTGTTGATTGGTTCCGAAATCCCGAAAGTCTTGGAATTCCAGGCGCCAGGGTGCTGCGCCGCAGTCCCGCTTACCACACAGTCGTCGTCACTTGTCCCCACCGCCAACGACAGTCTATCGCGATCGATCCTTCCTTCCTACCTCGTACATTCGTTCGTTTCTTTCCTTTTCTTCAACTTCAACTTCGACTTCGACAACAGCGATATTTTCACCATCAGACGACTTTTACAACCGCGTCTATCGCGACTGACGTCGCCATGGCTATCATGAATTCCGTCACGAACCACATCGTCCGGAGAGGCATGGACATCCACCAGGCTCATCAATCGTCAGGCGGCCACCGCAAGCATGGCGACAAGAGCCTTCTCACCCCTCTCGCCATCGCCACTTTGGCTTTCACCTCCATCATCTTCTTCTTCACCATTATGATGGTTAGTCCTCTCCCTACCCCGCTCTCATCGGCCAAAACTAACATCTCCAGGCCTCATACACCTACGGCCACCTCATCCCCACCCTCGCCATGGTCGAGACCCCCACCGCCCTCCTAATCGAGACCACGACCACCGAAGAGAAGGAAGATAGCACGGACAAGGAGCCCCTCCTCGAACAATGCGAGGTCACCCTCATCCAACAAACCCCCATCACCGCCAGCATCCGCACCACCCTCCAACACCTCCGCGAGACCGGTGGATTCTTCGGCCGCTACCGCGGTCTCAGCATGTTCGTCGTGTACATTTTCCTCTGCAGCCAATTCAGCATCGTCTTCTCCTTCCTCCCCTACGGCCTCGGCGACGTCCTCACCATGATCGTCCTCTCCACCATCCGCATGGGATGGACTCACGCCATTGTCTCCGCCCCCTCGCCCCTCCCTTGGTTCCGCCGCCTCCCATCCGTCAAGACATTCAAGAAGATTGCGCCCATCACCGCCATTGTTGCCTTGTCCGAGGAGCTCTCCATCGGCGTACCATTCCTCTTTGCCGGCGCGCTCGGCCTGTTCAAGAGCATTGATCGCCAGGCCAGCGGAGAGACTATCGAGGATCCCGAGGCGTGCTTGGTGAAGATTTTCGCTGTGGCTGCTATGTTCTTCTCTCTCGTCATCTTGGTCGTGGTGCCTGTCACCATGGTTATGGCTCGCATTCACGCCAGCTTGATCGAGGAGAACGTGGATACCATTGTGTCGGTGCACCGCGAGCCGTTGTCGATTAAGGAGGCGTGGAAGAGTGTTGACTGGAACGCGCGCGTGCACGTTTACAAGGCGTACCTTAAGGGTTTCGCTATTCAGATGAGCATTATGATTCTCTTCTCCGCGGTGGTGTACGTGCAGCTCGTTATGTTCTTGGGGCCCAAGTTCCCAGAGGTTATCACGCAGTACATGCTCATGGTTTAAGTGGGATTGATTATCAGAGATTGAAGAAGGAATGGTTTTCGCCTGTTATAGGCACTACTACTAGACTGACTACGACTCATACGCTGAGCGGCGGTTCATTTGTGGGTTGGTTTAGGGAAAGATTGTGTAGGATCACAGGTCTGTGAACTGGTTTTTTTTTGCGGTTTCGGGAGGATGGATGGAATAACGCTAGTTCGTTAAGTAAGGTCAACACGAAGAGGAAGGATCATTGATAGTTTTCATTTACTCGTGTACTTCTAATACAACGCTTATGTTATAGCCTTTGCAATGCCAGCAGTTTCCCTCTCTGAAGTATGACGCTCCTGTCTGATGTGTTCTCAAGTATTGTCTGCTACTGTGTGAGGTCTCTTCTTGAACTAACTCAGTGTCTGTCGATTACCACATGAAGTTCCCCCGTATTCTTGCCGAAAATGCTGTATTCTCAAGCGTGAATTGAATCCAACCCTTGCGTGAATTTCAGATGTCCTTCCCCTCCTCATTGTCCCCCCGTCTTCTGTCAAATCATTCCGCCCTATTATACAAATTCCCAATTGGAAACGCTCACTGCTCGGAAAGAATAGCAAGAAAATGTCAAATCTTGTGCGCTAGGCAGCACACCGGGTGCGTCGAAAGATCACATAATCCACGATGACATGGGATACGACATATCGGGGCAGTCAGCGCCGGATGCATGCAGGTGGTAGAAACACACTGGTGCTATGTTTGGATGAGTCGGCGTGGAGCCGGGGATTGGCTTCATGTAGTCGAGGACGTCGTCAAGCAGTTCCGTGTGGCGGGTGAGGTGGGCGACTCCATTGGTGTGTGTGTGTCCATTGGGCTGCGTGTCTCCGTTGACATGCGTGAATCCATTAGGCTGAGCATCTCCGTTGACGTGCGGAAGTCCATTGGGTTTAATGTCTCCACCGAGTGGCGTATACCCATTGAGCTGCGTATATCCAGCAAGCATATCAGCCACCTCCTCCCTACCAACCTCCCTCGCAGGTCCCCAGAAGACACCAAGCTCATAAGCAATAACCTGCGCCACATAATCCCTAAACACATTCCCCCTCTCAACCTTCCTATAACTCTCCGCCCAAATCGGGATCGACAGCGGCTCATCAGTCAGTATCTGCGCCGTCATCAGTCGATCCTGGAACTCGGACAAGCCATGCTCGGCAGCGAAGACGATGGCGTTGAAGATTCCGGCTGTGGTGCGGCGGTTGGAATCGTCGCTGTGGAAGAGGGTGACGGCGTTGACGGTGCCGCGGCAGAGGTATTCGATGTAGACGGGGAAGACGGAGGGGTTGTTGATGGTGAGGGCGCTGGCTTCTTCGACGGCTCTTTCGGTGGCGGCGTCTTGGGCGAGGATGGAGAGGGTTTCTGGGTCCAGGGTCTGGTGGTAAAGGGTCTCTTCGTAGAGGGATTCTTGGTCAAGGGTCTCCTCATAGAGGGTCTCTTCGGAGGGGGTCTCTTCGTAGAGGGTCTCTTGGTCGTCTGATTCCTGGTTGACTGGCTCTTGGTTGACGGACTCCTCGTTGACTGGCTCCTGGTTGACTGGCTCCTGGTTTACTGCCTCCTGATCAACTGCTTCTTTGGAGTCGTCTTTAGACATTTTCTGTGAATGGTATAAAATTTCTTAAATTGTTTTTGACAACAGTAGCCGTATGCTGGTCTCGTGATGAGCAACTTTGCTCAAAGATCGGGGTGAACGCGAACAGCATAGTTAAAAGCGGATTCAAGAGTCAAAGCAAAGCACACAATTAGACACAGAGTCACATGGCAGGAACCATCGAGATACATGATAAAAGTATGGCCATGCCATAACTACTATACCGTGCCCAACATAACATTAACAGCAGCAAACAAGACGGAACACCTGAAGTTCAGATAGAGTATGATAAGTCCAGATCCGCCAAGCCCACATTTATAACCTCACTATCTTATCAGATCATCTACCCGACGCAGTAGCGCCCGGACCAGCCGGTCGCAACCAACCAAGCAACTTCGACCCCGCCAAATGCACCATTACATCTTCGCATCAACACTCCCATCCAGCCTCCCCAGCTACACCCTACGCCACTCAAACCTCCATTCTCCAAAACAAACCCTCACTGCCAACTCCCGCGAGTTTCCGGCCCCAAGAGCCACCCAAATGTAAGCTTCCAACCCCTTCCCCCCCAAGCTCCCACAAAACCCCCACCATAGCACACGACCCTCGACTCATACACCACCTCCCCAGCTTCTCAGCCCACAATGGCTCCACCACCACCCAGATCAGGAGCCGCAGGCCTGCTCGCCCGCCAGCTGAAGGAAATGCAAAGCGACAAGAACCTTCCTGGCATCTCGTGCGGGCTCGTCAGCGACACCAACGTCTTCGAGTGGGAGGTTATGCTCATGATCTCGGATGACTGCAAGTACTACGGCGGTAAGACACCCCCTAGCCCACCCCTCGGTGCCACAAGCTAACGACCCCCTCCCCTCCCCAGGCGCCAACTTCCGCGCCAACCTCTCATTCCCACAATCCTACCCCCTCATGCCACCAACGATGACCTTCCTCACGCCCGTCCCCTTCCACCCGAACGTGTACCCCTCGGGCGCCGTCTGCATCTCTATCCTCCACCCCCCCGAGGACGACAAATACGGGTACGAGAGCGCGTCGGAGCGGTGGTCGCCGGTGCAGTCTCCGGAGACGATTTTGATTTCTGTGATCTCGCTGTTGCACTCGCCGAATGATGAGAGTCCGGCGAATGTGGAGGCGGCGGTGTTGTGGAGGGAGGAGCAGAAGAGTGGGGGGAGGGAGTTTAGGAGGAGGACGAGGCAGTGTGTGAGGGAGAGCTTAGGGGAGGAGTAGAGGGGTGGGGGAGGGAGTTTTTTGGGGGGAGGGGTGGAAAAACGCGTATATACAAGTATGCATAGCGATGCTTTTAAGGCACAGCAGTTATTATGATATCCCATTTCATTCTTAAAACTGGTTCGTCCGTTCAGTGTGGCAGTTTAATGAATGTGTGGTTCGCGCCTGCCACTGGAATCGTACGACTTTAAACTGTCTTCAGTTCTACTTTTGATTCTAACAACACCCCGGCTTCCCATCACCAGAGTTAATTAACCCCAACACCTTCGCTGCCGTCTTATCCCACTCATCATCCCACCTCCTGCCCCCCTCCCACCTAGCACCCTCTCTCAAGGTCGCTAAATCCTTCTCTCCACCCTTCCCAAGCAACTCCACCAACAACTCCCCCAACCGCTCACTCGTCTCAAAACCCCTCCCATTCTCCCCCTCCCTCACCAGCTCGCTCCAACTCTCATACCCACTATACCCCACTACTGGCAGCCCGGCACCGAACATATCCACCACCTTCATCGGCAGGTCAACGCCACTACTAGACATGTGTAGGCAGACGCCTAGATCCGCACAGGCGAGTAATTTCGCATAATCACCCGTCGTGAGCCAGGCGCTAAGAATAGTCACCCCCTCGAGTTTGCCGTCCGCTTTCAGCTTCTCGATGCGGCGGAGGTAGAGCTCTTTCTGGGGACCCTTCCCGGTGATGATCGCGAGGATGGGGGTTAATGATCCGGTCTGGGAGCGGCGGGCGGAATATGCTTCAAGGGCTGAGAGGAGGAGGGAGAAGTCCTCGTCGGGGGTCCAAGAGGTGCTGCTCACTAGGAGCTTGGTCTTTCCGGCGATGATGTTTTGAGCTTCTAGTGCTGTGTCGGGGAGGTTTGATAGGAAGGTCTGCCGCTCTTTGGTGTCGGTTATGGGTTGGAAGACCTCTGCGGGTCTGTCGTGAAGTGTAAAGATTTGTGATCTGATGCTGTATGGTGTGTTTCTGAGCTGGCGTGCCATGGCATCAGTGACTGTGAAATTCGCAGTCGAAGCATAGCGGCCGAGAATCTCCTCGTAGCGCTTTGAGATCTTGACGAGGGGATGTGAGGGACCGCGTGTGCCGGAGAGGATGGTCCAGCCGTAGTTGTGCCAGTCGATTATGAGGTGGGTGTTCCGGAGGAAGCAGATGACGAGGGAGATGGCAAGTGTTGGGATGGATGGCGGGTTTTGGACGAGAAGCCATCGTGAAGGCTTTGCCTTGTAGCCTAGTACGTGGAAGAGTGTCCAGATCTGCCATAGTACTTTCAGAGGCCCGATTATGATGAATGGCACGCCGCTTTTTTGGAGTGAGGATAGTATAGATGGAGGAGGCGCAAGCGGGACGATTGTGATAAGAGGGTTGTCGACAAGGCCGGGATGTAGAGCAGATTCTATAGAATGTTAAAAGTGTAACCTGGGAGAGTTGGGATGAAACATACCTTGGTATCCAATGACATCGACCCGCCCGCCATGTTTCGCAATGCTGATGGCATGGTATTGCATCCGAGGGCTTCTCCCAATATCTCCGAGAACCAGCACTTGGACGGAGATCTCGGGTTCGGGCTTCGATGCATCGGCAGGCTTATCAGTCGCTTTCCGAGGTGAACCACGTCTGTACTGTGTGGGTAAACATAGTAGGAGTGTTGTCAATGCTGACGATGCCACCAGGACAATGGTCAGGAGTAGTTGGAGCATGGAGGTGGTGTTTCAGCGACAATTCATGTCTTCAGCCCGGGAATAGATTGTGATATACAATTCCGTATGCATGGAATGTTAGAAGACCAATGGGCTCGACCGTGAAACTGTCTCTGTGCCTCCCAAGTGGAATGTGATATGGCCAGCGAGGCTGAGATCCAAAGTGGTACGGCACATTCTGCCGCAACCCACCGCCTTCCCCCTCGAATTGTCCTCAGGTTATCAGGCCAAAGCGCGATCTGGTTGGATGGCGACCCTACTAACCCCTGCAGGTAATGAAGTCAGAGATAGCGTTGGCCAATCAGCTTCCATTCTGCACTATCCCTTCGGCGGACTTTCATCGTAAATTGGAACAGGGGTTCACCACGACCCCATATCCCCCATGGAGCAATAACAAACTGTCCCTCTTGGGTTGACTTGGAACCTTCAGACCAGAGAGCAGCTTACCGCCGCATTCTTCAGGATTCTTTTTCTTGACCTGGCTTCTACATCGTACTATCCACACCGTCTTTATCGTCCCCGCGACAAATATTCGAAATAGAATCGAGTCGAATACTTCAAGGGGCTTCTCGAAAAGCCGTTGCGGTCAAGCCGAGTTCAGACGGCCAAGACCAGGCGGGTGACGCTTGCAACGACGACATCAACAACAACCTCTCCAATAACAGCAACAACAACGCCTTGATCACTGTGCGTCACTTCACGCGACGCCCCTTGGACGGCTTCTATGGCTTCGACATACGCACTGCCCGTTTCTCCGCTACCTCACACCCCTCACACCCACTATCGCCAGCACTCCCATGGCGGCCACACCCACAGCCATTCGCAATCATACAACCGCTCCTCGTCGCCTAGCAAGTTAGCTCCAGCAGGATCTAGGCCGGCATACACAGGAGGGACACCATTGACCGGGAATATGCACTCGCGCACGCAGTCGGCGCACATTCCCAACCATCTTGCCAACCTGGACCTTGATCGCCATACGGTATCTCCAGTGCGCGAACAATCACCGGCGTTGTCTGGGGATGAGAATCCTCTAGGAAACGGGGGCGATGATACCCCATATCCAAAGAACCAGCCTACAACGCCTCTATACTCGGAGTTTACTGGCGTCGACTTCAACCAGCCTGTTGAGGACCACCCACATAATGGCCATGCCCACCACGGGCATTCTCATTCCCACTCGCATTCCCACGGGCATTCTCACTCCCATGGCGACCATTCCCATGATGACCACGTCTGTCAAGGGCACAACCCGAAGGCAGCAGAGCCGCGATCGAAATTCACAACGTTTATGCTGAAGCGTACGCTGAATTTCCCGCTCCTGCAGTCTATACTCCTCGAGAAAGACTCGCGGCGTATTTTCTACTTTATGAAGTAGGATCACTCGTATGCATGATATAGCCGGCGTTTACTAATATACCTACAGTCTAAACTTTGCATTTATGTTGGTTCAGGCCTTCTACGGATTCGTAACAGATTCTTTGGGACTGCTCAGCGACAGCATTCATATGCTCTTCGACTGCATCGCATTAGCCCTTGGCTTATTCGCTGCCGTCTCGAGTAAATGGCCAGCAAGCCAGCGCTTCCCTTACGGGTTTGGGAAGATTGAGAGCTTGTCTGGGTTCGGCAATGGCGTATTTCTCATGTATGTTGGAATATAAACGAGGCTCTTGAACTACACTAACTTCTGCATAGGCTTATTAGTGTTGAGATTATAATTGAGGCGATTGAGCGCCTGGCGGAGGGACACGAGACGAAGCGATTGATGGAGCTTTTCATCGTGAGCTCTATGGGCCTCGCTGTTAACTTGGTAGGGATGGCTTGCTTTGGACACCATCATCATGGCCATGATCATGGAGGCCACAGCCACAGCCACGGCGAGGAGAAACACGACCATAAGGGTCACGGCCATGATTCTGACTCCGACATCCCTCTGATACCCGGAGGTGCAGACGCGCCTGCAAAGCACAGCCACGGCCATTCTCACGGCCACTCACATGATCATGGTCACTCCCACGGTCACTCTCACGACAATGAGAACATGCGTGGTATCTTCCTCCATGTACTCGCAGACACCATGGGCAGTGCCGCTGTCATCGTGTCTACCGTGTTAATCTACTTCCTCGGCTGGCCTGGATGGGATCCCCTGGCCTCCTGCCTCATCGCCATCCTCATCTTTCTGTCTTCCCTGCCTCTGGTCAGCAGCTGCGCCAAGCGCCTATTATTGACTATCCCTGCGGATACGGAATACAAGCTCCGCGAGACGCTGTCTGGCGTTAGCGACCTACGAGGCGTGGCTAGCTACTCTGTGCCCAGATTCTGGATGGCAGATAGTCCTGATCTCGTTGAGGGCGAGCCAATCCTAGGCGCTATGCACGTTATCGCGACGCGCGGGTCCCAGCTTGACGATGTTCGCGAACGCACGCGAACATATCTCTTGGGTCATGGGATGGATGTGGTTGTCCAGGTTGAGCGCGAAGGAGATGCAAAGTGCTGGTGTGGCGGCGACAACACCCGCACGCCCGCGAACTCGACTTCGCGCTTCTAGATGGAGTGAAAATCTACTTTCTTGTATTTATTCTGGTAGGGTGAAAAGCTCCTCCTACTGTACTGGTACATTATTATTGCATTACGCTCGGAGTTACGGGTGGGCATTGAGGGCATTTGGGAGGTTTAGTTTAACGATATTACGTACCAGAAGGATTATACAATTGTCAGCGCGTTAAAAAGATATAAAATAAAATAAATCCCTCGTTGGCTGTGATCAAAGCTGAAAACCGTGATGCTCGTCGTCAGCCGGTATGCGTGATAATATGGACAAACGGATTAAATGTACCTCGTACCCTCTGACGGCGTCCCCACCGACCAATCAAGCCCCACCACCACTGTCCCCATGATAACCCCACGACACCGAACCGGAGGCCGCCACCCGGGACCGAGTCGTCCCCAGTTGCCTCGGCACAACGGGGTTGGAGTTCCACTCGCACAAGCTTCACCGAGCGCCGCGCCGCAATTCGATCATCCACCGAGTAAATTTAGCTCTTGGTCGTGCGAAAAAGTTCGATTTCCCCTTCTCCTCGCCGTGCTTGCTCCCTCCTTCCCTCTTTCATCAATCTTCCTCCTCCCATTTACTCTCTACGCGCTCGTATCTCTATCTCTCCTCTCTCTCTCTCTCCATCCTTTCACCCGACACCTCTCGCGCAGAGATCCCATAGCAAGCAATGGCGTCCAACCCCATCCCCAAAGCCAACGAGGCTCTCCAGAAGCTCCCCATAGCTATCCCGCACATCCCAGAGACGAAGGCCGAGCTCAAGGAGGACGTCCAGGTTGTGGCTGCGAAGTCATTCGCGGGGCTGCGCTCGTTCGCCGCTGGTGGTTTCGGTGGGCTTTGCGCCGTTATCGTTGGACACCCTTTTGATCTCGCGAAGGTCAGGCTGCAAACTGCTGAGGCGGGTGTGTATAAGGGTGCTATTGATGTGGTGACCAAGAGTATTGCGAGGGATGGGTTGAAGAAGGGCTTGTACGCCGGCGTGAGTGCCCCGCTGGTGGGGGTTACTCCTATGTGTAAGTCTCCCTCCCATTCACTCCCCGAGCCAATTGACGGCGGCCGGGGCAAACGCAAGTAAATGGCGCGATACTAACAGCCGCACAGTCGCCGTCTCCTTCTGGGGTTACGACGTAGGCAAGAACCTCGTTAAGAAGTTCTCCACCGTGCACGACAACCAGCTCTCTATCGCCCAAGTCTCCGCCGCCGGCTTCTTCAGCGCCATCCCCATGACCGCCATCACCGCGCCCTTCGAGCGCGTCAAGGTCCTCCTCCAGGTCCAGGGCCAGAAGGTCCTCGCCCCAGGCGAAAAGCCAAAGTACAGCGGCGGCGTTGATGTCGTGCGCCAGCTCTACAAGGAGGGCGGCGTGCGCAGTGTGTTCCGTGGCTCTGTTGCGACGCTCGCGCGTGATGGGCCTGGTAGTGCTGCGTACTTCGCGGCGTACGAGTATATTAAGCGCGCACTTACTCCGGTGGATATCCACACCGGTAAGCCTTCGGGGCAGCTCAGTTTGACTGCTATTACGACGGCGGGTGCGGCGGCTGGTGTGGCTATGTGGATCCCTGTCTTCCCAGTTGATACCGTCAAGTCGAGGCTGCAGACTATGGAGGGTAACCCTACGGTGTCGGGTGTTGTGAAGGGGCTGTACCGCGCAGGTGGACTGAAGGCTTTCTTCCCTGGTTTCGCGCCGGCGATTTGCAGGGCTGTGCCGGCGAATGCGGCGACGTTTTTGGGCGTGGAGTTGGCGCATCAGTTTATGAACAAGGCGTTTGATTAGAGGGTGATGGATGGGTGCTGAGAGAAGGGAAGGAAAAGAAGGATATTTTAGACGGGATTACTGGAGGCAGGGATGGGCATTGAAGGCATCAAGAGGAAGGAGGCTCAACGAGGCCCATTGTGGATATATACAGTGGGATGGAAGATGTGGTGGTGCTGATGCAGATTCGAGGACGGAGTATTGTGGGATGGTGTTCATAGGAACGGGCATTCTCCTGTGGAAAGTTGGCTGTAGAGATATAGTACAAGCGCGCATAAAGATAGATCCATTATTATCATTCCATTTTAGCCAACATCCATATTCTCACCCAATTATCCAAAAGTTATTCATAAACAAACCTTCCTATGATCCCGCCGGGCGCAAGCGGAACGGCAGAAGACGCAATCCCCTGCCAAGATCTCCCTCGGCTTACCGATAAGCACGATAAGCCGCCGCATCGCGCCTTGCCACTATAATTAAGACTCAGTTTTACTCCTCCCCCGGCCGCCCCCTCACCCCTCCCTCACACAAAACCTCACACCATGCGTCCCCCCTCCTAACACGCCTATACATGCCTGGACTCGCCCTCAAAGCCGGCCTCCGCGCCGCAGCACCCCTGCGCCGCCCTCCGCCCCTCCTGCGGCGCCAGCAAGCGCCAAAACGCACCACAACCTCAAACACGAACGCATCGAAGACGCCTGCATCGGGAAGCACAACGACGCCCTCGTCCGGCGCGACGATCCCGATTGCGGGCTCTATACCTCCTCTCCCGCTGTGGCAGCGCTTGGGGCCGCTTACGACGGCGCTTTCCCTGTTCAGCCGGTCGCAAAGGGCGCGGCCTTGGACGACGCAGTTTGTGAGCACGTTGATTGTGTATTTCCTGGGCGATTTGAGTGCGCAGAGGATTAGAGGGGAGGAGTATGAGGTGGAGAGGACGGGGAGGGCGTTGGTTATTGGGGCGGGGGCGGCGATTCCGAGTTATACTTGGTGAGTTTGAGCTTCTCCGAGGGGATGGGATGGGGAGTGGATGCTGAGGATCTGTACTGGACTGGGCTAACAAAGATGATGTTATAGGTTCGTCTACCTCGGCAACTCCTTCAACTACGCCTCCCCCATCCTCTCCCTCCTCACCAAAGTCGTCGTCAACCAGCTCGCCTTCACCCCCATCTTCAACACCTACTTCTTCGGCATGCAATCCCTCCTCTCGCACCCCCCCTCCCTCTCCAGCCTCGAACACGCCTTCGAGCACGTCAAGCGGACTGTGCCGACCAGCTTCATTAATAGCTGTAAACTGTGGCCCATTGTTACGGCATTCAGCTTTACGTTCTTGCCCCCAGATTTTAGGAATATTTTTGGGGGCGTGGTGGCGATTGGGTGGCAGGCGTATTTGAGTTTTTTGAATAGAAAGGTGGAGGGGGTGGAGTGGGAGGATGAGGAGAAGGAGGAGATGAGGTTGTTGGAAGTGGGGGATGGGAAGGAGACGGGGGGGAAGTCGGCGGCTTGAGATGGAGGTGGCACAGGTTGGGGATAGAGGTTGGTTGAAGATACGATGCTTGCGGAGAGACGGCGGCATTTCGGGTTGCATAGACCGTTACATGGCGTTATAGATGGGTTCAGGCGTTACGGGTGGATGAACGACACATCCATCCAGGTTTTGCGAGCAGATATAGATCGCATTGGTTACCCCCCTTTTGGGCTTTAGAATAGATGGCAGCGTATAGACCGAGTCTGACAAAGAATATTGAAGACTGCCCATGTGAGGATGCTGCCTTCCCACACCCCTTTTTTACGTATCCCCTACGTCTATATAACTCCCCGGCCTCCCAACCACCAACCGTTTACTCCCAACTAAACAAGGACAATGCGACCTGCGTAGGCTGGCTGTGGCCCCCTCCTTTACCACCTTGATATCCACTACGCCTCCCTCCTCGCCCTTCCACTGCCGCCTCGTGCTCTCGCGCCGTCCACTACCCAGAGGTGGTGGGTGCGAGGTAGCAAGACTCAAACGGTAACAAGATACCAGCAGTGACGAGACGACGTAACGATAGCAGCAGTGGCCCCCAATCAAGGAGAAAGCATGACGGCGTAGCAGCAGCAGCAGTGGGCCCGAACCAAGGCGAGAACTTGAGAAGTTTCACTTGTGACGTGGAGTCTCCGCTGTCGTAGAATGCCACGAACCTTTGTTTTATCACTTGAGACCTTGTGAGTGATAGTGTAAAAATATTACCAAGCTATACCCCCTGAGATCTTACACTATCATACAACCTCGGCGCGCCCCCCCCACCCCCCCCTCTCAACAAGCCGCACACAAGTTATATCCTCGAGAGCCCTCGAAACTGCCTCAATTATTCACATGTGTAATTCACATACATTCTCATTGCAGTTCATGGAACTTCGCTTTGTGTTCTGTAACTGTTCTACACAGCGACCTGTACCTCCCTCGTCGCCGTACGCGCTATATCTGTGATCTCGCGGCTGTTTTACACCAGCAGCGGTGGGGTGCGAGTTGACAGGACTTTAATGGCGACAAGATACTGGCGGCGACGAGACCGTTGGCGACAGCAGCAGCAGTTCCCTCCTTGGAATACATACACAAGTGATATCCCGCGAGCCGTCGAAAATGCCTCAAATCATATGTGTAATTCACACACTAGTACATCTCAGAACTCATGTAATGCACGCCGTTTTCTGGTCTTGCTGCAAATCTGTTGGTGTTATTCATAGTCTTTTGGGGTTGTGGACAGTTTATTCGGTTTTTGTGTGTCTATCTTCGAAAGGGGTTCGATGTGTGGAAGTTGGAGGGCTTACATGAGGGTTTACATAGAAGCTAAAGGCAGGAGGGGATGGGGATAGGAACAGAGGGATGGGTATCATTGCTTGTATGTATGGAGTGAGGCAGAGGGATGTTAAAAACGAGCTGAGAAACTAAAGATATACTCCACCATCCCCCTATACCCCATTCTTTCCCGGCCATCTCTCACCCCCACCCCTCTCAACTCAATAACCCCTCTCCTCCAAAGCACACTCAAAATGCCAAACCCCGAAAAACTCACCTTCCTACTTCATCCCGTTCGCCTACTTAAAACCACCGGCGCCACTATTCAAAATCGGACGACGAAGGCTCTTAGGAAGCACACGAACCGTGAAGTATTACGTAAATAATTAAGGATATGCATTTCTACACTCCCTTCTCGCACTCTACACCGCCCCCCCACCTCCTCCCCTTTTCCTTGTTGCAACAGCACAGCCGGCGGCGACAGCACACCACCGACAGTACAAACACAGCGGTGATAAATGTATCGACAGCGAGAACTTTTGCCAGCCATCCTAACCCGCATACTCTCGGCGGCAAAGCAACGAGAATACGATGCGGTGACGATAGCTCCAGCGACAACAACAGCACGCACGCACCGACAACACCCCCCCTTCTCTCCCCCCTCCCCCCCCCCCCCACCCCACCCACACCAAAAAAAAAACAAAAAAAAAAGAAAAAAAAAAAAAGGGGGGGGGGGGGGGGAGAGCACATACTCCTCATCAACGTCCTCACACTCGCAATCAAATTCACAATCTTGCTCTTCACGCTCGCGTCGCCCCCGGGCCCAGCACCGAACGCGGGCTCCGCCGCTGAGGAGGCCGACCAGCCTATGCGCGCTAGGAAGCGGTCTTCGGAGAGGATGGCGATGGCGTTTGTGACGAGGACCATGACTTGTATTATCGTTAGCTTTCTGTCTTGCGACCGCTTCGACGGGGGCCAAGGTAACAGGGAGAGACAGGGACGGTGGGGGACTGGAAAGGGGTGGGGGGGACAAACAGTAGAAGATGCCGCCGAGGCCAAAGAACATCATCTTGTCGGTTCGAAGCTTCCCTTTTTCCCCGGAGAAGAATTACAGCTGAGGATGTGTTTTGCGGGGTGGGAAGGCGGCGGGGGGAGGGTTGGCGATGGGGGTTACCTACGTGGGAGAGGGAGCTTGAAGCCAGAATTCCGGTGCGGGAACTTCCGTCCCCACATTTTTTGATGGGGGGAGCTCGCTGTTTGAGGGCAGTCCCGACCGAGCTTGTAGAGCGCCGAGGGGCCAGCGAGGCATCCACTCTATTTAAAGTTGGTATATAAAGTACGAAGGGGGAGTTCGATTGAGGATAGATATATCGTATTGGACTTCTACTACTACTATTTACGACAATGGGATTGCGGAAATAGAAGATGAGAGGACTACGTACGTTTCTCCTTACCTATACTATCACAAAGAACAAGCAGAGAGCTAACCACCCTCCCCCAGAGACAACCCTCCCCCTCCTCCTCCCCGCCCTAATCCTCCTCCACCTCCTCGCCGCTCCCTACACCAAAGTCGAAGAATCCTTCAACATCCAAGCCACACACGACATTCTCACCTACCCTCCCCCCTTCTCCCCCTCGACCTTCGCCTCCCACATCCGCTCAAACTACGACCACATCACCTTCCCCGGCGCCGTCCCTCGGACATTCATCGGCTCCCTCCTCCTCGCGCAGCTAACCCGTGCCTTCCTCCACGCCACCTCCTTCGCATACATCCGCACCTTCACCAATGCCATCCTCGGCACCCCCCTCCACTTCGCCCACTCCCAACTCCTCTTCCACACCCTCGTCACCGGCTCCGCCCAACAAACCGCCCGCTTCATCCTCGGCTCCCTAACCGCCCTCGCTCTCCTGCGATACGCGCGCGCGCTTGCAAAGGCATTCGGTCCCGGAGTGGGGAGGTGGTACATCCTCCTCCAAGCAACACAATTCCACATCCCCTTCTACGCCTCGCGCACCCTCCCCAACACCTTCGCGCTCCTCCTCACCACCGAGGCTGCGCGCGCTTTCCTCCCTGTGCCCGGGAATAATGCCGCGGGCCAGCGGAGTCAGGTGAGGAGGGGGATTTATCTGCTGGTTGCAGCGGGTGTGATTTTCCGCGCGGAAATCGCGCTGTTACTTGCTACGCAGGTGGGCTTCCTGCTTTGGACACGACGTGCGGATCTACGCACCGTCGTCCTCGCTGGGCTCCCCGCGGCAGCTTTATCAATCGCCGCATCCGTCGCCGTCGACTCAGCATTCTGGCTCCGCCCCGTCTGGCCCGAACTCGCATCCTTCATCTTCAACGCCTACCACGGCGCGTCGTCCGAATGGGGAGTTTCACCCTGGCACGCATACTTCTCCTCTTCCCTTCCCAAACTCCTCCTAAACCCGCTCGCTATCCCAATGCTAGCAGCAGCGCTGTACTTCCCCGCCACGTCGCGCGCGGCGAGGGGGCTGGTGATCCCGCAGCTGGCGTATGTGGCGCTGTATAGCGCGCAGCCGCACAAGGAGGCGCGGTTTATTATTTATGCCATACCGCCCTTGACGGCGGCCGCGGCGTTGGGGGCGTCGTATGTGTGGACGCGCCGGGCGAGGGGGGTGGTGTATAGAGTGGGCTCGCTGGCGGTGGTGGGGGGTGTGGTGGTGAGTTTCGTGGCGGCGATGGGGATGCTTCTCGTGTCTTCGCTGAACTACCCCGGCGGCGAAGCGCTGTGGGAGCTGCATCAGCGGGTGGGGATCGATAGGCAGATAGGGTTTGTGAGGGAGGGGCAGGTGGTGAGGGTGCATACGGATGTGTTGAGTTGTATGACTGGCGTGACGAGGTTCCAGGAAGCTGCGCCGAGCAAACCTTTTTGGCGGGCGGATTTCCTGAGTTATGGGGGGAATTCAGGGGTCCTGCCGGGGAAGGGGGGACGGGTGGATTGGGATATCGAGTGGGCGTATGATAAGACGGAGGATGAGGCGGCGTTGCGCGATGTGAGGTTCTGGGATCAGTTTGACTATGCGCTTGTGGAGGATCGGAGGAAGGCGCTGGGGAATTGGAGGTTGGTGGCCGTGGTGTGGGGGTTTGCGGGGGGTGTGGAGATGTTGAGGCCGGGGGAGGAGATGATGCATGGGTCGGATGAGGAGGCGTGGAAACAGGCGATGGTGCCTTGGGGGTCGTGGCGTAAGGGGGAGGTGGGCTGGGGTGTTTTGATGGAGATGGTGGGGCCTCGTGGGGGGTTGAAAGAGGTGGTAAGGAGGTTTGTCACGAGAGGGTGGTGGGTTGGGCCGAGGATGGAGCATAAGATCCATATTATGGGGCGGGTAGTAGAACCTGTGGTCGACGAGGAGTAGTTTAAGGAGGGACAAGACAGGCAAGCTAGAATAGATGGGCCATGGAAAACATGTATCATTGAATGTATAAATAACACCGCGTCAGCACCCCCCTCCGGCCCCAGCCCGTCCTCCGCCGTTTGAGTAATCTGCTACCGATTCCCCTCCGCGCTTCGTCTATCAAACCCATCCCTTTCTACGCAATTGCAGCCCTGCCAGCGCGTCTACCCGCCGCAGGGACCTGGAGAAGGGGGGGTGCCCCGCGCCCGCACCAAACAGTACCGACTCCGACCGATAAGAAACGCATGTAAAGATTGGCTGACTGGTGGCGACAAGGAGGAGGTGAGGTTTCGCTAGTATGTTGTTCGAGCAGCTCGCCGGGGAGGTTCGCGCGCGTGCCCGCTTTCCTCCCGCACCATTTTGTGTCGCTGCCTGCGGTTTGTTCGTGGTTCGAGGAGGGTGTTTATAGCTTGTTTGGCTGGGTGGAGGTGGTGGGCCATTGGTAGCCTGCGGCGTCGCTGAACTTGTAGCCGTAGGAGGAGGTGAAGTCGTCGAGGACGGCGGGGCCGCGGGAGCCTGGGTAAATCGTTAGTTGGTACATTTTTTACAAAAACAATTCAAGAACTCTTACCGTATGGGTACTCCATAGGGATGATCTCCTTGTTATCATCGAGGTAATGGAGGAGCGGGGTGAAGATTCTCCAGCTGGCATCGAGCTCATCGTCACGAACAAAGTTGGAGTGGTCGCCCTTCATGGAATCGAGGATCAGCGACTCGTAGGCCTCTGGGATCTTGAGGTCGGAGAAGCGGCGGCGGTAGGTGAGATCCAGCTCGGTCACGACCGTCTGCATGCTCAGACCAGGGAGCTTGGAGTTCATCTTGATGTACACGCTCTCATTGGGCTGGATGCGCATGACGAGCTCGTTGCGGGGGATGTCCTTGAAGATGCCGGATGTGACGTCCTTGAACTGGATTCTGATCTCCGTCTTCTGCTCGTTCAGCGCCTTTCCGGCCTTGAGGATGAAGGGCACGCCGTCCCAGCGCTCGTTCTTGATGTATGCCACCATGGCGCAGAAGGTTGGACACCTGGAGTCCTTGGGGACTGTGTCGTCTTCCTTGTAGGATGGCTTGTTTCCGTCCAGGGACTTGCCGTACTGGCCGATGATAACGTTCTTCGGCTCGATGGCTGGGATTGCTCTTAATACGCGGACCTTCTCATCTCTGATGTCCTCAGCCGAGAACGAGATTGGCCTCTCCATAGCCAGTAAAGTGAGAACTTGGAGCAAGTGGTTCTGCATGACATCGCGGATGATGCCGAACTCGTCGAAGTAGCCGCCACGTCCCTCGGTGCCGAACGGCTCCTTGAAGGAGATCTGCACGTTATCGATGTGGTTCCGGTTCCAGGTTGCGCCAAAGAACTCGTTGCCAAATCGCAGGATCAAGATGTTCTTGACCATTTCCTTTCCGAGGTAATGATCAATACGGAAGATCTCCTCCTCCTTCCAGTTCGGCTCCAGTGCTTTTTGGAGCTCTCTGGAGCTGCCAAGATCCTTTCCGAATGGCTTCTCGACCTGTAGGGCTGATATTAGTGACCATCAAATAGCACTCGGTGGTTAGCTTCCTTACAATGATTCTGGCAATACCGCTCTCAGGGTAGCAGTTCTTCTTCAAGTGCTGCGAGACGGTGGTGAAGACACTTGGGGGGAGCGCCATGTAGAACACGCGGTTCTGCTCTTTCCGGCCCTTCTCCAGCTCCTCAAGATGTTTCCTTAAGTTGACAAACGATTCGTCCTGATCATATTGGCCCGAGATATATGTGCAGATCTTAGTGAACTCCTCCAATTGCTGCTCAATATCCTTTGTCGGGGTCTTGATGTATGACTTGACCCGCTTGAGGTACTCCTCATGGTCCATCTTAGTCCTGGCATATCCGACGATTCTGATGTCTTTGGGGAGGAATTGGTTTCGGTACTAGATGGCATGAGTACAGGATCCCGTAAACTCCGGAGCTATGAGTACTCGGGGTATCTTACCAATCCAAAGAGAGCTGGGAACTGTGGAAAAGTGTCAGTATTTACAATTGAGATAGCAGTATCGCTGAAACCTACAGTCTTCTTCTTGGCCAGATCACCAGAGGCGCCCAGAACAACGATGACCGTGTTATTCTTTAACTCGATGTTGCTGTCGGGACAAGTACGTCAGTACAGATAGATACCCCACCATGGCACGGCTCGAAAAGAGAAAAGAACAGCAAAACATCAGATTGACCGCGACCGCGAATTCAATAACCTTGATTGAAAACCATATCAATCATTGTGGCCATGGGCGACAACGATGGGCGCGGCAGCGACATTTTTGCGTTGTGATTCCAGCGGTAGCTGTGACGTAGATCGGCACGAAATATCAACTCACCCAGCACCATGTGGCTCCTCTTTCTTGATGACAGTATCAGCCATTGCTCACGAGCGACAGAACGCCGTACAGGATTAAAACGAAAGTAGAATATAGATGAGGATGGTTATGAGGTAGTAATAGAGAGAAATAGGGCAGTGTTATGTGAGGTTGGTGTTGGATGTTTTGTATTTGTAGCTCTGAAGAGGGGAGGTGAGTCCTATCGAAGGGAGCTCACAAAAGAGGGTGGAGGGTGGTGGGACTATGGGACTAGAGGGTGGTATGTGCTTTGGGGTGGTGGTGGTGGTGGAGGTAGAGGTGGATGAGCTCTGGGACAAATGGTTGAGTGAAACAGCCCCGTCACCCCCGTCACCACACCCCGCCCGGCCATCAGTTAGTTGGTTCTGCCGCGGGGTTTAATTCACCATTTTCTCCGGCTGCCGGACCTCCAAGTCTCCCCCCCCCCAACTGAGGGCCATTGTCCCCCCCAATTAAGGGTCATTGTCCCCCCAAGGGCAATATTGTCCTTTTTAGAGTCCCCCCAATCAATTGCTAAGCTGAAATGTACTTTTTACAGCACCGTACAGTAAGAAATGAACTTTACATATCAACTTACATACCAACTTACATACTCCATGCTGTATGATTACAGTATCTATTGATTATCCGGCGCCTGCACAACTCTGAATCATCACCTACCAACCACCACAAACAGGCCAGTAAAGAGCCAGAAACGGCCCAGAAATTCCAACCACCTTTACTATTACGAACTAGATTTATGTATCCGTCTCTTAAGACTTTGTGACTTTGTCGCCTCAGTCAGCAAAAAAAAAAAGTCCATGGATGGGGGGCCGCATATGCACTTCGGTCGCCTTTAACGGAGTATGTATGGCCGGTTAAATGGAAATGGATCGGTCCTTCAAGACTTTCTTTGATTTTTAATTTTTGCTCGGCATGGTAGTGATATAAACAGCGATGAGCGGCCGTTTCTGGGCATACCCACACCGGTTGTTAACTCGCCTTCTCTTTCAAGTATATATACAGTGGAATGTCCGCATCTATTCTCCTTGTACTCTCCTCGCCGCTCTGTATCCGATGAGATGTATTCATGAGCTGTGCTACCACACGATCATGCCGCCTTCCCACGTTACATACTAGACTAGACGTGCATTTTGCCGCCTTTACTACATAGTACAGAGGATAGGCGCTCTAGCTCTTGAGGATAAATTTGCCCTACCTACTGTGGTGGTGCTCAAAGGCGCGCCGGCGTCGGTGCTGGTGGGGCTGGCTAACGATGCGCTCTGCGGACTCCGCGTCCTCTTGGTGAGGATGATAAAGCATGGATGTACTTACGGAGCATAAATGGGACCGTATGAAAGTAGTCGAGTACAGCTGATGCTGCTTCGGGCAATTTTCCACCGTTGCTTGAAGAAGGTTAGGTCTGTGGTTTTGCTTTTGCTGAAGCATTATGGTCACGTCGCCTTTCAACTCTACGAGCGAAGCTGCTCGTTGAATTCCCTCAAGTACGACGGCATTTTCAGGCGGATCAGACTCTCATAAACTGCCTCATGAAGACCACTTCAACTCGAATACGTAGGACCGCCCTGGCAGTAAATATGTATAACCAGCTTGACACTCTGGCTTCAGTTCTGAGCTGTGACTACTCGAGTATTTTGCTCTGTCCTCGGTCTATCTCAATACGGAGTTCCGATAAGCGATAAGACACCTCACCACAGCTAATCTCTTATCGCCCACAAACCCCGTGACCGAGCCCCAATACGCTTACCTAATCCCACTTTGAATCAGAAATTCCGAAAATCGAATCGACTCGCTAAGCGAAAAGGGTTTCGTAGCCCTCATCCCGATGTTTTCGCCTGTACGGCCGAATAGGAACAGCCCCAACCAGCCCCAATCGACGACCCCCCGACAAATCGACAATTCCGAAGACGAGTCGATCTTCAATAACATCAAAACTCCTCGATTCCACCGACTGTCGAGAAGTCCCTTCGTCAAGATGCCAACTGAAGCAGGTCACCGCCGTGAGTGCCAACCGCTTTATATCCCACTTTTTGTGACCCGTTGCAAGTCCAGGAAGCCGTCGCGATGACTTTGTCCCGCCGGGTGCGCGGGAGGTGCGTCGGGGTTTTCTGGACTGAGGGTTACAGGAGTTATACCTTTGAGAGTCTTTGCTAACGTGTCTTGTTTCTAGTATACGTCAAGTGAGTTATTACCATCCCGAATGACGAGTCTTGGGAGGAAGAAGTGGAAGTGGGACGACGATGGCACATCGCAGCAAGAGATGGAGGCAGCTGAGACGACGCACGGAGGGAGGAGAACAAGACCGACGATGGCTTGCTGGAAAATTTATGTGACAGTTACTGACGCTCTATTCCCAGGGGTCGCCACCTGAGCTACCAACGTGGCAAGCGCATCACTACCCCAGGCACCTCGCTCATCAAGATTGAGGGTGTTGAGAACACTGAGGGCGCAAAGTATGTCTCCCCGGATCCCTCTGCCAGAAAGAACGGAAGGAAGAAGACGCAATACTGACCCTCTACCCCAGCTTCTACCTCGGAAAGAAGGTCGCTTTCGTGTACCGTGCCCAGCGCGAGGTTAGAGGATCAAAGATTAGAGTTATCTGGGGCAAGATCACCCGCCCACACGGAAACTCCGGTGTAGTACGCGCACAGTTCAGACGCAACCTCCCACCAAAGTCGTTCGGTGCGTCCGTCAGAGTCATGTTGTACCCTTCCTCGATATAAAGAAAGAATTTCTGGGAAATCGGGAGTTGGTAGCATCATGGACAGGTGGTTTGTGGTTGTTATGGTATGCTGGGGATTCGGTCACTCTGCAAAATAGGGCAGGAATTCGACGCGTAGCTTTTTGCTGGTAGCCTACAATCGAAAGAATACCAACCATGAGGTTCCGCCTGACGGGAAAGATTTCATGACTACTACTGCGTGTTGCGAGTGTTCTTGTGGATGTGTGGATTGTGATACTAATAAGTGTTCTGGAGGTGGGGTTCGGGACTGTTGCATTGAGGACTGATATCTAGGTTCTATCGCTCATGGGATATCAGGTACTAAGTCATCGATCTGTCTTGGTTTCTCTGCCCACGTTCCGAGAATCACCCTGCAGCTTGCGGCTAGCACGTTGGGATCGTGGAATATCAGCTGCTCAACGATTGATCCATACCCTTCCCTACCCGTTCCGAGAATCACCCTCCAGTCACGTTGGGTTCATGGAATATCAGCTGCTCAACCGATCGATACTCTTTCTCTGGGCCATCCCAAGAATCACCTTCCAGGTTGCCAGACCTGTCATCCCAGTTGACAGGTTGGCGGCCCCCCTTGATTGGTGGCTTAGGTGTTTTGTCTGCTCCCTTTCCCAGTCTCACTTTACAGCTGCCAATATCTCATCTACCGTTGCAGGGGGAGGTAGTAAAGACTCGTCGATGAACAGCCTCTCCCCAGTCCCACTTAACAGCTGCCGACATCTCATCTACCGTTCCAAGGGGTAGCAAAGACTCTCCTCGACGAACAGCCCCTAGCCAATTGAATTCCCTTTTGCAAGAACCGCCTTGCAGTTACATATGCATGCCCGTCCTCTGTGCTAGGGTGATAGTAGGAAGGCATCTTGAATCGATTGCTATGATGATTCGTCTCCCCCTTCCTCTCATACTGCATCTGCCTGCGGTTACATATGCATATCCGTCCTTGTCAAAGGGAAAACAAAGTATATCAATTAGCTGGGATGATAATTCGTCTCCTCCCTCTTCTCATCTCGCATATATCACCCCCACCCCCCTCCTCACCTTCAGTTGATAGGATTCTCTCCACCAACCCCACAGCGCTTTCTGTGCACCTTCCTTAGTCCCACAAGCATTAAAACATACAAGTAACAAACAGCCACATGGCATTCCATATTAAATGACTACTCCAAACCGGGAAACACACCAAAGGGCGGGCTACTACTACACACGACATAAACAAGCCTTCTCATAAACGCCACCCCAACGCTGCTTGATGGGTGTTTCTGTTTCAACGAACAACACCCATTGAATAGCTCCGAGGAGATAAAAAATGCTTGTTTACCAATACCCGAGTCAACCTCTCGCCTTCTTGATGCCCATCCTCGCACAAAGGGGGGGGTTCTGTATAACGGTGCACCGCATCCAGGTGCGCAAGCGGCTATCATCACGCACTATACGCACCATAGTAGGGGTATCCTCACAGCGCCTTGTTACACCGCTCGAGGAAATGGATTGCGGGAGTGAGACATGCCAATTCATTAGGAGAAATCAAGCAATAGAGAAATAGAGAAAGCAAAGGAAAAAGAAAAGAGAGAGGCCGGGTAAAGCTTTTCCGGAACTACGAACCCATCTCCAGTAGGGAAGTGAGTTTCCATGCGGTTGAACGGTGAGAGTTTTGTTTCCTATGCGGTGAGTCGAGTCGCCTCTCCGCTGTATATGGCACGCCACAAGCCATTTTAATTAAATTCCTTTTGTTTTCCTCTTCCTGCATATTAAATAAATTAAACAATGTCTCAGAAAAACACCACGACCGCAGTTCGCTGACCAGAAATCCCCAAAAAATCCTTAAAACCTTGGAAACCGACATCCAAAAACTCCCAATCGCCCCATTGGCCACACCCCAGCCCTCCGCGACTTTCGCGTCCCTGGCCGTTTCGGGCGCGCGGCCAATCCGCATGGTGGCTGGTGCCAGAAGTACGGTGACGGTTGTATGTCTGGGAGGCGAAAACGGGACAACAGCCAGGGACAGAGACAGCAGGGTGGGGGGGGGAGGGATTTGTGGCTGATAAAAATAACTTGGGTACTTCGGGGGGCAAGTACTGGAGAGGTATGGGGTGGGAAATGGGAAATGGGAGGAAGTGAGACATGCATACCTTTAGGAAACGGAAGATTTCTAGATGTTTTTGGGCGGTGGTGGGAAGCGACAAGATGGGAGGGAGGGCTTTATGGGCGTTCCTCTGGACAGCCTTGTGGGGTGGGTGTATATCAGTGGGCCATATATATCAACTGTGGTGGAGGGGGAAATAGTGGTTTTTGACGGCACAGTGGTGTTGGTGTGAGATCTGTTATAGAAATAGAAACTGATATTCCCCACCCCATCGTGGCGACGGCCGAGAGGCCATTTTCATACCGTTGCGGCCATAATGATATCATCAAACTTAAGGATCGAACTGGATCCGACGCAGGCTCGCTGGGGATGAATGGCTGGGATTGAGGACTTGCTAGGGTGGACGACGCGCGCTGGGATGGCTGGGGCCCTGGCTGGTGGTTTGCAGGCGGTGGTGGTGGTTTTTTGTGGAGTTGGGGGGTGGGATAGGGTGGGATAGGGTGGGATAGGTGTGATAAGCATTGGATTGCTGGTGGTGAGTGGAGCGGGAGGGATGAGGGAGAGTGTTGTTCTGATGCTTGTTCGCCTGGAGATGCTGTGGTTGTACTGTGATCGTATCTTCGGGTGTGGTGCAGTTGTTGTGTCAGTGTGTCAGGTACGATGATGGCGCTTTTTTTATTTGTATGGGAGCGGGAATGGCATGGGAGTTCCTGTTGAGAGTACCTACAAGTGCCTGTGGGAGTACCTATGGGAGTACCTGATGGGAGTACCTTGGCCCAGTACCGTACCTGCTCCACACCAAGGCGGATGCGTGCAGCCCTCTGATGGCATGAAATGTGGTTTCGTAGCACAGTTACAAGACATTTAAGGTCGAGATCTAAGTCAGAAAGAGGGACTCCACCAGATGGCACGAAGATTATACTGTATTATAGCTGTCTATGCTATGCATATTATGAATATTGTGCATATTATACGCAAATACTAACAATACTTGCCTGCATCTCGCCGTCGACGGATGTATCTCCGCGTTTGGAGCGAAACATCCGTCGTCCAGACCAGACACCACACCTATCCCTTGACATGCGCCGCCCGAACACCGAAACTTTTTCGATACGAGGGACGGAGGGACGAGGCGCAGAAGGTACATCCGCTACCATACTACCATACGCTACGCTACCCAAGTGCCCCCCTCCACCGTCCACTCCACCCACCTCCTTCTCCCCCGTCGTCGTCATGCTGCCTATCATTCCCTTCCCCACCACACACCACCACACATCACCTCGCAGCGCCAGCCAGCAGGTTACTCTTAGTCCCTCCATCCCATCCCCAATGCGAATGCGCCCATAATAGGCCAGGATAGCAACACGCCCGCCTCCCTGCGAAATCTTTCCAAGAATTCCTCGAGCTTTTACATCTCTTAACAACTTCCTCCAAACATCATCGTATCGTCAAAGAATAGGGTTCCCTCGTTTTCAGATTTATCTATCGACATACCGTTACTGTTCTCATTTGATCCTTGTGTGTGTTTTCCATTTTGATCCTAGTCCGTCAACCTCATGCAATTGTTGCTTTCGATCAATTAGCCTGCGCCGCTTTCTCACTACGTCAGCACCAATCCACGTTGTCGCCCCAACCTCATTGAATATCCAAGCCTCTTTCGACACTCACACCTGTTTATTCCCCGGAATCCTCGGCGGATCAGAAGAAAAGGGACATACTTCAACACATATACGATATAGTGAAGGATTGAACGCTATCGACGACCAATTTATTTACAGGCTGTCGAATGATACCCTCTACAATTTGTTGTTGATCTAATAGTTTACTACTATTCACGCTCGTTCCACTCACACCACCGCCATATTCCACAAACAGAACGACACCGACGTCTACGTCTACGTCCCCAAAGACGAATCTACACTTCCCACGACAAATTCACGATAAGTCGCAAACATGACCCAACCGCAGCAACCCGCGTACGCGCCGCATCAGCTTCCGCCGATTCCGCCGCAACCGACCCAGGAGCAGCGCCCCCAGGCGCAACAGAGGCCGTCCATTAGGCCCAGATCGAAGTCTGGCTTCAGCATCCGGAGTCACAAGTCGCAGGATAGCTATGGGAGCACGCCAAAGGTTGAGATACAGGAGACGCCGCGCGAGAAGGCCGCGCGCAGGTTGAGTACGAAGGCAGACCCTCGTTTGGCCATGTCCGAGGCACAGCCATGTAAGTTACGAGATAAAGAGGCGCACCTGGTCGCAAAGTTGCATTTACTAACGTGCTTTAACAGCTGATATTGCCAATGACCATTCGACACGTTTGGCGTCACTGCGTGAGGTTCAACATAGAGATACATACGGCCTCCCAATCGGTTAGTTCAACCCGATGCACAATGCAACGAGGAATACATGGGCTAATTGTCAATGAAATAGCCGACCCAGATCGCTCAAACCCTACACGAAGCAGATGGGAGAGGCCGCTCGATACAATTAGATCCTTTGAGGCAGCTATAGATGGAAACTATGCCCGGAAATCAGGACGTTATGGTAAGCCCCCATTAAATTCTAAAAACTCAATTTTTACAGTTCTTTTACTGACTTCGAGTTCAGATGGGGCGACAGAATCTCGCCGCTCGAGTTACTATGGAGGTATGTCAATAAGCGGCTTTTCTTTGGGCGCGTTGCCTCGTATTCCTGCAAATGGTGCTATTTATGGTGTGGCTCATGACTGCCTATTGAGCGCATCCTCCCTTAGTTCGCAAGCCATCACTGTAAATCACGAGCAAGTGAGCAGGGTTTGTGCATTGGCCCACTCACTGTCAACCGCGGTATTTCCACAGCATGGAAAACATGCTATTTTTTTCCAGTGGAAATATTTATGGGGTTGGCAGTTGGGTGATCTCAACGCTTGTTTTAGTTGCGCATTTTATTTCTCGTGGAGTTGGTTCGGATAGGCGGCTAACAGGCGATTTTCTTATAGGATCCACTATGAACGGCATGGCACCCAGGAACCATCAAGGCAATGGTTATGGCGGACGCCAGTCTTACCGAAACGATGGGTATGCATATGGCAATGGGTCTAGGCCCGACAGCTACTACAACAATAACAGTAACAATGGTTACTTCCCAAACCGCTCACGTTACCCTCGCAACGACTCGGAGCCGGCCCTGAACACCATGGCTGGAGTCTACCCGCTAAATGGCAACGCGCAATCATATGAGACTGTAACCACCGCTGCCGGAAGTGGCAGTTCTGCGGAGCCTCTTGGTTACAGCACCGATCCAAGCAGCGACAACAGCTCATTTGACAGAGTCGCGCCGATCTCAAAGGCTGACTACGGTAACAACTCTCCGTCAAACGGACAGTATGGTTATCAAAGCAGCCAGCAGCAATACCCAGTTGGAGGCGTCCAACAGGGCTACCAGGCAGCCGGATACCCATCTCAGAACAGCGGACCCCTACCGCCGGTCAAGGACAGAGCCCCCCCGCGCGTCCCGATCAAGCTGGGTAAATCCGCGCCCGGTGAACCGACGCCGCAATACGATCTCCCCAAAGCCGCGCCGGACAAGCGCAAGAGCTGGTTCTCGAAGCGATTTAGCAAATCGTAGAGGATCCGATCTTAACATGCTTTAGGGTGGAGTTTGTTTTTCTTTTCTTATGGTAATGGCTTTATGTGAAAAATACGGGGGGTTGCAAATGAAGATTGGGACTTTAGCTGGGGGCTGGAAAGTTTTTTTTTTTTTTTTTTCTGCGACTTGGATTCGTCAAACGGCGTTTCGGGGGATATTCTTTGTATTAGAATATAGGGCGGCTTGCTTTTCACTGGAGGGGGAGCTTATAGGAAAGGGGGGGTGGGGGGGTCGGCAGCGACTTTGCTGCCAAAAGGGATAGCACGAACCACGGCTACTACTATCACTGGTAATTCAGTCTTCTTTCACGGGCAACAACAGCGGGAAATTTGCAAGCGGGAATGGGATGATATAAACAGGGAAGAAACACGCTTGTCTAGCATCAGTATTTGATTATAACTTCTGATTATGTTTTTTGCTCTTTTTTTGAAACATAAAACAAATAGCGAGGCTCAGATTGATAAAATGGGGGTTTTTTTTATAATAATACACAAAAATTCCCTTTTCAGTTTCTGCCTTACAAGTAAACGCCTGAACCATGCACATACTGTCGTAGAGAAGAATTCCAAAGCTGAACGCACCACTCAGCGCCCTTTCCTCTCCCGCTCGGCCGCCTCGATGGCCTCGCTCTGGTCCTCTCGCATAGCTACGATGATGTAGCCCACCAGCACCACGTTAGCCATGATCGCTGCCGTAGCGCCTGCGAACGTCGAGTTGCCTAGTACCGTTAACCCAAGCCCTTTCACACACTTACATACTCCAAAATGAACAATAATAGGACCCTTTCGGGGAACTTCAAACGTGACAAGGGGCAGGTGGGGGAAACGCACCAGAGAACACCAAATCCAGAGTCAGGAAGTAGGAGCCGATTGGCACGACGACCATGGCGAAGGTGAAGGCGAGGAGCTTGACGATGACATGCCTGGTGCTTGGTTAGGGACTGGTCCTGCGTGTAGGAAGTGATACCCTGGATGGGGTGGTAGGAGAGGGGGGGGACCCACATGGGCACAGCAGGAGCAGTAATAGACGGCTGTCCCAGCGGCTGTTTGAAATCCTCAGCTAGGGTCTTCTCCCCCGTTGCTGGGACGGCATTAGAGCGTCGTGTCGCCATTATATCTATCAAGATCTCGATATTGGAATTGATCTTAGTTGGTTGACATGCAAGGTGGTGAAGAGGGCCTGTGATAAGGCTAGGCTGCGACGTAAACGAGGCTGCTGCTTGCTGCTAAACTCGCGTGGCGTAGCGTGACGACGGCCTTAACTTAGTCCGCTGACTGCGCGTCCCGGTCGCGTAGAGTGGATGGAGCGCGTTAGGACAGGACAGACGGACGGGCCGGTTTTACTTAGCGCGGGTTTTCTGGCAGAGGCGAATTATCGCGATAGTGGGCAACGCTGGTGTGGTTCAGGGTCGTTTTTTTGGTTTTTTGGGGAAAAAGATTCACGCCTTCGTTGCGCTGCCCACGGTCTTTTGATTAAAGAGAGGAAAGGCTGCTAAAGGGGGATTTGTTTGAGCTGTACTTGAGACTGGATTAAAGGGGTTTGTGGGGGGACTGCGAGAGGGTTTTTTTTTGTGAGACTTTGTTTCGCTGGGAGGATTAACAGGACCTGCGTGGTGAGTTACTTGATCTTGCGCCCCCTTAACGTTAATTCTTTCCTTTTGCTACTCTACCTTCCACCCTCACCGCCGCAACCATGGCTCGAGCCACGGAGAACCAGACGCGACAGGGCACTCTAACTAACTACGTGAAGCACCGCCCCGATCGAATCCAATCCTCTCGACCACCACCATACCCGCTGCCAACCATGGCGTTCCCCAACGTCACCTCCAGGGACCCGCCATCCGTCCCAGACTCCCCAGCAGCGAAGCGTCAGAAGACAGCAGGGGGATACCAAGGCAACGGGTATAATTCCGCTGACGACAGTGGCGATGATCTCTTCGAGGGGATCGTGCCGGAGTCGAAGCACTTCACGCAGCCAACGCAGATTATCGACACCTCGGCGCCGGGGTTCAATCTAGCCGGCACCACCAGGGAAGAAGTTCTCGTGCCTGCTTCTTCGCCGTTTGCAGGGAACTCGAGGAGTAGCCCGCCATCGCAGGTTGCACCGGGGCGCATTGCGTCGTTGATGGCGCCCGCGGGAACTGCGTTTAAGGTGCCGAATGGTGTGCAGAAGGAGCCTACGAAGACGAAGGTCATTGACCTCGACGAGAACGATGGGCCGACGTACCAGGGCGGGAGTTCGGATGACGAGATCCAGGATTCGGCGGCGGATATTAAGCCGTCTATCTTTAAGGCGAGGAGCAAGATTACTTTTGGTAGCCCGTTGGGTTCTAGTGGTCCTAGTTTCAGGGATCTGATATCGACGTTCAAGCCGCCGGTGTCGACGACGGCGATGTTTGAGAGGGAGGGGTCGGTGAATGGGATTAAGCGGAAGACGCCGATGCAGAGCGGACCGGCGAGGGCGCTGCCGACGGGGACGGATTATGGGATGGATGATATTCATGATCTTGTGCTGAAACGGAAAGTCGAGCGGGTCCTGAAAGTCGCTCCCCAGGCCAAGATCTACCAGATTGTGGATTGCATTATCAAGTGCCATGGGAGAGTTGACGATGCAACTGTTATGGTCTTCGATATTCTGGATGTCATTGAAATCAACTCCGACGACGATGAGAGCAAGAAGGGTGTTGCGAAACCGAAGGCTCAGCCGGTGGTCGAGGCGGTGGAGCCGCAGATGAGGCGTCAGCTTAAACAGCCTATTGCTTCTATCCAGGAGAGGTATTCGTCAACGCAGTACCAGAAGAAGGTCCCGCTTGTGCCAGCTTCACCAGTTGCTGTAACGCCCCCGAAGCCGAAGAGGAAGTTGATGCAGGGGCGTCGAAACCCGGATCCGTCGTCTCCAATGGGGCCGCCTGAGCCGTCACCGAAGAAACAGGTCCCGGAGAAAATACAAGAGGTTGAAGAGATTATCCTCTCCGATGCTGAAGACTACGATTCTGATGCTGCGTCGGAGGAGGAGGATAACCCTGAGCTGGAAGGTCGCGTCCTGAGCTTCTTGAACAAGTGCAGCAAGGGGGACCTCATCGATTTGGCAAATATCAAGCCCGACGTCGCGGAATTCTTCCTATCAAAGCGTCCGTTTGGGAACTTGGATAGTGCTAGGGAAGTTTCCAATGCAAAGGAAACGAAGACCGGAAAGCAAAGCGCTAGGGCTCCTATTGGTGATCGAATTGTCGACACCTCGATGAGCATGATGTCTGGATACGAAGCTGTCGATGCGCTTGTTGCTACGTGCTCGGAACTGGGCAAGCCCCTTACTGAGGAGATGACTAGATGGGGCTTTGATGTCAATGGTGCTGCGAAGGGAGGTGAACTAGAAATGGTCTCGCTGGAGGAGGATCTCCATGACTCGGGTCTGGGGACACCGAGCAGCAAGTCGACGTCGGAAGTTGGTGATGACGACGTTAGGGCCGTGTCGAAGAAGGGGAAGAATAAGTTCCTGAAGAAGCCGGAGAAGATGGCTAGTACTCTTGTCTTGAAGGACTACCAGCTTGTGGGTTTGAATTGGTTGGCGCTTCTGTACAAGTACAAGCTGAGTTGTATTTTGGCAGACGATATGGGGCTGGGTAGGCTATTCTGATATCCTCTAATAGTATTCCTACTAACAGTGAATAGGGAAAACCTGCCAGGTCATCGCCTTTTTGTCACATCTTGCTGAGACCGGGGAGACTGGCCCCCATCTGGTCATCGTCCCACCGTCAACGCTGGAGAACTGGCTGCGAGAATTTGCAAACTTCGCACCCGAGCTGGTTGTCGAGCCTTACTATGGCAGCCAAAAAGAGCGCCAGGATATCGCAGAACGCATCCTTGATGCTCGTGATGAAGTCAATGTCGTTGTCTCCACATACGAGTTTGCTGCCAAAAAAGAGGACAACAAATTCATGCGGAGGTTGAAGCCGAATGCATGTGTTTACGACGAGGGCCACGTTTTGAAGAATCCAAAGTCTTTGAAGTACCAGGGGTTGATCAAGATTCCAGCCCAGTTCAGGCTCCTGCTCACCGGCACGCCGTTACAGAACAACCTTATGGAGCTTGCAGCTTTGCTCGGCTTTATCCTACCAGATATTTTCCGCGAGCGTCAAGAAGATCTAGAGTTCATCTTCAAACACAAAGCATCCACCCGCGACTCAGACCACGCGGCACTTCTCTCAGCCCAGCGAATCACCCGCGCCAAATCGATGCTTACCCCCTTCGTCCTCCGGCGCAAGAAGGCCCAAGTGCTGAAGCACATGCCCGCCAAGATCTGCAAAGTGGAATACTGCGAAATGCACTCCTCGCAAGCTGAAATCTACAACGGACTCCGCGGCCGCGCCCGTGAGCGCGCCCAGCTCCGACTCTCAGGTGGCAAAGTGCCCAATGATGGGGAGAACAACCCGCTCATGCAGCTGCGCAAGGCGGCCATCCATCCCATGCTCTTCCGCCGCCACTTCACCGACGACAAACTCGAGAAGATGGTAGATCTACTGAGGAGACACGAGCCGGATGAGTTCAGCCAGCCGCGAGACAAGATCTTGATGGAGATGAAGCTTCTGCAGGATTACTACCTACACACCTGGTGTCTACGATACCCCTGCATCAAGAAATTCGACACCCCCGACCTGACCTGGATGAACAGCGGTAAAGTCGACGCCATCGTCCGCCTCGTCAAGCAGTACAAAGCGAACGGCGACCGCGTCCTCGTCTTCTCGCAGTTCACGCTGGTGCTTGACATCATCGAGGCAGTTTTCCAGACTGAACTCATCCAGCATACCCGCTTTGACGGCGCTACAAAGGTCAACGAGAGGCAGACCCTCATCGATGACTTCCGCGACGACGAAACTATCACTGCTTTCCTCCTCAGCACTGGTGCAGGCGGAACAGGCGTCAATCTGATGTACGCTAACAAAGTCATCATCTTTGACAGCTCCTTCAATCCTCAGGATGACATCCAGGCTGAGAATCGCGCGCATCGCGTGGGCCAGACGAGGGAGGTGGAGGTGGTGAGGTTGGTTACCAAGGGCACGATCGAGGAGCAGATATATGCTCTTGGGCAGAGCAAGTTGGAGCTTGATAATAAGGTGTCCGGGGAGGAGGATATGGAGATGAAGGGGGAGCAGATGGTGGCGAGGATGCTGTTGCAGGAGGATGGCCAGGCTACGCCTACTAGTAACGCTGAGGCTTAGACTGCGGTCGGCGTGTTATGAAGAGAAGGGGGGTTGGTAGATTTTGGGGTGGGTTAAAGGGGCATCATGAGCAAAGCGGGTTGGTTGGTGCCCTCATGTTCTTGGACGGTTATGTCTACTGGCTTTATCCTGAATGGCTATAGATATAGATATAGATTCAAGCGCTCCTGCATAGATACAGATAATAGAAGAATAGAGCCTGTATGGCTATCGATCATATCTCACTCCACAGTATAAACCAGTGACGATGATGTGTCTAATGGATCAGCGAGAGATCCTATAATATGAGATTTGCTTCCTTGTCCTACAAACTCCACGCACGTATCTACGGGTGTATACAATTTCTTCCCTCTCTCCATCCATCCATCCATCCATCCAAAAGCTCAATCTCTTGACCATTCATTCGCCATGTATCGAAAGCAAAACGCCATCGCTCCCCACGAAGTATATATATATCCCCCCGTACCCACTCTTCGAGCCTACAACCCCCCCTCCTTCCTCCACTTATTCCACAAGCTTATTTCCCCTCATACCGCCCCCAACTCTCCGCAGCTGCCCACCGAACAAGACTCTCCGCGCCCACGGCATCACCACTCCTCAACAACGCTGCAACATCCACATTCAGCGGGCTGTCCACCCCGGGGTTCGCGAGCATGAGTGCTACGGCCTCGACCGTCTTCTCGAGGGTGTAGGCTGGGGACCAATTATCCTTCAGGAGATCAAGGCAGACTTCGCCAGTCTATCATCAATTAGCCGCCATCCCTCCCACCCCCTCCCTCACACGCACTCCCAAACAGAGCAGCGATGAGACAAATATGGTGTACATACCTCAAAATCAACATTACTCCCCACAACCCTCGTCCTAAACCTCACCTTCGGCGGCGCATTCGGATACTGCTCCGGCACCTCAATCTCCAACAACCACCTCCCATCCTCATACCCCCCCCCCAACCCCCTCCCCTTAACAACCGCCTCCCACTTAAACAAATCATCCGTATCAACCGGTTCGAGGCGCTCTATGGCGCTGCCATCGCTCGCGGGGCGGGCGCCGAGAGATTGCAGCGCCGAGAGCTCGGCGTGCAGACGCTTGAGGGGGGAGCGGGAGGGAGGGGACATGGTGGTGCGGGCGGTGTGGAAGGAGATGTTGCTTGCTGCTTTGGAGGAGGGCGGCATGGGTTTTGAAGTTGGTGTGTTTGGTGGAGGTGGGATTGGGGATTTGAGGTGTTGGTGATGGTGGTTGGAGAGTTGGTTTTCATGTGAGGCGTGAGTGTTGGCGGTTGGAGCTGGCCCGAGGCTGGAGTGGCGGAGCTTACCGAGCTGCGAGGCTGACAGGAGGGTGACGGTTGGTGCCGCGGCATGTGTATGGGATGGGATTATCACTATTCACGACATATTTTGGTCACTGATCTGGACGGTTGATTTTTACACATGTAAAGTATCATTGTTATGCACACTCGCTCTACAGATATAACATGAAGAGAGGATCTTATTTATAGGCCCTTTCGCCTCCCCCCTCTCAGTAATGCACAAAAAATCTAATGATTTAAAAAAGGAAGTAACGCCATGATACCAGGAACCAGGGAAACAGGGAACACAAAAACACAATTCCGCAGGAGCTCGTTATGAAAGTCGTTTTATATCCATATTCCGGAAAGTTGGAATTGTTTGTTTAAAAATCGAGAAAAGTGTCGATTTCTTCAGTGTTGTTGATGCTTCAAAGTCGCACGCACGCTTGCTTTGCTCGCTCGTGTTGTTTTGCAAATATGTAGTGTAGTGGTGAGGGTTTTCGCATAATTAGTGAGCAAAAAACGAATCCTCCACTCTCTCTCTCTTCCTTCACTCAATGCTCATGCGTCTGAGGATTCCGACTTGCTCGGTTTCCAAAACTGCATCATGCGGCTAATACGCTTCCCCTTGCTCTCCTTCTTCGACTCTGGGAAGTCATCAGCGCTCTCTTCAATGGAGAGCTTGCTCTTCTCTCCGTGCGAGCTGAGGAGGCGCGAGAGACTAGCAATGCTAGACCGCTTGCGGTTCACAGTCGGGTTGGAAAGCGAGGCAGACCGCTGTCCGTTGCGGAACTGAGGGTTTCCGAAGCCAGGGTTCATCATGCTCTCTCGAGTCATGGTGGAGTTGCTGCTCGTCAAGGATGGGACCTCGTCCACAGACATGCGAATCTCAGGGCCGGGTTCTCCAAGCCAGAGGGGGTTGAAGCCTGGCTCATCGAGAATAGAGGATGGGGCGGTCGACATTCTGCGGGCGTCGTAGGAAACGGGCGAACGCGGAGATGGGAACGGCGATTGGAAGATCGAATTGGGTGTGGTTGGTGTGAGATATGGCGGTTGGATAGAGTATGGCTGGATATCCATTGGCGCGAGATCTTTGGAAGCAACCGCTCGGAATGGTGGCGTAGAGGTGCTAGACGATTTTGAGCTCGAAATCGGCCTCGTGATGATCGTGTCATCTCCAATCCTTGGAGGAGGGTTGAGGTCCTCCATTGTAAATGTCTCCCTCAATGGGCTTACGGACCGGGCAGAATTCATGCTCGATGCAGTTTGCAAGCCTTCGCCCTCGCTCAAAGCGCTGGTCTTTCTCTTCAGGCCTCGTTGAGAATTGCTGCCTTGGTCCAAAGTCCAGTCCATGACGTTATCGTGACCGCTCTCTGCATCAACAACCTTAATCTCAATGCCAAGACCAGAGGATTCATCATCATCGGGCCTGATTGTAGATCCCTTGTGTGACACAGTTTTGACCTCTTCCCAGTCTTCATCCTCTTCATCTTCCTCGAACACGTCCTCCATAGTAGAGCTACTACCAATATGGTGAAGACCAAAGCGTGGGTTCTCAAATGCAACCATCTCAGGAGCACTTTCAGTGCGTCTGTGGTAGTGCAGGCCTGGCCCCTTGAAGCCGGTCATGCCGGCAGCGCTGTGCATTCTTCTCTTGGTTTGGCCAAAAGACTTCTGTGATGACTCCCATTCCAGGTCATGGCTAGTTGGAGTATTGAAAGGGCCAAGAGCAGCATCGAGATCTATGATTGGGCTCATAGTCTCGTCATCTTGTGGAGCGACATGTCTTGGTCTCCAATTGGCGAAGTTGGTTTGAGTGCTTGGAGCGGTTTCTTGAAGAGTAACTTTGTCTGGTGTCTGTTCCGGAATCTCAGTCTGGGATGGAAGGGCATACTCCGTTGTATCGTAGGTAGCAGGCTCATAATTTCGCAGAGGAGGTGTAGGGGATTTTCTACTAAGCCCCTTGTGTTTGGAGCTTCGGGGCTTCCCTTTGCGCGATAGGATAGAACCGGCCCAAGATTTGACTTTCTTCTGTTTCTTGCTGGGCTTCCTGGTCATTGAAGTTTTGCGAGTGACTGGGGGCATTCCCTCAGTGGGGTCTGCGTCCTTATGTGCAGGCTGAAGCTTCTTTGGTGAAGGAGCAGGGCTACTGAACTTCTCCCGTGTCTTGTCAGATGACGAGGCACTGACTGGGCGCGATTGGTTTGGAGACACATCACTAAGGGGATCGTCATGCTGGTTGAAGAAGAAATACCGTTTTGCGGCAGTTCGCGGCGTAAGAGGCAAGTCCTCGCCGTTTGCTTCCTCCGACATAGAGGGGTCGGAGTTCCTTCTCCTAATTGCCCCGGTCTCTTCCAAGAAGCGGCCTTGGCTTGATGCACCAAGAACTGGTCCGGCTGTACTCGGACGATGCTCGTCTGGTTTGCGGCTTGTAGCTGGGCTTGGGAGACCACGCTGTTGGTCCTTTGATGGCGGGCTCGCGGCTGCGAGGGAGATGACCGAGGAGAGACTGCCAGTGGCCGAATGGCCTTGGCGCACTGTCATAGTGCTCGAAGCATCGCTTGAGACTAGGGACAGAGGGCGGGGTATAAACTCGATATTATCAGAGAAGCCCACTCTGGTTGTCTTTGGGAGGCGTGTTGTGGTCGCCGCTGGGATTGGCGGTGTCGTGACCGTATCGGATACTTTCGCATTTTCCAATCCGGATTGTATAGCGTTGTCCAGGGAGGTCGCCAACGCTGCATCGGATTGTGCCTCCGAAGGGCTAGTTGGGGCGCTACCACCGAGAGGAGCAGCAGCCGGCATTTGCGGTTTCATGATTGCGGACAGATCGTGGCATGAAATGGCTGCAGATCGTCTGTGAGCATGGCCTCGTCTGCCACCAGGAGGGCCAGAAGGCACGCTTGGGTTAGGTGGGGGGAGGTGCCCTTCTGTTTTTGTTGGGCTTGTGCTGAGAAGACTGCCCGCTCCGGTCTTGCCGTCACCCCCGATGAACTCACTACCTCCTCTTCTGTGCCCAGCTGGCCTTGAAGGTATTGGTCTGCCACCCGTAGGTGACATCGGTGACAGTGGGGGGCTGTAGATGCCTGAGTCCAGTGTTGCAGCAGCTGTTGGGTTGAACGAGAAGCTTGGGAGAGGTGGGGGTGCAGACCGGCCTCCACCAAGCTGAAAGTCCTGGTTGAGTCCTGACTGCTTGGGGAGGTCGTATGCGGATTGAGGTCTACGCCCAGCACGAGAGAAGGATGATGGTGTAGATGCTGGACGGGCGGGGAAGACGAATGGAGGGTTCGGAAGAGGTCCGTCGGTGCTCAGGTTGTCATCCAGAGGGAAGACTGGCGACCGAGGAGAGTTTGAGGTTTCGGCGTACATGCTGTAAGATGTTTGCCCGTCTTCGTTGCTGAAGGAAATGCTGGGGTGTGATCCATGGTTGCTGGAGGTGATGGTCGCCATGCTTCTCACAGCCGCACGGCGGCCAAAGTATGCACTACAGCTAAGATGATATCATTAGGTTCCCGAGAATGTTGAATGGAGTCGTAATTGCTGAGGTATTCTGTGGGTATGTTGTCGCTGGAAGTGCAGTTCGATATCCTTGATCGTTGGTGTTGGAAGTTGAGCAGGGACCGAATACCCGGAGACAAACTAAACAACTGTCAGTGCCGGAACATAGATTGCTTTTCAAGCTTATAATAACAGATGGGCATTGGACGGTCGGTATGCATAAGATTCAAGTTCTTACCTGAAGCTTTGTAAGGCTCCGTAGAGACGTCGTCAATGCCGGTGTCTCAAGAGCGCGAATCTTTGATGCGAAGGTCCTTTCGGTGCGAAGGTGGAATGCTGGTGAATTTGGTAGGTTCGCTGTGCGAACAAACGGAGAGATGTAAAGGAGCGGACGGTCCCGTTGGACCAGAGAAGAGCGTCGTGATAGACGGGAGTTGTTGATGGAAAGAAGTCGGAGATTGTAAAAGTGAGGTGAAGTTTGGAGGTTTCGGATCTCGAGAATCGAGGTAAGATTGTTTGTGTTGTTGTTTGGTGGTCGTGGATTGGGTGCGGAGAAAGAGGTAAAGGTACGGGTACGACGCTACAGTGAGAAGGAAGAGGGAAAGAGAGTATAGGCGTAGTCCACTGCTACTATACCAGTCAGTCCACACACCACCACACTCCCACGCTACATCTACGATCGAAAGGGTAAGAGTAACTAGTAGCGTGGGGGGGAGGAGACGGAGGAGACGGAGGAGACGTAAAGTATAGTGCTATGTACTCTATATCACCAGTACTACCAGTATTACCAGTATTACAAGCGGTAGCAGAATAAGATAAGTACGGTACCATACGGCAATACTGACTGTACCGCACAACATATGCTCTAATTGAGGAAAGTGGGCGTATTCTCACACGGCGTGTCCGAACACAGGCAGAAATTCGATGTTTGAGACGGGCTGAGATGAGGGATGAGATGCGGGATGAAGGGGGCCGGCGGATAACCTCAGCACGCAAGAATACTCGTATTACTACTCTATACATAGAGATTCAACATAACATAACATACATACACACAGACATAATAAACAACACATACTACTATAATATGATCCGTGCAGAGCCGAACTTTGTCTATTTTACCTGTTTAATAGACTCTCCGGGGAGCAAGGTCGGCGGTACTATAGGGAGAAAGGCAGTAAGGATCACGATAACTCAGAGTCCCGTCAGTCCAGTCAGTGCCTGTAGTTTCCTATGTGCGAGTAATTGTCCATCAGACTGTATCTGTGTTAGAAGTGAACACTAGAAGTACATCCAAATGCATACAAACGCCACGCAAGGCAGAGGTACATTTAGAAGACTCCACTACTGCTTCTACCTCCGTACTCTTGCAGGATCGCCTCGTATCTACAACTTCTACAACTTCTACAACTTTGATGTACCTGAAAAGGCCCTGTCGAGGGGGAGGGAACAAGATTAGATTGGCTATACCTTAATCCACTAGCCCATATTGGGCAAGGTAGGAAGCACTTGGCAGGCGGAGTAATTGGAAGTTCGAATTGTGGTGTGCAGGTTTGGTGGAGGTTAGGACCAGCTTAGCGTCAAAAACCCACGCTATAGCATGTTCAAGTGGCTGACGCTAAACTGTTTCCGTCCGCCCAACGCTCAATTTACCACGCATCCCATTAACTTCCCAATTTGCGGATGCTTAGCCGTCATTTCCTTCAACAGAGTCGTGTATACGTGTCTCATTTCAGCGCAAGAAAAGATTTAAATTTCGAAAGTGCATACATGCATACTGACAAGTGTAATACACGGAAGGTGGGCTATAATCTGTGAGTACTTAATACCCCCAAATCTACTTTAATAACACCGTGAACACCGTGAACACCCCCGCTAACACCAATCCAGCGCTACTCTAATATGAGGATGGGGTTAAGGATGGGGAAAAGTGATCCGTTCCTCGTCAATCTCTTCCCCATTGAAATAAGGCAACGCCGCACGAACAGTTTTGCCTCTCACATTCGCCCGAGATAAAGATGGTCGAGATCTGCGGCAGATGAGCGACAGTGGAGAGAGCGAGTGGAGCGATGACAAGTACACCAATTTTGGAGATTACGGTATGACGAAATTACCACCACGTACTTCGGCTCAGCTGGGCAAAACTCAGCCTTTTTTGATTGTGGAGGATGAAACAACTGGGGATGAAGTGGCAAACGAACCATAAAACCAGTATCCTATCAAGCTACTCCTCCCATACGATCTATATGCCGTATACGTGGTACTCTATTTCTAGTTGCAGTGCAAATCGTTCAATTAATGGAGATCTCATATGGAGCAGATCTCAATTTCAGTAAGGTAGCACAACAGTAAAGTTATGGAGAATTGATTAGATTGGTAGCCTGGTTGAAACATCGCGGGTGCCAAGACCTCTGTGTCTAAAGGGACGGAATATCGTTAATCCAACCCCGCCTTTCACGTCACGTAGGTTACGTCCTAGCTCCACGAGGCTGCGACTGGCCCTCAAACACACCGTATCCGACAATCCGTATGTAGAGCTCACCATGGCTCTTCATGCTGGGTTCTCCGTTGATGCGATCGCCGATAAGTCTCGACGGGACTTGTTGGCGCTGCTTGAGGGTGTAAGTAAACCCAGCAAGATCACGATGCTAGCCGTGCTAACCCTCGACAGGTACGAGGCAAGAAGAACCTTGTCTTAGAGCGAGACCTCGCCGGGCCCATTGGCTTGTTTGTGAAGTTCTCAACTTTACAAGACTATGGAGTCGACAAGGTTTTCTTCTTGGAGAACGGAAATGCAGACACAAGCCAGCAGAATGTGGTATTCATTGCCAGGGGAGAGAGTGCGAGGAACACCAAGGTGATTGCGGGTATGTACGTTACGGTACTGTCCATGCCAGACTCCCGTGATATTAAACTTTTCTAGATCACATCAAACGCATCCAGCGTGAAACGCAGACAGGTCATGAGTTTTCTATATTCTGGGTACCTCGCCGAACACTGGTATCCGATAAGATCCTAGAGGATGCGGGCGTCTTGGGGGATGTGAACATTTTCGAACTGCCACTATACTTCGTATCCCTCGAGAAGGATCTCTTGTCTTTAGAACTCAATGACTCCTTCGGCGACTTGTATCTCAGAAAAGACCCAACGCCGACATTTCTCATGGCCAAGGCGCTCATGCTGATACAACAGAATCATGGCCTTTTCCCAAGAATTACTGGCAAGGGCGACAATGCGAAGCGGTTAGCAGATCTCCTAACTCGAATGAGGCAGGAAGCTATTGCTGGAGAAGAGGGCAACGACAATAAATTTACAATGAGCCCAAGTACTACAATCGAAAGCTTAATTGTCATCGATCGGGAGGTAGACTACGCAACGCCATTGCTCACCCAGCTTACATATGAAGGCTTGATAGACGAAGTTGTTGGGATACAGAACAACCAGGCCGAAATAGATTCCTCGATCGTTGGTGCAGCTCCTCAACCGGCTCAAGGGTCGGCAAAGAGTATCGGCACGTCAGTACCACAGGGGAAAACACGGAAGATCCAGCTCGATTCATCCGACAAGCTCTATGTTCCATTACGAGATACGAATTTTGCAGTAGTCGGTGGTTTACTTAACAAAGTGGCTCGACGATTAAAAAACGACTACGATAGCAGACATGGGAACAAGACCACGGCAGAACTGCGAGAGTTTGTGAACAATCTCAAAGGCTACCAAGCTGAACAGCAAAGCCTGAAGATCCACACCGGTCTTGCCGAAGAGATAATGAAACATACCCGGACAACTCAGTTTAGTCAACTGCTAGAAATCCAACAAAATCTGGCGGCCGGCGCAGATCCGTCATCACAACACGAGGCGATCGAGGAATTGATTTCTCGCGATGCCCCTCTTACCGAGATTCTTCGACTCCTTTGCCTCGAGTCTTGTATTTCCGGAGGGATTAAGCCGAAGGAGCTGGAGAACTTCAAGCGCCTCATACTCCAAGCGTACGGGTACCAGCATATCCTGACGTTGGACGCGCTCGAGAAACTCCACCTGCTGTTGTCACGCTCTTCCCCTACAGCCCTAATGATCCCGATGCCTGGAACCGGTGTCAGCACTGGAACCAAAACGAACTACACCTTTCTGCGAAAGCAACTACGTCTCATCGTTGACGAGGTCAACGAACAAGATCCAAACGATATCGCGTATGTGTACAGTGGCTACGCACCCTTATCTGTCCGACTTGTTCAATGCATACTCCAAAAGCAATACCTGTTATCATTCACTCGCGGTTCCGCCGCCCCCGGCAATGCCAACGCCAACGCTGGCGGCGGTGGCGGGCAAGGCTGGAGAGGGTTTGATGAGGCTGTAAAGCATGCAAGAGGTGCAACATTTGATGAGATACAGAAGGGAGAAGACAAAGCCGTGAAGGCAAGATCACTATTGACGAACAGTGGCGAGAGAAAGACTGTTATTATTGTCTTCTTGGGTGGCATAACATATACTGAGATCGCGGCGTTGAGGTTCATCGCCAAGAAGGAAGAAGGTAAGGATAAGTGCTTTAACATCAGGTTACACTGGCTAACAGCGCATAGAACGGAAGAATATAATCATCTGTACGACCTCGATCATAAACGGAAACAGGATGATGGATACTGCGATTGAGAAGGGAGATTTTGCGAACGCTGCTAGCCAGAGTTGAAACTGGTCGTATTTAGAATGAAGGCAGAATCATATTATTGTGCACATTAGCGTAGACGATATCCAATACGACAAATAAACTACATTGGCCGAGTAAATGATAATTTCGCTGGCTCATGGATGACCTGACGTTGAATCGAGGTCTCGGTAAGGGCACTAGTGATCACGTGCATGGGATGAACCAGTTCCCGTAAGAGCCATAATTCTCCTCATCTCCATATGAATATAAGAGCGCCGTATCTCCAAGTCAGCCGACGCAGCCCTAGCATTATCTCTCTTTATAATAGTGCAATTGTATGATACAAACCGAGTACTTTCTAATTGCCGCAGCCGATAATACCGACCTTGGTTCTGGGGTTAGGGAGACATATACGAACTTGCGACAAGCAGGCCACCCAATGAATTGGTATATATATCGTGATATTAGACTGACCTAGACCGTTTGCTAACAAATATACAGGAAGTCAACGGGTAATTAGCTTTGCAATATATCCGATGTCAGCCTAGGCGATATTTCATGGATGAGGTTATAAATGAGAGGAGTGTCCTGTAGTACGGCAAAATCCACATATCCCGAACGAAGACGACGTCGTCAAAAAGCGGCCCTTGCACCCCATCGTTAAATAAGGGCTCAAACAGCCAACAGTCAAGAATGTCACTCACAATCGATGCTCAGGTGCAGCTCACCGACGATTTTGGCCAGGATACCTTAATGGGACTACAAGAGCTGGATTCTCAGCTGGCTATATTCGAAGAATCAGCAGACCTGTCTACCGAGGTCTTGGCTGCTACGGCATCAGATATAACAATGGATATTCCACTTAGCGTTGGGGATGCTAAGGCAATGGCTCAGTTAGAAGAGAGCGATATCTCAAGAACCTTCCCGAAGAGTGATAATGCAGCGCTACCTTCTAGCACGGGAGCATGGAGCCTCAAAGCCAATGGCAACCTACTGTATGTATTAACCTTTTTATGACGCGTCTTCTAAGACTTGGAGCATTGAAATATTAACATTAACTCTTGCCAAGGCCATCGAAACATTTGCAAACCTTGTCAGGTGCTGATGGAGATGCCAAGTCGAATGAGTCGCGCTCCTCAATGGCATCATCTATGGCAACAGAAACACCTGATGGCTCATCTTCTCTTTCATCGATATCAAGTCAAACTGCATTGTCTGATCATGATGGCCTTCAGAAGAATGAATTATCACAAGAGCCGACAAGGAAACGAGTCAAATACGATGTCCGCCCGAAATCTTCCATACCTATAGACATTCACATATCAGAATATGCGCGTCAGTGTATTGCTGCGGCAGAATCATCACGGCTTAATCCATATGCCCTACATACCGAGGAGTACGAACTCCTAAGGACACACCTCAGCCATACCCAGGTGACGACGTACCTGAACATCCGAAATGCAATTCTCCGATTGTGGATAAGGAATCCCCTAGTCCGCGTCCTGCAGGATGAGGCAATTGGCTGTGCAAGGGATGCACGCTGGTTTGACGTAGCAAACATCTGCTATGAGTGGCTTGTTCGTCAAGGCTACATCAACTATGGATGTCTTGACAATATCGAACCCCGCGTACCAGCATCGAAACAACGCCCTGGAAAGCGACCACGCAAGACAATTGCCGTGATTGGAGCTGGGATGTCCGGTTTGGGCTGTGCTAGACAGCTAGAAGGTTTATTTGCACACTTCGAAAGCCGCTTTCTCGAAAAGGGTGAAGAGGTCCCAAATGTTGTTATATTAGAGGGGAGGGACAGAGTGGGAGGACGCGTCTACTCACGTGGTTTCAAGACTGATACCTCCGCCTCAACGCTGGAAGAGGGATACCGCTGCACTGCAGAAATGGGCGGCATGATCATCACAGGCTTTGAGCGTGGCAACCCCTTGAACATTTTGGTCAGAGGCCAGCTGGCACTTGACTATCATGCGCTGCGTCCAACAACCACGTTGTACGATTTCAACGGGCAACCTGTTGACCCGACACGAGACCACCTAGCCGAAAAGCTTTACAACGATATATTGGATCGACTCTATGACTATAAATTCAAGCTGCCTAAAGTAGTTAACATAGAAGGCGACCATGACCTCGTTGACGCATACCGCGATGCACATGGGGATATTGGCAAGACAATCGCTGTGGCTGAAGACGAAGAAGCTTCGAAATCACACGTTGTATTATCAGATGAAAGCGGGACAGAGCAAAACAGCCACTTATCTAAGTCTCCGGTTGACGTGGTCCCCGTTTCTACGGACCGCATAACTGGAAGGCCGCACAAAGAACCGGGAGGACCGGCGGTGCATAAGGCAGCGTATAAAGCACGCCTCATTGGCTGGACATTACAAGATGGGGTTGAGGATAGCAAAGATTTAGACCTTGATGAGGCTGCTGATCGCGAGGGATCAACATTAGGTTCCGTAGTGGACGCAGCAATCAAGCAGTTCGGCAGTGTGGTTCATCTCTTACCACTCGACCTGCGCCTTATGAACTGGCACATTGCCAATCTGGAGTATAGCAACGCTATCAACCTTAAAGAGCTCAGTCTGAGAGGATGGGATGTGGATGCTGGGAATGAGTGGGAGGGCAAACATACCCAGATTGTTGGCGGCTATCAGCAGGTACCGCGCGGCTTGCTGCATTGCCCATATCCTCTCAATGTCCGGAAGCGAAGCGCGGTTAAGCGGATCGCATACTCACCGGATCAGTCTGGAGCTGCCACTATTGACTGTGAGGATGGCTCGACAGTCGAGGCCGATATCGTTGTCTCCACGATCCCGCTGGGAGTTCTCAAGGACTCGAGTATCAATTTCGAGCCTGCCCTTCCCGAGTGGAAGACTGGTGCGATCGAACGACTTGGCTTTGGGGTCCTCAACAAGGTGGCCCTTGTTTATAAAGAGCCATTCTGGGATACTACAAGAGACATATTTGGTGTTCTCCGCGATCCCATCTACCGTGCGAGTTTGAACCAGGCAGACTACTCTACCAAGCGAGGCCGCTTCTTCCAGTGGTTTAACTGCACGAAAACCAGCGGCGTACCCACCCTCATCGCCCTGATGGCTGGCGATGCAGCGTTCCAGACTGAGAAGGAGGACAACCAATCTTTGGTAGCCGAAGCCACCCAGGTCTTGCGAAGCGTTTTTGGCGAGACCGTCCCGGAACCAGTGGAGGCTATCATTACACGATGGGGCTCAGATAAGTTCGCTCGCGGGAGCTACTCATACACGGGACCGAATTTCCAACTCGATGATTACGAGGTCATGGCAAAGCCCATTGGAAACTTGTTTTTCGCTGGAGAACACACCTGCGGCACCCACCCCGCCACAGTCCACGGCGCATACCTCTCCGGTCTTCGCGTCGCCTCAGAAGTCCTAGAATCCATGATCGGTCCCATCGACATTCCCGAGCCCCTCGTCCTACCCAAGGACTCTCTCGCAACCCTCAAACGCAAGGCCACAGAGCTAGAGAACCAGCCCAAGGACCTCAGACAAGCTCGTCTTCAAGCATATGAAAATGAGGTCTGGACTGCAATCTACGCCAGATTCGGGCAATACCCGCTTCCCCCCCAGAAGCTGACCATAAACCCCTACGTTCTCTTCAGCAAAGCCAACGCCGAACTCGCGCGCCAGCGATGCGATACGAATCGGCGTCCTGGGAAGGGCCGACCCGTTTCCAACGAGGTGCGCACGATGCTAGGGAAGATGTGGAAGGATGCATCGGAGGAGGAAAAGGATCCGTACAAGCAGCGCGCGAACGAGGGTAAGGTGGTTTACCTGGCGGCGCTGGCGAATTATAAGGAGCTTTGCAGGGTGTGGGATGAGGATTCGATTGCGTTCCGGAAGGCGTATGAGAAGGAGCATCCGAGTGTGCCGAGTAAGGAGGAGGAGGAGGAGATCAGGATGTCGAGTCAGGGGAAGAGGGATAGGAGGGCTAAGAGGGTTAGTGGATATGCGGAGTCGGAGCCGAGTGATGGGGAGGGGGGATTGTAGATTGAATGGGTTTGGGGCGTATATATGGGATGGGGTGGATGGGTGGGAGCTTCTGACTTGCTGGTGGGTTTGTACCAATATATACGTGCTTTCGGTGCGAGAGCACCGGGCTTGACATTAGGAGTCTCGCAGTTGTTGTGGGGATGGGCTCTAAGCTCAATATTCCTCGTGACGGCGCAATGCAATTGTATTAACTTTGCTTTACGGCTGTTTCTATTTTATATTTTTGAAGTATGGCTATAAATTAAATTAAACCGTAAATAAAAATCAAATAAGAAGCCTTGCACAAGACACCGAAACCCGGATCCATATAGTCAAAGTGGAATATTACATTAAGACCTGTATATTTATGTTGGTTTTGATCTTATTAGCTGCCATATTACCCAGAACACGCCAGTCCCTGTAGTCCAGGGGTACCCGCATAAACGCGGTTGTCGCTAAACCCACGCGGCTCCCCAACCCCAAACCCCAAGCTCCTTCAAAGACCTCAGCCCTCCAAGCTCTTCCAAACCAAACCAAGCACACCATGAATCTCAACAGGAAATATGCCGCTCTGCCCGACCTGGTAACTACCTCTCCCACCCTTTCCATTGACCCAACCCCTCTAACAAACCACGCAGGACTCCGCGCCAGACATCTACGAAACCCCCTCCCTAACAGACGACAACTCCACCGCCCCCGTACGCCCCCCCTCCCCCTTCCACCCCCCTAACCCCCAGCTAACCACCCCTCCCAGGACGGCACCGCACGCTCCGGCTCCGCCTCCTCCCACTACACTGACTTCGACTCCCCCCCCGGCACGCCCTCGCACTCCCCCCAAATCTCGCGCGCCAGGCTACACCCCGACACCGCGCGCTCGCGCTTCGAGCCCTCCCTCATCGACGCCAAAGATGTCGATTTCAGCGACCGCATCAGCGGGAAGAAGAAGAGTTACCGGGCGAGCAGCCGGCGGGTGCGGGTTCTTGCCGATGGGACGAGGGAGATGGGGGATCTGAGTGATGAGGAGGATGGGGAGGGGTTGGAGAGGAAGATGGCGAGGTTGAGGAGGGAGGTGGAGGAGGTGAGGGTGGAGGCTGAGCAGAGGAGGAGGGGGAGGGAGGGGAAGGATGACGATGAGGGGGGGGAGGTGGAGGATGAGGCGGTGGGGTTGAGTCGGTTGTTGGAGGAGTTGGCGAGGCCGGTGGTGGGGGGTGAGGGGAAGGCGTCGAGACTTTCGAAAGCGCTTAGCAAGCCTTTACCCCCAGCTGAGGCGGCGGCTTCGACATCAGAACCGGCGAGCAAGCAGCCTACCGATGGTGCTGGGCCGGCGACATACACAGTGACCTACGCGCCGTCCTACGACCCCACACATACCCTCGCACGCATCACAACCTTCGATACCCGTCTCGCATCTCTCGAATCCGCATTGGGTCTCCCCCCCGCAGGTTCAAACGCCATCCACCCCATCCTCCCTGCCCTAACAACCCTCTCCCAAAAGCTCTCTGTGATCGGCTCCGCCACCCCCTCGAGCATCGATGCTCTCTCGCGCCGCGTGCGCGCACTCACCGCCGAGACCGAGAAAATGACTGCTGTGAAAGAGGCTGCTCGTGCGGCTACACCCGGTGGTGGTGGGGACGAGGAGAAAGACGAGGATGACGAGCAAGCGGCGAAGATAAACGCGTTGTTCGGGACGTTGGCGACGATCGAGGGGCTAGCGCCGTTGTTGCCGGGGGTGTTGGAGAGGATGAGGAGTTTGAGGAAGGTGCATGCTGATGCTGCCGGGGCGCAGGGGGAGATGGAGGAGGCGCTTAGGAGGCAGCAGGAGATGGGGGCGGAGATTGAGAAGTGGAGGGTTGGGTTGGAGAGGGTGGAGGAGGCGGTGAGGGAGGGGGAGAGGGTGGGGGGGGAGAATGTGAAGACGGTGGAGGGGTGGGTGAGGGAGTTGGAGGAGAGGGTTAAGGAGTTGGATGGTTGAAGTGGGGTGATTGGGGGTGATGGCTTGCTTGCTTGCTGGGGGGAGTGTAGGGTACAATGGAAAGAGCTAGATACCCATTTGCAGCTTCTTTCAAAAATAGGGAATCGAAAACACTGATGTTGCTGATATACACACGTAATAAGACGTGAAGTTGCGCCATAATGCATGTGTGAAATAGGAATAGAAGATCCCGGCATGTGTAAATTCTAAACAGTAAATTCAATTCATTTTTTGTACATGTAGAGCGTGCCATCCCCCACATGCAGCCCCTGAGATCCAATCCCAGTCTATGATGTACAATACAAATGCAAGCTCCGTCATCGTTGGCTGCCTCGGTAAGCCATATATGTATGCCTCCCATAGGATGCCATGTCATGCACACAGAAACGCCAGGAGCAGATCCAACGCAATTACCCCGTGACTTCAGCGCCTTCTTCTCTTTTCTCTATCAATAGTGTCGTCGGACGTTATTAAGAAGGCGTCACCGACTGCCTTACTCGTTGTAGTGATAAATCTAGGGGTCTCTGTTAGATACAAATCGGAAGAATGGGGGGGAATGGTATGGGGGAACGAACCTTATAATTTGGCAATCCATAAGAAAACCAGCCCAATCGCCTGGCCATCTTCGCAAACCCCTCCGTCTCAATCAAGTGGTAAAATGCGAATGGCGGGAACATAGCACCATCTCTGTGCACGTCCGCCTTCACTAGCAACGCCGTGCCTCCTACTCCGTCAAGTGGCATTTCCGTCTTAATATCCCCCCCTTTTTCGTATAGACGGGCCATCAACGTTCTGTATGTTGGCATCTCTGAGTACCCCTCAAGTAGAATATCGTCTGGGCCCATTTGTGCGGCAAGCTTCTGCGCAGTTTCGCTGTCTTGCCAGGAGTTGTAGTCGTATGGGCGCTCATCGAGCTTCTTGGTATCGGGGTTGATGAAGCGCTGGAAGCAGTTGGGTACGATGATCGGCTTGTCGTGTAGCGCAAGGTCTTGGATCAGAGACGGTGGTGTCTCAATGATATCTGCATCCAGCCAGAGGACCCATGAGGTAGACGGGCCGAGGGTAGTGAAGAGGAGAGAGTTTCTCGCCCTGCTCATAGCTGCCCGGCGGACCTTCTGATTCTCCATCTTGTGGCGCTCAGCTTCATCTTGTGATGCCAATGGTGGTGGGAAGTCTTGGCGCTCAATGATGATTGATGCGAAGCGCTTCGATTCTGGCCCAGCGGTCTGCGTCTTCGTGATCTGTTCTTGTAACGCAGCCGTGGCAGCGTTGCCCTCACGGTTCTTTGGGATGATGAATCCGAGGGTGATGAGTTCGTGTGGGTAGCTCAGCTTGAGCAGATTGTCCCAGTAGCCCTGGTAGAAGCGGGCCAGCGGGGTGAGGATGAGGATAGTCTCGCGGTTCTCTATCGGGGTGCTCGTCGTCGTGACATTGTTGAGCTGGTAGCGAATGACGGGCGGAGGGATACGTTTTCCATTCTTGCTGCCGGCCGACTTGCGGAAGGGCGAGGTGGGCGGTGAGAGGGGGTTCGACGCAGCGCTTGCTTTTCGGAAGTTATAGGATGCGGAATCGTTAGAGGAGGGAGAGAGGAGGAAAACGATGATGGCTATTAAAAAAACGGCCCCTAACAGAGTCGGCAGCGGACTGAAGCGTCGAAAACGAAGAGAGCGCATGGCGTCGTGAACGTGGTGTGTCCTACGTCTGCCGTCTTGTCATCTGCAATTCATTGAACATGTGTCAGCCCGAGAGTACTGAGTGATGGTGGATTGAGCTGAGCGCAAAATGGCCTTTTGGGGGATTCGAGGGGGAAGATTGAAGCCAGACGCGAGCGGACGAGTACGAGTAGTACATACCAGACGTCCCCAGCCAGGGGGATTGTCACCACCACAAGCACAGCCAAGACAAGGGCTTTGAGTTTTACGAGCGCTTTAAAAAGAAGGAACGAAGGAGGTACACTCTCATATGATTGTTTAAGAGAGATGCAGGATAAAATATATCAGATATAAGAATCTGTATAACAGGGGGGGAAGAATAAGAGAGCGGGATATAGATTGCACAAAGTATTGAATCGACGTTCGTTCATCGTTCATTAAGTGTCTCTGTCCTGTCCTGAGATTTGTACGGGTAGCGATAAAGACCTAGTAGGGAGGGACACCTTTAGAAATGGCACGTGATATGATTAGACATTTAATACGGTATACGGGAAAGGGGATATTGCACTCGTTGGTGCAGAACAAACGTAGAAAAAGTAGCGCAAGGCACACCACACTCACTCCCCCCCAAGCTAAGATTCTGGAGTACCTTCGTACCTACATATAAGACATGTATATACGCACTCTCATTGGCTGAGGCGGTACTTCAGCTGCCAGTACCTCCTGATCACAATCGACCACGGTAACTCTCACTTCCACCAACTGGCTTGTGGTCACTGGCGATGCTCACTGGCTATGCTTCCTCCTCCCACTACCAACCAGCGAGTCAGATCGATCGTCTTACTATAAACTCTTCCTTCTTCCTCCGATGCGACAAAAACTACTTCATTTCTTCCTCGGATGAACATAACTACTATGCTGTAGAAACAGCAAGACGGCGTGTCTATAACTCCCCCCTCATCGTGGCATCTGTTCACTCAGCCATGCATTCAATAGGCCTAGGGTCCTATTGTACTATCCCCGAAACCCTTCCTTAGCCCGGCGGCTACAGACAAACAAAGAGAGAGTATATCAACAGAGATCGAAGAACCGCGGCCAAGGACACTCCTGCACCGCGAGGCGCTAATAATCCGCCATAACAACTGGGAAGTTGCGACCGACGTTGCGACCGAAGTTCAGCCTCAGCCTCTCCTACCCCGAGCGAGCTGTTGTAACCCTCGTGGCTACTCAACACAACTCCTCCCACTTCACTTCGAATCATCCCCATCGATCAAACCCCACCAAACCTCTCACAGAGACCTCACTGGCTGAGACATAAACACTCTGATGCTTCCACCAGCTCTCTCGGGACAACACCCCATCCCCAGCTAGCTAGCAACCCCACAAACGACATCGCCATGGAGCCTGTCCCGGAGACAGAACGCATGTCTGAATTCCGCTCCTCCCCCGTCCCAACCCTCCGCATCCACGAAGCCCCGTCCTTCCAACCCTACATCCCCCCCTCCAACAACCCATCATGGAGCACAAAACCCCCCAGCACCCGCCGTGCCACCGACCCCACGCCCTCCTCCCCCCTCGGCTGGGGCCCAACAACCGTCGCCTACCGCCCCCGCAACGTCTCGCCCTACAACCGCGGCCATGTACGCTCGCACTCTGCGGCTAGCACACCGACGCCGCCTATGTCGCGGGCGAAGTCCATGCCGGGGGTCAGCAGAGTTGGGTTCTTCAATATCGGGTCACCTGCGCGGCCGTCTAGTCCAGCGGGGTCGCCGAATAGGAATCGAGCGTTGAGAAAGCCGGTCGATGAGGCATTTCCCGTGGCGCCGCCGCTGCCGAATCGCGGGCTCAAGATCGATACTAGTGACCATGTTGCTATTCCAGAAGAAGTAGAGGAGGAAGAGGAGGAAGAGACGCCGAGGGGATACGATAGGAGTGCCTCCCCTAACCTACTACCTTCGATGTCGAACCCACACCTCAGACGCTCGTCATCACCCTCTCGGAACTTATCAATACACTACCCCACCAGCGGCGCCACAACCCCAACCTCACCATCCTCGATAACCTCCTCACCATTATACCCAACGAGCCGATACGACGGACGCTACGACTCCTTCAACAGCTACCCCTACGCCACCTCCACCTCCTCGGTCCCCACAACCCCCTCCTCCCTCCGCTCCCGCAGCCCCAGCATCTCGAGTCTGGAAACCATCCCCGACACCCCCGACGCGGAGGAGGCAGCGCTGGAGGCGGAGCGGATCGCGCAGCTCAAGGCGGCGGCGGATGCGGTGGAGGGGGAGGAGGGGGGAGGGGGGGGATCGGATGCCGTGGTGGGGAGGGGGAGGAAGCTGAGTCCGGGGTTTGGGAGGGATAAGAGTAAACGATGGAGTGTGTGTGGGGCGGAGAGGAGGGGGGATATTGATTTGGAGACGATTTGGGAGGATTGATGGAGGGATGGAGGCGTTAAGGGGGGTTGGCTCGGACATATTGGGTCTTAGGGCCAGGAGCCGATTTTAATGGACTTGATGTCTTTTACTATGCTATGCTGTGACTGTTATGTTCTTGTGAGGTAACTGTACTATTTGGGGGGTGGGCTGGTTGAAGAACTCTGGGTTCGCCGATTAACTTCTTTCCATCATTGCATATGGCTCGCCCCTTTTCAGTACATAAACTACTATATTTACAACTCTCTCTTTCATCTACCCACCAATACTCACGGAAATCCGGTCTCTTCATACCCACGCCTCCTCGCATATACTATTATACCCCACCCCCGCAAACACCCCTGCTCCCAGCGTTGCATTTATGGGAGCGAGCACTTGCTTCTGCAATCTCATCCATCCCACCATATCTATAAAAGATAGAGCTACAGCCTCGTCCAAGATGACAATAACGACTACTACATACTTCTATACTTCATACTTGAAACTTCTACATTCCCACCCTAGTTTTATCCCTATCGTTGGGGTTTGGCTCCTCTTCCCACGCCTGTTATGCGGCATGTATATTTCTCCCGGTAACGTTCTTGTTGCGGCAGCTTCTTGCTGTCATGCAGCTGTTCTTGTTACGGAGAGGTTCTCACTACCACTCCTGTTACCGCCGGTGTTGTTTCTCACTTCCAGCCCCCTCCCTTGACCCCTCCTTATCCACACTCACAGCTGACCACCATTCCCCTCACACCGGTGACCTTGCTCATAATATCTCGCAATACCGCAGTGGCCTCCTAAGCTTTGCGGCGGTTGCAAGTCCTCCGCGCCTCGAGCGCCGTAAATTCCTCAAGCGGGATCTGCGAAACGGCAATGTCATCCAGGCTTCCACGCTTCAGCTGCAGGAGATTGACAACCACTCAAAGCTGCTTCTTGGTATTCGCCCACATCGGGATTTCCAATCCACGCCAGCACTGCCCAAGAGCTCGGCGGCGTAGGTCGAGAAATCTCAGGGGGGGTCCAGGAGGTAGCGGAGGTAGGGAGAGAGATCGCCACCGCCGCCCTCGCGACGCTCCAGGCTCAGAGTACGGGGTTATGCGTTTTCTTGAGGTGGTGCTCTTGTTGTGGTAGTTTTCTTGCTGTTGTGCAGCTCTTCTTGTCGCGGAGGGGTGTTTTCTCACTACCACATGCTTATTCCCGTCATTGCGGTTTCTCACTGCTACATGCTAACCCCCCTACTCCATCCCGGGCGGCTACGACCCCTTGAGCTCATACGAGTCGTCATTTCAGTATATAACACCGAGTGCAGCAACGTTACCAGCAAACTCTGCTTAGTTTTGCCAAAACCAACCTCGTCTGAGAGGATGGCGCCATGAAGCTTAAGGTCGTTGAGCAAAGTTGCAACGTGGCGGATATCAGTAGCGGATGGGCCTGTCTCCTTGCCCATTGCCTTTAGGAGCTTTTCTGCATCGACTTGTCCATACAGCTTTAGGACGCATTCTATGACACCCGATACTTGATACTTGTAAAACTCGGAGGATGTACCCTTATTCCTTGATGTACAGTACAGTAGTAAAGAGTGTCATGAGAATGCCGTCATGAAAGTGCTGGCCGCCTAAAGGAGGGGGGAATTATATCTGCCTTGCTGGGCTGAGAGGCTGACATGTTTGCTTCAGTTGTGGGATAAACGCTACGTACATGATCGAAGGGAAAGAGCAGAGGAGGAAAGAGCAGAGGAGGAAAGAGCAGAGGAGGAAAGAGCAGAGGAGGAAAGAGCAGAGGAGGAAAGAGCAGAGGAGGAAAGAGCAGAGGAGGAAAGAGCAGCGGAGGAAAGACCGCAGAGGGAGAAGGTGCGGACTGGAAAGGCGGAAGGAACAGAGGAGGCGTAGAGGAGGTAATAGAGGGTGAATATGAGTCGTTCTTTCCCCATTTGTTGAAGGGAGAGTAACACCGCATATAAGACATAGACCGAGGACGACATGGCACATCTCAACATCACTCCTCTCTTTATGACGGAACTACACCACTCACATTCACAATCACACTCACAAGACAGCACAAGGTTTTTTGAAGCGTAATAAAATATCCAACAAACCCCCAGAATTACGACGAAGAAATACAATACAATATAGAGCCCTCTCTCGAAGAATTAATTAAAGGCCCAAGGATTATCTTCCATGCCATGCCGAACGTTAGCCACGCATGTTTCTCATCATATGTACTCTCCCGCTGATCCTCCCTTATTCCAATATCATCTATACAAAACCCTCCCCACAAGCCATAATCTCAACGATACTTATACTTACCCCCATCCACTGAAAAAGACACAACTTAAATCACTTAAGCGCGCTTTAAATGGAGTCAACGACATCGACAACACCATCGACGACAGCGCCGACGACGTCGAAGAGGGAGGAGATGCCCCAGCTGCGCTCGCAGTCGAACTGGCCAAGGTTCTTCCAGTCATCGTTGTGGTAAGAGAAGACGACGGACTTTCCACCAACAGCCTTGCGGATGGACTTGATAGCAGCGGCCTGCTTGAATGGGCCGGGGCAGGCCTCACCGTTGCAGTTACCGGCGGAAGGCCATCCGGTCTCGAGGTTGATACCGGTCTTGCCTGGGCAGAGCTGGTCAACGATGTCGAGCTGGCCCTTGACGAAGGTACCGGCATCCTCAGCCTTGGTGGCGGAGTTGAAGAAGGGGTGGATGTTGGCACCGACAACGTCAATGGCCTGGCAGAGAGCACCCTTGTGCTGCTGGAGCACGTTCAGGGTCTCGGTAGTGGTGACTGGGCCAGTGTATCCGGCGCCCTGGAAGACCTGCTTGGAGGAGGTGATGAAGGCAGCGAGCTCCTCGGCGGAGCAGACACCGTTGAAGATGGACTCGTTACCGATGACAACGAGGATGACAAGGTGCCAGCGGCTGAAGGTGGAGAGGGAGGTGATTTGCGGCTTGGCGCCCTCAATTCCGGTCTCCTTGATGTAGACACCGACGATCAGCTGGAGGCCGTGGGCCTCGCATCCGGCAGAGACGTTCTCGAGGCCGTTGCAGTCAGTCTCATCGGCGGAGTAGAGGCGGACAGCGGTGAAACCCTTGGATGCGATATCCTTGAGATCGGTGAGGACAGCGGAGGCGTCCTTGCAAGCACCGGCCTGGTCGTAAGGAGTGTAGGTGATGGCCCACTGGTCACCGTTGGTTCCGAGACCGCCCTTGTTAACGACAGGCTTGATTGGCTGGGCGGCCGCGGTGGTCTCAACTGGGGCGGGCGAGGTGGAGGTTGGCACTGGGAGCTCGGCAACCGACGAGGTGTATGGGCAGTAGACGACGTAGTCGGTCTCGGTGATGGTGGTGGTGATGGCTGGCTGGGTGTAGGTACCTGGGACCACGGTGGTGGGGGTTGGGTAGACGAAGACGGTGGACTCGGTCACGGTGGTGGTCGACGGGGCGATCGTGTACGTGCCGGCGGATGGGCAGACGTAGGTGGTCTCGACGATGATCGAGGTGGTGACGCCGTTGGAGGTGCTGACGGTGGCGACCGGGCAGGTGACGGTGGTCTCGGTCACAACAACGGTGGTAACACCTCCGTAGGTGTGGGTGCCGGCTGGAACCTCGGTGGAGGTGGCAGCGCAGACGGTGGTCTCCTCAGTCACGGTGATGGTCGTGGCGGGGATGGTGTGGGTTCCTGGCTGGAGGGTGGTGGGGGATGGGGTTGGGAGCGGGATAACTGGGACGGTCACAACGGGGACGATGGGCTCCTCGGAGGTGGTTGGGACTGGGACCGGGGCGACGCTGCTGCTGGTCTCCTTGGTGGAGGTTGGCGGCGGGTTGTGGACTAGGTAGGAAGGAAGAGTTAGGATGGATCGATCTAGAAGCAGATCAGGACGAGGTGAGGTGTTGACATACGAGTTGGCTCGCCGGTGACGGTCTCCCAGCGGGTGGTGCAGCCGCACGACTCAACAGCACCTGCGGTGCCGACGGCAACGCCGGATGGGGCCATTCCTCTCTTGTGGAAGGCATCGTGGGCGTGGTGGTTGGCCGCGCTGGCGCCGACAGCGAAAGCTGCGGCAACAGCGAAGAAGCTTCCCTTCATGTTGAAGAGGATTCGTAATACGAGTGATTGAAGGTAATATTCGTAGGGGATATTGTCGTTACACTGTACGCCGAAAGAAACGAATGCCCGCTGAAAGAGTGAAGCGGTGGTTATTTGAAGGTTGAGGATGGAGAGAGAGAGAAGAGGAAGAGGAAGGATGTGTGTGTGGTGGTGGGAAGGAAAGGATTTTGATTGAAATGGCTCGCCAAGAATGGGAGTGAACGGGGGGTGTGGACAGGGGGGTGGGGTGTGGCCAGTCCCCTTTTTACTTTGGAGTTAGGTGGGATCGGGGTGAGATACCTGGGATACATGAGAGACATGGGAGACATGGAGGGGGCAACTCTTGGGCAAAGTATCTGTGCTTATATTACAGTAGTGGGTGTGACATTGACGATCGTTTGGGAGGTATAATTAGGTTGTAGTGTGGTGGGAGTGGGTGGGAGTAGAGTAAAAGATCAGGTGTGTGTGTTGGTGTGTGTTGTGGGTGTTCAGTTGTATAATTAGGCGTCTAGTTAGCCCAGTTAGCATCACTTTCTACCCTTTCCATCCTTTTTAGCAGGGACGACAGCTAATTAACAGCCAGTCAAGGAGCCAGTTAGCATCCAGTCAGCTACAACGGTGAAAGTAGTGGACCTCCCTTCCCATCTCCCATTTCGGCCTCTCCCTCTCTCTCTCCACCATCCATCCACCATCAGCCCAGATCTAGCGACCGCTCAAGCCGGCCCCATCCCTGCCCCCTAATCTCCCGGGTGTTGGCGTGCAATCCAAGTGAACTGTGATCCATCAGAACAGTACGTTACGGTACTTGCTTCTACTATTAGCACGCCCAAGTACGTCCAAGTCACACTTCCCACTAAACAACAACCCCATCAACCTTGCTGGGTGCGTCCAGTTAGTCCAGCCACCACCCTCCCCTTCCTGGCCGTTTCCCCGTTCTCCATCCCTCCATCCCCATCACTAACCCCATTTCCCTGTTGTTCCCTCTCTTGTCCCTCTGTTTGTCTCTCCTCAGGACCCTGCTAATCCCTGTCGTTGTTCCTGACTAGCCGCCCTAGCGCCACGGGCCATGCCAGGGGTGACAGCGCGCGCTATACTGCTTTGGGGTTATGGGAGATTAGATGATCACGGCGCGAGGCGAGGGGGACCAATGGGGAGCTGGAACGGGAGGGTGGGTGGGGAGGCGGACACGAGGGGGGATTAGGTGGTTTGTATGTGTGTGTGTTGTTTGTAGGTGGGAGTTTGTGTGGTGGTCGTCGTCGTCGTCGCGCGCGTGCGTATGGGCTTCGGTCGTACGGTTGTCGTGGGATTTGGAAGATGGGACGGGGGAGGGGGGGGGTTTACACTCTCGCTTCCAGGGTGCAGTGCGATATTCTGGGTGTGTCTCTGTGTATCCTCGTGTCTCTCTGTCTCTCTGTGTGAGATGGAAGCTGTCCTGGACTGTCTTGTGCGTCTCTGTGTCTCTGTGTGCTGTATGCTGTGTGAGTTTGTCCATCCCGTTGGCATTGGCCCTGTCTCGCGATGGTGGAGAGAGAGAACAAGTCGTGGCGTGGCGTGGCGGTATGTTCGGTGCTTGAATGGTACATACATACATACATGTGCTGTACCTTGCAGGACCCGTATGTGTTCAAGTGGGTGGTGGTGGGTGGGTTGGTACGAGGGGCTACGGGGCGGATGTACTGTTTGTACTGTACTGTACGTGTACAGCAACACAGCGGCGGCGACAACAACAACACGGGCACGGATACAGACACAGGCTCAGAATAGACATGTGCCTTGCTTTGCCTTCCTTGCTTTACTTGGTCGCTTGTTTGCTTTACTCATCGCTTACCTCACTTGCCTCAAACTCGCCACTCTCTGACAGAGTCGACTTGGCTATGGCCTGACCCGGTTCATACTGTAACATAACATCTTCGGCATTGGAATCCATCATCATCAAACACCCTTTACTCCATCTCAACTCTTCACCGTCAACCCTCCCCATTCCCACGTATCCATCCCATCCCCAATCTCCCACCCCTCCCCATCCCATCTCCCACACCACCCACCAAGCCGGCAATACCAATCCTCCCCCGCAATCTCACCTTCCCACCCCCTCCCGAATCAGGTAATGATCACGTCGCACCTCATTTAAAGCATAGACAGGTGCGTTCGCGAGTGGTGTGGCGGACTCCATCCAGTCCAGTCCACAATCTGCTACCACCTACAGTACACGATGCGAACTAATCTAGAGGAAAAATACCCCTACTACCGCATCGAGTCCATCATCTCCCATCACTCTCCCCCCTCCGAAGCCAAGATGCGCCGCCGAGCCAAGATGGCCTGGCCACTGTCACATCGGTCGGTCGCGGCGGCGGTACAGGTCGGGACTAGCATTGGGGAACGGTACTGTACATCCGGGACGTGGATTACGGACTACAATAGTAGGGGATGTTGATCAAAAAGCCGGTGGTATTAAACTGCCACCGCCCAAAACAAAATCACCCTCTGCCGATCTTTCAATCGTCTCCTAATCCTACTGTCCCTATTGTCCTAATCTGGATGCCTTCCGGCATTTTATTTACTTGCAGCGGTAGCTCGGCGGTGTAGGCGTTGATAGCGCAGACCGTTAGTACGGAAGTAGACCCCTGATTAGCATGGAGAGTAAGACAGGCACTGATACGAGGCAAAGGCAAGCTCTGAGATAATCTTAAATAGTAGTAAGTAAAACAAACACAATCGATACAAAGTACAATCTATCAAGGCCGCGATTCCGCTTCGGTACGGCACTGGACTGTGGAGTGCAGTACTGTGCCGAAGTGGACGTCGCTGGCGGCGAGACGTTGGAAATGGGACATCTTTCTTCTTTGCCTGTCTCCTTTCCCGACGTGATCTCGACCGCAACACAACTGCCATTACAACACCCTCCCCAGCTCTACCCCTCTCCTTCCACCACTATCTCCTCACAACCCCCCCATCATCTACCCTCCCCAAACGCACAGAAGCAACCCTTAAGCGTTCGTAGGCTTGAACTCATACTTAGGCGTATCCTCCTTGAACGGCACGCCCAACTCAAACAACCTCGTCACAACGGCCGAGAAGTCCTTGAAGAACAAATCATTATCCTTAGCATACTTCTCCACCCACGGCCTGAATCCCTTATCCTTAATCAACACATAATCCGTCGGCAGCATCATCAGCGTCTTCGTCGCCTTATCCTCATACTGCGCTGGTCCCTTCCACTTCTTCCACTGCCACGTCTGCTCCAGGAGCAGCGTGTAGAAGTCGTTCGTCAGGACCGTCGGGCTGAAAGTCCAGGGTCCCGAGAAGCCGGAGCGGTCGGTGTGGCAGCGGCCCAGGGCGTGGGCGCCGGAGAGGGCGACGATTTCTTGGTCGTTGAAACCCATGCGGCCGAAGATGTCGCGCAGGTGCTTGTGGCCCTGGGTGGCGTCGGGGAGGCGGCCGTCGGGGGTGCAGGCGGCGACGTCTTTGTCGGTGCGGCCAGGGCGGTAGGGGATGGTGGGGCCTTGCATTTCTTGGATGGCGGTTACGCCGGCGAGGATCCAGAGGTCGGAGTAGGTGATCCAGGGGAACTTCTCTGTGGGGGGTGTTAGCTGTGTACGGAGGTTCGTTTGCAGATGTGGTATTCTGATCAAGGTATGTCCTCTTTCAACAGTAGGAATGCTGTTTTATAGAGGGAGGAAAAGGGGATTATAGGGGAACTGGACATACCCTTAACGGGCTCCAAGAAATCTCTCGCAGCCTTCAACCCCGCGTTCGCACCATGGTCTCCCTCAGGCTGGAATCTCATCGTAGCTCCATTGCTTCCTCCCGTCTTGGTCTCAACATCATAAGTTCCCGACGCATGCCACGCCAATCTCAGAAGGACTGGTCCGTACGACCCATCATCATAATCATCCTTCTCCTCCAACCTCTCGGCGATCTCATTGTAAACCTTCTGGTAATCCTCGAAGGTAGGCTGGAACGGTCCCTTAGCCGCGGCAGAGAAGCCGTTCTGCTGGCCGTAAACGTAGTACCCGGCGCCAGCGGCTCCGAGGAGACCACCGAGCCAGTAGAGCGCAGAGCCTCCGGAGGCCTTGGGCGCGGCGCTGCCCTCGGACGAGTAGCCGCGGCGGGATTGCTGGCGGAATGCCTGGCGGGGGAGGGCGTAGGCGGCGGTGCGAGCTGGGGTTGAGCGGAGGGCCGCGCGGGCGAAGGTGCGGGTGGTTGTTGAGGCCATTTTGGCGGTTAACTTTTTTCCCGGGTAGAGCTCAAAGAGAGTAGTAAGGTGAAGTAAATTAGAAGAAGAAGAAGAAGAGTATCAATCCCTTCAATCAACTATATCAAGAAAACACACAGAGATCACCAAAGTGAAAGGAAAGATTGTCACAGATGTACAAAAAGGTTGTAGATGAAGGTTTCAAAAAAGGCCAGGGAAACGGAAGTTCAGATGAGTCGTCACACCAACAGCAGCAGCGTCTCGGGCTACGCAGTCCGGCCCTCTCCGCGCCCGCCGAGACCCGCGCAACACCAGCTGGGAGTCACCCCCCAAAGCCGCCCAATTACGTGGCGCGCCTTACAAAGTGGTCCGCGATGGAACGCGAGCGAACGGCTTAGCTGGCTTGTGGTGAACCCACGCTTTTGCCCCTGGGACGAATCAGGAGCTTCGAAATTGCACAATCCGCGCCAAGGAGCTTTGGGACGTGGTTCTTGGGTGGTTTTTTCGCGTGAACCTCGGCATTTTCGCGTGGTCCTTCTTTACTTTCTACTGGGGCTTTTCTGTGGTGGTGAGTGGGTACGGTACTCTATCTCTATCAACTGCGTATTCGTATCTGGGTTAGTAAGCGGCAATGAGCACGTTGTTTATGGTGGCAAAGGGCTAGAATCATTACATTGTTAATCAATACCATCTGGCTATCTAATCACCAAAATCGCAAAGGAAATAACGTCATCTAAGCGGCTCAGTAAGCACGAATCCCGGCACGTCTAACCGGCTCATGCAGCCGCGGAGATATCCTGATACGAAACTTTATTTCGCTACTACCGTGCCTGGCGAGGCTGCGAGGCTGTGCGTTGTTTCTGGTGCTTCTGGAAGGGTGGGAGGGACGCTGTGGGCGCTGTGAATGGTGCACAGGTGCGGGGTTGGGCGGTTGTTTGGGACAGAGGTTTAGCCTTGGGGTGGTGATTGGCTGTGTGTTGGGGAGAGGGACGCGATGGGTGGGAGCCTTGTGGATGGGAAGAGGTTGGGAGGAGTGTACTTATATACAATGCTACAGCTTGGTATAGGAGAGGGGGGAATGGGTAGGAGTGCTGCGTCATGTGTGGTCGGATCTACGGGGCGTGGGGGGCGAGGAGAGGATGATGGTGACGGTGATGGTGATGGTGAGGTACCTACGACGAGATACTCCAGTGTGTGTAGACTTGTAGATTTGTAGACTTGCAGCGTGGGGTTCATCCAACTAACTGGGCAGGCACAACTTGGGGCAGGTACGGCCTGAGGAATATGGCAGGTACGGCTCGTAGCAGTTGCTCTAGGCAAGCACGACTTGAGGAGGCTGTTTATGCCAACTACGACTGAGGCAGCCGTTTATGGTAACCACGACTCAGGGAGCTTAGATTTGTAGTATATGACAAGCACGACTTGCAACATATGGAAAGAACGACTTGTGACACACGGCAGGAACGACTTATGGCTCCTGCCACTTTTGACATCTCTGCATTAAGGAAGCCGCGACCACGGCAGCTTACTACTCCTGTCATATGGCAGTTACGGCCTATGGCACCTGCCACTTATAATTTTTCCAGCTTATGGAAGCTGCGACCTAGGCATATGGCAGCCACGTCCCATGACACCCACCACTGATGAGATTTCCAACTTATAGAAGCTGGGACTCACATATGGCAGCCACGACCAATGCACCTTCCACTTATAACACCTCCGACTTAAACACCACCACCGCTCCTAACCTCGTGCCGTCCTTATCCCAAAGACTGCGGCACGGGACCACATTCCCCCCCACCTCCCCCCACAGTTCCTCAATCCCAGCATCAAAATACACCATCTCCGCACCCCCCAACTCCTCCTTCCCTGACACCCCTCCCAGTAATACTCTCACCAACCCCTTACCCCTAGCCTCCTCATACCCCACAAACATCGTCGTAATCACCACCTCACCCCCAACCACACACTCATGCACCCCACTCCCACCTCCCGAAGCCACTGACCTCACCTTCACGTTCTTCCCCACAATCCCAGCTCCAGAAAGCCACTCGACATCCACGCCCCTCGGCAACTCTTCCACCTCCGCAGCCCAGAATGGACTAACTCCCAACCCCGTCTCCTCCCCCTCTACGTTCTCCCACTCCGGCAGCGCCTTCTCCTGCCTCTCACTCCCCATCATCTCCTCCCCGCGTCTATTCGTCAGTTCCCACAAATCCACATCCTCTTCCTCCCCATCTTCCTCTCCTTCTACCACCCGCCTATGCCTCTGGTCCCAAGCCACACCCGCCAACCTCGCCCTCCTCCTCGCAACCTCTAGTCCACACCTCGCCATCACCGCCGTCCCGCTCGCAAAGAAACTAACATCCATCGCCAACCCCACCCTCCACAAATGCTGCAACGCCAACACAACCTGCAACCCCACCTCACCCCCCTCCTTCCCCTTCACAAGCTCATGATCCGCCGCATCAACAACCTCCATAGTCGCCGGCACAAGCGGAATCTGTCCCGCAATATACACGCCCTCCCCCCCCTTCCCCGGCAAAAGCGGTGCGCACTGCGCCTGCGAATACGGCCCAATATTCGCAGGCGCCCAGTACGACCTTGATTGAACGTGTAGAGCGCGCCGCGCGGGCGCGGAGGAGAGGGAGATGTGCATCACTACCGGTGCGGAGTCTGGGAGGAGGGAGCCGACGGAGACGCAGGCGCGGGAGGGGGGGTTGGGAGCGGAGAAGAGGGAGGCGTAGACGGTGTTTGTGGAGGCGAATGTGGACATTGAGGTTAGGAGGAGGGTGGTGGAGACGACGTCTTTGATGGTGAGGTTGTGGGTGCTGAGGAGGGCGGAGAGTTGGGTGCTGATTGAGGCCATGGCTTCTGCTGCTGTGGGCGGGGAGGATGTGCATGAGGGGACGATGGTCCAGGTGTTGCTGTTGGGGTGGGCTGTTGTTTTCCAGGTTGCGCTTGCTGAGAGGGCTGTGGTGGTTGTGTCGTCGATACCAACTCTTAGGTCTTTGGATGCTGCTGGCTCCATGGCAGCCAACACAGCTTTCAAAGTCTCCTCAAACGACTTCTCCAACAACGCCGGCTTCCTAACCTCCACCTTCCCCCCCTCCCCACCCCCGTCCCCCTCCTCAACCACAACCCCCCCCTTCTCAAACTCCACCCACGCCGTCCCCCCCTCCCCACTAACCACCCTCCTTTCTCCCTCCCCAACCCTCCCACTCCACCACTCCCTCCCCCCCTTAACAACAACAGTCTCATACTCCCCCCCCTCCCCAATCACCCCTCCCACGCCCCCAAACCTCCCCACCTTCCTCCCCACCCTCTCCCTCCCAGTCCGACTCACAACATCAACCCACAACTCCCCCTCCCCCAGCCCCCCACTCGCAACCTTCACAATCCGCGCTTCCATACCCACCTCCTCCATATGCGCCAACAACCCCGCCTCCCCATCCTCCTTAAATAAACACGGATACTGCCACAAAAACGCTAACGGCACCAACCCCATCCGCGCCGCCACACTCTCGATTCGCGTGCGCTGGTATGTACTCAATATCGCGCCAGCACTCACCGCATCAGCAGTAGGATGCGCCTTCTTAATCGCCCGCAGCAACGGGAGCAGACTCTCCGTCTCATCTCCTCCCCCTTCCCCCCCAGACAAAGGCGCGTACGTACTCCCCCCCACTACCGCACCTCCCACAATCGGAGCCCGGAAAAGGGGTAAGCCCAGCGCCCTTGCAATAGCAGGAATCAGCGCATGCCCGGCCGTCTGGTACATATGCGAATCTGGGTCTGGCGCATCATCATCGGCGGCGGCGGGGGCGCTATTGCTACCTGTGGTGGAGGAGGTGGTTGTACTGGTGCTGCTGGTGGTGGAGGGAGTTGACGTCACGTGCGGTGCGGCTTGGGGATACAAGTTCCCCAACGCCAAGACGCGGTGGCCGAGGGAGAGGACGTGGAGGAGGCTGTAGATGCTGTCTTTGCCGCCGGAGATGAGGGCTATGACATTTAGGGGTTTTGGTGGGGGTGCCATTGTGGCTGCGGGTGATGGTTTTTGTGTATGAGGGAGAGAGGGAGAGATTTTTGGAGGGGTTGTGGGCGATAAGCTGATGGGTGGTGCCGGAGCGGGCCGCGTCCATCATCAACAGCAAGTTGAGGGGACAAAATCGGGGTTCACTCAAGTATCAAGCCACATAGAAGGGTTTTAAATGTAAAATGTATACACATCGGTAATTAACTTAAGGCTATTTATCTAGTGACCAGCACATGACTCTTACTACAACCACCACCATAACCATCCCCATCCTCCTCGAAAAACGAATTCCGAAACTTGAAAAGCAATAACGATCAACGCACAAAGTGGGAAGAGGACGGGGCGTGTATGGAAAACAGGAACTAGTGTTCCCGTCCAGTCTTTCCCGCCCTCTTCCAGAGATTAAAACGACTGTAGGAAGTAATAAAAAGGAAAACTATAAAAAGCGAATGAAGGGATTGAAGAAGAAGTTTTCTCCCGAAAAACAAATTGTTCCGTGTCTGAGGGCCATATCCCTAGACCATTTACAATCCACCCGCCGCCGCCAGAACTACCAAAGCTAACTTTGTAGACAACTGGATTATTTTCTTTCTCTCCTCTTCTCGCGCCTTTTGAAAAAAATCAAATCCAAATCCCGTTAAAAACAACCATCATCACGCTAATCGTCAGAAAAGGTATCGGGAAAACAAAAAGGCAAAGAACAAACAAACAAAGATCGCGGCAGAGAACTAAAAAGGTGTGGAGCTAATAAGCCCAGATAATACAATGAAGAAGAAGAAAAATAGAAAAAGGTATAAACGACTTTTTGGTTCGGAACTGCGCACTGTTCACCTCCCACCACCTGCACCGTCGTAGTCCGGAGACTGGAAAAAGCCCTATCGATCGCACATTCCCAAAGATGGAAAAGACGACCCATTATGAAGAATCGATAGTAGTCATGATTCGTAGCTCGCGTTTGTAAATGCACACCCTGTCCCGCCGAAATTTTGAGTTTTTATTTACTCGGAGCGCTTCCTCTTCTTCCTCGACTGGCTGTCGGAATCCGAGCTGGAAGGCTCGCCGTCGCTGCCAGGAGCTGCGGCTGCGACCTGGTACAGGACCTTGCCGTAGTTGCGGATCTCTGGTTCGCTGTCTGACTCCCCGTACTTGTGATCACTTGGGAGTTCGCCATCCTCAAGGACGCCCATGAGAATGGCGCCGCTGCCGTGCGTGCGAGCGTGTTGAGAGAGGTTGTCGCTGCGGGAGAACTTCTTGCCGCACTCATGGCACTCGAATGGCTTGTCTTGTGTGTGCAGAGATCTGTAGTGACGCTTGAGGTGTTCTTGGCGGCGGAAACGGCGGTTGCAGAGCTCGCAGACGAAGGTCTTGGAAGGGTCTTCGGTCAGAGATTGCTTGCGGCCGCGTCTGTTGACGGGTGCCTGCTGGGTAGCTCCAGTGCCTGCATCAGAGCCTGGGCCAGTGGCGTTGTTGCCCGCATTCTCGGAACCACTCTGGCTTGCTGCGGTCGAGTTTTGCTGTTGACCCTCGCTGGCCTCTTGAGCTGGTGCTCCTTCGGCACCGTCCATTGGTACAGTGAACTTGCGGCTTCGGACCATAGCGTCAAACTCGGTGCTATCGTCGTCGGTGTCTTCTGCCTTGTTGTTGTGCTTCTCGGGAAGAGCGTCGCACTCCTCGCTGGCGGACGAGGGTGGGCTGGGCAGGCAGGCAACTGCAAATTGCTCAGACTCGTCGAAATCCTCAAAGTCGTTGTCGCATAAGAAGCTATCGTCTGCGGAGAGGGTAGATTCGGTGCGTTGTCTCTTGTTGCCAACGAAGTGAACGTTGTCGGTCGCAGGAAAGTTGACGAGACCGTTGACAAACTCGTCCTCAGAGTCAAGATCGGACAGCTCCTCAAAAATTGGCAGACCGTGGTGAGCGTGCGCTGTGTAATCGAAAAAGTTGTTCTCGGCAGCCTTGTGGGCGATTTCACCCCCTAGCATAAGCTTGTGCTCCTCCTCGTCACCAGTGCAGAGCGTTGGAAGAGTTGGGAAGGCAACGGAAAGAGTTGGGTTTGGTGAATCGTTGGCACCAACGGTGAGGTTTCGTGGGTCGCAGAAGTCGAAGTCTTGTTGTTCTGAAATTGCAGATCTTGGATAGGGGGAGGGAGAAGGTGAAAGCGAGGGGCAGGCTGTCGCAGAAAGGAGCTCGCTAGCGTTGGTCATAAGCGAAGGTGGGTGAATAAACACTGCGAGCCGAACTGTCAGTATCGCTACTCGGCACCACGCGAAATCGCATCTACAACTTCACACCAAAAATAAATAATTACGTACCTGGAGTCATTGGCGGTGATCCACAACGGGCCCAGTCGAGGCCAGCGAGGTTCTCGGATTGAACCTCACCTTGGCAACCCTCCTTCACACCCTCGAAATTCTCAATTCCGAAGAAGGAAGTGTGCTCCAACGGAGTTGGCAGGATGTCGTAGCTTGAAGGGCTATCGACGCTGCTTCCTGGCGATGAAAGAGGAGGGGTCGATGGGAAGTAGTAGGCATCGGCATCCACACTCTCAGAGTCATAGAGCCTCGAGTTGTGATCCTGGATCAAGATGGCGGGCTTCTGGTACATGGGCCTTGGGGAGGCCATTGGGGTCATTGAGGCTTGCATGGCCGCATTGAACACCTGCATGGGCATCGGCGGCTGTGAGCAGGAAGATGTCGGCCTCGAGTACGTCGGGGTCGAAGGCAGCACATGCTGGTAAGTCTGCACCTGGATGTTTGGGTGAGGCGAGAAGTGGCCGTGCTGTCTGTTATCTGGCTTTGGGTCCGGGTTGTAGTAGAAGAACGGTGATTGTCCCATCACTGGTGGGGGGTGAACATATGTGGAATCCATGGTGTTTTGTAGCTACGTGTTTGTCAGTCTCTTGAATTCATCATGGCGCCCGCATTCCAGCGAGCAGCGAGGAATCGACATACCGGAGAAGTTTGTTTTATTATCGTCAATGTTGTATTTTTTGTATGGTTGGTCGTTAGATTATATTAGGTCGAGAATAGTAAGTCTCGTAGATATCGTAGAGCGTGAGGCGGTTTCAAGGCACGGAAGGGCCGAGAGACTCTAATTGCAAACTGAACTGAACTGAAAGGGAGTGACTGGACAACAGCTTGCACGAGGCAGAGACTGTCTAATAGTAGTAGTGGTGAAGGGCGTGATTATACATGTACTTTGCAACACTCGAGGCCGACGATGATGCGCTCTCTCAGTCGATGAAAGAAAACAAGTCGTAGGTAAGATGAAAGTGTCGAAGTGGGTGAGTCGGGATGTATGAGAAGTTGTCGAGAGATAACGGAATGAGGGACCAAAAGAGGGTACAGGAAAGGGACCGAAAGGGCTATATAGGATAAGCACAATTCGAAAGAATTCCAAAAAAGAATTGATTTTACAAAAGAAGAACCAGTGTCTCGGTATAAGAAGGATAAGAACGAAGGGTGTTCGTGTGTTCAGAAAGATGTAGAGGGAGGAGGGACAGGATTGACTGGGGGGGGGGGAGGATGGATGATGGTAGGTGTGGGTGTGGGTGTGGGTGGATGTGGGTGGTGTGTGGGTGGGATGGATACAAGAGGGACCTGAGGGAATGCAGAAGAACTAAGACAAACGAACGTTAGGGCGGGTCAAGGAAGTGGTCAAGTTAGTGGATGTGATTGGGATTGGAGTTTTGGGACGACGGGGTGGGAGGATGAATAGAATGAGAACAGACAGTTTGTGCTGGGTATGTGGTGTGGCTTGAGACCGGGGGGTGTAGGATGTGCAGTTTGGTCTGTCGGTGGACAAGTGAACGGAGTGGACACGGTGATGGTGGGTGGGGAAAGTATGGGTGATGGAGTGGATATGGGTAGATGATGGCGGAAAGGGACTTTGGGGTTGAAGTTGATGGGGATAGACAAGGTGCATGATGCATGAGGATGAGTGGGTATTGTTGGTCCGTATGAATAGTGTATGGTGTATGGGATGGTGTATGGGATGGTGTATGGGATGGTGTATGGGTTGTTGTATGGGTTATGGCTGGGATGAATGTATGGGTAGGAATAGGTGTGTGTATGGGTATGTGTATGGGTATGTGTATGGGTAGGATGTGTATGGGATGATGGGTATGGGTTAATGGGGTTATGGGTTATGGGTTATGGGTATGGACGGTGATAGAGTGGATACGAGATGTAATGTGGGTAAGGGTGCAGGTACGGGTGTGTGTGGCGGTGGGAGGGAGTACAGAACAGACTACAGAACAGACTACAGCACAAGACTAGACTGGACTGTGCCTCTTCCTCCGTGCGTAGTATCTGGTACTAATCTAGTAGTTAGTAGTAGCAGTAGTAGTAGTATCCAGAAATCCAGATTGCATTTGTGCTTCCTGCACAAGACGAGTATTTTATCCTGTGCGTGGACAACTTGGACAAAAACTTGGACAAAATATGAGATGGTGGGTGACAAGGGAGAGGGTAGAAAAGAAAGTGCAGGAGGAATATGCAGAGACAGAGACACAGAGACACACAGATGCACATAGGCACAGACAGGCATACGCATACACGCACACACCACCCACACAGACACAGACACAGACAGATACACCGTTTGGACAATTTTGTGTGGTCGTCCAGGCCGTGGGTTGGTCGTTTGTGTATGTGCGTGGCCCTCGGTGGTGGTCGTGGTGGTTGTGACAGTCGTGCCTGCTTTCTAAATTCAGAACAACCCATCCAATCAACCTCCTTCCTTAACAGGGGTGTTCCCCTCTTCCCGGGACATTATGGGTACGGGAAGTGTCCATAGTGGATCGAAGGGGTGTGAGAGCAGCGAGACTTTGGGACTCTCCGTCCATCCAATCACACGTCTATTCACCCTCTCTGGAGTGGGATTGGTGTGTGTCTCAGGTCACAGTCAACGCTGCGCACCGGACTGAACGAATGTACCAAGCTGTACGATGTACGGTGGGTGGTACCTCTAGCGCAGTGCATACATCCACTGCAGCCCGTGTACCTCTCGACTTGCTCCAGCTGCTTCCTCCCACTATCCACCACCCAGCTTGACTTCGATGGCGGTGCACAAAGCGGCGAGTCCTACTCGTGCACTCTCTCACACTCAACTGCGGACTTATGCATCATCGCCCCCGGGTCTGTGGGCGAAGTGCCTGCGTTGGTGTGCTGCACTATCAATCAATGCACACGACAGCTCATGTATACGAAACACACACGGCAATCCCGTCAGATCTCTCATCCCGCAAACTAAAAACTAAAAAAAGTAAGAAAAACGGCACACTGTTGCTGCGCGATGGCGATATTTCCTTTCCTTTTCCTGTAATGGCTTCAAACTACGGGCGCAACTGGCTCGCCCCCCCGAAAAGTAGTGGCTGTCGCTTTTGAGCCATTTCGTCCGCTTTGACGACACGAGGGCGCGCGCGCGGACTGAAAGAGGACACTCTTGCGCTGTTTTCCCACATTGCTGATGGAGCCAAGACGCGGGCTCGTGTGATGAGCGGCCTGACTGGTTGATCCGTCAAGGTGGCAGCACCAACCACGGAGACACCAGCGGCTCTCTCCACGTAACTGGTCCGAAACAGTCAAGCCTCCGAACCCAGGCACACCCGTTCCCTTCCCTTCCCCCCCCAGCTTCAACGTTAGGGTTTCATGTGCCGCGCTCATCGCGACATTTTTGTGACAGATCTTCACTTTCCAATCGGTCGATGTCACCTCAGAACCATGGGATAGGGCGAGCCAACTCGCCAACTTTCCTTCTCAGGGTATCCCCATTATTGTGGTGCTTTTCCCACTCCACCCAACTAGTACGGGTCTCCGATCGTCGGTCCGTTTGGTCCCTATCATCACAGGACTTCGATCATCGCTTTCGTCACAGCCTCCACGTTGACAGATACACAATCTTATTCGGTAGTTGAACCCTCATAATATGGGGTTTCTTGCTTTTTCCTAACGTCCGCACGATTCACTTTTACTTATCGTCTCACGATAGGATAAAGTGGGTGTGTCCGATACACTCGACGGGTCCGTGAATCAATGCAACCGGTTCCTGCCATCCAGTCAACCCCAAATCTCATGAAACATTATCGAGGCACCCAAAATATTCTTACCAGCGTGTTATATGCCGTCATGATCATCATTCATCCAATTGTTTCGTGTCCCCCAAATGATTGTCACATCCATCGTTGCTGCTTTAACGAATATATTGCCCACGGGCCACCTCGGCGATAATTATGATGTTGGTGGGTGTGCGTGCAGCCCGCAGAGGCCACCAACCACTTTCGTAATTTATGCACGCGCGAAATTTGACTCCACAGTATAACTTCCAAACCGGGGCACTTGGTGGCCAGGATACGGATCCACCACTATCAGTCGTATCGCCGATGGCCTTAGTGCACAATACTAAAGTAGTTCCTGTAGGTCGCTGCCAAAACTATTGCGAGTCCGTCAGTTGGGGAATGGCACCATGTCCCTTTGGAGGCGGTCTGGAGGGTCTGGAGTCGAGGCTACGACCAGCGTAGTACTCGCACAGCGCCAGTCTGTGTATTCCAGAGCTGTAGCTCGCCGTTAGTTGGTACGGCGGTGTTACCGCCTCTGTGAATGGGCCGCCTCGCTGACCGACCTGATCTTCCGTAGCTGCATGGTACCTGCAGCAACTTTCCTGTTGTGAACTGTGAAATCCCAAACCGTGTTTTATGGTCCATGGGGAAGTGGGTACACGATACTCGGCAAAGTGACAGTGGAAGGGATCACAGAATCTCAGAGATAGTATAATAAGCATCATTTGTGCGACCTTGTCTCTCCTTCTCGTATCTCTGGTATCTGTGGTATCTCTGGTATCACAAAGCGCGAGGCCCTTTCTTTTTTTTTTATCGCACGGCTGCATGCTGAGAAAAAAAAATGCAGTCTTACATTCCAACAGAGCTTGCACGCCATCTTTTCGGAAATAAACACGGTGGCGGATGCTTTGACGGACGTGCCCCGAAACCCTTCACCGCGTCTCACTTCTCATCGTAAACATTTCACATCAGTGGAGCGGCCGGAAGCAATGTCGTGACCCTACAGGCCCAAATCTCCTAGACCCTGCCCGCGGACTCCGGGCCAAATTTCCTCGACACTTAGGCTCTTCCTAATGCAACGCAACAACGCCTCAACAATCTCAAATGGTCGACTTATGCCGTATTGTCGATGGATCTGCACCCCAAATGGCTTTAATCTTGCGAAAGCTGCTGGCGCGACAGGCCTCTCGGGCAGGCAAAATGTACGTACAGTACTTCACCATGAATCCTCCTCCAGGACCCAAAACCATGGGTTCTACTAGCCTCTTGATTTTGGGTTCTGGGTAAACCCTGAATTTACAGCGTTTCTGGGTTTTAATGAGCTTTTTTTTTTTGCCTCTTGCGCGAGAAAGTGGAGACCTGGCCTCCATCACTGTGTGATGTTGGATTTCGCCAATCCTCTCACGAGATGATAGCACGGACACGCTGCACATCCTCATCTCGAGTCAGAGATGGCAGCGGAAGCGTAAGGTATGTGCTGTATCGATCGCATCATGAGCGGCCCGCCGCCGTGTGGATATGCCCATATTACTCTCTCGGACGGGCCCTCCCAGAGCTAATTTTACCACACATAGAAATTGGATTTCATGAATATATTCGCCACAATGCTCTTTCATTCCGCTCCATCTGGTCGCCCCCGAGCCTGTGCTCTGCTTCGAAATGAGTTATTGTTTTCCACACGAGCGGGGACACGGTGCTTTTCTCGTTGTATCTTTTTCGTGTGGCTGTTCGCCGCCACGGGCTCGGGCCTCAGGCCTCCCGCCACCTTCGACCACCACACACCCCAGCCCGTCCCCCGAAAGCCCAGTCCCACCCAGCCACCACTCTCAGGCGCGCTAAACCCCACAACTTCGGCGCCTGCTAGCTTGATTCGGCCGCCCATCTCCGAGGGCCCTCTTGCTGGATCCGTACGCTGCTCCACTTGCCGCCGACCCCAGGTGCCGGACTTCGAGAATGTTTCACCGTCGTGCAGCAGCCGTTCCAGCACCGGCAATGCGTAGGCCTGCTTCCTATGCGGCTTGTTCATGCGGGCGCTCGATGATGGGATGCGAGCCTCTCCCCGCGCCCCGGGGACCTGATGGTGTGCCGTGTCATGAGGTGATCTCCGGGCTGGGGATCTGCAAACTACTGTGCGCCGGTACAAAATAGGATTTATCGGTGTTCCTAACGGTAACAATCGACACGTAAACAAACCCGTTCCAAGGACCGGGTCTCTCACATGTCTCCGGTATCGTCATAGATAGATAGCATGCATCATCCAGTGGAAGCTCCCCAACGAAGTTGACACATCGGATGATATGTATGCTCTATTGACAGATAGTAAGTATGTGGGTGATTTGTCCCTTGATGAATTTATTGATTGAAGATTCCTTCCCGTGTCCCCCATGATTTACTTTCCTACTCGCCTTGTTCCACAGACCCCGCTGTGCTGACTCGCGTTACTGGCTCCATCAACAACGACTTCTCGTACGGAGACACTTTTTTAATCCGCGCAGTGAACACATCACCTTCACCTATGTCGTCGGGTTCCATGCCTGCCGGCATATCCATCATAGCCATCAATCCTAAACCGTCAACAAATCCGTTCACCATCCCACCCATCATGCCCAATACTCGAAACTCCCATTCATCCCTCCACCCCTTGCTCTGCCCAAACTTCCACCCTCTCAACACAGCCTGTAGTGCCCATGAGCGTTCTGCCCCGCGCCTCGCTGCTCCAAGTGCCTTTTCCCTCCCCTCCATCTTCGGAATCAGGCCATCAACCTTAACTTTGTTAAAGGGGAGGTAGTCCTCACGTGAGCTCCCAACCAAGCTCTCCCCTATTTTTGCTTCCTCCAATAGAGCAGCCTGAATCTGCCAGTGCGCGAGGAGATCCGAGTACCGCCGCAGCGGACTCGTGCACTTCGTGTACATCTCCACGCCGAGCGCGACGTGTGGCCCAGGCACGCTGCTGGGTAGCACGGGACCTTGGGCCATAACGTACGCTGACTGTACATTCTTGGGCACGCTTTCGCCGCGCAAGACGTATGGAAGAACGTTTGCCCTGAAAAAGGCGCCTGGGTCGGGTTTGTCAGGGTGAGCCTGTGTGACTCGATAGATGATGGGGATGTTGCGTGCCGAGCACCAGGCAGCGGCGATTTCACCCCCGAGTGTCATCAAGTTAGTTACCGGTCCGTAGATAGATGGGCCATCGTCGCTGGCGGGTGGGATTGATATTGAGATGAAAGGGTCACTGTGGACGTGGGTTGAGTTGCGTGGGGAGTTGTAGCAGTCTACATCAATGTCTTTGTCGATCTTGACAATAACAGAGGCGCGGGCGTTGTTTAGGTCAATGCCGCCACGGAGTAATGAGTACTTGCGCCGTGCGTCACCGAGTGAGGCAAGCAGCTTTAGGTTCGCTTTGTCTGAGGCAGAGAGGCTGTCCAACGAGGCCATGTCACGGTGCATGACGCCGTCATTGAAGCTTGTTATAGTCTCGCTGTCACCCACTGCTAGGACCTCCTTTGGGTCAGTAACCTTGTTCCCAAGTAGTTCTGCAAGCGTAGCCGGTGTGAGGTAGACAACTTTTCGAATCGTGCCCGCAGTAATCTTGTGGTCGATCATCACTCCTTTCTCGTTCATTTTTGCGCTGAAGGTCAGCGTTGGCCTATTCGGAGCCAGACTGAGCTTCTCCTGGACAATGCTATCCGGCAACATTGGGATAACTCGATCAGGCATGTAAACCGTTTGTATGGCTTCCTTTGCTCTTCGCGCTGGGTAGCTGTCAAGACCGAACACGGATCCTGGGTCAGCCACATGTATGTGGACCCAGTGCTGTCCTTCAGTTTCAGAAGCTTCAATTGAAACGCCATCGTCGATTTCATGAGCCCCTGTATCGTCAATACAGTAAACCGTTTGTTCTTTCCAGTCCTTTCTCATTCCTGCCAGTCCATCTTCCGGTTCTTTGCCGCTTTGTTTCTCGGTCATTGCATGTTTATAGTACCCATACCCTGGCAGTCGCAATTCAAAGGATGCCTTCGTTTCCCACGGCGCGATGATGCCAATCTCTTGCAAAAACTGCCATCCCGTTGACCGATTCAAAGACTGTACGTCGTATCGCCCTGTGGCCCGTAATATAGCCGAGCCGATGCCATTCATAGGAGAGCTATGAGAGAATGTATCCCAGGCAACCCAACACTTCATGAACCGAATGTACTTCAGGTCAGACGTGTCGAAATGTTGCTCGATAAACTTAACAGGGCCGCCCGGGTCAACAACCGCGCCAGCAGGGCCAACCTGGCCGCTCATAGTCGAAGCACGGCTTTTTCGGCTGACGTCGATGGCACGGCGAGCTGTTTCGAGAAATGATTCGAATTCAGCCATGAATTGGCCTAGGGGGCGAATTTCTGATTCACCGTCGCGAGCTGAAGTGACCGTGTGCACTTGCCAGCTCCTTATGATTCTAGTGACCATTTTGATGCTGTCGATTATCCTTCTTGGTACAATTTCAAAGAGGCCCCACGAACGCGTATTTCCGGCCGTTTGCACAGAAAATCCCATGCCTTCGTTCATGATAGTGCGGTATACTGCATATAGCGTTGCTGGTGCAATACTTTCGGTGTTCGTATTTCGTGGAAGCTTTAAAATTTCCTTGGTAAGTCTCGGCAAGCTCACATGGCGTACCTGCTGTGGTAATGCCACAATGTTATAAGCATTATCAAGGGTGTCCAAATTCTCGCGATAAACAGCATCGGCTTCATGCCCAAAGTCGGCCATCTTCTGTAGCAGCGGGGCTCCGATCGACCTGGGAAGAGCATTTTCAAAGCTCTGTAATCTGTCTTGTATAGCCTCTGGGACATCCGCATCAGGGAGGTAGGCTATGAGAGGGTCAACTTCCTCAGGAGAGACGAAGTTTGGCACAAAAAATCTAGCATTTCGAGATACTTTGTGAACCCATCGTCCTGACATGGTATAAAACTGGGATTGTATCCCCAATTCTCGGACGAAGATTGCGAGTTCAATTCGAAGGCCATCACTTGTTCTGTATGATTGTAATTAGCATCATTCGGCGCGTCAGTAGGCAAAGTCTATTACGAACCGTAGCTCTACAAGGTCTCCTCGTAGCAAGAACGATCGCTCACTCCCAAATCCCACCAAATCACCTCCCTCGAACAAAGGCAGAGGTGGATCTTCAAGCTGCTGTCCATCATCAACCTCCCGGATCTGATCCCCTTCGACCGGCCGAGTGTATAGGTTGGTAACTTCCCCATGTTTGGCATGATCCTGGTCAAAGGACACGTTCAAGACAGGGACTTCAGAAATGTTTTCGGCTTCCCAGCGGCGAAGTCGCTCACGGATTGGTAGTTTCGGAGGTTGCGGGACTTTCGGGAATGGCAACGCATTGTCTACGCTGACAGCTGAAGCTTCAAGGTTTCCTCCTTCCTGTGCCAACTATAATGTCTTAGTCGGTAGTCAAAGACGATCAATATCTCACAGTGGCTTACTTGGGTGCTCTGAGATGTGGCTTTGGGGCTTGAAATGGTCTGCAGCCCCCTGCTACAAAACGTCTTGTTTATGAACGTGTAGCCAGTATTCGAAGATATTAAACTATGTCTGCCATGTCGAACATTGCTGGGTAGAGTGATAATCCCCCTATTATTAAAAAGTGGTGCTGAATGAGAAAAAGTAGAGGAAGATGTCGCAGTAGTCCCAATTATTCTGGTGGTCCAGTTCGCAGACCGCGAGGCCACGGTCTTGGCTACATTGCGAGAAACGTCCATTCTAATAACTATACAGCATTGTTGTGGCCCATTGGAGACGGGCGCAAAGAAAGGACGCGTACAGCTTCAGTATCGAGAGGTAGCACGGGCGGAGTGTTCCATGGGCTCAACTTTTTCGGATAGCAAGAAATGGCATTTCGCGCTCCATGACACGCAATCACGTGCAGAGCTAAAATGCAAGTTGCTATCCTCCGAACTTTTTCCGCTTGACAGGCGAACTCTTCTTCTCTCTTTCCCACAACAACAATGAGCTGTTAGTTCCAGTGCAAGTCAACAGCTCAAGCAGGGGTCCAGCTAACAGGTAAGCCGCTTCTATAAACCACATCCTTACTTTACTTGTATGAGGAAGAAATATAGCATGTATTACATGATGCTAGCCTTTTGGCTACCAGACGATTACTACACCAAGATCTCTGACAAGAACAAACCCAATTCAAAATCCATGATACTATTCATTAGAGCTTATGCTAACTACTGTATCTTCAGATTACTTGATCTCGAGTTAAATATGTCTAGCAAGACCGCTGGTAGCAGCTTCAACCTGCTTTACTTCGCCTCGGCGAGTTCGTTTACAGGCAAGGACTCGGATGAATTTGAGGCTCCAGTCTCCCTGTCGAAGCTCTTCGATCTTGTGGAAGCCAAGTATCCAGGCATCAAGTCTAAGATATTGGACAGCTGTCTCGTCACCATCAATCTAGAATACGTGGATGTACCGAAGAGTGGGACCGGGGAGGAAGACGTCACAATCAAAGCAGGCGATGAAGTCGCAATTATACCCCCAGTGAGCTCCGGCTGAGCTTTTCCAAATATTAGCTACTGTATAGCATTTTGAAACTTCATTTAAATGCCCGATGTAATTCGTGAGACACCGTGATATGTGTGACACTTCCTTCAATTAGCACCGTAGTACCTCTCCAAATGTGCTTGAGTTTATTGAGCTCTATACTTGCAGTTCGGGTCCCTATTAGACAGGACTTACGGATCAACCATGCCCGATTTATTCGTAAATACTGAATACCACCCCGACGACGACAAGTTGAGAGTTTCCAAGGATTCAAGTATGACACGGTCACGTGCCCGCACTCCTCGTACATTGTGCCATCGGAATGCGGCTAGCGCCGTGGGCACAACCTAAAAGCGCCTTAACGGACATGAACGGCGAACATACACGCCGACAGTCCGGCATCACAGATATGGACCATATACCTCAGATCGATCCCCGCCTCGCTGACATCGGTCAGAAGGTGGAAAGTTCGTATCCCCAGAATCCAACTGCATCCTCCGAACCGCTCGCTAACATTGTGAACCAAGCCGATCTTACGTCTTCAACAACTCTTCCACCACTTTATCACCCTGCTGGATACGATGCTTCCCAACAACCCAATTACTCACCAGATACCCCGCAATTGCGTGATTTCGGTGTTAACAACAACGACGATGGAGCCTCCGATCCAAACCAATACATGGCGCAGGCAGGAGGTACGCCGGAAGAAGGCACAAACGACCTGAAGAGGCCGCGGGCCTGCGAGGCCTGTCGAGGCTTGAAAGTTAAATGCGAATTTGACCCTAACAACCAAGAGGGACCATGCCGAAGATGTACAAAGGCACGCCGGAACTGCGTGGTCACTCAGCCGAGTAGGAAACGCCAGAAGAAGACTGACAGTCGCGTGGCAGAGTTGGAGAAGAAAATAGATGCCTTAACAGCGGTGCTCCATGCCACAAGATCCGATACCATCCCGCACAGTGTTACCGATACTCCAGAGTCACTCGAGCGCCGCCCTTCAAATCCATATGAGCAAGTTACGAATGGCGGATATGGGCCTCAGTTTGGGATGCGCCCTGAAGTACAAGACCCAGCCTCCTCTTCCATACTGTAGCTAATTTTTTGTGAACAGCCTCAAAACTCAAAACCAAACGACTGGGCAGTACCGGATCGCCAGTATCCCAGAATGCCAGATGTCGATAGAGCGGAACCCGTACAAATACACAGACCATCCATAGATAGGGCGGATTCTGGCTCCACCGCCAGACCGCAGATTGTCGTTGCGGGCCAGAAAAGGAAATATCAGGATGCTCGAGACTCGAGCGGGCAGAGTTCAGCAGTCGACACTCAAAGCGCAAGCCAGTTTCCACATCGCATGAATAGCTATATCTCAGGGCGTGACGAAGGAACTAATTCACCACTTTCTACGCGGCCAAATGCATCCAATGAGTATGCCGATGTTATCGATAGGGGTGTCATTACTGCAGAGTCGGCAACGGCATTGTTCAATAGATATGTAAATGACATGTCTCCGCACATGCCCGCAGTCGTATTTCCGCCAGGCACAACTGCAGCTGATATCCGCAAATCAAAGCCCACTCTATTCTTGGCAATACTGAGTGCGGGTGCTTCAACTGATCACCCAGAAGTTCAAAAGGTGTTTACCAAGGAAGTGATGCAGATATACGCAGATAAGATTATCTGCCATGGAGAGAAGACTCTCGAATTGGTCCAGGCCTTACTTGTTAGCACAATATGGTACTGGCCGCCAGAACATTTTGAAGAACTGAAATTCTATCAGCTCATCCATCTTGCGGCAGTTATGGCCATTGAAATCAATATAAGCAAGAAAAACAGCTCAAGTCAGGCACCAAAGTCTATGGCTGGGCTGTGGAAAGATCATTTATGGCGCCGAACCGCATTTCCGGATGCCTCTTCTATCGAAGCGAGGCGGACGTGGGTTAGCTGCTATTTCTTATGTTGCAATGCTGCCATGGGGCTACGTCGCTCGAATCTTATCCGATGGACATCATATATGGGCGAATGCGTTGAAGTTCTTGAAACCTCTCCTGACGCAGCGCCATCAGACAAAGTTCTGTGTCAATGGGTCAGGAGCCAACATATTGCAGAGGAGGTGGGAACCCAGTTCTCAATGGACGATTCATTTGCGTCAGTTAGCATTACCGATCCCAAAGTTCAGTATGCTTTGAAGGGATTTGAGAGAGACTTGGAGCACTGGAGCAGCCACATACCCAACGACATACAAAACCGTACGAATGCCTTCCCCTTCCACGATGCTTGATATCTTCCGTGTATATACTGACATGTGTAATAGCCCTGTTGAAGATGACGGAGCATCTTGTAAATCTGTACATGCATGAGGTTGCCATGCATGTCGATCATAATGTTGAGTCATTTAATGCTCCGTTTACAGAGGAAAAGCTGCGAGGCCCCGACAACCCTGACCAGCAAGCATCGCGACCCCTTACGCCAACTCATATTGCCGCTTTATCAACTTGCCTAACCTCAATTGATGGAGTTTTCGAGGCTTTTATGTCCCTTGATGTTGATACTATAAGAGCACTACCTGTTATGCACTTCGTTCGCATTGCATACGCAGTTGTTGTGTTAATCAAGATGCATTTCGCCGCTGCAACTCCCGGCTCTGAGCTTGGCAAAGTGATTGACAAAAACAACATGAAAGTTGAACAGTACCTTGATGGCCTGCTCGAAAGGTTTAAGGCCACCGCTGCTGATAACAAGTCACGCCCGGGGTCAAAATTTCTGATGGTACTAATCATGCTCAAGACTTGGTTTCACCGCCAAACAAACGGCAAGGCAAACAACATGCCGACCGAGGCCGGTGGTCAAGGCAAAACGAACATTCCCAAACATCATCATCAAACCCCCGAGCACCAACAGCAGAAAACATTTAGCCCGGCCAACACGCCGCTTCAGCTTCTCAGCGAAGTGGCTACTGGAAGCAGTGCGGCACAAACACCTCGTCTCGATACACGCACACAATATCCACCCATGTCTCAACGCCTCTGGGCACAACAAGCAAGTCAGCCACTAAACTACCCCGACTCAAATGGGGCTCACGCTGCTCAGGGATACAACAATATGGGTTATAATATCGATCCTGCACTGGGCGCAAATGAACCCGTGGAGTACGATCCATCTGCGGGTGACGGTTTCGAGCAGACCGTAGGGATGACGATTGCGGAGGGGCAACTGGGTCAGTATTTCAGTGACGATGCGTTCTTCGGGGTGATGATGGAGGGGCTGCCGCCGATTTCATTTGACGACTTTCAATGGAATAGCGGTCCGCTAGACCTCAGTAATAAAGGCGGTATGTAAAGATGGACCACGCTTTGAGACGATATGAATGATAATGGAAGGGGCAATGACTTTACGAGGTTTGAATTTTGTACTTGCTATATACTACCCATTACTTTAATTGCCAGTATGATATACGAATTTAGTATAAAATGTGTATTGTAAAAAATAAAAATATATAAATTCAAGACGCCAAAATAAAAAATATACAAATAAAATGTCACAAAATTATTATCCCTAACAGCAGCTACATTACCTATCAAACATGCATTCCACTCCTCCACCATCCAGGCAAAGACCCCTATTAGAACCATAATATATCCAACCACAACGGCCCGCATTCGATAGCATCTCGATTTACCGGTTTTGGGTTAAGACGGAGTATATATATGAGATTGCAAATCCCGGGGATATCGTACGTTATGACGGGTAGGCAGCATTGAAGGGGGATAAATTGGATTGGAGCATAATACCACCAGAACAGACAATAGTAACGTGTGATAGTTTCATTGTAACAATCTCTGAACGCCCTTTTGAATTTTTGCTAATCATACATGTGTCGTACACGTGTGCTATGTGGTATCGTTATGCTAGTTGATGAAGTTGACACAGAAGAAATGCAGGATAAGGCTACCAAAAACGTAGTCGGCGAATGCTCTGTACTGAAGTCAGCGGCATGTCTCATCACAATTATAGTTGGCCACGGGGTGATTTATTACCTCTCTGGTGAAATAGACTCAAACTCTGCCTTGTTCTCTGCATTTGTCTGTATCCTTAACGAAGCTATCGACTACGTTAGATGTATTCAACAACCTATGCCCGAAATGTAGGTTCACATACCAGTTAAAACGAACTGTCCGACAGTAGCTGAAAATCCCGAGAGAAACGCATTGAATGGCTACAAGAATATCAGTAAAATTTACCTTGATCCGTACGGACTGAACGGCACTCACATAGTTCCCAACGATAACGCAATACACAAATTGTAGAACGCCTACCACCACCAAGAATGCCATGAAGACATCAATCAGCTTCGTACGCTGGGGTGTCGCCTTCACGTAGTTATCCCACATTGCCACAGCAACCTCCTGTGCACTTAGGTTCGCATCTTTCGATTTCGACGTGGCACTTTTGACGGCGGGCGCTGGCGTGGTTGGTGTGGATGTGCCGGATTTGTTGATGGGAGGGGAGGGAGTAACGTCACGGGCGTTGCGTTTTGCGGCCATCGTCAGAGCAGAAGGGCGAAGTTGTGGACGTTGGGATGGTTCAATGGACGTGGATTGGAATTGTGGTCTGGGAGGCTGTAGAGTACCTTGGGGACACGAAGCTCAATCGTAGCCGCGCCATCGGGACCTTCGAAGCGACAGCCGCGTTTATCTACCAGGGATGGTGTCACCGGCTTGGCACGTGGGATAAATCAACTCCACGACGAACAATTAAGCTAAAAATCTGAAGCCAGTTCTTTTTCGATTGTTCAGAAACATAGTATCTAAATATATACGCAGCAAAAATGGTAGGGAAAACTATGTGAACTGCATACTCTTGACTAACCCATGCTAGGTCAACGAAGTCCCCGCTTATGTGCTCGCGGCTCTCACAGCTGGAGGCGGCATCACCGGATACATTCGCACAGGATCGTTGCCATCCGTTATCGCTGGCACTGCTGTCGGTGCTCTGGTATGAATGACTCCGTGCTACATGAGATTAAATTGACTGTTCATAGTACGCCCTGGGCGGCTACCGCATTGCCACAAACCAGCAATATGGGCTCGAGCTGGCTCTCCTTGCCTCTTTAGTGCTTGCTGGCTCATCCATTCCTCGCGCTATCAAGACCCAGAAGGGACTTCCAATTGGGTTGAGTCTCCTTGCTCTGTACGGGCTGTTTACGTATGGCACTGCGTATAAGAATAGGTTGTAGCCAGAGAAGCACCTAGGTTGAAACATGTGTAGTCAATTGAAGGAGTTGTTATTCATTCGTACTGTACAGTGCCTCACACGCTGAGTCAAGGCCACTCTTTGCATCCCAATAGTCTGGCAAATCCCATCGCTGCTTGGACGTTTCCTTTAACGCCTAATGAGACTTCCAAACTCCGCCCAATATATTCGTATCATAGTCTCCCTTCTCGCCCTCCCTTCATCCTCCCAATTCCAATAACCTGTCCGTAGTTCTTATGACTCCTCGTCAATCTTCGCCCATATGGCCTTGATCTGCTCTCGCTTTATCCTCGCCTTCTCTCGATTCGCCGCCGTCCGCTCCACACGCTGAGCGCGCAGGCAAACAGTTACGTCCCTCTTAACGCCATTGCACATTCCAACTGCCTTGTACAAAAATCCACGAGAATGGCATTCGTCGAGCATGTTCATGACATCTTCGCAGGCTATCGTCCGTTAGAAACGTGTGCCCTGTATGTGTCGGAGAAAGTTGGAAGACATACCCCTGTTGTCCTCTGTATGGAGATGAGGATGCATATTGACTGTTTTGTAATGCAGATATTATGGTAGTGAGGGAGGTGAGACACGCGATGTTCTGGGCCACAGTCAATGGTAGAGTTGTCGAGGTTCGAGGAATTGAGGGCGGAAATCCGAGCGTCGTTTGGGGAAAGCGGCTAATTCCGCTCTGGGCACTTGAGCTTCTGAGGCCTCCTGTCAACAAGTAAAGCAACATCAACATCAAAAGATGGCATCACAAATAACTGCTAAAAAGCAGCAAGGTCAGAATATACGCTTAGGTTTACCGAACAAACATTGCTAACGCTGGGGGATGTTAGAGCTGCAGAACCAATACTCCGCCTACAAAAACGGTCTCCAACAGATCGCACAGAAGATTGGGGATGTGGAACAGGAAGCTGAGGAGCACAAGTAGGTCTCTTTATTTGTTATATCGGGATTACGGAGAATACCCCTATCAATTAGGCTTCACACGACACAGTTACGCGTTGAGAAAGACGCTGGACGGATTCTGGAGTACCCCGCTAACATATCCAGGCTCGTGCTCGAAACTTTGACCCCTCTTCCAGGCGACCGAAAATGTTTCCGCATGATCAACGGCGTTCTCATCGAGAGGACTGTTGAGGATGTGGTGCCAGCGCTGAAGACCAACTCCGAAGGTCTAGGCAAGGTGCTGGAGGATCTGGTTAAGTCGTATAAAAGACAACAGGAGGAGATGGAGAAGTGGAAGGTATGTCGCCTTTGATATCCACGCCCAAGTTGAAGAGCCCAATATTAATACCTTGAGTAGAAGAAGAACAATATCCAGGTTGTCCAGCAGTAGAGACGAAGGCTATTGAAGGGTGGCGGAGCTTCGAGCGAAGGCAGTGACCAGTTGAGAACGGCCATTGTGGGGGCATAGCGACGGCGTCAGGAGTCAATACTACTAAGGACCGAGTTCATAGAAAAATATCATGCACCATTACGAGCTACGACGAATGCTCAGTCTGAATGCCCTTCACCGTGTTGGGAGGCTTGTGAGGGCCAAAATAAAACTAACTTCTGCCGGATTTCAAATCTGTGAAGCGAACCTACTTTTCGGAATTCCACACATTTCCTCCGTCATATCAAATTCTTCAAACAAGCCGGCAGAGACCGTCGCCCTCCCCGTCAAGAATAAGGCTAGCCAACAGCATTGATGCGTTGGCACAGTGCAGCCTTGAAGCGGCTGGAGCGTCTCGCTACCCAACCACAGCCCCGACCATGCATTGCTACCATATCACAAGGCTGCCATGGGCTCCAAAAGCAAAAATTAGTTGTTTTCGCAATCGTCATATTTTCACCATGCATTAGCCTCACTCCTAAGCCACAGGAAATATGTCACAGCCTCGCATCGATTGTTTCTCACACCGTGCGTTAGCCTTCAGTCCTTTCACCGCTCTTGCAAGTTGATTCGATGATGACAGGATTGCCCCGAAGAAGGAGGCGAGAGAACTGGTAGCCAATCTCATGGATGTCGGCGACTGCCAGCCAGTAGTCAGGATAGGCTTGCAACCGCTTCCCCCTTACAATCTCGGAGATGACGGCTTGGTGCATGTTAGATTCCAGATGTACCTTCCTCACCGTCACTCACGCACATAGAGTATCTCCAGCCTCCAGGACAAGTCCAGGTACAGGCCATTTCTCGCCATTTAGCAGCTAGGAAAACATGTACTAAGTACATCTATAGGCAGATCACTGGCGTTATTGGCTGCGTACCTTACCTCTCGAAAAGACGAGCTGCCGTCATCACGCTCTTATTGGATCGTTGAGATCTCTTGTTTATGTTTTGGGAGATCGAGGCTCGTGAACAATGTATTGTGGTGTTTGTGAGTGCATAACCGTCATTGTTTGGACTCGGTATGGGTATGTACCATAGCAGCTACCTGACGCGAAAAGCGTGGTAAACATGGAATATGGCAATGGAGGGATATAATATATGTAGCTGGAATGAATATGTGTGAACATTGCACAGCGCATACATCTCTATACTCACGCCAAAGCTTGGACCCCAATTCCCCACGCGTAGACGTCAATTCCCGAGAGATCCATCGTACACTACGTCCCTACCTTACCTTAGTGGAACATGCTTGCTACCTCCACACTCGCCAACCCCCCATTGTCATCAAACCCGTGCTGCACCTCTCCTCCCGGCGTCCAACGAAGCTTTACAATTCATCCGATTCTCCCTGGCTCTAAAAGGTCACTGGCATCTGACCTACATACTTCGCTCTTGTCCGAGTCTAACGCGCCACCCCACGTTCCACTTCCGCCGTATTACGCTGCACGCAATATCGAAGCCTACATTGCGCCAGAATTGCGCCGACCCGAACTGCACGCGCTACGATTGAATATCAAAATAAGCAAACCCAGGCCGCGTTATATGCTTTAGCCCAGGTGAGTAGTATACGGAAAGCCCTATTCTGGCTGCCTGCCCGCTGCCCTGCCCTTTGTTATTTTTACCGCTTCGTGCCCAAAACGCTGACGCGACCTTGCAGTAGGACCACTGCACCCAGCCCTCCAATCCCAACGCCATCCAAGCCTGAGTCTAGTAGCTTCTAGCCCACTCTCTAAACAACGGTGTAACATTTCCTCCTGCACACAGGATACGCGCATATAGGAATTGAACGCTGTGCGAGCTAAACCGCGACTTCGCCCGCTCCGCACCTCCCACGCCGACCTCAGTCAGCGTGCACGACAGGGTATACACGGCTCTTCTCTCGCGGCCGATCAACACAGCCCACTATTTCGTGCAGGAGTCGCGCAAGCCCTGCTTCCAACGTGTAAGCAAACACTTCAGAGCCAACGTGGCAACCAAGGAAATCGAAGGAAGCCAGAAGCCGAAGCCTGCAGGTATCCATATACATCATGTCGGCATCCCCTCCAAAAGAACCGGATGTTGAACAAGGAGTACAATCGCCTGGCAACGGAGAAGGACCTATGGATTCTCAAGACCCACACGCCTCTGGACTGGGCTACGAGTTCGAAGTGAAAGAGCAGGACCGATGGCTGCCAATAGCAAATGGTTAGTCACCCTCTTCTCCAATTTGATTTGTTCGCGCGGAGCAATTGTGTCTATACGTGCACGTTGAAGCTCGCCCCTACTGGCATCGCTTCCATTTGTCATATTTCAGTATTTGCGCATGTGGCCCCATTTGGCCACTCGTCAAGCTAGAGGCGCAAAGTCTTGAGCTTCAGATGTGCTACCGCGACGAGGTTCCCAGCAATGTCCCAAGACTCTTCTTCACCAGTTGAACAGGAGCGCCGCTCTTCCAGGTCTAAAAGAAATGATGGTGGATCTGACGCTGACATTCGTAACTTTGCACCAGTTGCTCGAATCATGAAGACGGCACTACCGGAAAACGCAAAGATTGCAAAGGAAGCCAAAGAATGCATGCAAGAATGCGTCAGCGAGTTCATTAGCTTCATCACAAGCGAAGGTAGGTCTTAAATGTATTTGATCAGAGTCTGCCATGCTGACAATTAAATATAGCTTCTGAGAAATGCCACCAAGAAAAGAGGAAAACTGTTAACGGAGAGGATATCCTTTTTGCCATGACCTCATTGGGCTTCGAGAATTACGCTGAGGCCTTGAAGATCTATTTGGCAAAATACCGCGAAGTAGGTCCACACTAATAATCCTGTTCCTTTTATCAGTCATCAATCTATAGTTTATATCATAGGGCCTATCTAATCCTTCAATGTAGACACAATCGGCTAGAGGGGAGAGCCAGCAAAATCGCCCAAGCAGCCAAGGCTTCGGGTCAGCTGCCGCAGTTGGGTCATCAGCCGGCGTGAACGCAGCAGGAGGAACCTTCAACAGCACCGAGGGGTCAAACAATATCCTTGGAGGCCAGCAAGCAGAATCTGGGGAACATGACCCGAGCGGCTTTGGAGGCTTGTACAGCACCGGCATGCAAGGCGGACACAATGGATCTGTTGGAGGAGACGGATACTAAGCTGTTTTTCCAGATGATGCGACTCGCTTTGGCCATTGCGGTTCTCCGATATGTGCTTGAGGATGCTGCCGTTATCATTGGCGTGTATGACTACAAAAACGACTCTAGTGGTACGGATAGCCTTTGGCTGGTCTCTAGCTGCTGATTAAAAGGGGTCAATTATTATATTTGGACGCTTCTAGCTGTACAGGGAGCCGCTGGCCAAAAGTATGGGCGGCGGCGATATTTAGACTTTTCGCTCCTAAAGAGCAGCAGGAATGCAGGGCTTTCTTTTGGGGGGCATAGGGTTGTATGTTCGAGGTTGGGTGTACACGGTCTACTAGGGATAGGTAGAGTGTAACGTGGTGGTTATACGGAACGTTTCAAATGATACTTGTAATTTCTTGGTATTTCAATGATGCAATAAAATAAATACATATAAAATATAAACCCAACGTATTGTAAAGGAATTTAGCACCGAGAATGAAAATAGGTTCAAGGTTAAATTATATGGTTAAGACCTATTATTATAATCCAGTACATATCCATAAAGTAAATAAGATATTAATGAACATTATAATAAAATTGTCTTTGTAGCCTTTCATTGACGTCGGAACCAAAGCGCAGTTGAGTAAAACTTCCCCGCATTACGCAGTGCAGCACGTCAACTGTGAAGGCACGTGCACTCCCGATAAGAGTAGCGCACAAAACTCTTGAACATTTTCTGACGACGAATCTGCCTAACACGCGACCACAAAACTCACTTCGACCCTTCCGTGGACCCCATAACGACTGGCACGGCCACATACACTCTACACAATACACATTCATGATATCGAACTGCTTCATGTGAATAAGGGGCTGTCAGGCTCTTATTCATAAGCTGTCGCGCTCCCATGGCGCCAATGGTTCGCCCTCCACCAACACACTTTCAACCGTCAGGCTCGTCGGCTTCGAAGCCTACTCCGACCAAGACGTTATTGCGAAAATCAACACTCGCTGGAAAACGGAAACTCGACGATGCTGGTCTTGATTTAGACGGTGACGACATGTCTGCCTCTATGAACCCTGCGAAACGCTCCAGGACAGTGACCTTCAACCCACTTGTGCAAGAACAACTTTTTACCTCGTCGCCCGAGGCACCAACCGACTTATACGATGTTAGAAGGCTTGTGAAGAAAGCGCTAGATGAACATAATAGAACCGGAGGAGATGATTCGCGATACGATGGAGTCAAGGAAGTTTTTTCAACGAAGAACAGGCCGCAGGGAAAAGCCGAGAATGATCTTATGAGGGCGCATCTGTTGGCTTTGACCAACTGTGTCTCGCTGCTGGGAAAGAACTCGTCAGGACTCGTCCGGGCTGTCTTGGAGTCGGAGTGGGTCGGTAGAGATGAGCCGTACGTCAGGGCGTATGTGAACTTCCTGAGCAACCTAGCCAGCGCACAGGGTGCTTATGTCGGAACCGTTCTATCTATGCTGGTTGGGAAATTCTCTACGTGTATGTGCCACCCGTCCTACGAGATAAACAGTATAACTGACAAACTGCAGTGCGCATCTCAAATGGAAGGTTGGCCGACTGCCCCATCGTCCACCGCACCCAGCTGTCAGCACGCGTCCACACTGCCCTCAAATATTTATTGCGCCTGATCCCTTCAGCATCTGGGACACTCGCACCTATTCTGGCGGCAAAATTCCCTTTCTCTGATGAGTCGAAGAAAGCTCACATGGCGTACATCAACAACTTAATAAAGATCATCGATTACGCACCGGAGTTAAAGTCAGACATTTTTGCGCTAATCACGGAAAGGCTTGTCAAGATTGACGTCCAAATGCAAGTTGACCTGGATGATATGGATGACGATGTGGCTGCAGCAGTTGTCCAGTCAGTGTCGATTCGTTCGGACTTAACCGGTGAGGATGATTCCGAGGCCGACGACAGCGACTCGGATTCTGATGCGAGCGACGACTCCCTGGACGACAAGGAAAACCGCGTCAAGACGATGCATGAGAACGTTGAGAAAATGGATGCCATTCTGGATACCCTCTTCGAACTCTATACCCCGCACTTTGAGGATCCACTTAGCTCCAGCGCAATATCTACGTTTGATACTTTACTGTCTCACTTTCGTAACATCATTTTACCGACATACCGTTCACGACATACCCAATTCCTCTTGTTCCACTTCGCTCAGACTTCGGAGCACCTTATCGACACCTTTGCAGGAGAATGTGTTGACCTCGCTTTCAAGTCTGGCCGCCCGGCTGTATTGAAGCAATCCGCTGCTGCATACCTCGCATCATTCGTTTCTCGTGGCGCCAATGTACTCCCACATGTTGTGCGTGATGTTTTCGACTATATCGGCACTAATCTTGATCTCATCCGATCCGAGAACGAACTTTCGTGTCGGGGACCGGACCTTCAACGTTACAGCACATTTTATGCGACTACCCAGGCCCTTCTGTACATATTTTGTTTCCGCTGGCGTGACCTTGTTGTCTCTCCATCTGCCGAAGAGGGTGAGATTGACGAAGAGGACTTTGTCGGCAGGGACCTGGAATGGCGCGCTGGAGTAAAAGAACTCCTGGACCGCACAATCTATTCTAAGCTCAACCCGCTGAAAATTTGTGCCCCATCAATCGTGGAAGAGTTTGCGAAGATTGCACACCACCTGCGCTTCATGTATGTCTATCCGCTTCTGGCAACAAACAAGCGGATCAGGCTCTCGCAGTTTGCATTGGGTGCAGGGAACGCATCTTCTGGCCTATTGAGAGACAGCGGATTTTCAACCGGAGTAGCCACAGAGGATGGCGAAGAAGAGAGCTGGCACCAGCTCGAGGCATATTTCCCATTTGATCCTTATCAGCTACCAAAGAGTCGGAGATGGGTCGAGAATGATTACGTGGCTTGGAGAGGTGTACCTGGTCTGCGTCAAGATGAAGAAGAAGATGATGATGATAGCACGGATTCCGGGGAAGATGATAGTGGGGATGACGACGACGATGTAGAGGTCGACACAGCAACGGATGACGAGGAGAACTAAACTTATTCTCGTGGACAGCTGGCGCCAAATAATACGAATTGACGCCAATCTGCTTTTACTGCATAGCGTATAGGAATGGGAAACACGGAAAAAGTGTGGCGTTTTGAAGCGAAGGCGAATGTGCTGGTGGAGTTCGAGTTATACCTTGACGAATACTTGCAGAACTGGGTATATCTATGAGATAATGATAAGAGACTCAGAGATGATTGCCTTTTCTGGGGAATTGGCTATATAAGAATACAAAGCTTGCAACTACTTCTTTCTTTGTAACCTTGAACTGCTACATGCTATGACTCTGGTTTGGACTTTTTTTTCAATCCATTTGTGACTTCGGCTTCTACAGTTTCAAAACAATGGTTACTAAGAGTCGACGCAACTACCGTCCACCCCAGTGTTCTTTTAAAGACCTTTATCAATGTAACACACGCTTCTATTTTAAATTGCATATATATATTCCATACGTGGTACCAAGCTGTTATATTCAACGCCCGTGGCTTTGTAGTTTCCTCCTTTCATAGGCCCTAGGATACCATATGGAGGTGGGGTCTTAGAAAACAGGGTAATAGTCATATATTTTGGATAATATATCAGTCTATTAAAAGACTAAACACTAACCTTTCTGTAGAGGTCCGCGTTCCTACTATATAGTTCTATTATGTGGCACTTGTGTGGCGTACACTAGCATGAAATTAAGCGCTTGCCGCCTCGAATATGGAGAAAAAATAGAACCCCACACAATGCGGCTACGCTAATTGGCGGTAGAAGCGGCAAAAGTAAAACTTCCCGTTAGGGCTGCGCAGGGTTCGACGCTTATTTAAACGCGTAGGGTGGCCTCGACTACTGTCCTAAATGCCTCTATTAGCACCCTGCATCGTGAGCGTCATAACAAAATCTTTTGCAACCAGAATCGACTAGTAGATGCATCGTTTTGCTTATATTAACCGAAAGAAGATTTAGTTTAAGCACAATGGCCGTCCAGTTTTGAGCAACCGTATCCCGATGACCCGCCAAAACTACTAAGGCTTGAAGAGCCAGTGCTAATGGCATCCCCAAAGCCCGGGTGTCCCAATTGTTGTTGTAGAATAGCCAAATCTGCCTAGTTACCTAGCGGACAAGCGTTTTTATATTTCGGAGTTTCTGCCGTGAGTCTAATTCCTTCTTTCTTTCTACAACCTTGACAAAACCACGCCTCCACCACGCCACGCACTCCAACTTTCTTCAAACGTATTGCTCTTTACTTTGCTTTACAATACCTATTACATCTCATCAATACTACTTGGCTTGCATATGTGGTACAGGAGTGTTCAACCCTTTGGAACTCCTCTCGCAAGACAACCATCATTGCTTCCCCACCTGATTTCACAACAACACCCCTTCGCATCCATCAACCATCTAAACCAATCACTTGTCGCAAGTGCTTCATTCTATACAAGGATAGCGTTTCTTGCAAACCCTCTAGATGCTCATCCTAGTGGATGCTCATCCAGAGAACCATATTTGCTTTCTCTTTCAGAAGCCCACCACAGCCATCTAGTACGAAGTCCGTTGTTGCAAGGCAACAACTCACTGTCTTGCCACCGGTATCATCATAAAGCCGTGCCGATACTCTATCACCACCATGGGCGGACGTAAAACTCCCAAGCAGCAGTTGCCCTCCGGGGGGTGGACTCCGCCACATCCTGAATTGATTCCTGCTCCGTTATTTTCCCGGGGAACCAGGCAGCTAACACCTACCGGAACGACAGCTTTATCGCCGATTATCGATCAAACAGGCGCTGTCTCATCCCCCCCTACTACTTCTCCTTGGCTAGCCTCATCCACGCCCCCAGTTGGTCCGAGCAATTTAGATCGCATTTCTACTCTCGGTAGGAGCGAGACTGTTATTCGGCTGTTGCGTGGTGACCGCGCACCTCGTTCCAATATCGCGAAGATGGACTTCCTTTCTGCAAAGTCGGCTGATATCCAGTCGACCAAGACCAAGGCGGTGGAAGATGCACGCCAGATGCAAGTCAGCGTGATCGAGGAATGCAAGAAATCTTCTCGGGATCCTCCAAATTATTTGTTACTGGAATTGATTGGGAAAGGAAGCTTTGGGAGAGTCTACAAAGCGTAAGTCTGTTCTACAATTCGCCCGCGAAAATGCCCTGGTTTTAACTTGAATTTACTGTTTAGGAAAGACTTGACTTCCACTGCGGTTGTCGCTGTCAAGATTATCGATATTGACGAGGGGGACACTTTGAACCCACGCCTCGCCGATACTTATTCGGAATTTATGAAAGAAGTCAATGCACTTAAGCTTCTCAGTGAAACAAAGGCCCGGAACATCAATCATGTGATTGAAGCCCTTCCGGTCGGCAAGGCAATGTGGATGATAACAGAGTACTGCGGCGGCGGCAGTATTTCTACATTGGTAAGTTATTATCTGTGCTTGTATCGAACGCAAAGCTGACAGCCCTCAGATGAGACCAACACCAAAAGGCCTCCGCGAGCGGTACATTATTCCAATTCTGAGAGAGGTTGCAGAAGCTGTTTATTGGGTCCACCAAGCTGGTATCATTCATCGAGACTTGAAATGTTAGTTCTCCTCCAACTTGTGACCTAAACATCATGTTAACATATGTTAGGTGCAAACGTCCTCATCACTGAAGAGGGTGGCGTTCAGCTTTGCGACTTCGGTGTTGCTGGAATGATGGAAACATCTCTTGATAAGAGATCCACATTCATAGGAACTATAAACTGGATGGCACCCGAGCTTTTTAATGCAAACCCACATTATGGCAAAGAGGTTGATATCTGGGCTTTTGGATCGATGGCTTACGAAATGGCCACAGGCCTGCCTCCAAACGCAAGATCTGGAATTACCGATGGCGCTGAAATGGGAGACTATCTCAAAGAACACATCCCACGGCTCGAGGGGAACCAGTATAGTGAAGGTCTGAAGAATATCGTGGCATATTGCCTCGAAGAGCGTGTTTCAGACAGGCCGGACATTCAATCCGTCCAGATGCATCCGTATATTTACAACACAAACAACGCATATCCAGCGTATTCTCTTGCTGAACTTGTCAGGGCCTTTAAACACTGGGAGGAATCTGGCGGCTCTCGAAAGTCGCTTTTCATGTTGGGAGGTGCGCAAGGTCCATCCGATTCGTTTCCATCTAGCGAAGATCAAGATAATTGGAATTTCTCCACGACTGCTGCGTTTGATCAGGCCGTTGGTGATTCGACCAACCTACAGGACGTCATAAACGTTTATGGCAGTTCTGTTGATCTCAGCACTGAGTTCGCAGAAAAGACTTCCAAGCCCTCCCGCCAGCAACAGGCAAGAGAACGTGGCAGACGCCGCCCTCCACCAGAGTTATTGAACCCAATCAAAGCTCCTCTTGAAAAGCTGTTCGATCCTAATACAATCTCCAACTACGAGGATAACTCAAGGATACATTATGGGCGAGATTTCGTAATGCCGGTCTCTGACCTTCCACTCAGAGAAAGAGACGATACGGCTCAGATATCTATCAGAGATACGATGATCGATTTGGGCGGGCATGACATTGAAACTGGGTTATCAAGCTTCCCAGATCTTACTATCCGACCTGACCGAGAAATCCGCGCCATTGATACTGATGACACCGATGACATCGAATACAGCTACGACGATAACACCATGCATGGTTTTGGCAGACAACCGTCATCGGATTCAGCTGAAAACCCAAACCGTCGCACCCGAGATTGGAAATTTCCATCCGCTCCAGCAGCATCTTCAGACGTGGAAACAAGCCGTTTCCCAAACACAGCGGCTCCAGCCCGTCCCCCTGTCACGCTGGGGTCCGGCGGTCGCCCAAAGCTTGTGCACCACCCCACAGAACCGCTCGGCGCAGGGTTTAATAACTTTATGGCATCTGCACCCACTTCCCCCAGACAATCTATTCGAGAGTCTCTGATAGACCTTGATTTCGGCCTTCCGGATTCCGCACCGGAATACGTTCCAGACTACGCCCCAGAACCCTCTCGACCATCTACCGCTGATTCTACAACAAGTAACGAGTTTGTTTCAGGCAACCCTTTTGATTTGGAACGCCATGCGTCGACTAGTTTCCGCAATGCACCAAGGGAACCCTCTCTGTACCTTCCAGGAGACTCGGGATTTGCAGGCCATTTCCGCGCTCGGAGCAATCTGCAAGATGTAGCAGACATATCTGATTTCTCTGGCTCGGATGCCGAGCAATATGGCCCACCAAATGGCCAACACTATGGCCAGCGATCCCAACAAATGTTCGACTACTCCGACGCAGATTATTCGCAGCCTCCGATGATCGAAAAGCCCTTCAACACCCAGTCAGCGCCGTCCTGGACTACACCTCAGGGCGTAGTCTACGGCATGGACCGATTTCCCCCACTGCCAATTCCGCCTTCTATGGGGGCACTGGCAGGAACATCAACGAGCGAAGAAATGGCAGGCGAGCTCCAACGTCTTCTTGGTGGTCTGACCACACAGCTGGAGGCTTACCGGGATGTTGCCGAATCTCTCCCTGCAGGTCAAAACGCACCCAGTCATCGCGAAAAAACCACTCGGATGGAGTGAGATACGCACTGCGTGATTGTTTTATATGGATTCTCAAAGAGTTCCTAGTACGATGTTACCAAACCGATACCATGGATGAATTGTAATTTTTTTGTCAGCATTAAAGAGAACTTCTACGAAACGAATTCAGCGCGCCTCATGTACGTTAGGTTAATAATGAGCATATACATGAACCAAGTGTGCTCAAGGCGGCTATAATCATTGTCGATTGATTAGGGATTGCCTTGGGTTTATGACTTGACATGAAAACTTGATCAGTTAAATAGATAGCGAGCGACATTGTCCACACTTGAGTTTAATGAAACTTAAATTTTACTTTAATTGGCTTTGTACTGAATATACCAGTGTCTTGTTGGCCATTTTCTAGTAAAGTTTGTGTGAAAACATTTGATCAGGAACCTTTCCTCACGTCATACCTAGTCTGATGGGCTTGCTGTGTAAATTGTCATGCATGGGCCACTGGGATTGTTTTGACATCTGTATCATTTCATTAAAGTCTCGCTCGCATATGTCCTCTTTTAACCTTAAGAGTCAATACTAATGGGTATTCTTGACCCTCTACAGGCAACATGATCACCTCCAGAACGGCTACCTGATCCACCACCCCACTGGAGATGCATCCCATTGTCTCGCATGAATGGCAAGCCCAGCAAAATATCCGTGTCCAAATGCTTCCCCTCAACAATCCATGCCTCGCCCTGCACCCGAATCGGCTCCCCATTTTCTCCAACAAAGGTGAGGGGAAGCATTATTCGCTCATCTGTTGAATCACCCTTACCGCTAATACCTGACATAGTTATCCCCACGCCACGTGTTACTGATATGCCTGGGAAATATCGTCGCAGAGAAGACCGCTTTATGAGTGTCATTGAGGCTCCGGTGTCAATTATACAATGGATCTTTTTGCCGGACGGCGACAAAGGAAATGTTACCGGAGTTTCAGAGTCCCTCGACCGGTCGCGATCAATTCCATGGCTGCCATTACCACCCTTGGAACCGATACTGCTCCCTTGGTGATCGAGATTCAAGCCCCCAAACATATCAGCAAAATCTCTTAGGCCATGGCGTGAACTGTGACGAGGAGGAGGAGGACCTCGCTGGAGCCTGCTGAACTCTCTATCATAGCGGTTTTCGCCACCGAAGTCATCAAAGCCTCTGTCTGGAAATGGCCGCATTTGAGGCGGAGGGCCAAACTTGTGGGGCATGAAACCTGGTGGGGGCCGCCGTGGCGGGGCCATTGGAATCCGTGGGGCAAACGTGCCACGAGGGGGCCCATGATAACGACCAGGTTCGGGTCTGTGAGAACCGCGTCTGGGGTTACAACCTGGTCCAGAAGCCCACCCATCAACTGGGCTCCATCCCATATCACCCATGCCGTCTTCTCTCTTATGAACCACGGAGGAATACCGAGCTGAATAGTTGAATGTGGAACAGCAGAGCCAAATAAAGGTAATGCAAGGTGTTCAAGAGGACACGGAGGACAAACTGGTAATAAAGATATTAGACAGTGTGAATTGTATAGCTCTACGTACCTAAATCATCGCTGTTATTCGCCGTCCATAGTGAGCAAACCCAGTTACTCCTTATATTATCTCATATGACACACCTCCAAGTCGCACATTCACTACTAGCCTCCCTTATTTTCGCTTTCCTCCAAGTCGAATCAGGCGCCCTTTGCGCTGGCGTCCACTCCGGTTGCCAACTAGGTATTGTACCACTTTGGATTCAACATTAATGGGGATTTTGTGCCCCTGAACCATGACGGAATCAGTTTCCCCGTTGCTACCCCATTCAAGACTCATCTGGTTTGCCCTCAGATACGGAAGACCAAGGAGACAGTCAACATCAAAACCACTGTCACAAATCCATGCCTCTCCTTCAACAGTGGCTTTTCCGTTGCCGAAATCAAATGTTAGAGGCATCGTAAATCTTTGGTAGCTAGGGCTCAGTCCACCACCGATGCCTCCGAGGTTTATCCTTTTGTCTGCACAAACAGGAATGCTTCGGAAGTGTTTGTTATATGCAGCAGTAGAAATCAATGTCAGAGATGCCCCAGTATCGATCAGCAAGTTTATGCGTTGGCCGGATGTTCCCAGAGGATATACATAAGGGGATTCGGAGAGGCCAGCTCCACCTCCACCACTAGGGCCGCCGAAGTTGCCAGGCCCAATGCCAGGCCATTCGGTCGGCTGTGGGTAAGGGCCGGGAAAGGTGGATGGTCCTGGGCCTGATGGTGGTGGGAAACCCGGAAAGTTCATTCCACCAGGCATTGGTCCTGGAAAGCCACCACCAGGATTCTGGCAGTCACCAGTGCAACCAGGGCCACACGGCATAAATGGTGGAGGCATTCCAAATCCGGGAAATTGAAAAGGGGGCATAATACCACCCATTCTCCCGCCCGAGCAGGCTTCGCACCGTGGGTCCCCGCAACCGCCGCCACTGCCGCCGAATACGATGTCCATTTTCCAAGATTATGCTTTTGTTGGCACAGAGGGATGATGTGCGATGTAATTGGTATTAGCGATAGCCCGAGAGTGACAAGGACTTATGAAGATTCTGTGGGTAATATTGCGGATATGGACGACGAAAGACAAGAGTGGTGGTGAACCGAAGGCAACATTTTATCGTCTTTGACGCCTGTTTCCATTCATGTCTATCACTGGGAGGCTCTGAATGCACTGGCGACTGCAGATGATCATGTTGATTTAGTAAAAGATCGGAGGAATGCTAGAGAATGAGGCAATCATATAGGATATCACTGCCCGAGTCATCAAGCTTGGCCGATATTGGGAATCTGAATAGTGTTTAATTGCTCGCCCATAGCCACCTTAATTGACCCCCAACAATACAATCATATCTCGTGGTATAGTTGCAACCAGTCTAGGCGGCCGTTGGCGGGGCTTCCAATAAAAATACAAATTTGATGTACAGTGAGTAATCGAAAAATCCCCTGTTCTTACAATATCTTCGCCCCAGTTCCGGCGGCCTGCCCCATGAAGAAGTGCTTGAGAGGTCCCAACGCATTCACCGCGCTCAGGCCAATACTTCGCAGAGGCACTATCGGGCCACTCTCAAATGCGTACAGCTTGTGGAGTTTATCCACCACACCCATTAGCACATGGTTTTTGGCATATCTATCCGCATTATAGCTCTCCAAGCTCATGGAGACGCCAATATCCAGGCCGTGCGTCACGGAATACTCGATTGTTTTCACGAGACTTTCGACATCACCTTGCCCTTGATTCAGACCCTGGCCGGCAAGAGGGTGGACGGTGTGTGCCGCATCTCCAATCAAAGCAACGCGCTCGCCGATATAAGTATCCGCATGGCGCATTTTGAGTGGGAAAGAGGCTACCGTTCCCTCCTGAACTGACAGAACCCGTTGAGGGATTCGATTGGTATCAGAAGAAGTATGCTGGGATCGCCAGTTATACTCATCGGCCTGGCCGGAAGTAAGAGTGTGCATATATGTGAGATCAACGGGCGACAGGCGGAATGCCGCATTAACCATGGCTGTGAAGTCTTCGGTAGATAGGGTCTTTAGGAGCGCGGCTCTCTCCGGAGTCGTTGACCAGACGAGGGTTGAGAAACGTCCGGGTAGTGGTAGCATAGCGGCTGGGCCGGTGGGAAGGAACCTCTGGTATGCAACCTTGCGATCTTCGCCGCCCCATCCCTCGCCCTCCAACTCGACTGTAGCCACAACCCCATGCCTGTTATAATCCCACCCCGAGCTATTGATACCCGCGAACGCTCTGACAGGGCTGTTGGCGCCATCCGCCCCAATAAGTAACCGTGCCGCAATCTGCCGGCCACCCGAGAGCTGAACAATAGGCCATGACCGTAGGTCTGCTGTCTCGGTTTCTTGGCCCAGTTCGATATTCTCTACCTTCGTGTTGTCAAAAATCGAGACCCCAGATAACTCGTCGATCCGTTTGAGAAGGCCTGATGTGAGGTTCAGGTTCTCGTTCATATATGCTATCGTCTTGCCTTGTGACCCTTGTGGCCAGTCGAATTCTATCCTCGACCCTGTAACTCCATCCCAGACCTGCATCTCCTCGTACGGCTGCACTCTGTCACGCTTGACATTCTTCCACGCGCCAATTTTATCAAGGAATTCCACGGAAGTGGGTGTGAGGGAGCTGCATCGGTTCGAATATTGTGTTGATGGGAGCGACCATGATCGCGTTCGGCTTAGATCCTGGCTTTCGATAAGAGCGACTTTGAGGCCAGAAGTGGCAGCAGTCGCCCCTGAGAAGAAGTCAATTGATGTTACAGGGTGGATCTAGAATGCTGGTCATACTCAATGCTGCCAGGACACTTAGACCGGCCGGTCCACCCCCCACGCAGACGACATCATATAGTTCGGGTGATGATTCCGTTGCATATCCTCGGCGCTGTCGAGGTGCTTGGTGAGAGCAGCTACGGCAGATATATCTACCGAAGCTCCGGGTCGTAGTCCTATTCGCTAATTGCTTCATGCTAAGGTTTGGGATGTGTGAGGTTGAATCTAGGTGCTCGAGGTCGATTGGAATGATGGAGTTTAAGCGCGACGCCAAGCGCCCATGCCGAAGTTTAGACGCGACCTCGACGACACTGGCGTTGGAGACCAAATTTGACAGCTTGTTTGTCGTAATTTAGTTTGCTGCTTCTTAAAGGATTTCTATTCGAGATATTTACGTCATTACAGAATTAATATTTGATATATTTTTGTTCAATTAATTTACTATCTACCTATACTGATCTTTGGCATCAGGAGTCTCAATGTGATGAGAGCAGGCCAATAACCAATATCATAAGGTAGTAATTAAAGAGACAATCAATTCCTATATATAAGGCTATGAACTTCCATTTCGCCGAATAATGTGCGCTTTCGTACTCCTAACAATGACCCACGCCTCCGAAACACCATAATTCCATGCATCCGTATAACTGCGCCAACCAGCGCCTTCTCCGCATGATAAGGGAAAAAGTCGAAGAATAAAACAAAACACCCCAACTCTTTGCTGTCATGCAGTCATTAACATAAGGTCGTCGCACGTCGATCAAGCTTCAATATCTGGCACAACCTGGCTTGGTTCCCTCGGGTCAAACCACGCAACTCGGCGGTCATCTCCACCGTACGCTCCGACAGTAACCCAGACGTGCTTGAACGGAACCTTGACATTGACAAGTTCTCTGTTCCCAAGCCACCTCAATCTGCTTTCTGGCTCCATTGCGCTTCGGCCAATTCCACCATTTGTAATCCACTCCCCAACGATGGCCTTGATGAACTCAACCTTACGGCGGAAATCATTGGCAGCCGGGATGCCCTGAATCATCGGGTCAACCTGGATGCCGCGGCGGCGACTTGTCATGCCATTGCGTGTGGAAGGCTTTGTCATGAAGTTCAAGAAAGCTTGTAATGGGAAAGATAGATGTTGGCGATCATCTAGCGCAGCGCTGGGCAAGTTGCCGGTGAGTGCTAAATCGCGTGCTGCTTCAAGAGGAAGGTGATAGAAGTCGCACCAAGTTCCATCTGCCGAAAGAAGCATTTTTGTGTGGTCTGGGAAATTGAACTGGAAGATGTGTTAGTGAAGATTTGGCAACTCATGGCTGGTCTAGCTTACCTGGAATGAACCATTGCGGAATCCCCAGCACCCAACATCACCAAAACGCTGGTAAAATGTAACCACGTTGCTTTTATTGGGGTCCGAGGAGTCCGAGTCGCCATCCAGCGACATTCTGTTGAGGGCGTCATCGTATGGGTGATCTTGATCCCTACCAAATACTGTCATATAGTTTGCGAATTTCCTCCAAAGAACGATCTTCTCACGCTTTCTGTCCTCCCACTCGTCCTTTCCTCGGCCTAATTTTCCTGCCACGCCATATTCCTCGCTTGCTGCAAATGCACGGGGGCTAACCTTAACACAGGAGATCCCTTCGTCGCCATTGTTTTCGAAGAACTCAATGTCTGCTCCTGAAACCGGCACAAGCTGGTTTCTATCAGGATAGTTGGGATTGCGTCGGTTTTGAAGATGCTTCTCGGCATTTCGAACGACGACACAAGTAGGTGGGATCTGGGTATTCGGATCACCAGAGACAGGTAGAGACTTGAAGATGCATCCGACACCACCATCATTCAGAATGTAGCCCAACCCGAACTTGTTGGTGTAGTCAACCCACTTAACAACTATAGTTGGCTCGGAATCTGGCGCTTCCCGTGCCGGCCCAACCGATCTGCTGTTCAGCGCGCGTTCGATTTCTGCATATAGAACTTGAAGGTTCTTAGTGACGTGTCTCGGCTTGGAGCGGTGAAGAAATTCAGCATTCTCAGAAGGGCTGAATATGGAAGCAGTGGCTGGATCACGGGACGAGGACTTCACAGATGGCGCCGTAGTCTCCGATCTTGGTTTCCCAAGTTGCTGTACCATGTCTGCGCCTAGACGTGCTTCGGTTGCCACGACTGACTCGGAAACGCCTTTACCTTTGGCCTGAGACCTGGATGGCTCCCTTCTTGACCTGGTTCTAGTTTCGGCGGAGGCCTGCTCCTCCTCAGACGCTTGGTCATAAGGATTTGCTCGTCGTGTGCTGGGTCCGGATTCAGCCTGTGGTCTAGGCCGGCGAACTGTTGCCGAAACAATTGGCGGCTGGTTCTGGGCGCGTTGCTGAGCCGCGAAGCTCCTTGGTACAGTTTTAGATGCGGCTGCCACGGTAACTGGACGATGTGTAAGCGGTTTCTGGTCGTATTCCTTTGGCTTGGTTGCCGCTCTAGATTCTTCCCGTGCCAAAGTCGCTTTATGCTCCCGTACCACCTCGTCAAATGGCCGGTACACAACGTTGTCAGCTAGAGGTACCGCCGGTGTAAGGCCTGCTTTCTCTTCTGCTGCAACCTCCCTATAAGTGCTCGAATGCACCTTTTGGGTCGCACTCCAAGGACCAACATCACTCTTCACGCAAAGCGCCTTTAGATTCCTGGCATATAGACTTGCCCTTCCTCCGCGAAGGCTGAGAGTAGCAAATTGGTTTGGATCGGGAGAATTCTCCCTGAGGGAAGGCGTCATTTCTTCCTCCTGTGGGACCCACCCACTGGAGAAAAATGGATGCTGAACGATGGTATCGCAATCCGGACGATCTTCTGGGCTTTGGAGGAGGAGTGCTACCAGGTCCTTAGCTTCTTGGGAGATATAGTTATTAGTTTTGTCCAATGAAGGCCAGTCGTATTCGCGCTCTCTCGCTTTTCTGTATATTTCTTCCTGCGTAGTGGATTGGAACGGTGGGCGACCTGTGAGCATGGCAAATCTAAATAAATGTTAGTGCGCATCTTGGATTTGTGACATATTGGGTTGAGCTTACATGATAATACCCAAACTCCAAATATCGACTGCATGATCGTGGCCACCTTTTCCCTTTTCTAGGATCTCCGGAGCGATGTAGTTGGGTGTCCCACAGAGTGTGGTTCTTCGGCACGCAGTCATATCCTTCCCAGACATGAGCAATGCAGCAAGGCCGAAGTCTCCAACCTTGACGTTCATATCCTTATCTAAGAAAATGTTTCCCATCTTCAGATCTCGGTGGATAATGCCCTTCAAGTGCATATATTTGATAGCTCCAGCAATTTGAATTGTATAGAAGCGAACTTCTGGCTCGGTGACGAATCGTCGCTTCTTCACCATGTCCATTAAGGATCCGTTTGGGCATAGCTCGAGTACTATGTATGTACTTTCTTGGTAGGTGAAAGCCCTGTGGAATTGAACGATATTGGCGTGTCTCATCTTGGAGTGGATTTGCAGTTCCGTTTGAAACTACGAGTAAGTTAGAATGCTAGTTGCTTCATTCAAATAACGGATCCCCTATGGAACTTGCCTTTTGCTCCATCTTCTTTTGTGGCATGACACTTTTCACTATCTTCAGTGCATATTTCTCTCTTGTGTCTGCCAGGACACCATCATGGCAGATCGCAAAGCCACCCTTCCCGAGCAATTTCCCAGTTGTGTATGTTGCGCCATTTGGGCGATCGGAGCTCGGAGGCTCGTAAACCTCAGCGGGAGGTGGTGGCGGGTGGTCTTTCTCTCTCGGTGAAACTTTGGCTGGCGGGGCTTTGGTTCTTTCCTTGTGCGCAGCCTGTCGAGGCCTGAGATTGGCATTGATATCCAGGGGCGATAAGGCGGCCATATCTATGCCTTCCGGATACAGGCACTCCCAAGCGAGATATGGCTTTACAGTTGCAAACGCCTCTTTTGTGGTGGCCTCGTATGTCTCGTCTTCTTCAAGCTGGTCCTCTTCTTCTCGGTCGTGATATTCGAAATCAAGGCAAGCAAGGTTATCAAGCAACTGTTTCTCGTTGGAATCGTGGGCGCAGTATATCTGTATAACTCGTTGATTAGTAAAAAAGACCAACTGGTGAGATCCGTCTTCAAGTAGAGGCCTGACACAGTCCCTGGGTATGGACAAGGCCTGGCAAAATATAGACCCAGCTATATGGTGAACCTCCTCCCCATCATCTTGATAGCAGACATCGTGCACTGGCCCGATCTCCTGGTACCATGGGTCTCTTGGAGGCTCAAAGTCGATCTCGGTATCTGAGTCGCTAGAAGGGTAAAGTTGTGGCTCAAGCTCGCGTCTCTTCCTGATGACATGCTCAATAATTCGCTGTGGCAGTCGTATATCTTCATATACCAGCCATCCAACTGGTGGCATGCAAGATTCCCCCTCCATGATCGCGTGCTGTTCGGGGTGTGATGAGCGTTCTGAACTTACAAGGTTGGCTGGGTTTCCAGGTCTTTCGAATCGTTGGCATAATAAGCTAGGCGAAGCGTTAAGCAATTGCAACTGAGCAAATCTGGAGCCTTCGAGATGGCCGTCGTTTTTTGTTGTCGAAGCCAAAAACTACTCAAGACTGATTCCAATACCAGCTGTTGATTAAAGATACCCTTCAAATCAGTCAAGTGCGGACGGTGTGGTTGGCAGAGCAACTGACGGTCATAACATATGCCGAGCTCCGATATCAAACGTCAGACCGCGACACCCACTGTGGAGCACATTGAACTGGAGCAGATTACTACCGACACGACTATCCAGGGTCCTTTCTTTACTATGTCTACATTGCAATGGAGTTGAAATAGTCGTCTTATTTTTTCTTGTGTCGCGGGCGGGTTATATTGCTTCCCATACATTTCACAGAACACATCGGTTTGGAGACCGTCCAAAATCCATGCCCAGGCAAACCTTGGCAGTTACCATTATCTAGACGCCATTAGGCCTTTATCCCATCATGGTGCCTTTACCATTGTTCAAACTTGCATCTTTATTTGTTAGACATATTTCCAAGTATGGCGCGGTAGGTGCAGCTTTCCCTCTCGCAATACCCCGCAGTTGCTGATACCACCTATAGAATAGGATTAAGATCCAAGCCCACGAACACCCGTCACTGCGGCGCATAGCAGCCAAATATGGACAAACAATACATCAAATAACCATGCGGGTCTCCGTCGCCTCCATGCGCGACGTGGCGGCGGAGAAACGAGCAAAAGAGAAAGCGGAGGCGCCGACAGTCAAAACCGCGGAGCAGGTGAAGGCCGACGAAGAAAAGGCCGCCGCAAAGGCTGCTGCTGCTGCGAAGGCCGCGGCGACAGGGACAAAAGAAAAGGTCTCTTCTTATGATCCCAGCAGGAGCATATGGACGCGCAAGTTTAGACCTATACCAGAAGCGAAGGCGGTCGATTTGTTTGCTGATGTCCTGGGCGATGCGTTTGTCCTCCTCGTTGCAGGTGGCCTCATTACATACGAATACGTCAAATCCAAATCGAAACCCGATCAAAATACAATCAAGATTGCTGAACTAGCAGAGCTACTGAAAGACGAGGAGCGCAGGGTAGCGGAACTAGAAGAGGTGGAGAAGAAGCAGCAACTTCGTGTTGACGTGCTTGAGCAAGCTTTGGAATTGCTGAAGAGTGAAAGAGCTACAGGGAAGCTAAAAACGGCGTAGAACCTGGAAGGTTTGCGTTGGCTACCCGAATAGCATTTCAGATTATGATCTATAGACTCTTAACAGAACCCGGCTCGCAGCTTTATTTGCACATTTATATAAGTAGTGCAAGAAGGCGCAGGTGTATATACTCTACTTTGTTTGTATAATATTACATAGACTCTCTCATGGTTGGGGCAACCCGGCAAAGGGATCGCTCGGGTACCTGGCATGGTGCTCTTGGAGTTCGGCGATTGGGGAACATCGGATTATGTTCTCGTGTCTGCGGAAATCTCTCCTACAAGACAACCCTACTCAAAATATATACCCATTTTCCAAGAAGCTATCATCGTGCATTTCATTCGTATTGTCCACATGACTCTGCATTAGGTAGACGTTTATATCTTAATATCCAGATCCATCCAAGTGCTCTGTGCCTGTTGCGCTGGGGGTTAATTCCCATCGTGCCATCAAACCATGTTCTCCAGCAGCTTACGAAAACGGCCTCAATGGGAGTCTGTGCCGTCCAATCTTCTGTCCATACCTGCTCCACAATGGCAAGGTAAGATAATGCCTCTTCTTTGACAGAGAGGTTGAGGATTCTGACCCGAGGAGAGAAAACCCTCAACACTCACGACATAGATGTCCCGGTATACGGATCTGGAGGACATGAGCAGCGCATGTGCTTTCTGCTCTTATCCGCATCAGACCTGGACACCCAGGAAGAAGTTGTGGAGAGGGTAGAAAGACTTAGTCTCTTTAATGAAGGGCAGCATGTTGGCATTGTTTTCCTATTGAAGGAGAAAGATGGAAAGAATGGCTTCACTGCATATATAAAGCTTCAGACAATGTTGGTCATCCACAGACCGCTACATATATGGCCATCCAGATGAGCTAATCAAAGTAAAGTTTGCTCGACTTGAGACTCGAAGTCTCCATCATACCTCTCAACAGCCTCCGCGCTTTATCCACGGCAATCTTCGTCTGTCAGCGCCAGCTTCTTCTAGCAAAGCCGATAATAGCGCCCGTCTCGCCCGTCACTATACTGCCACACTGCGCTGCACGTGCACAACTCCTGGAGCATACCAGAAACGTCCTGAGTGATATGTTCCACGGCTTCTCCGAGCTGGCCGCGGCAGCAACGACAGAGGATGGTCAGAATGCTATCAAAGAATACGTGCCGGACAAGGGACAAGCGGAACAAGCTATCGAATTTTGGCTGAGTGAATACGTTGCTGAGTGAAGTCTGCCAGGGTTCTGATGTGAATAGACGGAGGAGAAGATTTCCGTGCTCGAACAGATATGGCTAGAGGGAGATGCTCACGCACTATTATGGCGGGGGGGATAATGTGCTTCTAGCTACATACAGAAAACTATCACTTAGGGAATCACAAAGGATTCTCGATATGAGCCACTACCTTTTGAGAAGTGGCGATGGCATTGTCACACGGGCCATTTTCGAAGATGACGTCCAATGGCCAGTTTATTCCCTGTCGGTGAAAGAAGAGTCTTCCCATTACGCACCGCGCACTGCTTGGCTTGATTCATGGCTTGCATTTGCAGCTTCTATCTCGTGAGTCGAGAACGGAAGTGCAATCCATTCTCACCGGCAAGCGAACACCGAAGTTGAGGACCCTCTTGCTCTTGCCACTTTATATAAAGTTTTTAATTCTGGTCCATTGCCGTCCTCACTGGGCAACACACCGCCGATCACCATCAACACATGGAAGATCACATCACATCCATCACAGACCGCCTCCAGAATACCACTGAAGAAGTGGTGTGGCTGGCGATACTACACTGCATTGACGAGAACTCGCCTGTGTTGACTAGCTCTTCCACATCTGTAAGACACGCCAAGGCCGAGGGGTTTGGTGGAGCGAGGGACCAATGAGACCCCTTCTTGAAGCGCTGCAGAGGCACCAAAATAGTGTCAAAAGGCACGTCCCCTCCCGCCCGCTCCTCGGATAAGAAAGCCTGTGGTGGCTCTTTTCCTGTGTGACGAGGCATGCAATGCAATGTACTTGTACGCTATTGATCAATATCGACGAGGATCTGGCCACCTTACTTCACGAGTCTTTGGTATCCTTACTAAGGGTGGTTCAAGGTTTCCCCTTGACCAACAGTGGCGGTAGGAATGGCCATGTTGAGGCTATCAAGGGATTAAATACAGAAATAGTAACCTGTTGGGATTGTTGGATTGTGTTGGTTTTGCTGGATCCGCTCGATTTGCTGGATTTGCCGGCTGTGCCCTTTCCAAACGTGACCTGCTTCAGACCAGACTCTGCGACGTCGCGGCAAGGGTGGGTCGGGGCTGGTGCGGCACCTCGGGAGGAATTAAGGTGGTGGTTCCGTGATGTGTGGTGGTCAATGCGACAAGGGAGGGGTCGGGGAGGGGGAAATGTAGATTTGCAATCCAGGGACAAGAACAAAGAAGATATCAGAGACTTCAGCAGCATCTTATTATTTGTATCCAACAGAAGGGATAATATATATCAGAGCAATATAGTGATTGACGAAGATAGCGCACTATTTACCAGACCCCCGAAGATGCGCATGCTTTGTATACCAAGATAGTAACTCCATGCTGGTACAGTGAGTGTGAAGTTGAAGGACTGTCCAATGACTGTGGTACCTAACCGCCCGGCACATATCGACCGGCCAATCAGATGCAAGACCAGCCCCAAGCTGCACCCAAGCTGCACGTCAAGCCGTGCCATTCTTCACTTATCCCCAGTATCATAGGTCACACAGTTAAAATACCCTCTACAGACCTGCATACTCCCCAGCGACTAATACCCCAATCGGCGTCTTATATGCACAAAACGAGTAATCTGCTTCCGTCTTTTGCTTTCCCATACTATCAATTATGGCCGTTCTGTGGTGTATGTTCAATTATAGCTCTCAAACTTCAATTGACCGCCCAGCCGCCCTCCCCCCCCCCGATTGGAGCTGTGATGCCATGGCAATGGTCCCACGCCATGTGGCCACGGCGTTTGCTACAGTACGTGCGTGGAACGGAGGCGCATGGTGAGAGTACAAGGTAGGGTGTCCCGCAAGTTTGACTTGACCTTCCCTGTCTCTCTTTCTCTTCTGTATGATCTTTACCCCATCCCTCCTACATTCCTGGTTTCATTCTCCTCATCATCCGCTCCCGAGTCGCCGGCATCTTCAGCACCTCTCACCATCCGAGTATCACCATTCACACAGACTGTGGACTCACTCATATCCGCCTTCACTACCAAGCTCAGCACAGCCCTCGCTCTCAAACACCCTACCCGTCTCAAATCCACCGATACCACCATCCTTCATCGCATCTCCCGCATGAGCATCTGCCGTTGACACCTCTCAAAACGTCCGATCGAAACCTCAATACCCACTCTGACCAGAGATCCAAACGATCGCGCGCCTTGGAACCGGAACACCCTCGAGGCCGAGCGCACACTCCACCACCTGCAACGATACCAGAAACACGGGCGCCCCGCGCAACGCCCCGCTCGCTGGCACGAACGGAAGTGATATAGTCGGGCGCATGGCCGGTTGAGCCAAGAGGCCTCTCTTCCTCGCCAGCTGCGCTGTCGCACTCATCGCCGTCGTTGTCAATAGCCTCTTTCCTACCGTCGTTTACTTTCTCCTCAGGTCCGCTGGTTCGGATACCTTTCACTTCTTTCGCCTACACCACTTTCGCCTTTATTCTTGCTACCGTTATATTTGGAGTCTGAGCCGCTGTAATTACGCCGGTTGAACTCTTCGCGCAGATCAGGCGTTGCAGGCTCGGGACTGCAGTGGGAGGAATACACATATAATACACCATGGGCAAACTCATCAAGAACCACTGGGCGCGCCTCATCATCCTCTCGGCCTCTATATGTACGTTTCCCAACGAACCACACAGCCTCCATACGAACCCTACTAACTCTGAACCTCCAGACCAAATAGCCGCCGCAATCGAAGGCTTCTTCTGGCCCAAGATCTTCTGGGACTTCCTCACCAAGAATCTCGATGGCGCCGTAAAACCTATACCAGTGCTGCAATCCATTAACCTGGTAATGGGGCTCGTCATCACAGCCTGGGAGTGGCCGCTCGGCATCATCGCAAAGACCGCCCTCCACCGCAGCATCGAGGCACGACTGGTCGTCTACCCCCTCGCAGCACTCTCCGCAGCGCTACTATACCAAGCCACCAACCCGGCGATATACTACACCATCGGCATCGTGGTCTACTTCTGGGCATATAGCGAAGGCGAGGTGAGTTTTCCTACTGTCCGCACATGGCCGAGGCGGTTGCTAACACATGCTAGATTGTTGTCGAGAAACCGTGGAGCTTACCGCAGCGCGGGAGACCGGGCAAGGTATAGCGAGATGGGAGGGGTTACAGAGGAGCTGGGCGTATATTTGGGAGCGTGGGATGTGTATTGCGTGGGCATGAGCGAGGCGTTACGCTGTCACTTTAGCTGCCCGCGAGGAATGGGTACATATATTCACGTCACATAACTCTGATGATGTTGAGACCGAGAAAGCCTGCGCCGCCGTTGAGGGGCCAGAACGGGAATTAGAGTAGATAGTATAATACCAATTAAAAACTTCGGCATGAATGATCCTGGGCAGATTCAAATGAGTAAGGAGGCGCTTTGGCCGCCGAGTTTTTTGTGGTGGAGATGGAGCGATGGCGGCAGTTTATTTTTTCAATACCAAGAGGTTTTTTGAAACTGTGAGTGAGGTTACACTCGGCTTGGCTGGTACTTTAATAGCCTTCTTCGCGCTGGGCATGACACACCGGAATTACCTCACCAAGCCCCCGAGCACAGCATCCATGATCGTTCCCGTGTTACTTGCTCGTGTCTGATAACGATTATGGAAGTAACACAGCATAACAACGCATCGCATCCCCAACTCATCATACATGTCTTCACGTGACTTAACCAAGAGCACCTGAGGTATCATCAACATTGGGAAATCATTTGTAGAATTCCCTATTCCTCGCAAGAGGTACTATAGCCATAATAAAGCTAAGCTACCATCACAAAAGTCCCTATTCCCGGTGCCGTTCCAGTCACGCCTCATATGCACCGATCATCATTGGTTCCCTTCATCCTCCCCAGCCCCGACGGACGGGCCTCTCAACTCATCCATAACAATACATTCATCCGTCACAGCAGCGAGTGCTCTAGAACGGACCACGGACACCGATCGTCTCGTTGGTGATGCCTTGCCTGGCGGTAGCCTGGGGGTAAACTGTTAGTATGCTTGCGTTGGGGTTGTGATTGGGGTGGAAGAATGCGGGGTAGGTGAGACACATACCTCAGTCTCCTGGAGCGTTCCCTCCTGCAAGATCTTCTGGATAACATCGTCTTCCTTCGACGTACCAAACTCGTTCTCAAGCTGCGACTTGGAAGCCGTGTTGAGCTCGCCCTGTGCACCTTGCCTGTTGCATGTTGTTAATCCTTCATCCCCGCATTGGCAATGGTAGGAAGTGTTATGACTTACTTGCCGGTCGTGAAGACCTTGAATGCGTCGACCACCTCGACCAGCGCGATGGTCTTGTCACCTCTCCACTTCTTCAACATAGCGGGATCCTCGACGAAGACGACATAGTCGTCGGTGCTGCCCTTGTAGTGGACCTTAGACTGAACACCGGTTCCGCGAGCCATCTTGATATGTAGTGAGTTGGAGTTGGTAAGGTTGAGGTTTGTAGTTGTTAAATATCGCGTAGTTAAAATTGACAGTGTAGTATTGAGTTTTCAATGTAATGTAAAGTGTTTATGATGGTAAGATCAAAGGAAAGGAAACGGGGGATTGAGTGAGGTTTTGTAGCTGCGCGGTTCATGGTTTCGTCATCGAACCGTTACCCTGCACGCCCCCAGACTCCGTAACCCGAACGTTCCTAACTTGGCGCACTACGTCATTATTGAGAGGGGCAGACAGGACACGCTAATACCCCTCAGGGTCCCACTACTCTACTTTCTATCAACTTCCATTGAGCACGAGACCACTTCACAACTCCAGAATTGCAGATGCCTTGGGTGTATTAATTGCAATTGGTGGAGTATAACACGGGTATTTGCATAACTGAGCCACGTTCTATAAATGTCTGTACAGAAACCCCACAATAATGAACAAATGTAGAGAACTCTGGGACGGCGAGGGGAGGTATAGCTGTGTTCAAAGAATGTTACCCTCCTGCGTCGCATCCCATATCGAAGACCTCGGCATACAATAGAGACCGTTTTAAAATACCTAAGCAGCGATCCCATAGCTGCATCCATCAGATTAGCTTTACCAGGGTTTGATTTTCACTTTCTCGAGAAATCTGGCTCAAAGGAGAGCCAGAGTGACCACCAACACTGCCTCCAGAAACACTTCTCATCATCTTCCGGCCCAGGCTGATTTTGCGAGGAGTTGATGGCGGTGATGCAAGGTGGCGATTTTTGTCTGGCTGTAGGACGTTCTTTACTCTCAACGCCGCCAAGCGCTTCATTGTTCCGATGGGACTACTCTCAGTAACAGGGGGCGCCGCCAAGCTGGCCATCTTTTCATCAAAAGTAGAGTCAAAGCGCAAGTCCAAATCATTGATGGAAGTCGTCGGTTGAATATTGTTTGCTGTCGTTTTTAAGACGTTAGACCGGGCAGGAGAGCCGGGATCTTTGTCTGAAATAACAACTTTTCGGTCGCTATTGTCCTCGCCGGGTGAGCCAGAGGCATGTTGTGGGCTCACAGCGCTTCCTGAGAGTTTGGCGAAATTACTTGTGATGCTTGCTACACTGAGTTTTCTCATCATGGAGCTTGCTGAGGAGCGCACAATATGCTCACTCCGGGCCCGTCCAGACATTCCCGGATAGGGTAGAATTTGTTTTGTCCACACGTCTGAAAGTAAGCGCTCTAATCTCACCCTTTCAGCTCTCGAAGGAGCAAGAACTGGGATGCGGTTTGTCCCCAGTAGTGATTGCGATCTATTGACTGCTGCATTTAGTGACGGGGTCGCCGTGTCTTTCGTTGCACTTGTATTCTTGATAATGACTTGACATAGAGGTGATTTCGGTCCAACTGTCGTAGCTCTTCGGATTGAAAGCTTCCTTGCAACAGTACCTTAATATTTTAGATTGCGCCCGTTGTGCATAGTCAAGGAACATACTAACCTGGTTTTCCGAAAACAGTCCCTAGCGACTTGATTCCTAGTGACACCGTTGTCATAAAGGCCTGGTCGTAACTGTCCGTATGGTCTCGGCTTGTGCAAATGTTGAGGCGATTCCTCCATTCTAATTCTTCTTTCGACGAGCAAGCGCTAAAGATAATCTCAAAGAGCTGGTGATCACACTCGAACACTATTTTCCAAGAATATGGTGCTGTATGGCATTGAATGCCTAGCATAGTTAGTTGCAGTGTCGGTGGTAAAATTATTATAGGCTTCAGAATACACACCTTTCCCATTGTCTGCTTCCTCGATTCGGATATCGTTGAAAAATATAATTGCACCCACATTGTAGACGCTCTCCAATTTTTCAACGGTGGCAAGAACCAGGCAATCCCGATATAATAAAGTTATCATATGTTGACCATCTACTCCATTTTTTGTTTGCCACGCAACATGGAGAACACCACATAGATGTACATGCCCGAGGGATCTAATCAAAGTCTTGGATTGAGGATCAACCTGCCGATGTCTTAGTATTAACAGTGCGTGGATAATACTTGTGTGAATTGGCTTACCTGATCAGGAATTAAAAGTCTGTCCTGGAGAAGCCATGTCTTTTCCATGGTTGGTTTCATGAGGGGGTCCTCTGTTGCTTTATTGATCTCCGATGTCATTTCCCGTAGTCTCACGAGAACCTTTTCAATCTCCATGTGCGACTCTGGGCAATCACAAACGGGCGTCTGCCTAAGCAGCTCAGCAAAAAGGAGTGGGTAGCGGCAAACACGCTGTATAGGCTGAGTCAGGATCAGCAGTTGCGGCTAGCACTCAGCTTCTCAGTGTCAGCTTCTTACCTTCACCAGTAAATCACCTACAGTTAAAGATTTGTTAGGTTGGCCGTTCTGGATATTGGTTGACTCCAGAGAAGCCGCCAAGGCCTCCAGACCTTTCTGATATTCCTCCCACTGCGGTAGTGTCTTGTATGCTGATGCCACTTTCTTGACCATCATCTCATACTTCGCTCCATATTCCTCATACGCGAAAAAGCGGTGCATCTATGGGTAGTTTATTAGCAGTTTTCAGGCTGGAAACTGTATTTGTGCAAAACGAGGATAAAAAAACTCCTTAGCATACCCTCTTGCCGAATACTTTCGCCACGTCAGCAGCGACTTGGGCTTCTGCTGTCATCCCAGGGATTTTCTGCACCCACGAAAGGTCACTGGAATTCTCAGGAACAGCATCAAGACTCCTCCAGCGATGATGCCCCTGCTTCTCAGGTGCAGGACTAGATATATAATCTGGCTGTGTATATTCCGAGTGAGGGACAACTCGATGAAGATCCCCCAAAAGCTCGTCATGTAACTCAACAATATCAGACAGGTTTCGACTAATTGAAGTCCGGAGGCTTGGTAGCATTGGAACCGAAGCCAGAAGGGTCACATAAACCTATGAGGTCCTATCAGCCCGTGAATTTTCGACGGTAACTCAAGACTCACATTCATTAAGAATTTCACATCTCCAAAATAACCCTCCTCAGTGCTTATAATTTCTTCGAGCACTCGACGCCGCCGGATAGAACGATTCGTTACTGCAACATCATTGGCTATACCCCTGGCAGCATATGCACTGTCTTCAGATGTTCGGGGCCCAATATTAGACGCCCTACTGCTGCGGTCGGTCTTCTGATGCTTCGAGGAATGTCCACGGTTCCGGGATTTCGTAGCAATACTAAAGCTTGCAAGGCTAATACTGGCACTTTTCACTGCCGTGACGAACCCAAGCGATGAACCGGATACGGACTTTCGGAGGCCGTGTCGGGTGCGAATTTTGGATTGCAAGGAATGATAATCGCTGTCGGAAACACTAGTCCCAGCAATGCTATTGGCTCGTCTGTGTCTCCGTGCTGCGTTTTTGTTGAAGCCTTTTACCCACTTCTCAAACGGCGGCCGAGTAAGCTGGATGCTGGGAGGTTCATGTGTCGGTTCCAACTCTTCTAATACAAACCTCTTTTTTGTTGGCGAAGCTTGTTCGGGTGTATTGCTGTAGCCAAAGGCTAGCCCAAGAGCAGTGATATTGTCCACAGTGTCCCACCCCTCTGCATCATCAGGTGTATCGCTGCGTCTCGGAGGCGTGATATGTATTTCATTGATGCCATCGGCAGCACCCAAGGCTCCTTTAGAGTGGTTGGTTGAGCCACGAGGTGAAGATTGATGCCTATCGTCAACTTTCAACGTGTTTATAGGATTCGATTGCCGGGGAGAAATCGCTGGTAAAGTGGAACTATCTTCCTGCTGAATGTCATATCTCGCCATTTTTATGACATTGATGAAGAAAACTAACACGAAGAGATACTAAAAGCATGTATAATCAAAAGGGTCTGGTTTACTAACGAGACCAGTTCCATTAATGAGAAGTATGCTCATGATAAGTAGAAGATGAGATGATGTAAAGAATAAGGCTAACCCGCAATCCTGGGGCAGTAACCTCGAAATAACGAAACTCAAAAACACTCTAGGCAAGGAAAGAGTATTGGTAAAATATTGCCTATGTACCTGCCTTCTGCTGTGCATTTTATCATTGCTATGGACAAGGTCGCACCTGCCTGTGTTCCTTCCTTCACATGATTACATGCGAACAAGGCGATCGCCATCTTGCCCAGTGCCTTGTACTTTCAATGCGTCAGTCATATATTACTTATTTGGTAATCGTCATAAAATCACTATAGGATCTGCATATGGACGTATTTGATTGTTTACTTGCCAGCGGCAATTTATAATGCTCCTGAGATGAGGCTAGTCGTTGTCAAGCCTCCAGTTCACGATCCACTTAAATAAGCGAGAGTGACTACAAAAATAAAAATAAATTCTGCGACGACACCTCTCAAGAATGACAATCGAATAATCAACTCCGGATTCCTCGGAAACCTTATCTGTGTTAGCAATGCTAATAAATATATCTGAAAGGTTTGCTTTATTTACTTTGGCGGTGTTTTGAGTTCTGCAGGCCCTCGAACTTGGGCTTGGGGATCCAACCAAGCTGCAACATAAGATCTTCCAGCATCACGCTTCTACTCGACGAGATGCTGGTGTTCTCTGATCTTAGGATTGGGCGTTGCTAGACTAATTTCATAAAGCCGCGGGTTTGAACAGACCGATAGCTCTTTTGAGCGTTGATTGAATCTGTATAGGAAGCAAGGCACATCATTTATTTACATCACCAATTCACATATTATAACAGACCAAATACAAGTGAATACAAGTGATCTCAGTTGCTGTCTCGTAAATCTATTGAGATGTTACACATGATTTATAATTACCATCCCCCGCCCTTCCCTCCAAAGCCGCTGCTCTCTTCTATCTTCTTCTGCCCACCACCGCCACCTCTTGTGGACTTCTGTTGTGCAGACTCGTGTTTCCTCAGCTCTTCAGGCACCCTGGAGATGGAGCTCTTCGTCAACATCTGCTTCAAATCGTACATCACGTCCGCATCCTCATTGCCCAGGAAGGTAATAGCCACACCACTCTTGCCCGCACGACCAGTACGACCAACACGATGGGTGTAACTCTCGATATTCGTCGCCATATTGAAGTTAACCACCAAACTGACATCAGGAACATCGATACCTCTTCCAGCCAGATCTGTCGCAACCAACACATCTGTTTGTCCCGAGCGAACCGAAGCCAAGGCAGCCTCACGCTGTTCTTGGGTTTTGCTACCGTGGAGTGTAACTGATGTGAATCCCATGTGCTTGATATCTCTCGCAACAGCGTCGCAGTTGCGCTTGATATTGACAAAGACAATGATGGGAGGTGCGAACTCTCCGGAAGCCAGGATCTCATTGAGGCGCTTCTTCCTTTTGTCCTCGCCTGAGACAAATTCGACGCGCTGTTCAACGGTTTCGACGGCTTCACCAACGTTTCCGATCGTGACGATTGCAGGTCTCCTCAGATACTTTTTGGCAATCTTCTCGACTGCCGAAGGCATAGTAGCTGTGTACATCATTGTCTGTCGGTATCTATCCTTGCCTCCGAGGTGTTGTGTCATGGCCTGTGGATCTTCTGCCTCATCCGTGTCCGGTTTCTCGTTTCCTACTGGCAGAGCGTCTAAGATCTTGTTGACAGATTCTTCGAAACCCAAATCAATCATACGATCTGCTTCATCCATAATAACGTAGCAGCACTGGCCCAGGACAAGGAGGCGACGCTCAATACAGTCGACAAGTCGACCTGGAGTTGCAATAATGATTTCCGCACCATTTCGAAGGTTGTAAGCCTGTTCTTCCAGAGAATGGCCACCAACAATACTGACACAAGTAAATCCAAGTGGCGTTGCGAATTTCTTTGCCTCAGCTTCGATCTGCTGCGCCAATTCACGAGTGGGCGCTAGAATTATCGCATAAGGCCCATCGTTTTTCGTGAACTCGTTCAAAGCCGGTAATTCTGATATGTATACCAGCAGCGGCAGCAAAAATGCTGCAGTCTTACCAGAACCTGTAACAGCAACACCAATAAGATCTCGGGCTTGCAACGCTATTGGTATGGCAGCTCGTTGGACTGCGGACGGCTCATCATAACCAACCATCGCAATAACATCCATGAGTCGTTTAGGCAAACCAGATTCACCCCAGTTTCGCATAGGGTTGGGTATGGCCCCTCCCTTAGTGCTGATATTGAAGTCCTCCTTGAAGATACGCCAATCACGCTCTCGCATATGCTCGAGTTTCTTCTCGCTCCAATGCTTGTCAAGGGAGTTTCTACCTCCAGCATCCTCCTTCCTGCGCCGCTCCATCTCGAGAAGCTCCCTCGCGCGTACTGAGCCAGCCTCCGAATCTCTTGCTTCAAGCGCCTTCGCATATTTAAAAACACCGCTTTCGGGATCCTCTGCGAATCCGCCGAGCCTGCCTCTTCCGAAGAAGTTAACTTCCGCCCGCTGTGAATATATAGGATTATAATCCGGGCTCGTATCTTCTTCGGCGTTCCACTCGAAGTTGAACTTCTTCTCAGTGGTCTTCCTCCTCTTCTTGTTGGCCGAAAATGTAGACTGGTTTGCTTCCGCTCCCATGTATCTCACTCGAGTGAGCGCAGCTTCTGTACTTTCACCATTTGCAGGCCGCTTTTCTCCAGCTAAGGACCCCTTCCCAGAATTCGCAGTTTGTTTGCTGGGAGGGCCCATGTTCCCCTGTTGCCTCCCATTATTTCCATTCCTTCCAGATGGGCCAGTTGGTGGCGCTGCATCTCCATGTCGCATCGACCTTGGGCCTGTCGGTACATTCGAGGGACCCCGTCTATCCTCATCTCTGCGTCTATCGGATCCTCCAGGGCCATTCGGTGCCTGCCTAGGAGCGGCCGCAATAGGCTGTCGCTCAGCTTCGGTTTTCCGTCGTTGTTCTTCGACCTCCTTCTCTCGTTTTTCCAAGGCCAGCTTCTCCCTTTGTGCTCTCGACAGAAATTTCGGCTTCGCCGCAGCTTGATCCGCCTCTTTCTTCTTTTGTAGTATCTCTTCTATGCTCAGAGGCTGCCTGCCTTTCGGTGCCCCCCAGCCAGCTTTTTTCTTCGGTTCTTGTGGCGGAGCAGGAGGAGGAGGATGCAATTCGGAAGGAGGAGGTGGGGGTAGATCCTGGGGAGGAGGTGGAGCGAAGTTCTCTGGAGGTGGAGGCGGTATAGAATCGGAGGGTGGTGGAGGTGGCGGATCGCCCTGCCCGTTTATGCCATTTGCTATGGACTCCGTCTTACCATTAAGAGATGTACTCATGGTGCCGGACTGCGATAGTGGCAATGATGTACCAAGCAATTAATGGATCGAGGTGGTATAGCTGGCGCTGTATTTATTTTCGTGAAGCAACGCGCAAAAGGTTCGTGGTTGTGTTTTGTTCTTGTATGTCGAAGGCGAGCAAGGTTAGACAAGGCTGTAAATGCGCCTCATAAATGATCGGCCGCCGGAGCCGAGAACGTCTTAGCGCGCATTCGGCCTTCCTCAATTTATCTTGAACATCACGTTCAACATACAGAAAGCGCCCCAATTAGCGACAGTGCTCACTGCACATTCACAATGGCGTCAACAGCAAAGCATATCCAACTTGCGCAGGCGCTTCCTCCGAGGCTGACCAGATTTTTCGCCCGTTACCCCCCAGCGGCCATTCTTCCCGCCCAAAGCGAATCTTCACAAGCTCCAATCACCGGGGAATCTACACAAGAAGCGGCGCCATCTCCTTTCAAGGCTCACAAGCACCCGGAAACGGGCAAATGGCACGATCCAGTCTTCTCGTTACGGAGGCAGGCCGACCTGGTGAAGCTGGCGCAGCGCCATGGGGTTGAGGATTTGATGCCATTCAGCGTGAAGAGCTCTGCCGAGAGATTGAGGAGAAGAGAGGAGAATGGACTGCGTGTTAAGGGAACCGGTGTTGGAGAACGTGTCAAGGGTAAAGAGAGCGAGAGGCAGATGAAGGGACGGTACGTTATACCCCAATACCACCCCCTAGACTTGACTTTCTAGGGTGATGAGAGGAACAGGAGAACAAGCCGCTGACATATATCTTTTAGATTGGAGAAGAGAAGACAGGCAATGTTGGATATGCCTCAACTCATTCAAACCTGGAAAGAGGTGAGCTATATCATATCCGACACAAATCTTGAGGATGTTGGGCTAACAATAAGCAGAGAGGACATGGCCGTGGATGGAAGAAGTGGCCGAAATAAGCTACGTGTATATCAAACTGAGGGAGTGGAAATTGTACGATATGTTTGTCGTACCCTGTTGGGTGCTCATAGCAAGGAGGATGGCGTTCACAATATTTGTCAACTGAGCTTCAATGCTTGGATGTGTAGTACATATCTGTATCAAATTCTAAATAGAATGCATGTTACCGCACCACACTCATGATGGCCACATTCTCTTGAAATTCGTTTTTATGCTACCATTTGACCTTGTATGCTACTGTTTGACCTTGCTATAAATTACTCTTTTTAAGCCCCCATTGTCCCTCCGTGTTAAACCAAACCACATGCTCCATTCAAAATAATTAATGCCTCAGGCCCTCATCCAACAAAGAGCGATTTTTGACTCCAGAACTGCCATGTTATCACAACGCCATCCCAAGTTAACAAAATCACGGGATAGAACGTCAAAAGTGCTGTCTTCATGGTTACATACTATGAAATCCTGGGGCTCCCCAACTCACGGGACGCAGCAAGATTTCTCACCCCACAGCTCCTGAAGGCAGCATATCGGAAATCACTACTCCAGCACCACCCAGACAAAGTCCAGCAAGTTTCCTCGCCAGAGCCTGGCTCTACAAAGGCTACAAATAAACAACCCAGTAGTGCCTATACTGTAGATCAAATAACAAAAGCCTACTCCATCATATCAACGCCGAAGCTCCGTGAGGAATATGACAGAGAGCTTGCCTTGGAGTCTCAGCGGACGGGCGAATTTGGAGCCCAGCAGAGGAATGGATTCCGCACGGGCGTAGAGACCGTTGATCTGGATGATCTGGACTTTGATGAGAAAGAGTCACTGTGGTTCCGGAGCTGCAGGTGTGGAGACGATCGTGGATTTTTGATTCGCGAGGAGGATCTGGAAGAAGCTGTAGATGACGGAGAACTTGCTGTAGGATGCAGAGGTTGCAGCTTGTGGCTTCGCGTTTTATTTGGGGTCGTTGAAGAAAGTGCTGAGCAAAGGTCGCCGAGGAATGGAAATGGCTGAAAGCACGGAAAGCGACAGGAAGGACCAAGATTCTCACGACATAACCGTCACTCCCGGCTATTGGCGACGGGCGTCCCAATGCACTGCTTGGAACATGGCAATGATATCTACATGCCCTGCGTTTCATTTCAAACCACAGCTCCAAGCAGCCCTGCATTTTTTGGCCGTATTTGGGGAGGAGTCAAATACTTGCTCGTCAATTTGTGTGAACAAAGGCAAAGTGGTCCCATAGGGGGATCTTTTGTTTCCAAAGGATTTGTAGGAGGCAAGACAGGATGGCAAGCAGCAAGCAATATAGCGGAGGATGGACAGTCGATATATCAAATAAGGACTGGGATCAAAGCCCTTTGAAGTATGGCGAAGCCCCCATAGCAAATAAAATATGAATGCATGATGTATGTTGCTACCTTACATTTTGACGACGTTAGTTTTGTCTATTTTGTAGAGAACCGACGCCCTTTATATTCTATGGTCGGACCTTGCCACGAATACTGCCATTCTTGTGCCCTGCCATTGAGAACCTCAACCTCCTGTTACCATTTTACATGACCTAACCTGAACCAGACTTGAGAATTGTATTTGATCTACACAGCCTCAAGTCTTCCAAGACCCCCCCGGAAGATGGTAATTGTCTCGTCTCTGAGAATGTGACGCGTCTCACACTTATAATAGGCTCCCAAATCCGCCCCTCCCGCAGCAAAGCAAGCTCTCATACTGGACTGGTTCCACAGATCACTCAGCGCCCACTCCTTCAAGGACCTCGAAAAAGCACTTCCGGCCGTCGCCTCGATCAGTGGGATGGTTGTCAAAGACTATCTTCAAGCCCTCAGCGACGAAGGATTGATCAAAGTTGAGAAAATAGGAAGCGGCAACTGGTACTGGGCGTTCGTCTCAGACGCGAAGCAAAGCAAGGAGAAAGTCCTCCACGACCTCCAGGCCGAAGAGACAAAGCTGAAGATATCGATTGCCGACATTAAGAAACACATTACTGAGGCAACTGCTCAAAGAGATGAAGATGATGAAATGTTGGAAGACAACGGCATGGACAGGCAGGCACTGTTGGAAGCTCACGAGCGACTCCTGAAAGAAACGGCGTCACTGGACAAGGAATTGGCTGCATACAGCGGAAGCGACCCTACAGAAGTTCTTCGCAAAGAAAAGGAGATTCAGAGTTTGAAAGATGATGCAGAGCAGTTCACGGACAACCTCGAATGCATCCGGAGCTACCTGCTGGACCTCACCAACGACAGAGAGCAGGTGGCTCTGGTGATGCAATCGACGTGTGGAGATGAATATATCCCTGGTGAAGGGCTCAAGGAACTTTGAACAGGGGAGGAGGAAAGGAGGAAACTGTGACGATCGGAAAACGTGACGGAACAAACCGCACTACATGTGATAGCTGCTGTGCTAATATTAAGATCTTGTGGAAGCTTCCTTGAATTGCAACGATCAGCAGCTCTTGTGCCGCCCCAAAGTCCGAAGAGGGATCGCTTTTTGTTGAGGATTGATACCAACTTATTTAGGCTGATAGAACTTGTCCCCTTATCTCTATTATGAGTGACTGGCTTCTTGATTGCAGCCTTTACTCTAGTTACAGTTACTGTAATCGCTGTTGTTATGGACAGTCTACTTCAGACCTTTGGTTGGCAAGAGTAACGTTTCGACGGCTCAATTTGGGGGCGGCTATAATTGGGATCGAATCCTTCTGAGGACATCGGACGCATTCTCGGCCGGGTGATATGGCCCTGACCGTTAATTATACCTTGCCCTCCATACAAACCCGTTCCCAGCGACGCGACGCGACTTGGCCATCCTGTCACAGCCCAGGCCAGTGACGATTAAGCTTCGTGACAAACTCCGACCCCATCTTTATTTCAACACCTTGTTTACTTTAGTTTCGCCGTGCCTTGGGCTAAACTTAGATCGCTCCCTCCCAATCTCGCCAGCTGCACCCTTACAACCCCTGTCTGAGTAACCCTGGCGCAGTGAATCAGGAAGTCTCTTATGTGCGAGCCTGACTCTCCGACCTCCAGTATGGCAATTTGAGTGATTTTGGCCCCAATTCTGCTGCCTAAAATCGAATCGATCTTTCTCTACGGTTACATTTGTGTGTGCGCACGTATTTTGTATGGCCGAGAACACTTCACCAAGCAGGGTGATAGGACAGAGGTTGGCGGGTGTGTGAGGGCACATGTGTCGTCGAGCCGAGACCCCTTGTGTGCTACGAGTGCTACAGTTGAACAAGATAATCCCATCCCAACATTTGCCGCGTTAGGAGCAGCTACGAGCGGAACGCGACTATCGATGTGGGATACGGTAATTAATAGCGAAAAAGCTTGGTTCGTCCAGTACGAATAGCCAATATAACAGGACAATTGCGGTAACGGAGTATTGTCCGTAGGTACTACTCGACATGCTACAGTATAATCACGGTGTATATCTTGTATATCTCCACCTACTCCGTTCATAGCACAGTATGACGATGAGCGGGTTGTTGCTTACTCCGCCACAATTGGCTGTGGTGCAGGAAGAGAGGAGGGGCAGTCTCCGCTTTATCCCTTGTGTGTGCCAGCGCCCGCACAGAGCAGTACCACACACAGTCCACACCACAGTCCACAACCACACATAGTCCAGCACATAGTCCAGTCCATACACAACTCTGGAAATGCTCCAGTTTGTGGCTGTCACGGCCAGAAGTACTCCGTAAAGATGATCTGGGTCTGTCTGGGTCTCTCTGGCGCTTTGCTACAACGTAATAGCGCATATACAGTGCTATAATCAAGTACAGTATCGACTCTCGGAATACCCGGTAGCCCTCGGTCGACCCTGGTGGTAGAAAGACGCCGGTGGTGGGGGTTTCGAGTGGCTAGAGTACTACAATACTATACTATTAGATCGCCGCCCAGAAAACGCGTCCTCCAAAACTTCTTACACTACTCCCATCCAGCCAAGGTGTTGCCTACCACACACAAGCACCAAGCACCCAAGCACCATCCTTGACAACTTGGCCTGCTAACACATTGACCATGCGATTATAATAATAACGATAAGCTTTGGTTACATTCGCCGCAAATCCTCTGTATATATATATCTGAGCGTCAGATCATCTCAGAAAGTCGTGTGGCAGCGGCATTCAGGCGCCCGACAAAACAGTCTCCTCCCCCTGCTCGTGTTGGCTTTGGGTCGAATCCACTGTCGTGTCGCATGGCCAGCACGTTTGACCTCCACCACTCCTCCATCCAGGTAGCCAAGAATTCAAGAATCTCTTGGCAAGCAACTTACCTTCCATCTCGACTTGGCATCAACGACAAAACAATAGCATGTACTCGGATGTCTCGCCCACGACTTCGTCTTCGAGACTAGCATCGAGCGGTCGGTCAATCCTTTCGAGGTTGACTTCGCCTTTGCGGTCGCGGACCAGAAATGCCACCGATTTTCACATCCGCGCCAACGAGCCGCATCGCCAGTACTCACCAGGAGATATCGTCAAGGGCATCGTCGTTCTTACCGTCGTAAAGCCGATCCGGATTACCCATCTCACTGTCGCTCTTCATGGCTTTGTGCGCGTCCTGAAAAAGCCTGCGGCAGCCGGCGAGGTTATTACCAGCGACCATGTCGTCGAGATTACAAGCAACAAAAGGTCCCAATACACCGGTAACGGCCATGTGTCGTTGTTTCATGATGAGATTACACTCTGCGGCGAAGGACGCCTCGAGCCGGGGATCTATGAGTTTGAATTCAATCTCCAGTTCCCATCCCAAGGCTTGCCGTCAAGTATCGACGTAAGTACACATGCTGCGCGTACCACACAAGGCCACACACTAATCGCGTCACAGTTTGAACGGGGAACTATATCCTATATGATTCGCTCTACCCTTACGCGTCCAACATCCATCGCTGCTACGTCGACGTGCGAGCGTAAGATATCCTTGGTCGAAACAGTCGATATTGGGCCCATGAGTGTCCCCAAACCACGCATTATTTCCCTCGAGCCAATAGCGAAGAACTCAAGGAGGCATATTCGATCCGCCGCGAAGGCAGATCAAGCGGCCACAGAGTCCGGGAAGTCATCTGTTCAGCCGAAGCCCACCGAGTCTGCGGCAGCTGAGGAATCTGCCAACCAGCGTCCATCTACAAGCAATCCTCCGAGCTCACCCACAAGTCCGTTGCATAGCGATTTGCAAAGCGAAATCAGTGAGGGTAGTGTGGTTAGCAGTAGTAGTACTGGCTACGTAATCGGACACTCAACGCAGTCGAAACCTGTCAGTAACGGAGCCGAGACGTCGTCGAGCAAACCCGCTCCCAATAAAACCATCACCGCCAAAATCGAGCTTTTGAAAGCTGGATGTTTGCCAGGAGACAGCATACCAATTACAATATCCATACAGCATACAAAACGAATCAAGAGTTTGCATGGCATCATTATCACCCTGTACCGGCAAGGTCGGATAGACTCTGCGCCGCCATTATCACTATTTACGGATATCAAGGGCAAAGACTTGGAACGGCTGAAGCATGAAGAATACTACCCAAAGTCCAAAACTGGCTTGGGTGGACTATCTTTAACCTCTGCGGGATCCAGTAGTGTTTTCCGCAAAGATTTGTCTCAGACACTTGCACCAATAATGATAGACCCGGCCACACTCTCAACTGTGATTACGACGTCATTACGGGTTCCAGAAGATGTCTTCCCTACAATTACCGGGGTGCCAGGCGAAATGATAAGCTTCAGATATTACGTTGAGGTCGTGGTCGATTTGGGAGGAAAGCTGGCTGGCCAAGATCGACACCTCCCACGTTTAGGCATGGTTAGTTTGCCATCTATGACTAACCCCAATGACCCAGTCCTTGGGACGGACACTGCGACAGCACCAACACTGGCTGCTTGGGGTGGCAATATTGTCGACACAGATCGTATTAGGCGCGAGAAAAGCGTTGTGGCTTGCCTGTTCGAGATCATTCTTGGCACAACAGATAGCGCTCGCATGAGAGGAAGGGGTAATATAACTAAGAAGGGGCCTGCCGATGAGATACAAACGGCGCTGCCAACCCCTGTTCCGTCGGTGGACTCAGAGGGACAGCAAAATGGACATGCGGAGGCCATACCAAATGAAGCAGAATACCATTACGACGAATACGGCCAACAATGGTCCCAATGGCCGCAAGGCTCACACGATCAAACATACACTTATAATGACGAACAACATCCCATACCGGACCAGAACCAGGTTCCTGAGTATAGCCAGAGTACTGTGCCACCACCGCAAGTCTTGCCCTCCGAAAACCTTAATGAAAAAGACCGCGTTCGTCTTGCCGAACAAACCCTGTTGCCAAGCCAGCCTCTGGAGGAAGAAGCGGGCCCTTCGGCGGCTTCCCAACCCGCTCCTACAGCTCCTCCCGATCCTGATGACGATCTATACAACGATGATTATCGACCGGTAGCCCACGCAGCCCAACAAAGACCTCCCGCTACTGCACTCAATGGCATTTCCCACTCGTCTGACACAATTACACCGGCAACTCCCCTAGCCGAGGGTCCACAACCACAGGCCACGGCAACAACTGTCGACGATAAGCGTGAACTAGAACGTCGCCGCCTCCAAGCAGAAGCAAGTTCGCCTTCAGACTTTCCAGACCTTGATGACACCGCAGGGGAAGGGGCGAGCGGCAGTGCGCCACAACCCTCTGCACCATTTTTGGATGAAGAAGATGAATTTGCTGGACAATATACCAGCCGTCATGACGGCCTTCCAAGATATGAGCGTTGAATATAGGGCCGTGTCGAGTCTTGTTTCCTTGTATACTAGTTGCCAGCCTTATACCCGCTTGATGTACAATACAGCAGCATGTAGCATTATAGCTATTGCAATTGAACTTATGATTTATGACTATTATGAATGAGTACTCTTAATAAGTTCGCTTTCGTGTTTAATTGACCATATCTGGATTAGTGAGGTGATAGCAATCAGGGTAAGGGTGGGAGCTACGACGCACGAACACAAAGTAATAAGCATAATAGGATTTATATATAATTGAGGCATCCCCAGCAATCGTATTAGAACTTGCTGTTAACCCCCTTTGATCCATTGTAATCCTTGTGATCGGGTAAAGCGCCCCTATTCCAACTCAACAAGTCTCTTCCAAACTTGGATCCCAACACTTACATATGGAAGTTGAACCACTGAACAGCCTGCTCAAACGCCTGCTCCTTCGCCCACTTCTCCTGTGGAATGCTTGGGTCACCGCGCACGGAGAAGCCGTGGCTAACTCCCGAGAACAGGTTGATCTGGTACGGAAGCTTCGTCGCGATCAAGATTTCCTCCGACTTATGCCTCTTTTCCACTGGGAAAATCGAATCCGTCTCTGCTGCTGAGATCGATAGAGGTCCCTTAATAGCCTCTAGCTCTGCCTCGTCCACGAACGATGGGTGCGCCAAGTATCCCACCTTAATGCGCTTCCCCTTCTCCTCAGACATGAAACGCACTACATACTTTGCGCCGAAACAGTACCCAACAGCTGCGACCTCCTTGTAGCCTTGCTCATTGAGGTAGTCCAGCGCCTTGACCATGATTGCGTCGACCTCGGGGACAGTGTGCGGGTTATCACCCTTCATACCGTGCTGGATCCAGTTCATGAGGTTGAAGTTCTCCGGGCGCCATGGGTTGGAGAGCGAATCCTTGTTGAACAGGTCGGGGATCAGAGTGTAGTATCCGTTGGCGGCGAGTTGGTCGGCCATGAGGTTGGCGTTCTTGGAGATGCCCATCACATCTGGGACGAAAAGGATAGCCTTTCCTGGCTTGGGGTTCGTGGGCTTCGCGATGTAGACATCGAGGGAGCCATTGGCGATGGTAATTTCAGTTCCGGTTGTCTCGCCTCTATAGGGGGTGTTAAAACAGGGTTCTGATGCTTATGTTTTTGGCGATTGGGAGGGGAGCTATGACTGGGCGGCACTTACGTGTGTTTCACGCCGACGGTGCAGCACTTGCCGGGAGGGTTGGACGCCATTGTTTCTAGCTTTTTTTTGCTTTTCTCAAAAGATTTCAACGCAAAAGTTAGACAATGGAAGTGGTGTATGAAGCTATATAACACTTTTTGTTGTCAGGCAGAAGCTAAGGTCTACGTAATCTGCTACTATGCTATGTGGGCGCACCCATCGCTTCCCTCGGTCACCGTGGGGGTTCGTTGGGCCCTCGGTGGCGCGATTGAGGGACCTTTGATAAACTATGCCAAGACTTCTTATCAATAAGCGATACCCCGCCATCAGGCTGTGGCACCGCGTATACCTTGGCTTGAGCTTGACAACAAAAGTGTTCCATAGCTTCATACGCCACGACCACTTTACCATTTAACTTGTGCTCAAAAGTGAAGCTACTACCGAATATGCAGAACCTACACGCCCCTACTGTCCCGTCCGGTCCCACGACAGCGAATGGAGGTGGGATACGGACTGAGGGGCTCACACTGCCGGAGCTTCAGTTGAAGAAGGAGTCTATGGAAGCTGAGCTTAGAGCTCTTGGAGGCGTCCTCGAATCTGTGAGTCCGAAGATGTTTTATGTCAAGCAGCTTCCCAGACAGCTAATGATTCCCAGCATGGAGTTGATATGAACACAAACCTCATGACGCCAGATGGTTTCCCGCGGGCAGACCTCGACGTCGCGCAAAGTGAGCACATCCCCAACCACCATTTTGGACCATTCTAATATTTATATTTAGTACGAACAACGCGCTCGCGGATAATATATCTGAAGAATGACTACAAAGCACTTATGGAGGTGATCGAAAAGGCGGTCCACGCGCACTTCGAGTTCCTCCAAGCAAACCCTCTGCCAGAGTCCGATGAACAGAAGCCAGCAACCACCAATGGAGTACACACATTGGAAGCGGCGCGGTCGCGCCCGCCAGTGCTGGAGACCCCATTCGCAAGGGTCAACAGTGTTGTGGAGAATAGTCCGGCTGAAGCAGCGGGGTTGAAGGCAGGGGACTTGATTCGCAATTTCGGATACGTGAATCGTGAAAACAATGATGGGTTAAGGAGGGTGGCAGAATGCGTGCAAGGAAATGAGGGTGTAAGTCTTATCATCTTAATTTCTCTAACGAACTGAAAAAAAAACACTCTTCAGCTTGGTTAGCTAACTGACTTATGTGTAGCGGGACGTTCTGGTAAAGGTTTCGAGAGGATTCGGTGCCGAGAGGCAAGAATTGAACTTGACTTTGGTTCCACGAAAGGACTGGGGAGGCAGGGGTTTATTGGGGTGCCATATCGTTCCGCTTTAGGCTGCCGCTCTTCGTGTTATACCAAGTTTCCAATTCTGTAGCGCAGCGAAGGGGTTTCGGGCTTATGGACTTCTGGAGTATCGTAAGGGCTGGAGTTGTTGCTATTCTTCTGCAAAAAAATGTATCACCAGTCAGAGCATGAAACATTATAATGGCCAGCATTCAAATGTTATTCAGGCTGTGTCGAGAGAAAGTGCTGTTCCTGACTCCATCACTCTTCACTAGGCTACCGCTTCTTTGTCTTTTGGGTATTTCGGCGTGTATGAGACATCGCTCTCCTCTCTTCCCACTTCTCCCAGCCAGATTGTGGCAGGTCTTCTTCCACCACCAAGTCTCTCACTCGAAACAGCCGTACCAAGGGAGTATCCAGGGCATATTCCAGCAGCCCGCTCCTCCGGAAAATAGTTGTGATGCCGAACCAGCCAACAGCACTTACCAACCCTGCTGCACATCCAACAAGAACTTGCTTTGGTGTATGGTAGTTCAGATATATCCGGCTTCCTGCAACTAGCCCTGCGCATATCAGTGCAGCTATAGACAGCGCCACTCTTTGGGCGAACGGTATTGGGGTGTGCGAGGCTTTCGTAGCCTTTGGCGGAGTATGTCTTAACAGCAAAAAGAGAGCTAGGTGCACCGAAAAGAAAGTCACAAACTGGGCATGAGACGATGGCATCCCATACCCCTTGCCGTGCATTTGCTTTGGTCTTTCCTCCTTAATGATCCTCTTCAGAATAAAGTTGACTGCCTCACATGCCATTTGCCCAGCAAACATGAGAATAATCTCAATCTCACGAGTAGAATAGATCAAGGTTGCGTATGCAACGCAGAGCCCCTGAGGAACGATGGCAAGCCATGCACAAAGGTACGAGACACGGTCATCAGGATTCTAAACACGAGCAGATTAGTCGGACGCACGCAAAGTCATGTATAAGGCCAGTTTACATAATTGACATGCGTCAGAGAGAAAGACGTATAAGGAGAAGGGCCGTCCATGGTGTGAGGTCCACCAAGGTAAGGAGGGCTTTTGTTGAAACGACGTTGATAAGAAATTAGCCGGATGGGCGAGGTTGTTGTACCGTACTACGGAATACGGAATACTCTAGATGTCTGCGTCAGACAAGGCTGCTCTGTTTCGTCCAATCACGTGATGTTATTACATCAGTTCTTCGCTCTTCGCTAAGCTTTTCCACCGCCTGCTCATCGCAACAAAACATAGACAACCAAATCATACAAGACCACGTCCACCAGTGAACTTGCCACCTCAAGGTATATATTACCAGCGCATCATTTCCAGGGCTCTGTGACGATTTTGCAATAAATAAAGCGCCAGTCGCACAGGACTGACTTCTTTCACAGATCTATCGATCGCCAACTTCCTCTGTTTACATCACCCCACACTTACCATTTCAACCGCCAACATGGCTGACGCAGCCCCATCTGTACCAACCTTCAAGCTTGTGCTTGTCGGTGACGGTGGAACCGGAAAGGTCAGTTGAATTTGCTTTGCGCGGATGAACTGTGTTGGCGCCATTACCCCTCATTCTCGGAGCGCCAACCGGTCATTCTTATCTATCTCAAGTGGACAATGAAATCTAACTGAATCTCCAAACAGACTACCTTCGTCAAGCGCCATTTGACCGGAGAGTTCGAGAAGAAGTACATCGCCACATTAGGTGTAGAGGTCCACCCTCTCGGCTTCACCACAGTAAGTCACATCAAACCTCGAATCAGGCCATGAGGCCTTTCTGGCTGATACTGACGGAATACAGAACTTGGGCCAAATCCAATTCGATGTCTGGGATACCGCTGGACAGGAGAAGTTTGGAGGTCTCCGTGACGGATACTACATCAACGGACAGTGTGGTATCATCATGTTCGATGTCACCTCCCGCATCACATACAAGAACGTGCCCAACTGGCATCGTAAGCAAACACCCGAGCTCGAGAACCGAAGGCGTTTCATTCTAACTGTCCCATAGGTGACTTGATCCGCGTTTGCGAGAACATCCCCATCGTTCTCTGCGGTAACAAGGTCGATGTTAAGGAGCGCAAGGTCAAGGCCAAGACCATCACTTTCCACCGCAAGAAGAACCTCCAGTACTACGATATCTCAGCCAAGTCCAACTACAACTTCGAGAAGCCGTTCTTGTGGTTGGCCCGCAAGCTTGTTGGCAACGCGACTCTCGTTCGTACCCCGCCATTTTTCTCGCTTTCTGGGCACCCACGCTAACTGAATTAGGAATTTGTCGCTGCCCCTGCTCTTGCCCCACCCGAGGCCCAGGTCGACGAGGCTCTCCTTGCCCAGTACAAGCAGGAGATGGACGTCGCTGCCCAGATGCCGCTCCCAGACGAAGACGATGCCGACCTATAGATAGTTTACACGAACATGTTGCCGGTCGCCCAGCTGCAGCCCTAACGAAACGCATCTGTTGTTCATTCAGCATAATATTAGAGGCCGTCCTTCAGCGAATATAAGCATCTATTTCCCCCCGGGTTTGGTCAGCTTTTTAGATTCAGGGCTGATCCGATTTATCACGATTCTTCTTTTTCTTTGTTTACGTCTGAAGTTACCCGCGGGCAGAGATGGACGCATGTCGAGGCGGTGAGGAAATGAATATCCAACTACGACCAGGCAAAGCGTGATGGATCTGGGCCATGGGGGGTTTTCGACATTGCTGCAAAGCAGATACTGTAGGTAGACCAAAATAGCATTCTGATGAATCTACTGTGAGCTTCTCATACGTTGTGACTGTGAATATGCGCCAACCAGACCGACTTCAAACAACCAATCAACCTTTCAATTATTAATCCTACATGCTACCTAATTATAATCCTACATATTAATATAATAATAATACAAAATTAACGTCATCTCTTTAACTCTTCCAACGCCAGCTTACACAACTCCTGATATCTCCCTCCATCCCAAGGCTTCCGCTCCTCTCCCCTCCTCTTCAAAGCCTCGACTCTCGCCCGCCTAACCCTCTTCACCACTTCCTCCTTATCAACCTTCCACTGCACCCCCATTGCACACCCCGTCCCCTCTCTTAGCTCCTTGATACTAAGCGTCCTTACCGGACGCCCCTCGGCTTCAAGCGCCGCGTTTTTAAACTGGACGTCCGCGATCATCTTGCGCACTTCTGTCATGTGGTACTTTATCCGCGAATAGAATTCTGGAATGTGCGCGTTGTAGCGAGCACGGGATTGGGAGAGAAGGAACAGCGAGATGGCTTCTACCGCTGTCTCTGGCGAAGTCCTTTGACTAGGCGGAGGCGGAGGCACTGGTCGAGGCTTCGAAAAATTGAGCCTGGAGCCCGAAACTGGCGGACGAACAGCTAGTGGAAGTGGCGGTAGGGGCCGGTGAAATGGGACGGCTGTGGGCGCCGGGCTATGGGCCTTTCTGGGAGGTGGAAAGACGGTACTGCTCGGTGTTTGAGTATCGTTTCCCCAGGTGCTTCTAGGTTTCCTATCGCCGGGTATCTGGATCTCTGAACAGGTTGGTATGTCCTCAGTAATGAGTGGCAATGGAGGTAACGGGCGAGTCCGAGCAGAATAGTGTTCAGGAGAGGAAGTGCTGGAAATGCTAGAACTGTCCATAGCCACCTCAGCCATGCAGCTGTCGGATATTATGGTAGGAAGCGATGGCGCAAACCCAGACCTCTTCCGTGGCCGCGGCGGTGTTGATAGTTTTAGAAACTGCGGAGGCGGGGGCTTCAGAAATAGTACAGGTGCTGTATCCCGTGCTGTATCCCGGGGGGCTTGCTTCTGGGATATATTTTCAGTGGTCACCTTGCTGGCTATACTCGTATATGATGATGCAGATGAGCGACGCGAGTTTGCATCCCACGTAAGTGAGAAATCGAATTCGTCGAGCATAGAATCAATTGAGGAGGTTTTGCTATGCGCTGATGATGACGACCCAGATCGCTTCAATTCCCGTTTAGCAGGAAGTGAATCCTCTAGTGGCGAGAGAGGTGGTGTAGGTGGTGTTGCCGCATAGTGCTTTATGGTGCTGTAGAACAGATTCTTGTAGTCCTTTTTGGCAAGAAAGTCGGATGTTGTCGAGTCCATTGACAAGGTTCTACCACGAGTAGTTATAGATGGAGATTTAAATCCATCATCTGAATCATTATCTGGTAGACGAAAGCTTGAGATTGTGGTATGCGTCGTTGATGTTGGTGAGTCAACTGAAAGGCTCTGGCTCCTAGTCAACGAATTGGAATCCCAGCGTTTATATTCACGTTTCGGAGGGCCGTCGTGGGACGTGTTCTGCTCTATCTTCGCCTGCATCAGGAATCCTTCAGATCTTTCATAGAATGACAGCGAAAGCTTCAACAGTACTAGCTTCCGAGGATTTCGTAATTCTAGCGACTGTGCTTGGATGGTGATACATAGCGCGGCGTAAAACGAGATGTATGTGAGGTGTGCTGGGTGTGCCTGGATTATCATTAGCTTTGCCAAACTCGTTTCCTACGTGTCGTAACATTGATTTTAGGCCAGATAATCCAAGGTATCTGATAGCCGGCCATTATAGGTAATAGTAAAATTTTCCAATCTCGCTGAAGGACAATGCAAGACGCGTGGACAAAAATCGCTGGCCAACTTACAGGTCCTCTCACTTGCTCGAGAGATGCAACACAGCGGTCTGAACACTCTTTATATCGGCCATTTCGGAAAAGTTCTTTTACATCGTCTAGAAGGTTTCGCCATTCGTCATTCCCATATGGGAGGAAACTTGAATTCGTTGCCTTGACCTGTGATATCTTTCTTGATGGCCTAATAGGCGTGGCCGGCGTTGAACTGGGACCTTGCGGGGCGGGTTTGGCTGGAGCTCTTAACAGCACGGGCGTTGTTTTGGGCATCGATTGATGTAGGTCAGCTGGCCTAAGGGCCGCGACCAATTTCAAAGGTATCAGTCCCATTGTACTTCAAGCTAGATGCAAGTAGGGTTGTAAATTTGCACGACAATGAAGCTTTTGTCGTGAGGCCAGGAGCCAGAGACGCGCCACTGTAGTATGCAGCACATTCGCTGTGGAGTGTCGATCTGGACATGCGTTTGCCATGCGACCATATGTTGGTCCAAAAACAAGGAACAAGGAGAGGTATAAGATTGCCAGCAGCTGTTGTGTGATGTTGGTTGAAAGGTTTGAATTGTTGTTCTGTTGTCGTCGAATTGGTGTTGCTGTTTATCACCGCGTTTCCATTATAAGGTATCCGCCCTTGACTACTGTGATGTCTTAGACTTCAAGACCAGCCACCATCACTATTGAAAACAAAAGGCTGGCACACCAAGCGGCGTAGAACGCGCTGCTGGAGCAATACATGAATTTAAAAAGAAAAATTATAATCTCACTTACTGTTTCTTGTACTTCATATTCATTATGCCACTCCTTTGTGATGGAAGTTCAATTTGATATAAGAAGAAGCACTGCTCTGCTACCTAATTAAATTCCATACGCGCCTACATTTCTTTCCATGTAAACAGAGCAATTAAAATAAAATAACTGAAAATATAAAGATGTGTTGATATCGCCGCCCAGAAAATTATTTTTAACATATCTTGTATTTCTTAAGAAGTGCACAAGTTGTAACTACAACTATTCCTCTACACTCAAAAATTTACCAAATCTCCCATCAATAGTGCCTGGTACTTCTCTACTACCTCTCGGATTCTGTAGAGCACTCCCGCCGCTAAGGTCCTTGCTCTCTCCTCTTCCTTCCCCCCTTCCCCAATAGAGCCAAAGATGGCCTCGACCCATCTTTGTGTCTCCAATAACTCTCTCCCATGCTTTTCTGACAGCCGCCTTTTGTCTCCGTTAACCTCTAACAGAGTCATGAAGCCGAAAAGTACTGCCTCTCTCACGGACTTGTCACCTATTGTGTGGCTTCTCACTGCCAACAGCAAGTCCCAGAATTCACTCGTCATCTGAGGTAGCTGAAGAGTGCTGCTTCCACTCGCGTGCATAATCAAACTCAGCGTTTTCAGATAACTGCTCAAGAGAAAAGACTCGAAAATCACATTTTTGCCACCGTATGCCTTTAAGTGTGCAAAAAACCGCCCGGTTAGGGGGAAAAAGAAAGATTCTGCGACCATGGAGGAGAGGGCGTTGACGGTAGGAGGAGCTCGTCGGGATTCGACGGCAAGACGCGAAGAAAAGGTTTTGACTTTTAGAATATCAGGTCCGGTAGCTTTATCTGCCAGCGACGCAGCTAATGGCTGTATCATGGTTTTAGAAAGCTGGTGAGATAGAGAGTCAACCGGGCTTTCTTCCACAGCATAAATATTGTGGAGTCGTTCAGGAAGCTGCTTTGATGGAAAGTTGTTGCTGGAAGCCAGAGCTGTTTTCGTAAGTGATTTGTCTTCCTCTTTGAGCCCCCCTAATTCTCTGGCGGAAATGGCAATAGTTGAGAGTACGGAAGCTCTCTGTGATATGGAGTAGTCACCGTCAAAAAATGTCCTAGCGAACCACTTTGCCATTCTTTGCGGATCACAGAGCAGAACTGAAATCATGCTCTGTAGGCGCAAGTCGTTGAAATCATCAATGTCATACTTATCCTGTAGACCCATTAATACGGTTGCGAGTTCCTCTGCATGGTCTTTGACTTCAGTGCCAAAGCCAGACTTCCGTCTGATTAACGAGGCTGCGGTCGACAGGGCCAATCGTTGACGGTCGTAATTTTCTGTGTCTCTAAAATACGAAATAAGGTCCCGAATATATACTGGCGCAGTAGGCTTGTTCCGCACTACAAGGGTGGGATCTTCATCCGAATCTTCCTCATCAGAGTCGGGTTTTGTGTACGGGACCAGATCATCCTCCTCCTCTGAGCCATCGTCGTCAATCTCTTCAATAGAAATAATTTTGGATGAGTGCTGAGGTGGTCGGATTGGTTTGTTTACTTCACGAGGAAGGCTTGGTTTGGTTTGCTTGGCTTCTGGCGCGATATGTTTCCGAAGAGACTCAACTGAACCAAGGCTGTCTATGACACCTACTAAGTCTTTGTACCATTGAGCTTCCGGAGATTTGAGTTCTTCCATCTTGAAATCCATTTGATTCCCAGTAGGCTCCACGAGACCAGATATAGCTTCACCGACTAGCATTCCTAGGAATCGAGCTCTTTCTGAGGAAGCAGATAGGCGATTGGATACCGCGTTGAGATAAACTCCAGATCTTGCAAGAATTTTTAGCTTCATTGGAGAAATTCGGTGCACATATCCAGCGCAAAGAAGTAAAATTTGGGCATGAACTGTATATTCATTAGCACATAGTCAGAATATTGCACCAATAGGGATAGGGGTGTTTCGCACCGTCTTGCTGCATGGAAGGGGTATGCTTGATGTAGAGTTGGTCACCAAACTGTTGCATGCTCTTTTCCAGAATAGCCTCCAAGTCGTACTTGGAATGAGAAATGGTAGCTATTGCCGCACGTCGGATGCTTATTGGCTCTCCAATACCAGCACCAGGCAATCCGGTCATCCAAGACAAGAGCATGTCCTTCCGTGCCGCGTTGCCATTGATAATCGTACTTAAATAAGCAGCTCCCGCAGAGACTCGAGCAGTATCTTCTTGCCACCAGGCTACATCGCCATAGTTAGGATCGCTTGGTAGATGATGCTTAACAAGTAAACGCAAAGCGCAGTTCAGGACAGATTTTTGCTCATAAGTAGGAATCACGTCCAAAAGTTTTTGAAGCACCTTTAAGTCGTCTTCAGTTCCAAGAACCAAATCCAGTACCGCCTCCAATATGACATCTTTTCAAATTTTAGCCAGAATATGGGGATCCATTGGGGAGATGGTTCCTTACCGGGATACCCGAGACGCAAACTCTTCGAAAGGAGTTCCGTGAGGTGTTTCCAAGGCCTGACGGACTCCAATGCCAGGTGCTTTGCCCAGTATTGAATGTTTGATGCAATCCATCTGCTATATTTTACTCCATCCGCAATCCAGGAAGTCTCTCGAACAGTATTGTTAGACTCATTGATAATACTATGGGCTTCGGCAGCGGAATTTAGTAACCTGCTGCCGCCAATCAACACAGTAACCTCGCGCCACAAGGCTGCTTGCTTGGGAATAGGCTCAGATTGGAGGGCTTCCCAAAGGCCTTGAAGCACGGCGTTACCGTGCAAAAGGTCTTCCAAGACGCTTTGGTAGTCCCTTAATGACTGCACGAAATTCGGTCCATCGCCTTTCTTGCTTGTGATCTTACTTTGATCAATCAGGACGTTAAGCCGAGCTGATATAGCACCTAGTCCAGTAGCATTCCGGAAACAGTTCAAGAGCAAATCTCTCTCTCTTTTGTATTTGAAGGTCTTGGATCCCTTGCCCCTTTCTGAAAGGATTGCCCAGTAATTTGGGACAGTATCAGAGACCAGAACATTTATCAGCTGAGAACTTAACGGGCTCGGAGAAGATAGAGATATGTCGTTGGTTGTGTCCAAGTATTTCAGGATTGATATGAGATTCGAAAAGTCAGGTTCATTTTGGAGTATCTCCAGAGCTTCTCGTGGGCTTCTTGCTTGAAACTCGTTCTTTCGAAGAGCTTCCCGTCGCCCCCTGGTTTCAACCAAAGCATCTTCTTGATCCTCTTTAATATTCTTATAAGCTGTGCTCATAGGTGTGAGCAAATCCTCCATTTTCTACATCACAGCTCTATCGAGGATGATCTAGAACGTTCCTGAAAGCATGAGGACGTGATGAAGGGCGACGGCGTACTACGTGGGGAGTGAGCGGTGTAACTTGGCAGTACTCGCTAGGCGTGCGAACGATAACGCTTATTGAGCTCTTATCTGGTAGCTAGCTGCCTTGTCTCATAGTAACGACAACCCCGCCTCCTCTCATACTGCAACTAAGCTTTGCACTTTTCAGAATAAATACTTTTCAAGCTATTAGTGGCAATATGGCGACGACCATGGCATCTCAAACGCCACCTTCTATGCTTCCTTCAAGCAGCCACTCGGAAGGGCGATGGTCGGTCACCTCTGTAGCGTGGCTTCTGGGCGACCTCAGTTTTGAAATGCTAACACTGTCCGCTTTTTAGGAAGTACCTTGACAACATTAGGAAGGGCCAGGGCGGTTTTACCGATGAAAGTTATGAGATCGACGAAGATGGCAATAGTACGAGCGGTGGTAGGATTGATATCCAAGAACAGATGAAGATATTGTAAGACTCACGTGAGACATGTTCTACTATAGTTTGGTACTGACATTTTCTCCAGGGTAATGTATGTTGGATGATATCTAAGTTTGGGACAGTTTGGCTTACAACATCAAGAGGGGCTGGAGGCTTGGGTTGCGAGATATTAAAGAACCTAGCCCTATCAGGGTTTAAGGACATTCATGTCATTGATATGGGTGAGTCCCAGCTAATCCCGATCAGAGCAACCGTCGACTAAATCTACCCCAAAGACACAATAGACGTCTCAAATTTGAACCGTCAGTTTTTGTTCCGCCATAGCGATGTTGGGAAATACAAAGCTGAGGTCGCTGCGAAGTTTGTCATGAAACGAGTAACGGGTGTCAGAATCACGCCCCATAATTGCATGATTCAAGATAAAGATGATTCTTTCTACATGCAGTTTGGGATGGTCGTCTGTGGGCTCGATAGCATCGAGGCACGGCGGTGGATTAATTCACAGCTGGTAGAGCTGTTTGACGAGGAGAACCCCGACAGCCTCAAACCGTTGATTGATGGTGGGACAGAAGGTACGTTCAGCATATCACCAATTAAGCATTTGTTTCTAAACTCTTCTAGGTTTCAAGGGCCAATCGAGAGTTATAATACCAACTATGACTTCTTGTATAGAGTGCCAACTTGATATGCACGCCCCCCGCGCAGCAGTGCCGCTCTGCACGTTGGCCACGATCCCAAGACAGCCAGAACACTGTATCGAATGGGCTCATATCATCGCATGGGAGCAAGAAAAGCCATTCTCAAAACTTGACAATGATGATCCAAAACATATCACCTGGCTCTACGGGAAGGCCCTGGCCAGAGCACAAGAGTTCAATATCAGTGGCGTTACGTATTCTCTCACCCAAGGCGTGGTGAAAAACATCATTCCTGCGATTGCTTCCACAAATGCAATTATCGCCGCAAGCTGTTGCAACGAGGCATTCAAGCTCGCAACCTCGGCTGCCCCATCGTTGGGCATGGAGGAGAATTATATGATGTACAGCGGCAACGACAGCATCTACACGTTCACATTCAAACACGAGAAGAAAGACGACTGTCCTGTTTGTGGTAACCTTCCGCGTGACCTAGAGGTTGACAGAGAATGGACATTGCAAGAGCTTATTGATGCTTTGGCGATTGTTCCTGGCGCACAGTTAAAGAAGCCCTCTGTTCGTGCAGAGGGGAAATCGCTTTATATGCGGAGCCCGGCGAGTCTCGAAGAGGCCACGAGACCAAATCTCGATAAGAAAGTCAGCGACTTCGTGAACGAGGGCGATGAACTTGCAGTTACTGATCCTGCTTTCGCTCGCGTCAGTTTTAGATTCCGCATCAAGTACACTTAGGGGAAATGGTGAAACCAGACAGTAGCGATATGTGGTCTCGACATTGCCATAGAGAAAACTGGTTCACTTAAGTTATGACCATGGTAGAGCACAATGCAAAAAACCAACATATGGCAAGACTCAAATCCTAGGTCCGGTGTGAATCTATTGATTGCATGTTTTACAAAATCTACCTGCCCAACGCCAGCTTCCTTAACTCCGATAAATGCTCCTGGGGTAAAACAGCCTTTCCAACTCATCCGAGAGTATTATTTGGTCATTAATGAAAGGTTCCGCTTAAACCTCACACATTTTTGCTTCAGAGCCTTGATCGACTCGAGAAAGAGCTCGTCGCTGTCCCATTGTCCAGTGCTTTCGATCGAAAATATAAAGTGATCCCTGATGCGACCAAGCTTGACTTTGCCTTGGAATTCTTCATGTCGCAAGCACTCTCTGCTGACCGTGTCCTTCATCGTATCCTTCACAACTGCTTTCTTCTCGCCCGCATGGCCTTCGTACCCGCTGCCCGGAGTGCTCGCCTCCTCTTTTGTGACCTTCTCAAACCCAATGACGCCTTTGGGGAAGCACTTTGCGAACTTCTCGGCGTCATTTCCAAGTATTGGCTTCAAAATAGTTATGGTTGGCAATAATCGGTACGAGGCTGTCGCAACAGGACTGAATTTGGCATGATCGGCTCCGATTCCCTTAATCGCGTGCATGTCAAGGTCTATGCACTGGCCCGGACGTAGTTTCGCAATAAGTATATCTGGATTCGTAACTGTGATGGTGTCGTCACCGGAAAAGAACTCCGGTTGTCTCCCAACAGGCTCGAAGACGATATCGCTGGCATGAACGGCAGAGTTTATGTACAACTTATTCGAATCCGTTTCTCCCGGAGCTGCGTCAGGATTCCGTGTGCACTCGATTTGCAGATGCAGTGTTATCGTGTTGTAATCGAATGCCTCCCCGGCCTCAGTGCCTTCTTCCTCGTTCGCCTTGCTGAACCACTTCATAAACTCTAGTAGCCCCTTTCTGCCTCCTTTGAGAGGTACTAGTCCTAACCTGTGCGCAAGAACTTCATCCTGAATGACCGATGTATTGTTGTTCATGAAAACGTATTCAATGGCGAGGGTGGGTATTTCGGCGAGGAGAATGCGACGGAATGCATTTGCAACTGACGCATCAATGCCAGCAACAGAAAATGAGGCATTGAATTGGGTATTGTGGTGGAATTGTATCTTCAGATTCTTCCTGAAAAGATCTAGGTCCCAAGAATGATCTTCCCCAGCGTAATGGCCTGGAAAGTCGGTGGATGTGACATCGTCGACGGTCTCTAAGTTGATGCCCACAACCTGTTTCAACTTAGCACTTGAATGTCTTGCTTTAGAAAAGGAAATTTACCTTTCGGCGCTGGAGTTCCTCCTGTGATGGAGTATATGGAGCCATAGTTGTGAGATATATTCACAGTTGTGGCGGGGCTTCTATCGCGATATCAGTATCAAAAATAAAAATGTTTTGTACACGCGGAATAAGCCGACCAATATCCCTGTCCCAATTGTCGGCCAATGAGAAGCTGTCGAATTTAGACCCAATCGACCACACTTCATCGGCATACAATTGGAGGCTCACATCACCACACCTCGAATTATCCATCCCATCTTGCCGACGAGGAGTGAGCCTACCTGTGGGATTGATCACCATGACATCCTCCTTATATAGGCTCGCCGGCCAGAGCGCAAAGCGCCTGTGTATGCGCGCATCCCCTTCGTCCAAGCTTGTCGCACCTGCAACAACACGGTCTTTCGCAACGACACCGCGGAGGAACGCGGAGCCATATCAAGCAACACGACTGGTAGCTGTTGGGGACAATTTTACCTCGCCAGCGCCGCGGGATGCCGATATAACTGCCAATATCACTCCGGAGGAAACTCATCGGGAGGGAGAGAATGTGGAGAACAGGAAGATTAGACACTACACAGTCAACTTCGGACCTCAACATCCGGCCGCTCACGGCGTGTTGCGACTGATTCTCGAGCTCAATGGAGAGGAGATTGTGCGATCGGATCCTCACGTTGGGTTATTACACAGAGGAACCGAAAAGTTGATCGAGTACAAGACATACCTTCAGGCACTGCCATACTTCGACCGTTTGGACTACGTCTCCATGATGACCAACGAGCAGTGCTTCTCCCTGGCTGTCGAGAAGCTTCTCAATGTTGAGATTCCAGAGCGTGCTAAGTGGATCAGAACCCTCTTTGGAGAGATTACGCGTATTCTCAACCACTTGATGTCTGTGTTGTCTCACGCCATGGATGTTGGTGCCCTTACGCCTTTCTTGTGGGGTTTCGAGGAGAGAGAGAAGCTCATGGTAAGATACTGGTCTATTTTTGTTCTATGTCTAATGTCATCGCTGCATATGAATGGCACTAATATACAAGTTAGGAATTCTATGAAAGAGTGTCTGGCGCCCGTCTCCACGCCGCCTACGTCCGTCCAGGAGGTGTCCACCAAGATATCCCCATCGGCCTACTCGACGACATCTATCAATGGGCAACGCAGTTCGCCGATCGTATTGATGAGACGGAGGAGCTTCTGACTGATAACCGAATCTGGATTGGCCGCACAAAGGGCGTTGGAGTTGTGTCTGCTGCCGATGCTTTGAACTTGTCTTTCACCGGTGTTATGCTTCGTGGATCCGGTGTGCCATGGGATATTCGCAAGAGCCAGCCATATGACGCGTACGACCAGGTCGAGTTTGATGTTCCAGTCGGTGTCAACGGAGACTGCTACGACAGATATCTCTGCCGCATGGAGGAATTCAGACAGTCCCTCCGTATCATTCACCAATGCCTCAACAAGATGCCAGCGGGACCAATTAGAGTGGAAGACTACAAGGTCTCGCCACCACCCAGAGCTGCCATGAAGGAGAACATGGAAGCTTTGATCCACCACTTCTTGCTCTTCACGAAGGGTTATACCGTGCCACCAGGAGAGACCTACTCGGCCATTGAGGCGCCCAAGGGAGAGATGGGAGTTTATCTTGTCAGTGATGGAAGCGAGAGGCCATACAGGTGCAAGATTCGCGCTCCAGGATTTGCCCATCTCGGAGGGTTCGACCAGGTTTCAAGAGGCCATCTTCTTGCTGACGCAGTTGCGATTATTGGAACGATGGATTTGGTGTTTGGAGAAGGTAAGTTTCGCACACATATGGATGGCCTTACAAATATGCTAACAAATCGTAGTTGATCGTTAAGAGAGGCGTGATGTGTGGAGGAGGCCAACCGGCCGCGTTTGTACAGCTGGGAAATAGAAGGGTGCAACAGTTTGAGTATTTGTATATATCTGTGTTTGTTAGGTCATCAGCCAAGCAACTCAATCATCACATCTGGACTTTTTTCGTGCACTTACAATGTATTCCAGACTAGTGCCTTCAGGTATCCCCTGTGTTGGCCATGTCGCTGCTAACAATGGCTGGGCCTCGATATGGTCGATTTGGTGGAGAGTACTCATTTACGCCATCAAATATTGGATGGCTAACACTTGCCGGAGGGCCCATTGGGAGGACATGGGGCGCAGACGGTGTTGATTGACTATCGCGGAAACCGTCCATAGGAGGAGCGCTCATTCCTAGAGCTGGGTCGCTGAAGTTTGAAGGCGACATTTGTGAAGTGAACTGCTGAGCGGCGCCCCGAAACTGAATGCTTTTTTCCCTGTAAGTAGTCAGTAAGTGTCTTTTCTTTCGTATGTACCGTGCATACAAACTTTGCGAATGCATTATATCGTGGATTGCACTTACTGTTTGGCCCTGGGACCCCTGGGCACCACGCCACCAGGGTTATATTTGACATTGGCAATCATCTCATCCCCAGATGCGCTTCTGTACTGATCTTCATCTGGGTAATACTTTGTTGTGCCGATATAATTCTGCACCGCGACTTTTCCTTCACCAGGCAGACGAGCTTCGTGCAGCTGGCGACCTGAGTCGTACTCTTCCTTCGCATTGTTCAAGTTTGCCCCGGGCAATGCTTCATGTCCAGCCGCCTCGTTGCCGAATTGGTAACCGATATATGCGTTACCAGGTGGGACCTGGGGCCCAAAATGGAGGGAACTATAGTCGCTACTGGACAATTGACCGGGCCCGGATCTGTTCCTAGGGATGTGGTAGTTGCTCATCTGGTACTCCGTTTCCATACTCGGTCCACTGGCAGCGCCCAGACGAGTCTGCTGGGCAAGGATTTCAGAGTCATTGTTTGAGCGGCTAGGAGCAACCACGTAGGCGTGCCCTGCGCTGCGAAGCGCGTCTTCAATCGCCGCTCGTCTGCTTGATTCTAAGTTTATGGCGGCAAACCTGGCTTCTACCCTCGCGATCGCGTCTTCAATTTCTCTACTGCTCTTTCTACGGTCTTTCTTCGATACCTTTCGTCCCATCGTTGTCGCTCCTATTCCACCACCACTTCTCTCCGCATTCCCACTGGGCATCTCCATGATCTGCATTTGTCCAGGCGCAGGCACTCTCTCATATCCCGCATGCCGAATCTGTCGTCCACCACCCCCTAGTTCTCTCTCAATGTCAATATCAAACCTCGTCTCACATCCCCCCTTTTCACCTCCAAATACACACTCTTCCCTCCCAAGTCTGTAATGCATCTCTCGGTGGGACTCCTCTTTAGCCAGTGTGCGCTGGTTCCAGACCACTCTTGCACATGAGGGGCAATTTTCAGGGACTATGATAGGGCGCTCACCAGGGTACCGGCAGTAAGGGAAATGTGGTGATTGGGAAACGATCGGGCAGCCACGGAGTGTGGGAAGGGCACAGTGGCCACAGTTGAAGCCGATGAATTCTTTGACGCACATAGCGAATTTGGCACTTGGACCGAAGGATAACAATGGATGGAATATGAATATGGTCTGAAATATGTGGCACAGAAGCTGTTGTCACTGAGAATTAATGGGTCGGCTTCAGTTCGAACGCAGTCCAGATTCTTTTCAGATTGTCCTACAAATATGTCAGCATGTGTTCTCATCTGGGTTCTTTCGTTGCACGTCAAACCTCTTTCAGGATGGCCCAAAAAGCAACAGCGGATACTCAGTCGTCCAAATATAACACTTGGACGTCAGGTTTGGAATCCTTTCAGTGTTGATGTGGTTCGTATATCGTGCTTGATGGCTGTCTGCTGTCCACAGTTTTGTCTTCTGGCCTTCTTTTGGTTCACAGTTAGCCAGGATGTTCAAATAAGTGAACCTTTCTTTTGAATGATGTTTGGTTAAGTCTGTTCTTGTGAAACTTGTTGTTTGTGGTGATTGTAACTGATGATGCTGAATGCAAGTTGGTGAAACGAGTTGAGTGTATCGGATATAGTTATAGGATAGAAGAAGTAACAGAAGGAAGACGGCAAACAGCTATATATAGGAGCTAAAATCCTGTGATTCACGGGTCTAGGTGGAATAGGGTACTATTAGATAGAGGAAGGGAGTTCCGCAACGCATCATCATAGTCTTATCCCAAACTCGAACCAGGATCCCGGTGGACTTTGGCACGCCGGTGATTTACTGAGGTGTCATAACAAGATAGGGATCTTCAATGTGAGTGAGCATTCCGGACGGGAGATGGGGCTTTTTGACCCTATCCATTGTTTTCCCCCTGTACATAGAGGATCTCATGTTGTAATATTCTCTACGAGGTCCTGTGAGGTAGTTGGAATAGGAGAATCACTGTCACCACCATCATGACCCACAGTCAGAACTTTATTTAGTGAAGAATCATATCACACCCCATGGGGAATACGGAATGTATGCTGGGAGTAGTCCTCCGGGTCTTTTTATCCGCGGATATAATTCAACTTCTTCAAGTCACGGTTTTCAGGTATCATACACAGGTTGCATGGGCTCATATCGTAATTTCGTGAAGTCTAATAATAGACGCTTAATATCTCGCAATACAATAATGCTGAGGTTTCAAGTAACACCGACTGTGCTTCATTTCTGCCCAGCGCCAAGCACAAATAACTTCCTTGAACTCCTCTTCCATAATATACACTCGTCAAACTTGGTTGTCGTGGTAGATATAGCTGACATCTCTCGCGGTCTGTCTATTTGTCCTCACAAATTCCTCGTCTCCAGGTGGCCGTTCTGACTTTGTGTTGCCGGTTAGCATGCTTTGGATGCTCATGCAGATGCTTTGCACGTTTTGGACCGGACTCCATCCCTGCTTTCCGAGCAGATCTAAACATATAAAGCCATTCGAGTAGATGTGGGGGTGTATCGGGATCGGACGGTCTGCAGTTTTCACAAAGGTGACCTCGGGGGCTTCTGCAACGGATATGTCAATATTCGTTACAAGGTGGGGGTGGCGGGGGGCTTTGGGTGTGTATACCGATTGGATATGCGTTAGTGAACTTGAATTTCAGGCGGAAAGTTTGATTCAAATAAATCGGATTCGCATCGAGGACTTGGATATCCATAAACCACTCTGCGAAGCCATCCGCAGTGACTAAGCTTATTCCTGGTGGTAGGCTCGAGTGTATCTGGACGACGAGCACAGTTCGGTTAGAGTCTCTTCCGGCTCGTGCATAGAACTGTTCGTACCTTTGGAAGCTCCTTTCCCAGACGCTTTGAAGCTGATAACATCTTTAGGAGGTTGTGGGTATTGCGTGTATTTCTTAACTGGGGGGAGAAGTTGAGGTTGTTGATGCGGAAGGAAAGAGGCGCAAACCAAGAAAGCCAGGCGCAGCTTTTCTACGCCAAAGCAATCAGATTCAGATATGCCACCCGAAAAATATCTCGGTAATAGATCGGATCCTGAGCGAACTATGGATTTATTCAGAAATTCTCGTAGAGTCAGAACGGCTCAACAGCGGGTATTGGAGAGGGCCATAAAGCAAAAGAGGACTGGAATTATAAACTCACAAGGTAGCAACCAAGGACCCCTCCGACTTCCTCAGAGGCTGACATAAGCAGACTTTTTTGAGGCGCTTGGAGCTTCCCTATTGGCTGGGCAGCTCTCGTGTAAACAAATGACATGTAGGGCGTGGAAAACCTACGTCTTGTATAAACCCAAATGTATATGCGATATACACTTAAAGTCGATAATTGAAAAGAAAGGGCAAGTAGCTCATTGAATCTCCGTTGTCTCACCAGTTAATTCCGCCTTGTGGAGTTCCTCATGGGCCACCAGGGCTGCTCCACAGCAATCATTGGAGCATTGAGGCCCCTGTTGGAGCGACCCATCACAGCCACATCCTAACCCCGCGGCTGCGGCTGAGCACTTGCCTATCCACCCGTATATATAAACCGCAGACACGAACAAAAGAAGTTCTGTTCTGAATTTGCTCAGAAGGACGTGACCTCTATATTACTACATTTGCCATCTGAGTTTCCAATCTTGTCGACCGTTGTGTTTGCGCGCTTAGGATCATACTGTTTCTGGGGACATTGGCTTATCGCAATCTCGACCCCTCCTTCAAACCCTCTTGTCACTTCACGCGCCTTTAGGCCTCACTGCCCGACACCTCACGAAAAGTTACAGCACACACACACCCTACAACAACATTTGCAGTTTATCTCGCACGTTTGATTCGTTGTCGCAACTACTCCTAAAGCCAAAATGAGTTGTGAGTCGCATTCCTTGTCCCCTCTCAACCTGCGATCCAGACGAGCGTACTTGCCCGCCTGTACCCATATCCATCCGCGCTGTACCAACTTGGAAACAAATGTTTCATTTTACTTGGTCAAAAGGTTTTATAAATGAATCTCTGCTAACCATCACGGGCACAGTCTCGACTATGTTGAACAAGATCCAGGGTCAGCCTGAAACGTACGATAAAAAGTAACCCTACCGCGATTCATAATTGGCCGGCGCTGACGACAGACACAGGTCTAAATACAAATTTGGGAGGACTCTTGGTGCCGGGACTTATGGAATCGTTAGAGAGGCCACATGCCATGATGGCACGAAGGTTGCGATCAAAATAATTCTCAAGAAAAATGTCAAGGGAAACGAGCAGATGGTGATCGACGAGCTGCGAATGCTCCGAGAGATGCAGCACCCGCATATTGTCAAATTTGTCGATTGGTTTGAGTCAAGGGTACGCATTCAGACTTCCATCATTGATAGGCATTGCTGACTCGGCGGGTAATTAGGACAAGTACTATATTGTAACCCAACTGGCGACGGGGGGTGAGCTCTTCGACCGTATTTGCGAGCAAGGGAGATTCACGGAGAAGGATGCATCGCAGACCATACGCCAGGTAATCGAAGCGGTTGACTATTTACACGGGAAGAACGTCGTCCACAGGGGTATAATAATCCGAATAACTTGGGACTTGTGACAAGGCTGACGTAAAAACAGATCTCAAGCCAGAGAACCTGCTCTATCTCACCTCGGATGCGAACTCAGGCCTTGTTCTTGCCGACTTTGGCATCGCCAAGATGCTTGACACGAAGGATGAGGTTTTAACTACCATGGCGGGCTCCTTCGGCTATGCAGCTCCAGAAGTCATGCTTAAGAAAGGCCATGGCAAGCCCGTGGACATGTGGTCGTTGGGGGTCATCACATATACTCTTCTATGTGGTTACTCTCCATTCCGCAGTGAGAACCTGCAAGATTTGATTGAGGAGTGTTCGAGCTCCAAGATCGTCTTCCACGAGCGATACTGGAAGGACGTCAGCGACGATGCCAAGAATTTCATCAACACCCTTCTCCAGGCGAACCCCGATGCCAGAGCAACAAGCGCCGTAAGTTTTACGCCCATCTATCCATCGCCACATATCGAAGTTTGAACCTACTAACACAGCAACAGGAAGCGCTACGTAACCCATGGCTCAGCGGCAAGAACGCCACCGACCACAACTTGTTGCCCGAGATCAAAGCCTACATGGCGAAGGCACGTCTCCGCCGCGGTATCGAGATTATCAAGCTCGCAAACCGCATCGAGGCACTCAAGATGCAGGAAGACGACGAAGACGAGGCACCTGCAGATTCCGATTTACCCAAAAACTCTGAGGCGGCTGCGGTTGCTGCTGTTGCCGGGTCTTCCAGTGGGAGCCTGGATCCCCGACCACCTCCGTCTCCAGAGGGTAAGAGGAGTCTGAGTGCGATTGCGAAGCAGTCCATATTCAGGGAGGTGGTTATGGCTAAAGTAAGAGAGACGAAGGAAGCCGAGCAGGCTAAGGCGATTGAGGCGGAGGCGAACGAGCAGGATGCTAAGAAGAAGAGCTTCTAGAGTGGGAGTAGGCGTCTTCGGGATGGAGGAATGGTAAAACTGGAAGGAAACGGTATTGGAAAGGTAAGGAGGAGCGGTTTGTTTCATTATGGTACATGATTTGTATCTTCGTTGATTATGTACGGTTATTTATACCCGTGTGCGCCGGGATGAGGGCCTCATAGCATAGTAACCTTTCAGATGGGATTTAGCGTCGGATATGTATATTGAGATTTTGTGACCGCCATGTATTCAGGCATGGAATCTAACAGACTATATCGCAAGCGGAATCTTATTAAACAAAGACAAGCCGAACTCCATTAAACCCAAAAACGTGCTACCTAACCGTACCTCCTATCCAGAACACCGCCGCCAGTATAGACAAGAATCAAACATCAAACCTCCATTCAACAGAACCCAGACAATAGCATATCCTTCGTTACCACTTAGCACCCAGTGCTTTACCTCCAGTTCCCCTGGCTCAGACTGAGGAGTCCTTGGATACAATCCAAGTCCCCCTTTTTACTCGGACTAACTTCACCCCTCATAAATTTCTCTACTTCCACGTCAACAACCTCATCCTCTGGATCTTCAAAGATCTCAGCTTCCACGGACTTCGTTGTCTTAGTCCTGCTTCTGCCCACATTTGAGCTGTTTCCTCCCATGAACGACTTCGCGTTCCCGAGTGCCTTTGTACGGCCGAGTTTTGGACGGTGGCTTGGCAGGGGTCGTCTAGTCTGGCTGCCCTCGTTGCCTTCACCTGGGATCCAATTTTCCTTGTCACTCTCTCCACCCGGGCTCTGAACGAGCACCACACCATCCTTCTCCTTTGGCTTAGTGGTGTTTTTGCGAGGTTTACCCCCTACAGTCTGCATTATGGCCAGGCTACTTGCTGCCTTAACCAGCATAGGCTTCTTGCCACTTCCATTGCGCTGCTTCTCGCTATTTCCACTTGGGGCATTCCGCTTGTTCGCATTAGACTTAAGAGCCGTAGAACTAGTTGAGCGAATCAGACTAATGGCAGCTACTGCACTCCCACTGCTCTCATTCTCAGCTTGTGTGGTAAGCTCGTCACGTGCTTCGGCGTCAGCGCAGAACTCCCAGGTTCGCGCGTCGCGGGAGCGACCAGTAGGGAGCCGGGGAACAAAGGGCATCGATGGGGCGTCGCGGGGAGAGATGGAGGGGAACGGGAGAGCGGCGCTTTGGCTGCGTTGGAGGCCGCCACTACGACGACGAGCGCTAGACAAGGCGGAAGATGGGCGCGACTGCCGAGGACGCGGTGGGGACGAAGAGAGCTCAGTTGAGACAAGCTCAGCTTTGCCGTCTAGAGAAAGGGAGAGTCGCACATTTGATGAAGGCGTCGAGATTGTTGAAGCATTTAGCCGCTCTGGGCATGATGATGGGAGTTGCGGGTCAAAGCTAAAGAAAAAGTTAGTTGGTTTCTATTAAAGTATCATAGGAGTGATGGTTACCTTAGGGGTGTCATAAAAGCAGGTGTTTGCGAGGTTGGCGGGGTGCCGAAAGAGCTTCCTGCATTCCAACGATTGGAAAGGTATCCGAGGGTACTGGGTACGGATTGAGGAAGCCCTTGGGAAGCGGAAAAGGAACTATCAAAAGATTCCGAAGATTGGAAGCTAGTATTCGCCTTAAGAGGAGTAATAGTTGGCTGGGAAACCTCCATGGTGGGACCTTTGCCGTGAAGGTTATTATCAGAAGTAGCTGCTGGGGACGGTGTGCCAGGGAAAGCTTGCTCGGGCCCCTTCGTATGCGTTACGGGAAGGGCACTTTGTTCGGTCTCGGGGCTGGCTGGTACTTGGTCAGAGCCTTGGCTACTACTAAAGCTGCTCCCGAACGTGCTGGCGAGTATAGGGTCGGATGATAGAGCCGCCATACCACCAAGTCCAAATGCAGCAATCTCATGTGGCAGAAGTGGACGCGACTTTCTTCTCGTGTTTTGGCGTCTATTTTGGAACCAAATCTGATTATGTTGTTAGTTGTTGTCTCAGATTGTGCCCGCCGGATTTGGACATCAGGTCGACCTCCAACTAACCTGTACTTCTTTCTCGCCTAAGGCGACACTCTTCACGATTTCCAGACGCGCTGTTTTGTCGGGCTTTGGGTTCCTCTTGTACTCTGCTTCCAAGGTAGCTTGGTCTTCTGGGCTTTAGGGTAGCACGTTAGCAGGTATTCCAATGCGTAGCCCTTAAAGAAAGGACATCTCTCGAGTGTGCCGGTGGCGTAGTTCTAAGTCGTAAACATACCTTGTTCGCCTTCTCTTCTGGCGCGCCAGCCTGCCATTATCGACTTCTGGTGGCCCTCCGTTTGTCACCGACTCTTGAGAATGCACAAGAAACGGGAAAACATCGTTGTCGCTCGAAACGCGCTCAGATGCTGCTGTCGGTGGAGCATCTTGTCCCGTGGCAGATGGGAGTTTTGGAAGAGTCGTGTCGTTCATGGCGAACGATGTACCGCCTTTTGAGTAGTGATAGAGTAATATTTATTAGAGGCAATGCATAGAGACGGATATCGAATATGTATTGAGGAGTTGTAAACAATGTTGTAGTGTAAAGTAGGCGTGTCTCCGCGAAACTTAGATTGCGTATATTCTCATGTACTCTAGGCGCGTCGTGGAGCTTTGGCACTGAACCCTCCGTCACGCGAAGCGAAATCGTTGACAGTCGCGGTAACCCCACCTTTTAGGGGCCCAAACCTCAGGCTACAACCTTATCCATTGATTGGGCGCGCATCAAAAAAGTATACACAGCCTTGCAGTAACCGTCCGAGTCACAAAATACCACAACGTTAAAGGACATGACTCGCGAATGAAGTGCCTTCGGAACCCCATATCACGATCTTTACGGCCTTTCATACGACACAGAATTTTACAGCAAGCTGCTCCTGTTACGGTTACGACCAGCTATTTGCACTATCGACACTCGTCGTCAACACCGGCACTCTCTCAAGAGTCTTTAGATATGGCTTCCGAAGCTCCTAAGGCCCCCGAGGCTCCCAAGGCCCCCAGAGCCCCCAAAGCTCCGAAAGCTCCCAAGTTCGAGCTGAAGACGCCAAAGGGGACAAAGGACTGTATGTAACTGTGCCTTGGTCTGCGGACTTGTCTGGTCACTAATATCATATAGGGCAAGGAACTGATATGGTCATTCGCGACAAGATCTTCTCCACCATTACCGACGTCTTCAAGCGCCACGGAGCTGTCACTATAGATACACCAGTATTTGAACTGAAGGAAATCCTGTCCGGCAAATATGGAGAAGATAGCAAGCTCATCTATGACCTGGCCGACCAAGGTGGCGAAATCTGCTCGCTCCGATACGATTTGACGGTACCATTTGCTAGATGGTTAGCCATGAACAGAGACGTCCAGAGCATCAAGCGCTATCACATTGCGAAGGTCTACAGGCGTGACCAACCTGCCATGACCAAGGGCAGAATGAGAGAATTCTACCAATGCGATTTCGATATTGCTGGGACATACGACGCCATGCTCCCCGACGCTGAGATTGTGAAAATCACCACTGAAATCTTCACTGGCTTGGGATGGGACGGCCGCTACACAATTAAGTTGAACCACCGCAAAATTTTAGACGGAATTTTCCAGGTTTGCGGTGTTCCAGGAGACAAAATCCGTACTATCTCGTCTGCGGTTGACAAGCTTGATAAGCTGCCCTGGGTCGATGTACGCAAGGAGATGACGGAAGAAAAGGGTCTCGATGGAGAGATCGCAGATAGGATTGGCGAATATGTCGTACTAAAGGGACAAACCGACCTATTAACTAAGCTCAAGGCTGATGAGAAGCTAATGGCCAACGAATCCATGAAGGCCGGATTAGCAGACATGGATCTCCTATTCAGCTATCTTAAGTCTTTTGATGCGCTCGGCAATGTTTCGTTCGACCTTAGCTTGGCTAGAGGCCTGGACTACTACACCGGCCTCATCTATGAGGTTGTTATGGAAGGTTCTGCACCTGGCTCCGCGCCAGTCACGTTAGCTACAACATCTGCAGCTACGGCGGCACCTCCTAAGCCGTCCAAGAAGCCATCGAGGTCAAAGGGCGCAGATGGTGAAGAGGACAGATCAAATGATCCTAGTGTAGGCGTTGGTAGTGTTGCCGCCGGTGGCAGATATGACAACCTTGTTGGCATGTTCTCCGGGAAGAATCAAATCCCATGTGTCGGAATCTCTTTCGGTGTTGACCGTATTTTCTCTATCACAAAGGCAAGGATGGAGGCGGAAAAGAACGATGTTAAGGTGCGAAACAACGAGGTTGATGTCTACGTAATGGCAGTTGGCGGTAAGGGCTTCACTGGCCTCTTACAAGAGCGTATGGCCATCTGCGCTCAGCTATGGAAGGCTGGCATTAAGGTACGTGCTAGATGCCCACACTCTGTAATGACCCGTTTGCTAACTCTTCGGTAAGGCCGAATTCATGTACAAGGTTAAGCCAAAGCTACAACAACAATTCAAGGCGGCAGAGGACAATGGTGTGCCGTTTGGTGTCATCTTCGGTGAGGATGAGTTCGCGAAGAACCAGGTCAAGATTAAGGAGTTGGGACTCCACCTCCCCCAAGACCACCCAGATAAGGACGGCGTTATAGTAGAGATCAGCAACTTGGCAGATGAGATCAAGCGCCGCATTGCGAATCAGACGGGTGTGGCTGCCTTAACAGAGAAAACAGAGGGCCTAAAGGTAGAGGCTGCAGAGTCTGTAGATGTGCCTGCAGGAGCTGCAGCGTAGAGTTACATATAAGCGTATGCAAATACCAGAAATATCAGGATAGTTGAGCCATTAATAGAATTTGAAGTGTCCACTGCACTAACCTGAGAGAAACGCGGTACTTTTGCGAAGAATATCAATAGTGCAAGTAAATATTTAAATTAAGACAATAAATTTAATAACTTTACTACAGTAAGCAATACTATGTTTCGTCGTGGCAAGATAATCAGTTACTTGCTACTTCGATGCCGAAAATGTCCACTAGCTTGAGGCGCTGTTGTCAAAAACTCGAGTCTAGATGAACGACATTGACCTAACAAAATAAGACAGCTGCAACTCCAACCCCATGTCCCGCTCTGTATTACGCGGTGGCCATAACCCCGAACTCCAGCTGAAAATCCCACCTAGCCTAACCGGCCCCTCACAACTCCATATCTACACCAACCGCCTCCTCTTTCTCTTTCCGGTAGTCCTCATCCTTGTCTTCCCGATTCTCTCTTATTTCATCTTCGACCTCATCCCTCAGCCCCGTTAAATCAGGCGGTATATCTTGCATCTGAACACTCGGCGCGTGATTAACGAAGCGAAGTTCCTCATTAATACTCGCCACGATCTCCGCGATGCGCTTAGGGGTATTGCGGTTCAAGCGGCTCTCCGTGAGCAGCTCGTCTGGGGTGGGAAAGAGGGTCGTTTGCCGGAAGTGGTTGCGGTAGGGCGTGTGATTCGGGAGAATGGGGTTCAGCGTCGCGTCGCAGCCGATAGCGATGCTGGTCTCGTTGGTCCAGGCTCGGGCGACGTTACGAGGAGTGTACCCGCCGCCACCGACGAGTAGGAGGGGCAGGCGCAAAGACTTGCAGAAGGCGACGCAGGCGCCGTGGCCTTGGACTTGGAGGTTAAAAGGCCCAAGACGGTCACCGGCAAGGGAATCGGCACCACATTGTAGGACAATTGCTGATGGCTGGAACCGGTCGACACAACTCTGGATGACGGTTTTGAAGAGGGAAGTGTATTGCTCATCGTCTATGCCGTCGTTGAGAGGGACGTTAACAGTGTGGTGGGCGCCAGGGTTATGTTCATCCTCTGGGCCTGTACTGTTGAGAGGACCAGTGCCAGGGAAGAAATTGTCCTTGTCGTATTTGTGGAATGACACGGTCATAACTCTATCGGTCGAGGAGAACGCCTCTTCGACGCCATCACCATGGTGGACATCAATATCGATATACAGCACACGCGGATGGTGGCGTAACAACTGCAAGATCGCAAGAACGATATCGTTCATGTAGCAAAAACCGGAAGCTTCTGACTTCTTTGCGTGATGTAGACCACCTGACCAGTTAATGGCAATATCCGACTGATGGTTGCAAAGTTTCCTGGCAGCGTCTATGGATGCGCCGGCATACATCGAGCAGTAATCAAACAGGCCTTCGAATATAGGACAATCGTCGCCACCGAGATTGTGGGGATGGCTTGGGTATGAGACTGGTTCACACGGCATGGCTGTCTTCAAGTAGTCCAAGTAGTCCTGCGTATGGAATTCCGCCAGTTCCTCCGGTGTGGCCTTTCTCGAGACGTACGAGTCCATGGCATAGTGCATGCCATATGATGTGATGAGGCCCTTCGCCAACGTTAACCGCCATGGCTTCATAGGATGCGAACGTCCAAAGTGGTGCCTCTCAATCTCGGGATTTAAGTGCCAAGACACAGTGTATCCTTTGGGCTTCTTGATGCCATTCCTGATCGCTTCCTCCTTGATCTGACGCGAGAACTTCAGGTTGTCCACATCACCGTGCACTGCAAACGGCGGCCCGTAATTCTGCACAATAGTGTTCGTTGGCATCACCATCTTCTCTCCTGGGCGAGGCCTCCTCGATCTTCGCCGCCACTGCCAGGTCTATATGCCACACGTGATATTCGTTCTGTGGCGGGCGGACTCCTCGTGATCTGTTCAATGTGATGCGGCTGAGAGGTGTAGGTGTGTGTATGGTAGTGCAATATCAAGCTGCAGGGAGATGCGAGATGAAGAAGTTCTCTTGATGGCAATATTGATATATTATGTACGGCGTATGTATTTCGTATCCTGGGACTCGACCTTCGATCTCTTGAAACTCTGCTTGGGTGGTTCCATAAGCGGCTAGTCAACGCCAAACCTTAAGTTCTTTAGCGCGATTGATTAGCCCGAAACCTCCAGCCCGCCCGTTGTTCCTTTAGAAACCGAGTGAACTGTCCCTGGATAACTCGGTGCGATTCTCAGACGTTCACTTAAGCCAGTTACTGAAAATTTAAACCAAAGGGGGGAATCCTACAAGCTTTTATTATAAACATAAATTCTCAGCTGTGCATGGTCCCTCTTCGGAGTTATGGGCGGCAAGAGTGAGAGTGCTAGATTGAAGCCTAGGAATATAGGCTTACATAATTTTGAGGACTGTTCACTCGGTTTGCCCCACCCTTGCCATCGGCAAGGCTGATGAATCCGCAAATCGTCCGATTAGCTAAACTTACCTTGCGCACCTCACTTGTCCCACTCACGGTCGTCACTTCCTTCTCTTCACCATCAACTCCCATCGCCGGCAGTCGCGGCCGAAGTGAATCTATTACGACAGACTCACTATTTATACGAATTCCTCCTACAGACTTTGATTTAAGGTAAGCCCACCGACTTGCGCATGAGTTCCCCCTACGTATCCCCCCACTCCCACTGTTCACGGAGACCTCTTGAGTGCCTTGTAGGTATTAACACATTATGCCTAGAGACGATCTTTCGATCGACGCCCACTTCGAAAACATGCCGCCAGGGCTTGGGCAAGAGCAAAATGACCCGATGACCGTCCTTGACGACTTCGTTAATCGCGCGTCCAACCTTCCCGCCGAGCTTCAGTTTTTGCAAGAGGAGACGGCCGATAAGGATCGCCAGATTCAACTGTGCATGGACGTAATCAATAGTCGCGATGCGAGCATTCAGAAGTGGATAAGAACCAATGGAAGCCTTACACCAAATCCGAAAGAGGCTATCCTTCGAAAGCAGATACTTGAAAACTACGATAAAGCCCAGATACTACAGGAAGAGAAATGCGCGCTGGCATTGAAAACGCAACAAACACTTGATAGGCACATCCGAAATTTTGACTTGCAGATCTTGTCGTTGCAAGAAAGGGGAGAGTTTCCAGCGGACTCTGATATGCCGTCACTTCTCCGCCCGGCCGCTGAGCCACCTGTGAATCGCCCAAGTCTGAACACAGCTTCGCTGGCTCAAGCCCAGCTGCCCCCGCCGTCTGCCAACGGTGGACCGTCTCGTCCGACGGCTCAACCACTTGGCGCACAAAGGATGGGCTCGGCGCAAATGCAGGCCCAGCAAGGGATTTCGCACATATCTTCCTCTGCACCTGCAACTCCAGCAGCTGCTCTTCTTCTCCAGAGGCAGTCACGCGAATCGTCGGCTGGTGCTGCGAACAAGCGCCAGCGAATCACAGGCGGATTAGGCACTCTCCCAGCAAATTCAAGTGGGCTGGCTCGACATGCGTCGACAGGTCCTGGCACGCCAAAAGCCGGGACTCCATCGGCAACAAGAGCTGGTAGTGTAGGACCTCGAGGAGGGCCGAAGGCACCTGCGGTTGGGAAAAAGGTTGCCCCTCATAAGCAAGGTATTGCACCACATAAACCAAAACCTGGAAAGTCGGGGCTCAGTCGCGTTAAGCGCACTGGAAATAAGAACTCCCCGTCTTCCACAAATGATAGCGAGCTGAGTGATGCCGAAACAGGTTCGTTGGCAGACGAGGACGACGTTGCCACACCGCCTCCTGTGAAGAAGCACCAAGGTGCCGACGAGGAGATGTTTGAAGGGGAAGAAGATGAAGGCAGCGATGACAAAAAGTACTGTCTTTGCCAGAAGGTTAGCTTTGGCGATATGGTGGCATGTGACAACGACGAATGTCCCTTCGAATGGTTCCATTGGCCGTGTGTCGGTTTAAAGAGCGAGCCAGTTGGGACGTGGATATGTCCAGTATGCACAAAAAACAATAAAAAGTAGGCATCGGCTTTCTAAATAATGGTATGAGGGGGTATTTGGTAGGGACTGAGCGCGGCGTTGGTTTTAGGCTATCTTGATAATCTCATGATAATGGGTGGGAATGGGTGAATAAAGGTGTATTACAAGTAAATAATAGAACTACTTTTGTAGGGTTAGAGAGCCCGACTTTGACATGGTTAATCTACGTAAATAAGATGCAACTCTTGCTCAGTAATTTGTGTTCCTCCTCACGCATCATCTGATACATACCCTCCGATTGTCGACGAGGGGAAGTGGGCTGACCCTGACGAGGCTGGGCGCGCGCGACTCACCGCCTGCCTATCCTGTCCAGGTCGAACGGAGAAATCACCCATACTCAATCAACCTCAAGCTTCGCGACAGCCCCATCTCAACTAACCTCATTACTATATCACTCCGGCTCACGAGATTCTGCCGTTCACCACAATTTCACCAAAAGAATCGTATTGCAATAGATGAACCTCATCCGCAGCGATGTCGGAGTCTGATTCGCAGTCTTCGTCGCCATCTCCCTCGACCGCGACACCTGTGGTCTCCACGAACAATAATAATAACTTTGGCGGGAGCCAGATACCACCGACTCTCCTCTCGCTGCCACCCACGATAATATACAACTCGGAAGATGAGCTCTTTGACGCCATACAAACTCACGCCAGGAGTACTGGCCAGTGCTTTGTTAAGCTGAGAAGCACCACTCACAATGACCGTAAAACTGTCACGTACGCATGCGACAGGTGTAAAAAGCCCAAGCCAGCGCAGCCCAATCAAGACGAATCCACACCCCAGAGGAAGCGCAAGGACATGAGCCATCGGACAGACTGCCAATTCTCATTTTTGGGAGTCCAATTGAAGGACAATGCCGGCTGGGAGGTTCGGTATCGGCCCTCCGAATTCTATGGGACCCATAATCACCCGCCGAGCGATTCAACATCAGCGCATTCTGGACATCGCCGGCTAAACCAAGAGGCGATGCAAAAAGTTCGCGAGCTTCAAGTTAATGGTATGGTGTATTACCTCGCAACTTACTAGTGTATATTCTAATTATATTGTGCAGGTGTCCATCCACGACAGGCTGTAACTATTTTACGGCAAACTCTTAATCCTGATCTATTACCTCACGATATATACAACATCTACTCATCGCTCAAACGCGCGCAAGTGACAGAAGATGGCACGGTCATCCCTCCCGCCAGGAAACGACGATCTGACGCCAAAGCTCTTGTAGCTGGCGGGGAACAACAAACTCCAATACGGCCTGCTGGAAGAGGACAGCAGGGCAATAGCGCGATGGGACGAAATGGCCCTGGCCGTGCACAGCTACTAGCTAACCCCCTCAGTGTTACAAAATACCGAGAGATTATGATCGCATCAGGCTACTCAAGCAACCACTCTGTAATTGAAGTGCGAAATCTTGCCAGCAATGCCCTTGTTGGAACAGATATATGGGGCGGAAAGGACGCAAAAGGGCGATGCAACAGGTTTCAGCCAATGCTACTGTCTGCGAAGATATCATTGCGCAACAGATTCGATTACGCGGCGCAAAACGACAGACTTGATGACGGAACTGTCAACTACAGCACGCTGAGTAAGACAATATTGAAAGTCTTGTCAAGTCGCGGGGCAAACAGAGACGATCCAGGACCCCTCGCAGGTTGGCCTGGGTTGGAAATTGATTGGAATGTAGCTGATCTTATAAACTGGATTTTCGTATATCTCACCGGACGACGCGCCAACGGTAGCGTCCCAGATGCAGCGCTCGCACACTCTTATATCAGAGGAGGTTGCCCGTGTCTTGTGGATGGGCCCCTATATGAGCAGCCTCTCTTGAGCATGGACACCCTACAAGAAATGAAAATGACCTTGCGACTGCCAAAGGGTACTCTCCTGAGCGAAGGCGTTAGCCTCGCCATCACTGCGGGATATCTCCCTGGCAATCGAGTTAACCAGTCTGCGCCATACTCGGCAGTTTTAAAGCTTGAGAATATCAAGATTCCCACTTTGATCGGCTTAAATCCAAACGAGCGACTAGCCAAGCAAATGGTCATTGCAACCGTTGAAATCGATCCATATGTTGTTGTAGGCCAAGATCACTACAATGAGCTGGAACAAATTGTGGTGAAGGTATGTAATTTGATTTCGTTGCTTATTTCCCGTGCTAACGGTTTACCAGTCTATTGAGGAATCCGCTTTCGAGACTCTTGAATCGTTGGCAGCACATCTCGTCAACCGGATCATCAAACACTTCATCTTCCCATACACGACACGAGAGCCTTTCAGCGACGTCAGAGTCTCACTCGTTAAGCCTAGCGCAACAACATTTGCGGAAGCTCCGATCGTGACTGTCAGTCGAAGTTCGAATCCTGCGATCGATGCCACTTCCAAGACTCTTTGGGAGGAATGGCTCTCGTGGAACACAGGGGTCGAGTCGCGGGTCCCCTTTCCGTACCAAGGCAGGCTTGATAGCTGGATTTTAGATAACTTCCCGGGCGATAGCAGCGGTGCCCAGGCCGGAGATCATCCAGGAGACCATCAGATGCAGGGATGAGCTGAAATGATTATGCAGTAGATGCTACTCGTGGAGAACCAGATCCACGTCATGTGCAGGCTGGGGCCCAACAGTACCGGTCTCGCTGGTAACAGACTACTGGTATTAAACGAAGGAGAGATGTCAAAGAAGCATAAACAACAGATGGTCGGTTTCCATTAGGGCAATGGTGGGTCATATACGGCATTATATTAGGAGGCTGGCGTTGGACGGTTATGGAAGTCCAAAGGCTGGCCAGGGAATGGTATTATTATGCGAGATCTTACATACATTTGCACTTGGAGTGGGATTCTGCTTCTATATTATTTGGTTTTAGGCTACAGTAGCAGAATGGTCAAAAGCTGCTTCATCATTCATAGCGAAGGAGTCTATCTATTCCTTTCTGCATCCATCCCAATTCCAGTCTATGCACATCATCTATGATTAAACGCAACATCTTTCGCTATCGCTCTCATCGAGACCGTTAGACTTTCTCTGATATTGGCACATCTCCGTCAGTGATACTGTCCAGGAACTTCTTGTCTACATTGAATAGCATGACATGGAAATGCTCCACGGAGTGCACGCTTTTCAGGCTAGCCCAGTTTCTAAACCATATAACCTATCTTACGGTTAGTATTACCTTCAACAGTATATTTCACGGCCAGTCCCTAATTCGTTTACTTCAAAAAACGACGAGTGCATGGGAATGAATGACTCACATTATCGCTGCCACAGTGAACTCTAAACGTCTTCTCAACATAATCATCGATTTGCTTCCTCTGTCTATCCGTCAAATCCCCTCCCATCTTAGGATCTTCTTCCAGCGGAAACTTCGTCCACACAACAAGGTGAGAAATGCGTTCATCAATGCCATACGGCCAATCATTCCACTTGATAGACAGGTCTGAGTCCTTCTCGAACGGCTTTCCATCTGCCACAATGGGGTGTGTCCAGTGCAGCTTCTCCCCCAGCACAAAGTTCATGACGCTGCCGTACTTCATCTTAATCTCATAGTTGAAGGCAAAGTACCGCCGCAGCTCGACGGGCGTGCGCTGGAAGACGTCGAGGCGATTCCGGGAGATATGCCCCTGTAGCTCAGGCCAAGTCATGCGCTGATATTCCGAGTCGGGGGTGCCAAGGATCTCTAGATCCTTGCCACGGGCGCTCAGTAAGTATGGAGGGCATTCTTCCTCTCGTTCCTCCGGAGGGACATTGACGTGCCAGAAGGGCAGGGTAGATGTCTCAGCCAGGCTACCCATTGAAGGCAATATTTGAGTCGTAGACGAAATAGAAGTACCGCGAGATGGCTAGAATCCCAAGAGCGAGGGTTCTATAGCCAGAATAGAAAATGAAGTCTTGGGAGGGGTGAATGTCTCCGCCCTCAGCCGTTATAAGATAAGCACCCAACCCTTGTCTTGCGGATATAAGCTTTTGATATGGAAGATCGTTACGAACGTGGCTGTTGGATCAGATGTAAAGAAGTGCTTAGAAACTTAAAAATAACGACACGCCTTTAACTGTATGCGAGAAACGATAGTTGCCTTGAAGATGACAAAAAAATGGGAGGAAATGCAGGATGTCAACAGGATGTGAAGGTAACGTTCCGTTTCCACTGTCATCAAACTTCGCCACAAACTCGGGCCTTTCCTTGTGCACCTTTAGCGTCAGGACAAGACATTCACCGCCCAAACAGAAAAGCATAGCAGTCAGTGCCTAGCAAGACATTTCGTTTTATTCAAAGTCAAAAGGTCTCACACGTTCTATCTTTATTGGCTAGAAGAATAACATGTCCACGTGACGGATGTGAAGCATTATTCAGGAACTTTTGTAGTTTCAGTACTCGTACCTTTGTGAGCGAGACCTTAGCGTTTGATAAGGCTACGATAAGGCCCAAACGTCGGCCGAAGCCTCGCTCCCTTGGCGGGTAGCCACACGACATCCTACAATAATTGGCGCCATAGTTTGAGATATACATAAACGCCTTGTGATATGTTGACGAAGCATATCCTATTATCTGTCGTTGAATCTGATAACGATAAGGAGATAGCCGTCGAAAGGCTTCCAAGAGACGAGCAGAGGCCGTGCTTGTAGTGGCGGCGTCTAAACCCCTCGGATTACACCAGAATCGCCTGAATCTCAAACCAACTAGGGGTCTATGGGGATTCATTTATGTAATCCAGTTATTTAGGTTTGGTTGAAGTAATTCCTTTCCACTGCCATCTATCCTGTGAAGCTACCGACTGACACTGTGGCTGCCTACAGCATTGCGAGGGAGCCGAACTCATTAAAGCCGACCACGAACTATACTTGAATATTGTTACCCAGCGCCACTGAGACTTTCCGTGGAACACCACATACCACAAACTTCTCGAAAGAAACACGAAAATAGCTAAGACGAGCTCCCTGGGTCCCAATGACTAGCGAGGCGGAGCTGCGAGCCCGCTATCAGACCAGCAGGTTTAGGGAAGCTGGACTACAGGTGTCACCGACACAGGCCGACGAAGGCTCGGCCGATCCGCCCCAAGCACCGATTATCGATATTGCCGAACCAAATATCTCGGAAGAGGAGGAGCCGAGGGGCCTGATGCCGAATGAGGAAGATCCAGCGGCTGCCAATATAGATACTGAGCCTATAGGGGGGGACGAGGAAGATCCAGCGATTGCCAGTGCAGATACCGAACATATAAGGGTGGATATTGAACCTGCCAGTATAACGGATACACAAAACGATGATGGCTCCGCCCTGCAAAGGCCAAACCTCGCAGATGAAAGCTTGGGTATCCAAACCGATCCAACACCCCCAGCAAGCCAGCCATCGACTTCGAACGTGCCATCATCAACACCGTCGTTAAGCAACCAAGAGGAAATACAGGCCCAAACGGTGACCGATGATGACCCAGGAGATGATGACCCAGGAGCTGGCGTACCAAGTAGTCATGAGTCTCCCGTGGAATCCGATATTTTAACACTACCCCTGAATCAGAGTGGCGACATTCCTCCACAATCGCCCATATCCGCCGAACCGGAGACCCTAGAGACAGAAGACATAGGGGGTCCGGCTCCTGCTGAAAATATTGATAATGGCCAGTTAGATGGAACAGTTTGCTCCACCAGGTACCTTCGAGATGTGCAAAGAAGCGAATCCGATGTGGAGCAAGAACGCCCGTTAACAAGTCAGAGAGATGAGCACGAGGTTGTAGCGAGTACAGAAGACACGGGTGGCGATGAAGCTACACTCAATACTACTGGCCCCCCACGATGGCAGCCTGATGCAGAGGTGACATACTGCCCTATTTGTCAAACACAGTTCAGTTTTTTTGTCAGAAAGCACCATTGTAGGCAAGTATTCCTAACAGGCGCGGAGAGAAGTTAAGACGTACTAATTCAGACTAGGAAATGCGGAAGAGTTGTTTGTGCTAGTTGTTCACCTCATCGCATAACGATCCCGTACCAATTTATAGTCCAGCCGCCTGTATCTGGACCGGCAACAGCACTTCCTATAGCGCCACTGGCGGGTCGTGATACAGATAACCTCCCACAGTTTGGGGGCACGAAAGTCCGGTTATGCAACCCCTGTGTCCCGGATCCAAACACATTGCCACCACAGCCTCAGCGTACTGCGGCTGATGAACGCTGGAGAGATGCACCACCGACATACTACCTGAGTTCCAACAGCCGTCCGTATTCATTTGGTGAACAGGACATGGAAAATCTAGAACGCCAAGCCAGTGCAGCTTCTGTGAGATCCCGTGCCGTCAGCTCAACAGGCGCTACCCACCGTCACCAGCGCCAGCTATCACAAAGTCCCTACCCACCAAGATCTAGCAGCCAGGTGAGTTTGGTGCATAGTCAATATCACTATTAACTCAGTACTAACTCACTTTCCTTTTAGACTTCGTACGTCGGCGGTTCTTCCTACACCGGGCCCCACCACTTGAACCAAGGGCCCTCGTCATACCAACGTCGCTATCCAAACCGAAATCTCCCCGGCCCCCGCCATCAGAGCCACCAAAGCCTCTCAATGTCTTCCACCGGTTCTCCCAGCAACGCCCAACCACACTACCGCTCCCTACTCGACCCATTCTCCTCCCAGCAGCCCCAGCCCTCAAACTCCGGAGTCGACACATCCCGACCTCTGCCTCCAATCCCCCGCATCCGCGAAGAAGACGAATGCCCCGTCTGCCACCGCGAACTCCCTTCCCGCACCCTACCTGACTTCGAGTCTTTGCGCTCAAACCACGTCACCGAGTGCATCGAGGAGCAAATTGCGATCCACAGCGGCCGTCCTCGCCAGCAGTCCCCCGCGACCGTTCCAGCGAGACATGAACGCCCATCAGCTACGACTATGATTTCAAGCATATCTACCCCAGAATTCCGCTCGAACTCACCCAACTCAGCTACCTCATCCGCGTCGTCTCAGGGCGATCTCAACCTCGCCCAAGCCATCAACTTGCAGCCGCCTGCTCCTGACATCTCATCTTTCCCCAACACTCCCGAAGGCCGAACGGCATTCCGCGAAGCGCAACACGCCGCCGTGGTCCTCGGACACACGCGCTCGACATCTCACTCGCCCCTCGCCCACCCATCTTCCTCCTTCTCACCCGAGCCGCGGCGGACGGGGATGTTCCCTTATAAAGCGACGGAGAAAGACTGTGTAGATGACGCGGAATGTACGATCTGTCTCGAGGAGTTTGAAGTCGGGGAGCAGATGGCGCGGCTGGAGTGTTTGTGTCGGTTCCATGAGAAGTGTATTAGGAGTTGGTGGGAGGGGAAGCCGGGGAGGTGTCCGGTGCATGGGCATGATGCGTGGGGGCTGTGAGGGATGGGTGGGTGGGTGTTTGATTTTTTGAGATATAGGGAGGGAGATTGGGTGGGGGGTACGTTGCAGCGCCTGGCGCGGTGTTATAACAGTTTTATGTTTGGGTTTTTAAGGGGAGTTTAGCGTAACGTATGGGGTGGGATATATCATTTAGCGCCTCTCAATACAGTCATTATATGAACTTTATGTTGTGATCTGCAGACTGTTAAACTACCTCGCTCCCAGAGCAGCTTCTGATGAAACTCGGTGTGGTAAAAGTCACCGTTCTGTGCAATCCCTGAAAATCACAATCTACAACTTAAGTCTCTGGTATTAAGGATAGAGTGATGTTAAGTGTCTAGACTATAAATAGCTAATAGGTATTGAACGAGAGAAACCCGCCCCTTTTCTTCAGACCAACCGTATTCACAGCCATCTCAGAAACGCAGAGCATAATTAAGGCAAGGCTATTAACCTCGTCATCCATTCATATTATTTTTTCCTCTCTGTCCTATATTAAGTAGCTCCCAAAGCCGTTCAATCATGTCTTCAATCAACGAGGCGCCTCGTCTATTATTTGCTTCGCGCCCCCCATTCTCCCCCTTTCAAGCACAATTGTTCCCTCTTTTTCCCCGACGTCGCGCCATATTCGCATGCAAGCGCCAACGATGAATGCCATCTCGCGTGGAAACCCTCCCTGCACCTTGCAAAAACCCAAAAAAGATCCCCCACCTAGCGCCAATGACACTTGCCCCTCCCAACCCGCCATGAAAGAATTACCCCCCGTGGAAAGTCTGCTCCTTGGAGCAGCTCTGTTATCCGTCACACTCCCCTTACATCACCACGCACTCCTTGTCGTCCTTCTTAGGGCTCTCCGTGCTGAGACCTCGCGGGGTCGAGTCCTGAGGACCTGGCGTAGCAGGCCCATTTGGAACGCCCAAACTGCTCGTCCTGGCTTGTAGCTGCTGCAGCTTCTTCCCCTTCTTCGTCTTTGGCTCGGCCACTTCCATCGGAATCCCACCGCTGGCCGCAGCTCTGATGGCTGCGAGTCTGTATTGTGCTCTCTCGTCGCCTGCCTCGGCAGCGCGCACATACCAGACGTTTGCCTCGAGAGGGTCACGTCGGCAGCCGATGCCCATTTCTGTAAAATAGCCGACTGCGTACTCGGCTTTCGTCAGGCCTAGAAGTTATTGTTTAGTAAGTGGCCTTTAAAATCCAAGTGACTGGTGTACTTACCGCATTCCGCAGCGCGACGAGCCCACTCATATGCCTCATTCTCATCTTTCTCCAGAATCGGCTCAGCTCCAACCATGTACCAGGCGCAAAGGGCCATCATTGCGGATGCTTGTCCCTTCTGTGCCGCGCCAGTGTAGAAATGGACGCTCAGGGCAGGGTCGCGAGGACAGGATAGCTTCCCATGCTCATATGCATCTCCAAGTTTGTAACAAGCTTCCGCGTGTCCCAAATCTGCTGCTTGTGTGAAAAGCTGAGCAGCATACGTCTCATCTTGGAAGACGTCGTCTCCGTAGCCAGTTTCGTATAACAGACCTAGGTGGTATGGAGCAGCATTATATTGCGGATCTGCTGAGTCTGTGGCCCGCTTCAGCCATTTCAATCCTTCACGATACCTGTTCAAGCCAAGGTCTCCAGAAAGACACGCTCGTCCAAGTCGTGTCATAGCACCGGGGTGGTTTTTCGACGCCGACTGTCGGTAATATTGCACGGCCTTTTGAGGGTCCTTGCGGCAACCCCAGCCAAACTCGTAGCATAATGCAGCTCTGTACCCAGATTCTGCGTGCCCATGCTTGCTTGCGGCGGTGAAGTGGGGGAAAGCACGGTCGTAGTCCTCCTTGCCCTTGTTGAATAGGCCCGAGGCGTACCCATCTGCAAGATAGTATTGAGCGTAAGGGTAGCTACGGTCAGCAAGCTTCTGAAGGATAGCACGCGCTTCCCGGAGCAGATCTTGTGAAGAAGAAGCAGCCGTTTCAACATAGGGGCTTTCCAGGTCCCTGCCAAGCTTTGGGCTTTGCTTTCCAGTTGCTGGGTTGGGTTCGGTAAGGCCGATTTCTCGCGCCGCGTCGATTAATAGGAGAGCAAATGCATATTGGGTCTGAGCATCATTCGTTTTCTTCACATTCAGTCGGTACATCTCGAGTGTCTTCTGGGTACTAAGAAGCGAGGCATTAGAGCCAACCGCAGACCGGAGCCCCGAGTTGTCAAACATTGCATGAGGAACTGGCGGGGGTTGAGGGTACGGCGCATTTAACAGGTCGATATACGAAGCTGGGCGACTACCATCTGGTGTTCCAGAGTGCGCGGATAGAGCACGCCCTGACCAACTGGGCGACTGAGAAAGCACAATAGGAGAACGGCCCCTTGCACCATAGTCCGAATTAACAGAGTAAGCCGAGGCAGGACGCTGAATATATGAGCGTCGTCCTCCGTAATTTGACGACGGTGTTAGGTGGCGGTTAATGTTAGCTCCATTGTCCCCATTTCCTACAGAGAGTTCATTCCCCTGGCCAAAGCCAAGCTTTCCGGAATCATCTGATCGCCTCTGCATATGGTGGTATTGTAGTGGAGGAGCTGCCTGGACATTGTTCCCAGAAGATGTGCTGCTTGCATCAGAAACTGGGGCACTTTGTGCCTGCTCCCTATCATCCTTCACAGGGCCGCTGGAAGATGACGCATAAGCTGTGCTCTCAATATTGGACAATATGCCATGTTGTGATCCATGGCGGCTCCCCACAATATGGGAGCCATATTGCCTCCGTTTTGCAACATCATGAACGGTTGCCTCTGAGTCTGTATTCTCATACCTCGACGATTCCGATGTTTGATTGCTGCCGTTATTCTCTTGTAATTGTGTGCCCACTGTTTCAATCTGTGCTGTGGAAGGTCTTGCCCATTCCGACTGGAAGTTGATCGTTACTGGGGATAATGGAGCATCGTACAATCGGCCTTGGGACTGCATGGGTATAACGGCTTGAGGCTTCTCGTCTCCGCTGTTCTCTTTTGAGCTATCCGCCGATCCATAGTCCATCATCCGTTGTTTTCCTGGGGATGGTTGTTGCCGTGGTATATATTCGGCTGGATTATTGACATCCGCTAGTATTGACGCCATGGTGTTCCCCTCCTTTCGTTTAAACCCCTTGCTTAATGGGCCTCAGAAACCCTGGCGAAGGCAGACTCTGCCCTATATCTGCAGACTGATCTGAGCAGCTCGGACCTTTGCCCAACCGCACAGATATTTGTTGTTTGGGGGTTCGAGCGGCAGTTGCGGGGCTTTTCTCGGGGTCGTTCCGTCAACGAAATCCGAGATTCGTGCTACTTCTCAACAAAGCCAAATAGTTCGACAAGAAGACGTTTACAGACGCCAGTAACGAGTGTCTCAGGCTGCTGGTGACGGATGCTTGTTAGCTGCATTCCAGGACGCCGCTGGAGCATCACCTACAAGCTATATATATCCCAAGAGAGGACTGAGGGCTCGCAATCGACAATAATTCTACAAATTCAAGTTTGGTGTTAGAGCGAAAACATCTCTTTCGAAGTTTGTATGTTTGTCCCGCGCGATTGTAGGTGAGGGGGGGTTTTCGTGGAATTATCGGGGGGATCCCAGGATTCTCAGGATGGAGGGAGGAGTGATTCAGCCAAGTGCCCGTGTCGTCGCGCGTCTTCAGAGGAGCGAGAGTGAGAGAAAAAGCACAGCTGGTTAATAGGAAGAGCGAGCGAGTGAATATAGGAATAGAAGAGGCTGACAATGGAGGAGGAGATCAGAGAGAGAGAGAGACAAGATGGAGAGTTTGGAGGTTGAGAGGCAGACAGTGGAGGTGGAGTGGAGTGGAGTGGAGTTATGTCTGGTGCAGTACGTACCATCTTCTCCTCTCTCGTACTCGAATACATGATGCTCGTACTTGCAAGGGCTAAGAAGACTTGTACCTGGGCGTACCAGACGTACGCCCAGAAGTATTTGCTAGTACTTCAACTGCCATCCACCCAGGAGCTGCAGACCTCTCTGGGCATTCTCTGGGCACACTCTGCACTTCCTCTACACTTCCTCTGCCCGCTCCTCCACATCCAGTAACAGTTAAGCATAGTGGCGACAAGGCAGATGGCTGTCTTTGACCAATCATCAACATCCCAGGCACACTTTTAACCACCCAAATTGCGAATTCATGTCAGCGCCGCCGAGGCGCTGATGTTGTCCGTGGTGTCCACGCTTTCGATTCTGTGCTTCTATTGATCTGCTACTCTGCATACCGAATAGAAACTCTACGAAAATATGTATGACAGCATAAAGGCGCCAGCATAAAAAAAAGCCACAAAAACGCACCAACGGGCTGAATAAGGGCTTGGCGGCCTCAATATGTGGGAATTTGGCTTCAACCACTCCAGTAATAACCCACAGGCGGCTCAGGTTCACTGGCTGAGCGGCGTCTCCAGCGCCTCTGGTGCCTCTGGTGCCTTACTGTAAGGCTTTCCACGTCGTCTTACGAAAGCTACAGTCATCTCGAGCCAGAGAAGGTATGATTATGTCCCACTTATAACTTCTATGTACTGTATTCCTCCTCATCCATTGCTTAATCCGCCCCAGGGCGGAGTCTGCGGCTACAATGTGCTTACGGGGTACTTTGCTGACTTGCATCACAGAGCAAAACTGAGAAAGTTCACCGGTCAGAGATGGCGACAGGGAATTGGAGTTAGAGAAAGAGATGGGGGGGAGGGGGGTAGAGCGGCAAATATGGTTTTTTGTTATACGAAGAGAGAAAATTGAAGCGACATGCTAACTCCGTTGGCAAGAGCGGAGGGCGACGAGGGTGTTGATTTTTGACGGGAGACCCCTGGGGACCAGCGTGGAAAGACAGGGCCCATGGTGGGGTGGGGTTCCTTCCAAGACAATTATAATAGCGGGAGCAACCAACGCCGAACTACTGTATCCCAAGTGCCGCTTTAATCACGACCCATTTCCGTGGTGCCCGAGACGGCAGAAAAAAATCACCCTCGCAAATGCCTCTATACTATAGGCTTTGAAACTTAGCATCCGCATACCTGTTTTGCCCTCTCAGTCTCACGGAGCTAAAACAATTCACTTTCTAACGGGCTTGGGAAGGTCTCAGAAAGCACAGTATGCAAAAGAAGATCGCCTTTTTTGGATCATCCTTTAAATCGTCACCTGTGGAGGCATCGATGGAGACCTCATCGAACCATCGAAACCCCACAGTGGTACAGGAACCCCCCAGCTAGGCTAGCGGTGTGGGTTGCTGGTAGCATTCTGAAATGATGAAGCCGACAGAAGATCCGGTACGGAGATTCGGATGACCAGGTGCCAAGACCGAATATTCCGTCATCTTCGTCTAAATGAGGCGCGAGGTCCTCTTTTGGGGTTTCATGTGGCCTGATTGAGACGAATATTGAGACTTTTTATAGGGGTGTAACCAGCAAAAACAACGGGAAAGACATCAATCTCATCGCTGAAGCGGCACCGTGTTTTTTTTGGCCACCCCACACCCCGCTCCGCCATCCCGCCTCGTGATGTTGCCTCTGCATCTGTAGCGACATGCAGCACATCATAGGGTTCAGCTACCCAGAAAGAACGCAAAGTGCGGATCGGAGCTTGCTATGATGATGGGCACCATGAGTTAAATAATGCGCTTCGACGCGAGACGTGCCAAGTAGAGGGTGTTAGGGAACGGACCATCGGGTAGCCGCACACAAGGATCTCCGGTCCATACGAGATCCTCCTGTTCCTCGAAGGATGGCACGCCACTTGTTGGCCCAATCGAGGGGTTTTGCCTCAAAATAGAAACAATGCCAACAGAGGCAAAGGCAGTACAATCCTGCTGGCGCCTCTAGGTGGTATATATCCGGGGGGCGAAAATCGAAGTGTTTGAGAACAATGCCGATAATCTTCTGAGACGAAATTACGACTTCTATGGCCAGTGCTATGATGAGGATGGGCCCGTGGGACGGTTCAGCTCCAAGTCGTTAGCCCGGTATCAAAGCTATCAGGCTGGAAGCCTGCCCAGACATATCGCACAAGAGCCTCAACACAAGTGTAACATGGCCACGCTGGTCGAGTGACGGATGTCAAGCATTACATATATGGGCTTGGGCGGCTTGAGGTGAAATATCAGCCACGATCTTCTGTTACCTTTCATTGACGTGTATTTACAGAAAAGGACTACATATTCAGACCGGAAGATCGTCATCACGATGTTACTAGCTCAACTCCGTTAGAAGGGGGGGATGAATTCCTGGGCAAAACATGGCACTACTAATCGACTAATGAGGACAAAGGGCCGCAAATAGCATCCAGCCCCTAGTTAGTGGTGTATTTAGCCAATGATAAGCTCGTAGTGGTGCCAGTGTGTCCCCTGTGGAAGTTCGGTACTGTACATCCAGAAGGACAGAAAGGTTCCTGTCAGTGGGTTTCAGTACCGTCTGGTACACAGTTGGGTCAACAAGGGGGGCCAGTTGGCCGGGCACTGTAGCGCAATATACTGTATAACGGGGTTAACGGGACTCAGGTCAGGCTCATGGATGGGATTTATGTTAGTGAGTGGTGGGAATGATGGTGCGCGCACTTGCTCCCCAAGTAGCATTTGTTCTAGGGCTTGCACAGGGTCTAAACTCTAATGGCTTGGAGGCAAGACACGGTGTGAGACAGTGGCCCATACCGCCACTATATACTGCACTGGATTTTATTTTCAGAGCCCATGGGAACGCGCCGTGCCATCCCACCATAGCTGTGGCCATACCAAAGAAAAAGAAAGGTACATGCACTTAATCCGCCCGTTGCTAGTTGTCACAGTACTTTACCATATTGTTTTTAAGTACCTTCCCTTGTGTGTGTGTGTGTGGTGGTGTGCATAATAATACACTGAGCAGCGCGTACTGATGTGTTGAGCTACGGTCACAACTATACGGCCGCTATCCACTATACCGTCTCGTATCCCCGTTTATGCACAACACGACCAAATTTGTATTGTACGACGAGTAAATCGTCGACCACCTCGCCGCCATTGACCATCGCTCACCACCGTCAACCTTTCCACCATCACCGTCGCTCGCTATCCCGCATCTTCGCATGCTGGGAGGACATATTACTTCAATGCCCGACTTCGTTACGATTTCTTATTGAGCCTTTCACGGCCTCTGCATTCGTTTGAAGGCCTCGTTCTGCCATTCTTGAGGTTGCTGTTACGACTCGCTCGTGTCCCTTTTTCGCCATAGCCTGTTGTAAAACGCGCATCGCTCTTCTTTCTCACTGTACTATCGAAACTGTTACGATCTCTTTCAGCACTTAATATTCGTCAAAAAGACACCAACTCCGATTTACGAGTCGACTTACACATCTCCTGAAGACGGGTTTAGGAAGGGTTTTGCTGAACACAAGGGACACCCGGATCTTGAACCCCTGGTCGACCAAGGAACACCCGCGAGGCCGCCCTGGACCATAACAAACAACAACTCGAAGAGCGTCATACGCATTTTGCAGTTACAGTATGTTCTCTCCCAGATTCAAGTGATATGTTTGGTTCTTTTTGGTATTCTCGCATATATACCACGCTGCGACTCTCCGACAACAAATACGAGCATTCGGGGACTGCCCGGAGGGTCTTGGGGGCTGGAACTTGACACCAGACACTGGGAGATTGTTGCTGGAAGATTTATACTGACTGGTTTCATTAACAGGTTCTAGAACAGCAATATGTCCCTACCCCAGAGACCTGGGGCCGGCGATCTCTCCCCGCAACAACGGCGAACTTCGTATAGAAGCTCCACCGGGCGCCCTCAGCAATCACAAGACGCTGAGGCTGGATATGCTGGGCAAGATGCGCAATCTCCAACATCTAGACGGACAAGACAACATCGCACAGAACGAACTGGATCTCCCGCTGATACTCGCGCGCCTCATACCCCTAGCCCCGCAACTCCAGGTGCACAAGATTTCCAACGCAAGCGAAGCTTGATCCGTCCTGAGAGAAACCGCATCGACCGCGATCACCCAAACTACTATTACCGCCAGCATGCGGCGAATATGACAGTTTTGCCTTCGACTACAGGCAACGACCCGATTCTGGAAGATCAAGATCGAGGGGATATAAATGGCGGGAGGGGCGAGCCGGATCAGCGCAGTTCTCGGGATGGCCCCTACGGCTCTCCATCGCCCCTTGAGTCTCAGGGGACGATGCAGGGTTCAGAGGCCGGCAACTTCGAAAAGGACCATAAATCCTCAAAGCTGACTCGTGGCACAAACAAGTCGAGGAAGCAGACAAGAGAAGAGAGACGCCGCCAGAGGGACGCAGAAGTCCTCAAGCCGCCTAGTTTGTGGAACGTGTATTGCTCGATCGTCACATTCTGGTGCCCTGATTTTATTCTGAGGTGCTTCGGAAAGCCTGCGAAGGAGCAACAGAGAGCATGGAGAGAGAAGATGGGACTTATCAGCATTATTCTCATGGTCATGGCCTTTGTCGGCTTCCTCACGTTTGGATTCACTGCCACGGTGTGTGGTAACCCACCAACCCGACTCCGTGTAAATGAGGTCGACAAAGGATATATGATCTTCCATGGAAAGGCATATAATTTATTGGGGTCTCATCATCCTGCCGCCATGGGTATTCCAGAACGGGCAAACATCTTGTACGTGCCTGAAAGTCATGGAGGAATGGACGGCAGTTTTCTTTTCCAAAACGTCAACGGAAAGTGCAAAGGCTTGATCTCAAAGTCAGAGGGATCCGACGTTCCAAGTGATGACCAGGGAAACCTTGGTTGGTACTTCCCTTGCAACGTTCTGAACCAGGACGGCTCCAGTGATCCTAAAAATAAGACCTTCGGACCCTACCTTGGCTGGCAATGCCATACCACCCAAGAGGGACGAGATAAGTTCTATGGCATGCACTCTGCTGGGGATGTCTACTACACCTGGGATGATATCAACAATGGGACAAGGAATTTGGCTGTCTACTCTGGGAATGTGTTGGACTTCGATCTTCTGAAATGGTTTAATGGGTCTCAAGTTACTGTCCCTCGAATTTTCGTCGACCTCAGCAACAAGGCTACCACCCTGAACCAAGGAATCAGAGGTAGAGACATAACACATAAATTCCAAGCCTCCGGAGATAAGGAACTTGCCGAATGTTTAGAACAGATCATCAAAGTTGGAAGCGTCGATACCGAAACAATTGGCTGTATCGCGTCCCAAGTGGTGCTTTATGTAGCGCTCGCTTTTATCATCTCTATTGTTGGAGCGAAATTCGTCCTGGCTCTCTACTTCCAGTGGTTCTTGAGCCGCAGATATGCGGCCAGTAAGACTTCGCAATCTTCGGACCCAAAGAAGCGTAACAAGCAGATCGAAGAGTGGTCAAACGACATCTATCGCGCCCCTCCCCGCATTGCGGGAGACCCCGGCAGCACTGTTGCTGGTTCCTCGGACAGAAATAGCAGACGTGCCAGCAGCATGTTCCTTCCAACCACGTCTCGCTTCACAAGCCCTTATACACTAAATGGAGAGAAGTCAGGACCACGACCGGCACCGACGACCATGGCAAGCCAGAACTCAGCAGCTCAGCTATTCCCGCCAAACCCGATGTATAGAGGCCAAAACGATAGCCGAATGAGCTTCCCTAATTCGAACCCGGATGGCGGTGTTATGAGCGACGTTTCAGGCGACGGGCCAGGCCCTGCTGGCTTCATTCATGAAGCTGTCGTGCCTCAGCCTCCTCCTGAGTGGCAACCATTTGGATATCCTCTTGCACACGCGATCTGCCTTGTCACTGCTTACTCGGAAGGTGAGCAGGGTATTAGAACCACACTCGACTCTGTAGCGACAACCGATTACCCCAACAGCCACAAGATGATACTCGTTATCTGTGATGGTATGATCAAAGGAAAGGGCGAGCTACACTCTACCCCTGAAATTGTCTTGGGCATGATGAAGGATCACTCTGTGCTGCCTGAGGATGTTCCCGCCTTCAGCTACGTCGCCGTTGCAAGTGGATCGAAACGTCACAACATGGCAAAGGTATACTCTGGATTCTACGATTATGGCGCCGACTCGGCAATTCCTTTGGATCGTCAACAGAGAGTGCCTATGATGTGTCTTGTTAAGTGCGGAACCCCCGATGAAGCATCGAAGAGCAAGCCTGGAAACAGAGGGAAGCGTGACTCGCAAATTATTCTCATGTCTTTCCTCCAGAAGGTTATGTTCGATGAGCGCATGACGGAGCTCGAGTTCGAGATGTTCAACGCCTTATGGAAAATAACTGGGATGTCACCGGACTTCTTCGAGGTCGTGCTGATGGTTGATGCCGATACCAAGGTCTTCCCCGACAGCTTAACTCACATGATTTCCGCCATGGTCAAGGATCCAGAGATCATGGGACTGTGTGGTGAGACGAAGATTGCAAACAAGAGAGTCTCTTGGGTTACAGCCATCCAAGTCTTCGAATATTTCATCTCGCATCATCTCTCTAAATCTTTCGAGTCCGTCTTTGGTGGTGTTACTTGTCTCCCCGGATGTTTCAGTATGTACAGAATCAAGGCACCCAAGGGTGGACAGAACTACTGGGTTCCTATCCTCGCCAACCCCGATGTCGTCGAGCACTACTCCGAGAACGTGGTTGATACACTGCACAAGAAGAACTTGTTGTTACTTGGTGAAGATCGTTACCTCTCGACGCTCATGCTCAGGACTTTCCCCAAGCGCAAGCAAGTCTTTGTCCCACAGGCCGTATGCAAAACTACTGTTCCTGAGGAATTTTCGGTATTGTTGTCTCAGAGACGTAGATGGATTAATAGTACCATCCACAACTTGATGGAACTGGTTCTTGTCAGAGATCTCTGTGGTACTTTCTGCTTCAGTATGCAGTTCGTGGTGTTCATCGATTTGGTCGGAACACTTGTTCTGCCCGCTGCTATTGCTTTCACTATCTACGTCGGTAAGTTTTCCCCTAATTCCTACAGCCCCCAAAAGCAAGTGCTAACTATAAAACAGTCGTCGTATCCATCGTCAAGAAACCCGTCCAAGTCATTCCCCTCGTCCTTCTCGGTCTAATCCTCGGTCTCCCCGCCGTCCTGATCGTCCTCACCGCCCACAGGTGGTCCTACGTCGTCTGGATGTTAATCTACTTGATCTCCCTCCCCATCTGGAACTTCGTCCTCCCCGTCTACGCCTACTGGAAGTTTGACGATTTCTCGTGGGGAGATACCCGCAAGACGGCCGGCGAGAAGACCAAGAAGGCCGGCATCGAGTACGAGGGCGAGTTCGACAGCAGCAAGATCACCATGAAGCGCTGGGGCGAGTTCGAGAAGGAGAGGAGGCAGAGACAGGCGGGCCAGTGGAACGCGCATAGCAACACTAGCAGCTATAGGGACGACTACTATGATAATAATAATTAAGTGGGTGAGGGTGGAGAGGAGGAGAGATGAGAGGGTATTTGTGTCGATGCATATTTTGCTGGTGGAAGTCCAGATTTGTCTTTTTGGGGCGTTCATTCCTTCACTGTGTTTATTTTTTATGTCTTTTGTATGGCGGATGCTGCGGTTTGTCTGTCAGGGCATTGCGTGTTTAAATAGCAAGGAGGGGGGGTGGTCGGTTGGGCACATGGAAAAAACGAGGTAGTGTGTGTGGTTTTAATGGGTATCGCGGGGAGCGAGTTCATCCTTAGAAGTGAAGATTAGTATATATGGATTATGGTTATTCACACTCCTGTGCCCGTGCTTGATTCACCTCGTAGAGTAGCAGCAATCCATAGATATATTTACATTGGAAAATGAATGTATTTTAACGTTCAGTCGTTCATCTCGGCCAGCTTATGCACGCTGCGAGCTTGGTGTGTGTATCTAAACGATAGGGGCTGTGGCTAAGGATATAGTATTCTACGAGTTTAAGGGGCTATTCATGATCAAGTTTTGTCACTGAGCATATGGATGCGCTTCCTGGTAGATATCTTTATTGTATTAACACAAAGGATCTAATTTTACGACCTATCCTCATCTGTAGCGTCTTTCAAAAGCTGACATGACATCAACATATCTCCTTATACTTCCAGGACGACGACCCCCCTCACAGGGGAGGTCTACTCCAACTTAAGCTGCTCAAACTGCTTAATCGTCTCCTCAAACCCACGCTGCTCAGCCTCCAAGTCCGCCAATCTCTTGCGCTCGACCTCCTGGAGCGCCTCGCTGACCTTGGCCTTGTAGTCTGGGTCATCGAGGATCTTGCGCTGCTTCTCGATACCCTGGTGAGTCTTCTGGAGCTTCTTGTTCGCCTTCGCGATCTCATTGTCGATGTCGACGCGGCCGGTGACGCGGACGTAGACGACGGCTGCGGCGGAGACGGAGAAGGGGACGCAGCCGGCGGGGCGGGAGTCAGAGGCGCCGAGGATCTGGACGGTGGATACACCCTTGCCACAGAGGGACTTGATGGACTGCGTCTGGGCGGTGACGGTGGATTGGGAGGTGGAGTCGAAGGCTTGGATGTAGACTAGGGACTATTAGTAACGTTTACATTGGCATATAGAGTTTTGACATACCTTCGGCTTCGTCCTTGAGAGAGTACTCGGACATCAAGGACCTAATTCCCTTGGAGACACCCAGGACAAGCTCGTAGGCTTCCTCAGACGCTGGGTCATCCATCTCAGCATCGTACACGGGGTACGCGGCCTTGACAATGGAAGGAGTCGTGTCATCCTGGCGGCGTGGGAGACGCTGCCAGAGTTCCTCAGTAAGGAAAGGCATGTAGGGGTGAATCATGGTAAGAGCACCCTCAAGGGCGGTGTACAAGGTGTTCAGGGCGGAGAGCTTCTCCTCATCAGTACCACTTTGGATGATGGCCTTCGAGTTCTCAATGAAAACATCGCACAGACTCTGGTACCAGTAATGGTAGACAATGTTTGTCGAACGCATGAACTCGCGCTCTTCCAGAGCTCTGTTGATGTCCTTGGACGCGTTGGTGAACTTGTGCAGGACCCACTTCTCAGCCAAAGACTCCTTGCCAGTCTTCTTTGCGCTCTTCTGTGGAACGAAATCGGCGGGAAGGTTGCCAAGGACATACTTGGTGGCCTGGTAGATCTTGTTGCAAAACTTGCGGTAACCGTAGATGACCTTGATATCAAAGGCAATGTCGCCACCGCCTGTGGTGTAGGAGACCAAAGCAAAACGCAGGGCGTCAGTGCCACACTGCGGGATTCCGTCTGGGAAGGATGTCTTCTGGTACTTTGTTGCCTTCTCAACCTCATTTGGATTCAGGTTACCTGACAGGAGCTTGGCGTGCAAGTCTTGCAGAGAAATACCGTGGATAATATCTTGCGGATCAATAACGTTACCTAACGACTTCGACATCTTGCGCCCCTCAGAGTCACGGACAAGTGAATGGCAGTACACTTCTGTGAAAGGAACCTTTCCGGTCAATTTCTTCCCAAGGAAGATCATGCGGGCAACCCAGAAGAACAGAATGTCCCATCCGGTCTCCAACATCGAAGTAGGGTATAGCTTCTCGAGGTCGTGGGTTGCGTTCGGCCATCCGAGAGTAGAGAATGGCCATAAACCGGACGAAAACCATGTGTCCAAGACATCCTCGTCTCTCTTAAGTGTAAAAGTCTTGCCAGGCAGTGCCTTGCGTGCCTTCTCCAGCGCCTCCTCTTCCGTGCGCCCAGCGAACCAAAGGTTTTCATCAGCATCATAGGAATTATCCCCGTCGACTTGGGCATAGTAAATTGGGATCTGGTGACCCCACCAGAGCTGTCTTGACAAACACCAATCTTGTGGCTCTTCCATCCATCTATAATAGCTCTTCTCGGCAGATTCTGGGAGGATTTTGATTTCTCCGTTCTTGACAACCTTGACAGCCTCGGCAGCAAGATCCTTCATCTTCATCCACCATTGTGGTTTCAACAACGGCTCGATTACGTCCTTTGACTTCTCGCATAACGGCACCTTCATAGCATTGTCTTTCTTATCGACGAACAGGCCGAGGGCCTTCAGGTCATCTTGAATCGTATATCGTACGTCAAATCGCTTCTGGCCTTCGTAGGGGCCTCCGTTCTCATTGAAAGTTCCATTGTCGTTCAAGATGTTGATGAATTCAAGGTTGTGGTTCTTACCCAAAGTAAAATCGTTGGGGTCGTGAGCAGGGGTCACCTTGACAGCGCCAGTTCCGAAATCCTTCTCAACATATGTATCTGCGAAAATTGGAAGGAGGCGGCCCTTGATAAAGGGGTGAACAGCGTTCTTGCCGACAAGGTGCTTATATCTCTCATCGTCTGGGTGTACAGCAATGCCGGTATCACCAAGCATAGTCTCGATACGCGTAGTAGCCACTTCAATAGTTTCTTCAGTTCCCTCAATTGGGTACTTGAAGTGAATAATGACACCAAACTCGATTTTCTTCTCGTAACCTGGAACGTCAAGGAGAGTGCGGCCGGTGAGCTCCTTGTTCTCCACCTCTAAATTGGATAGAGCGGTATTGAGTTGTGTGCACCAATTAACGAGACGGTTAGCGCGATAGATGGTGCCTTCTTCATGCAGTTTACAGAATGTTTCCGTAACAGCAGCTGAAAGGTTCTCATCCATGGTGAAGGCCTCGCGAGTCCAGTCGAATGATCCTCCCATCTTCCTCAAGACGGCATTGATCTTCTGGTGATACTCTCCTTTCCACTCCCACACAGTTTCGACGAACTTTTCTCTCCCAAGATCATGGCGAGTTTTGCCTTCTTTGCGGTAAAGAGTCTTCTCTACAACGCTTTGTGTGGAAATACCAGCGTGGTCGCATCCTGGAAGCCAAAGTGTGGTCTTGCCCTGCATACGGTTCCATCTGATCATGACATCCTGCAGAGCGTTTGCGAGGGCGTGTCCGATGTGGAGCATGCCCGTTACGTTTGGAGGTGGCTCCACGATAACGAACTTTCCCTCCGGTTTGATTTCGCCATCCGCGGTGAATTCGGGCTTGAAGAAGCCTTCCTTCTCCCACCAAGAATACCAGGCCGACTCGACGGCTATCGGGTTGTATGCTTTATACTGAGGGTCGTCGAATGACTTCAGGACTGCCGCACCGTTAGTCTCATGTCACTTTCTTGAGTAGGCCAGCCATACTCTTCTTCTCTCCGAACGGTGTATCCTCTACATATTCGGGGAGAGTCTCCTCCGCAGCCTTCTCGGCGGCCTTGGCCTTCTTTTCCTTGCTCTTGCTCGAAAGTGCAGCAGCAGGAGCAGTGGCAGACCCCTTTTTCTTTGCGTCGAATTTGGCTTGTTTTTCAGCCTTCTTGCGTTCTCTCTCGACTACAGTGCAACGAGTTAGTCATACCCCTGTGCCAAAGTTGCAAGATCTAGGAGAGTTTGGCAACGCCGAGGAGCACATACGTTCTTTTTCGCTCTTCACTTTTGTTCCCTCGGCACCAGCTGCAGGCGCTCCAGTCTTGCTGGCCGCATCGTTTCCAGACGCAGCGAGGCTAGTTGGGCCTGCCTGCTCAGCGACTGTATTAATGTGGTAAGCTTGTGTGCATTCAACCAGACGTGATCGTTATATCCTACTTGGGTTGGTTGCCCCGGAATTGGTGGCCATTCTGGCTATTGAAAGGCGTGAGCTTGGTCTAAACGGCGTTCGGCGCAGCCAGAGCGCTCTGGTAATAAGTCGCGACGTGGTGTCGGTATTGTAAAGAACGTCTTGAGGTTTTGCGGGGTTAATGAGCGTGCTGCACCTAAAAGGGACGGGTTTTTTCCGTGAGTCAACCAAACATCCACATCCCACACATGGCTTATCAGACGCGATAAGGTTTCATGGGTAACCACGTCAACCTCTCCTCGGCATAGCGTTCACCACATCATTATCACCACCATCCAGTCTCTATGAGGAGAAAAAATGTAATCTAATAGAAGCCTTCATTTGTTATCAGATTAATGGCGTAGAATGCCAAATGATATAATGTGATGCTGCTGCGTCTCTGAGCCCCAGAATCATCAGTATGGCAATCCAGCCACTCCCATCTTCAACCACAAGGATCCTGGGTTCCTGTCAAGCCCTCACAACACCTTCATCACTGGTCAAGGAGCTCATTGACAATGCCATTGATGCAAAGGCAACATCGATTGACGTTATAATATCGGCAAATACCGTTGATAAGATTGAAGTTCATGACAATGGCCACGGCATAGCCCAAGAAGACCTTGACTCGCTTGGACGCCATGGTCATACCAGCAAGTTGAGGAATTTCGAGGAATTGAGGACAGTTGGTAGTTCCTGTCTCGGATTTCGGGGCGAAGCTCTGGCCAGTTCTGTGAGTCTTGGAAGCGTGACTATTACAACCCGAGCAGAAGGAGAGCCTGTTGCTTTCGTGGTAAAACTCAAAGCCACTGGGGGTGTATCAAGCAAGTCATCTATCTCTCATCCCATTGGTACCACTGTCTGCGTATCCAATTTTCTTTCCGCTTTCCCTGTCAGAAGGCAAACTTCTATTAGCGATTCATCAAAAACAATATCCAATATCAAGAACATCCTTCAGTCATACGCTCTGGCGAGGTTTCAAGTTCGATTCACTCTCAAGGTGGCAAAGACGGGCAAAGGGAATTGGTCGTACATACCGCATCCCAAAGGTTATATCAAGGAGGCAGCAATTCAAGTCGCTGGGAAAGATGTTGCAAAACAATGCATCGAAATAGCGAGCCCATCTGAAGATGATGCGTCTATTTTTGATGCCGCTGATGAAAACGAAACAACGACAGCGAACCCATATATTAGAATACGGGCCTTCCTTCCGAGTCCAGATTCGAACTTCTCAAAACTCAAAGGTGGTCATTATGCATCAGTTGACTCCAGACCAGTATCTTGCACACGAGGCACCCTAAAAAAGGTCGTGTCTTCCTACAAGCAACATATCCGAGCATTTGCTTCAAACACTAGCAAAGAAGCTCCAAAGGATCCATTCATATATTTGAGGATTACATGTCCGATTGGCAGCTATGATCCCAATATCGAGCCTGCCAAGGACGATGTCCTGTTCGAAGATGAGGATGCCATCCTTTCCGCCGCAGAAAAACTCTTCAAATCCCTATACTCTACCAATATCCGCCCAATTCCAGTGGATGACACCTTCAATGACCTACCTGCTCCCCAGCCTGCTGCGAGTCATGATTCTGCAATTCAGCAACGCGTGGAGGTGTCAAAGAGTATGGGCGTGACAGATTTTCAAACTTCTAAAGTCAATTACGGGACAAGAAACAACAAAATCCAGGGGCATATAACTTCCGATGCCGTTGTTGATAAAGCATCGGGTCGAGAGTTGGAATTGTTAAGAGACGCTGCTTGTGAGCCACAATCACCACCTAGTACTCAAGAGCGCAGTGACCACAACACGCTGAACCCTTGGATCATCGCGAAGCTCAATACTCCAGCAACTGAGCGTGGGCTTCATGGGTCCAGGACGCTTAGACCAAGGCCGCTGAGGTCATATATTACTCCTGTTGATGACACACCCTCAGCTTCGTCTGACGATCTGTTTCTCACCGAAGACATGCCCAACCGTTTAACAGGAAGCCAGACCTGGAAACAGCCAAAACCAGGCCCTACGCAAAGTTCGGTCGAAACATGGATAAACAAGCAACAGACATATGAGACTGATGATTTGGCAGAACTTCAGCATGGCCCCAAGCCGCAGCAGTCCCACCACATAACAGGGGACGGTCTGTCTCAGTCTAATTATAAACCACCATACTCAAATGGATTCGTAACTGGATTCGTAACCGCTCGAGAACTTCCAGTCGGACTTCCATGGTCACCGCCACCTACTCAAACTAAGTCGAAGGAAAAGCTCCAGAGGAAATTTAAGACGCCTTTTATCACTCCTAGAAGGACGGAGGTTGTACCCGGGGCCCGTGAGAACGCATACGAGTCGAGCAATTTGACTCCAATTGGCGACACTTCACCATCGCAAGGATTACGAAGAACAAGCATATCAGCATTCCATGACGATGTAGATGCTGCCATGGATTTTGAGAGAAGGAAAGTAACAAGCACCAGAAGGCTACGAGAAGAAACCGCTGCTGTAGCTCGCCTGGAGGCTGAAGCGGGCAATGTGGCAATGCAGCGAATGCCGGTGCAAGAGAATATAATCAAAACTGTGCTCGAAGATGGCGATCCACGAGCATATCTAATGAGACGCCAAAAATCCATGGCGGCGCATCAGGGACCAAAGTTAAAGCGAGCCAAAACAATGTTGCTGCCTTTGGAATCGATTCCGGATACCTTGGGCACTCAAAATTTAATCCTCCGAATGTCAATTGAAACTACATCAGTCAGCAGGGCAATGCATCTTTTTGCAGCAGCTGACGATTATGCAAAGTCCGGAATCCGACATGATGGTCTCAGAATGACAGACTCTTGTGCCAGAGAAGTAGAAAAATCACTGAACAGGTTGATGGCCGTGTCGCATGGGCTCTCGGCTTTGACTTAGCAATATTTATAGCTTATGCAGGAAACAAATATGAGAAGGATTTTGGACTGAGTTTTGAGCTTGCTTTCCATCGCATGGATAGCTTTTGCAGGGGAAAATATATGAGACGGGTTTTGGTTGGGAGATCGAGCTTGCTGGGCATAGCTTGGCTGTTTTTATAACATGGAATCAGCACCATACCCATTTAGCCTTTGGCTACAAACTATGGGCAACATTACACCTCGAAATTAAATAATTATATCACATAGCTCATAAATCAATAATCAATATGAATAGGTTCAGGTATCAGGTTCGTGATTAATTCTTAAAGGCCACAGAGATAATGCCGTTGTATCGGAGAAGGCGCAATTACGAGCCGATGACGGACTTGCCCCGCCATGTGTAAACATGCGGGGAAGCTCGCCATTTGAGCGTGGGTGATATATGTGTATTATATTCACTACCACATTTCTAACTTACTGATTCATTTAAATCGTCTTAATATTAAACAATGTCGGACATCAAGGAAAGCAACGTAGTTGTGCCAGAGGCAGCATCCAACCTCTCGGTATCTTCGCTAGCCATCCATGCGGACGATGTCCTCAATGGCGGGCATCAAGATGTTGCTCCTCCCATGCATGTTTCCACTACATACCGATATCCCAGCGACCCTGAAAAGCTAGTTCCATGGACCGAAGCCGACGTAGGTAGCCCCTATCCATTCAAATACTCACTCTAACGGCAATAGCACACGGCGGCGGCCGAGGGTCACATCTATTCTCGACACACTGCACCAAACACAACTCGCTTCGAGACCATCCTCTCCAGTTTACTCAATGGCCCCGCCATCTCATACAGCTCCGGACTCTCTGCATTCCATGCCATCCTCGTCCACCTCAACCCAAAGCGCATCTCGATTGGCGAGGGCTATCACGGCTGCCATGGCGTAATCAGCATCCATAAGAAGCTCACTGGCTTAACAACTCTACCTCTCGACTGCCCGGCTGAGGATCTTCAACCCGGCGACATCGTGCACATCGAGACTCCACTCAACCCAACAGGAAATGCGACAAACTTGAAGGAATACGCCGACAAGGCACATTCAAGAGGGGCATATCTCACTGTGGACGCTACATTTGGCCCACCACCACTTCAGGATCCATTCCTATGGGGCGCGGATATTGTTATGCATAGTGGCACCAAGTACTTTGGTGGACATTCCGATATGTTGTGTGGAGTGTTGGCAGTGAACCCTGCCAGAGTGAAGGAAGGCTGGGTTGACAATCTAATCCATGAGAGATTACTGATCGGCAGCGTGATGGGCAATATGGAAGGTTGGCTGGGAGTTCGCAGCTTACGCACACTGGAAATCCGTGTTGAGAGACAGTCACTCAATACCGGGAAGCTCGTTGCATGGCTGAATGCTGCCTTGCACCCCGAGTCCGAGTCCAGTGTCGGCGATAGTGCCACTCTGAGCTCCGGCAACAGCAGTGCTATCCGCGAAGTTCTTGCTAAGGTCGAGCATGCAAGCCTGCAGACAGCGGACATCAAAGATGGGTGGTTGTTGAAACAGATGCCGAACGGGTTTGGCCCTGTCTTCAGTATCGTCATGCAGAAAGAGGAACTCGCAAGAAGGCTCCCCAGCAAGCTGAAGCTCTTCCACCATGCCACTAGTCTGGGGGGTGTAGAGAGTCTGATTGAGTGGCGCACGATGACGGACGCTACAGTTGATAGACGACTTCTGAGAGTTAGCATTGGACTTGAGGGATGGGAAGATTTAAGAGACGATTTGCTGCAGGCCTTTACTGCTTTGGCTGCAGAGCAGAAGTCGTAGTACACAGAGTTGTCGGCATATTGGAGTATCATATTACACTGTAGAATCTCCGTAGCAAATATTAATCGATTGCTGAGTTCTAAATATTTAATATAAGTGGATTGAACAGATTGAACTAATAATGCTTCACAAAAAAAAATCCCGTTAGGTCCAAAACTTTCAGGTAATCTGGTACAACAGTTTGGAGCAATAATACTCTGCTACCCTTACTATTTCCATATCTTGTTGGTATATTTATGTATAGAGTAAAATAAGCACCTAATCGTATATCCTTAACGGTGTCAAAAGATGGTTGATATCTCTATGATTAATAATTATACGGTCAGTTTTGGTAGCATCTGTACTGTACAGCCAATAAAACGTGGCCCTAGCTTCTAGAACAATCCAACAGCCGCCCGTTATATTAGTAATGCACCTACTTTACCACAACGGGTCCATAATACGCTAAACCCAATTCGACATCACCGTTGTCCAAAGCCCAACTCGAACTTTATACACATCTGCGCCGCCACCTCCCACTCCATGATCGCAACAACACCAGCGCATCCCATCTAACACGACCTACAGCGCCCAATCTACCATCTGGAAGCCATCTATCCCGACCACATACCCAAAGTAGCACCCCTCGGCCGCCGACACAATGGCGAACTACCTCGCCTCCATCTTCGGCACAGAGCAAGACAAAGTCAACTGCTCCTTCTACTACAAGATCGGCGCCTGCCGCCACGGCGACCGCTGCTCGCGCAAGCACGTCAAGCCCTCCTACTCGCAAACCGTGCTCCTCCCCAACCTCTACCAGAACCCCGCCTACGACCCCAAGGCCAAGCTCGACGCCAAGCAGCTGCAAATGCACTTCGACGCCTTCTACGAGGACTTCTGGTGCGAGATGTGCAAGTACGGCGAGCTTGAGGAGGTCGTCATCTGCGACAACAATAATGACCGTAAGCCCCCCCCCCCCCATCCAGGGATAACAAACACAAGCTAACCAATCCCCCCGCGCAGATCTCATTGGCAACGTCTACGCGCGCTTCAAGTACGAGGACTCCGCCCAAAAAGCCTGCGACGCACTCAACTCGCGCTGGTACGCCGCGCGCCCCATCTACTGCGAGCTGAGCCCCGTGACCGACTTCCGCGAGGCGTGCTGCCGCCTCAACTCGGGTGAGGGGTGCCAGCGCGCGGGTTTCTGCAATTTCATCCATCGCAAGAATCCGAGCCCGGAGCTGGAGAGGGAGCTGGATATGAGTACGAGGAAGTGGTTGAAGGAGAGGGGGAGGGATGAGAGGAGCGTGACGAGGAGTCCGAGCCCGGAGCCGACGAGGAGGCGGTATTAGAGAGGGCGGGGGGTTGAAGGAGGTGAACTGGATACTTAGGGGGGAGAAAGGGGAGGGGACATTGGCTTGAGCCCTGCTGAGCTTTCGGGCCGCATGAGGCTCAGCGGACACACCACAGCGTTTTGTTTCGGCGTTTAGAGGACCGGGTTGAATCTACGGAGCATGGGCATGCATGTACGATTTTGTACAACTACAATACGGGCAGCAGATTGCAAAGAATTTAGGACAAATAACCGGAGGAGAGAGAAAAACTCAAACGGGAAATGAACAAAAAAAGAACGATTTGCAAAGTTTAAAACGCGAGCCTTGTGGCTTCTACCCCATTTTACTTTTCCGCACAGATGATGTGACATTTTTCATGGCCCAGTTCAATCACTCAATCCCTGGGCCCCTCATTCACAGGGCTGGCATCACGTTGAAGTGACAAGCAGTGGTAAAGCAGCGAACCTGTCTGTGTTCTTTGCGAAGCGGTCAGCGAAACACGGTCTCTTCTATGCCCCCTATTCGCTGACCCGCTCATAAACCTCAAGCATTTGCATGCAATGCCGAAAGCCCGACAAACGCCTGCATGTCGATTAGATCAATGCGTCCCATCCCCCCCTGATTAGCCGTTCCTACCTATTACCGTGCTGACAGCACATTCTAACATGCTACCGTCCAAGCCCCGAAACCCCTACTATATCCACCAACCACCCCTTACCATCCTCTTCCCACCATCTAGCCCTCAGCATCGACAAACTCATCAATGCTCCTCGTGTCCGAATCCGCCCGTCTCAGTGACTGGTTGAGGTCTTTGTGGAAATCAAGCAGCGGGCTTTGAGACCCTGGCTTCCCATTGTTGCCCGTGGCTGTCTCAGCAAGCGTCGCCTCCATCTGTCTCTGCGCCAGTCCGCCGCGTTCTACTTGTGCTGCTAACAAGTCAGCAGGTAATGGTACATGTGGCGTTGGGTAGACGGGACCTGCTTGAGCGGCAGCAGGTACCGGTGCATGTGGTGCGGGGAAGATAGGAGACCCCGGAGCGACAGCAGGTACGGGTGCATATGCCGTTGGGTGGATACCCCCTTGAATGGCAACAGGTGGGGGTACGGGTGCCCTGGAATGGATAGGAGCTCCTTCAGAAAAGGCAGGTACGGGTACAGGTGCCACTGGATGAATCGGGGCCTCTTGAACAGGAGCCTGCACCGGCACAGGAGCTCCATCTTGTCCGAAGTCTATGAGGTCGTTCCCCGCTACGTTCACCATTGGCGGTGGGACAGGAACCCTCGACTCCGACACCCCAACAGCCAACGGATCATCCAACGCCCTCAAATCCTGCAGCCTCCCCCCGCGCGTCGATTCCCGCGACAGCCTTGACGGCGGAATCGGCATGCGCTCCTCGAACCTCTGTCCTGGTAAGATAGGGATAACCCCCAAGATCTGCTTGGCCTTTTCCGCCGGAGTGGCGCCATCGCTGTTCCTGCGCGTTAGAAAAAAATCGAGATGGCCACAATAAAGGAGAATAAGTGGGGGGAAACATACATATCAGCATTCAAGATCCAATCCAGACCCTCCTCGCCCTCCTCCGACTCCCCAGGTCGAGTGCGCACCTCCCTAAAGTACCTCGGGCGCCACTCCACACCATCCGCTAACCTGGCCGCCGCCTCTCTCCGCTGCATATCCTCCACCGCGGTCTTCTCATCCGTAGCGACCTCATGGTTCCTCGCAATAACCGCCTGCGCAGTGCGATACCACAGCTTCTGGCTCTCCCTCTCCCCTTGCTCCTCTAGCGGCCTCACGAGGGGAGGCGTGGGCTTCGTCTTCAAAGCATCGAATAGGACTTCCTTCTTACCCGTCAGCACGTTCTTGATGTCCATCTCGCCCGTCCACATCCCGCTCAGCTCGTACAGCACTTCCCCGGTCTTGTCGTTCTTGATCGTCCCTCCGATCGCGTTGTAGGAGCCGGTGAAGTAGCCTTTCGTCTTGAACTCGATGTCGGCTGTGAGACCGAGCTCGGGGCAGCGCACGAAGCTGTGGTCGCCGAGTTCGTACTTCATCTTTCCGAAGAGGATGCCTCTTGCGTACATGTTGGGTTGGGTGAGGATGCTGTTTTCCCGTGGATGTTAGCTTTCTTAGCCCCTTAAAAGATGACTCCATTGTCCGGATCGCCGGAATCTCCACGTACTATTTCTCCCCCTTTGGGCCCCCATGGTTCATAAGCCGTAGTATAGCAATACCCTCCATCAAACTCGCCGCTGAGTTCCCTAGAAACCTGCTTCGCGGCTTCAAGCACCCATCAATGTGTATCCCATGCTCCGGTGCCATGAAGAAATAGCTCGACTTCGGCGGGTGGTGGGATGTCTGCTCGGAGATGTAGTAGCCCTTTGTGTCGTCAGGGTATTCCCAGGCACAGGTAAACGTCTCGCCGAGGATCGGATTAAGTGGTTTCTTAACGCCTCTGTAGACCACAAATATCAGTATACATATTTTCGAGTCATCGGGGAGGGAGAGACTTACGGTGGCTTGATATGCCATCCACTCAAATAAAACTTCACCACCGACACAAACCTCTCCTCCGGATCCTCAATCTCAGCCATCGGCAATAGCGTCTCTGGGTGCGCCATGAAACTACTCCTCGTCAGCCCCCATATCCACATCCCTTCAACCCCCCAGCCGGACCCTCCGGTATCCCAAGGACAACCTACTTCGTAATCCTCTCCAACATGCTCCTCGGCTCCAAAATAAAAGTCGGTAGCACCACCCGACTCAAATCCGCCCCAGGCCTCAACTGCGAAATAATATGCGACAGAACTACCAACCCCCCCTCCGTTAGCCCTCCCTCCTCCCCTCCCCCCAAAAAGGAGCACAGAAGAAGACTCACCATTCCCCTGCTCCGGCTCGACAACCGTCGTCTCATCCTCCGTTCCCCCAACGCTCCCCTCATCGACACTACTCCGATTACCTACAGTCCACCTTCGCTTTAGCATGTCTCCCAATATAAATAGAACAAAACAAACTGAATTATATCAACCCATCCGCCTTGCGCGGTGAGTAGATTTTTTTTCTACTCCACCGCCTAGACCCCAGCGTCCTCGTGGGCTATATCCCCCCCACCGCCTTGGCACCCACCACCACCAACGAACCCCGCCATGCACGCGCTATGCCGGGCTCAGGCAACGCCGGGCAGCGGGCATAAGAAAATATGTATAAAATAATACCGCCATAGAGGGAGAGCTTGCCGGGTATTTAGAGCGGGGGGGGGGGGGGGGGAAGGGAAATGGGGGAAACGTACTAGCAGACGACTCGCCGCGCGACCTGACATGCCCAGGCAACAAAACCTTCCCGATTTCCGCTATCATGATGGCTGCTGGATGGCGAGGAAACGACCGGTTTGGCGGGGTGGGTGGTGAGGAAGCGGTGAGCTGCTGGCCGCGGATGCGGTGTGTCTCTCTTCCTTCACGAGTGTTTGTTGGTCGCTGGACGGGGTAGTTGTAGTTGTTATTGTTGTGTATTTTTGTGGCGTTGGGGGTTTGTAGAGGAGTAGGAGGGTTTTTGGCGGGGTCCAGGCGTGGTGGTGGAGAGGGTGCGATTTATTTGGATGCCTGCAGCCTGCCTGGGCGATGACGCACCCACGTATGCGGATCGGTGCTTGCTTGCTCCCTGTACGGGATTCCGTAGTGTCCGTTCGTTCGTTCGGGCGTTCGTAACCCCCCGTTTCCAAGTTACGATACGCGTTTAACTCTCTCTATACAACACAATACGATGCCTAGAATAATAATTTAAATACTTTCTTATACAGCAGTAATCAACAAAATCACTCAACGAGGGCTGCTTATATCCTCACTTCCTCCTATGTCGGAACACATTCAGCGTGTCCTGAAAAAAACAAAATATAGTAAGCTGCACGGGAATACCCCATCTCCCGTCCCCCCGTTCGTCACCGAGACGTACGTCTACCAGAAAACAAAAAACCGGAGCATACCATAGCACAGCTCAGCAACAGCTCTCTAACTCGGTACGGTAGACAGACGGGTGGCACTCCCGCGCAACCCGTGCGGGTAACAACCACACCCCACGCAACGCACCACCACATTGGCATCGAAAAAAAGCAAAGGCCAGCCAGCACAACACAGCACATTACAGGTTTCACTTTAACCCATCCATTTAGAAGTTTTTGAGAACAAAAAAACCGCACGATTGATATTCCACTGCCCAGACCGTAAAAATATATACCCTACCACCCTAACCCACCCCCCAAATCCATCCATTTTCCCATCCTCCCTCGCAAAAAAACCACACTAAAAAAAGACCCTTTCCCCCTTTAATCATACCCCCCCCTAAGCAGGCGTCCCCTCCCTACTAGCCCTCCCATTCTCCTTCTTCCCCCCCAAAAAGCTCTTCCTCAACCCCCCCCTCGCCGGGCTCTCCGCACCCACCTCCTCTTTCTGCACAAAATTGCTCTTCACAACCACCCGTCCACTCCCGGCAGGCACAATCTTCTCCTGCTGCGTCCCGCTCTCATCCACAAAAAACACGCTCTGCCCAAGCACCTCATCGGATCCAAACGTAGCGTGATCCTTCACCTGGAGCTGGAACTGCGTGTCCGCGCTGCACGCCGCCGAGAAGGTCTCGTCGAACTTCACCGAGCCGCTGGGGGACTTGATGTGCTTGGTCTTGTGGATCTGCTTCTCCCTCGGCAGCTGGCGGATGACCACCATGACGTTGCTGGAAGGCGGGTAGCCCTCCGCGGACACGATCGTGATGGTCGCGCTACCCGTCGGCGCGGCGCCGCCAGCGGTGCTGTAGATGGATCCGGCTGTTACGCTCTTGTTGCGCGTGTGGGACGGGGCGAGGGAGTCGCTGTAAGGTGCCGCTGCGGGAATAGCGCCGCCGGTGACGATGGTCTCGACGCCAGTGGTGGGGCTTGTGCCGTTAGCAGTAGCGTCCGTGTCCTCGACGATCACGCTGGCGACAGAGTTATTCTTGTCCTTTTTGCTCTTAAACCCGTGTTTGAGGAACGACGCGCCGCGGCCGACACCAGCGCCGATGCCAGAGGCAGCCATGCCGACGCCCTTGATGGGCACACCAGCGACGCCGGTGACGATCTTACCGGGTACCGCGAAGTTGTTGGAGAAAGTCGATGTTCCGTGGCGGGTGCGCGTGATGTAAGCCGGGCGGAAGACGAGGCGGACGCGAATAGTGCCGGACTTGCCGTCGAGTGGGAGCTTGAGCTCTTGTGGGCGGAAGGGCTCGATGGTGCTGAGGTCGATCTTGGCGTCGCCGAGGTGGTCGTCGTCGCCGGCGAAGTCCCAGTCGTAGACTTTGCACTTGAAGTCGGCGGCGGTGCGGGAGGGGATCTCCGTCTCGAAGTACTCGTTCCAGACGGGCGAGAGGGTCTTCTTCTGGACGTGCGTCTTGAAGACGTTGAGGCCGTTGAGCTCGAACTTGCAGAAGGGGTCGCTGTAGCCGTTGCGGTCGGCGGACGGCATGTCGACACCATCGAGGATGTCGACGCGGAGAGTTCCCATGTTGTTCAAGCTCTCGCTGGGGTGGAGATGCATCTGCACGGGGATGTACTTGAGGCTGACCTTGATGGTGCTGATATGTCCCCTGTCGTCCTTGAGTTTCAAAATAGTAGGGTTGTTCTATACTATGAGTTAGTAGTGCTAAATAGAAACCAAATACGTATAACTCACAAGGCATTGCTTCACAGTATCCATCGTGTTACCGGTGAGCGTAGCAACAATCCTGTCATCATCATCGTCATCCCCGCGAACATCACCCTTCCTGCTCAATCTGATCGTAAGCCTAGAGAACTCAAGCTCACGAATAAAGCAGTCTCCAATCTCGTCAAAGGTGAGCTGCCTCGTCCTCGCCTCAGCAGACGAGTACGATGGGAACAACATATCGTCAACCAAGACCTCCACGTGCACATTGGTCTCTTGCAGATCAGCCTCCAAGAGCTTGAAGATGACGAGACCGCTGTCGTGCTTGAGGAGTTCCTCGGGCGAGAGCTTGATCTTTGGCACCGTCTTCTCCTCTTCCAGGTCCTCCTGGTCTTGCTCTCCCTGTGCGAGAGCACTGGCCAAGTCTTTGTTAACCGTGCCATCACCATTCGCCTTCGCGTTCTCCTTTGCAACAGCATCCTTGGTACCGTTTGTGGCCACGCTATCGATAGATTTACGACCAGACGCCGCAGATAACCCTGAAGCAGTACGCCTGTGCTGCTTCTTCTTCTCCTCCTCCTCGTCGTCCTCGGGATCGGCGATGTTGAGGCATGGGTAGAAGGAAATATCGTAGTTCAACGTGCCCTTAGAGCTACCCTTTCCATGGATCTGGAGACCCTTCGACAGCGGCGTCTTCGCGTCAGAGACGAGATACTCTCCGTTCTCGCCCTGCTTGATGTAGTCACTAGCCAAAACCTCGACCTGGCCCAAAGTGCGATCCTTTCCAAGGTTCTCCTGGTCCAGCAGCTCGAGGGTGAGCTTCTCGCGCTCGTTGTGCATGGGGACATAGATAACTTCGTCAAAGTTGGGGTTCAGATCATTCTGGTGGGTCACAGTGCGACCCTTCTCAATACCCGAAAGCATAACCCTTGCGTATGGATCAGACTTGCCGACGGTCTCGACATTGCGGATCTCGCGCGCGTTCTTGAAGTGGATGCGCATGACACCGATAGGGGTGACGTATCCGCCGGTTCCTGCTCCGACGCCGGTAAGGGCAACGGGCTTCCATTGCAGAGTCATCTTAGCGCGGCCAGACTTGTCTCCAGCGAGACTGTACCATTCCTGGCCCTTCTCCATGAGTCTCAGCATGTCGTTCAGCTTGATCTGGTAAGTACCCAGGATAGGGTCAGTCTGTAGTCCTCTGTCATCCTTGATAACCAAGCCGAGCTTTGCAGATTTGCGGTCAGTGATGAGAATCTCCTTGTGGCAACCATCCCAGATAGGGTTGTTAGTGCGCTTAAGCTTCTTAGAGGTGAAGATCTCCTTGTTGTTGAGAAGTAAGATGGCATATGGGCTAAGCTGGCCGATCAAACTCTTGGTACCATCCAAATCCTTAGCCTGAGAAACAGTAAAGCGGGCAATACCAGTGTTTGATTCCGGTACAGGCTCGTCCTTTCCATCCTCAGTCTTGCCGCCGCCAAGCACGGGGAAGAAGCGAATGCTAGTAGCAATGACACCACGAGGCTTGCCGTTGGACAGGACCTCAAGCTGCTCGTTATCGTGCTCGGGGACATCGCGAAGCTTCTCAAGCGGGAACGTGGCAACACCAAGCTCCTTGTCCTTGCGGATCTCGTTGTAATCGAAGGTTTGCAGGGTAAGAGAATCTTGAAGAGAAGTGATAATGATGTACTTGGTCTCGTTCCAGACGGGGTTGGCGTTCTCCTTGATAATCTTGGTCTGGGCGAGAATCTCCCTCAAGTTCAACGAGCATGCGACGTATGGATCCGGAGTACCAGCAAACTTATCAGTGTTCTTGAGGCCCTGGCCGCGATGGAGAGTAATCGCAACAACACCAATGGCCTGGTCAACCGGGGAGCCCGACAGCATTTTGGCGACTTCGATAGGGAAGGAGTTAGGCGCATACATGATTGGGCCGATGTTCGAGTGAATCTGGTCCTTGATGAAAGTCTCAAGACCCGGAATAAAGTTGATATCGAAACCAAGGTACTCGCCTCCAACGGGTTTGCAGACGTAATCAATAACCGGAGGCTCGAGGAAGCACACCTCGATGCGCTCGACGTGGGGGAACGGGATCTGGAGCTTCATCTTGACGCGCATCAATCCGGAGAAGGCGAAGTCCTCGACAATGATATCCATCGCCTTGCTAACCATCGCCTTTCCGATGCGGATCTCGAGAATCACCTTGGGGTTGATCTTGTTCTTGATCTGCTTGGCAGTCATATCCGCAGTATCGTTAGGCGTAAAGCTGAATCTCCAGTCCATGAGGACAGTGTCGTCAGCCGCCTTGGGGTAGCTGCGCACATGCTCCATGCGCGGTGGCTTCGAGCCGAGCGTGAAGAAACGCATGCGCATGCTGTCGAGGAATGCGGGGGTCGCGGTGCTGAGAACCTGGTCGACGGAGTTGATGACGGTGTCTGCGATGACGGGGGCGTAGATGGGCCAGAATTTGTCCAGGAAGTTGTTCATCCACTCCAAGCTCTCGGTGTCGGACTCGGACTTGGCCTTGCCCATCTCGCGATTGATGTCGTCGCGGACGTTCCTCCTCACACGGCGGAGCGATGTGCGATAGTACGTGCCACACGCGGCCATGATCAGGAAAACCCAGGCCAATCCACCGCCGAGAACGGCAATGAAGTAGGAAGCCAAACAAGCAAAAATAATAATCGCCGTATTGTGATACCAGTCTGCGCACCCAAATTAGTAAAAGCCTCATAAACCCCACGAATTGACCCAATTTACCTCCGTATAACTTATCCGGGAGCTGCCCCTCCACCCACGTCTGGTGGTCCAGGAGCGACTCTTCTACCGGCGCATTGGGATCCACGCCATTGCCAAATCTCGGCGCCCATCCCGTGCGATCAACCCACTTCTCCTTGTCGCCCTCCTGCTGCCCCTGCACAATATTCCCCTCTTTATCCTTCACCGGCTCAATCGCACCCGCCGTCGTCGGCGGCGGCAGATCGTACGCGCCGGGCTTCCCATCATCAAGGTCCGTCGCAATCGCATACCCCTTCGCCTTGTGCTCGTGGTGGAATCCCTCTGGCACATGCTAAAATCGCCGTTAGTAGACAATTCGCGCGCCCGGTCGTCGGGGTGCAGTGGAAGGATTCCTCACCGAAGCAGCTTGCGCGGCCTTCTCCTCAGCCGTCGCGTCCGGATCAAACGAGTACGCCTGCACGCCCGCCTTCTTGCTCTCCGTCATAGCCTTTGCCTCCGCATCCGCGGCCGACACCGGGTTCGTGGGGTCGCGCGACGCCTCGAAGGCGCCCTGCTGCTTGATCTCTGCTTCCTGCGCGGCGGTCGCCATGGTTGCGGATTTTTGGGTGGTGGTGGTGGGGGGTTGGGGGGAGGTGCGTCAATGAGGCAGGCGATGTGGCCAGGCCCTAGCTGGCGTGTGGGCGAGGTGGGAGGCTGTTAATCAATTGGGCGTGTTCTGGGCTACCTGGGAGTTTTGAATGAGAGATGGGATCGGATGGGATATCGCGACAGCTGAGGTTGCGAATTGAGCATCAGCTGGAATTGAAACTCCCAGGTGTATTTTCCGCGAGGAAGAGGTCGGGGGTGGTTGTCGTTGAGGGAGGAGGACGGACGTGTGTGAGAAAGTAGTAGAGAGATTCGGGGAGCTATTCGCTACTTTTGCGGTTGTCGATCATGGAACGATGACGAACGAGTGGTGCAGGGATTGTCCTTTGGCGATATGGGAATCCGCTCACGGAAAGTGGAGGGCTGGGTTTGTAGAGAGCTGGTTCCAAGATTTGGGCCAACCGGGGACAGGGATTGATGGGAGAGCGAGCTGGGGTCGGGGGGGGACTGGGGGGGGGGAGGTTGGATGGGGATGGGGATTGGGATTCGGGTGTGGGTGGTGGTGGTAGTGGTTGTAGATTTTTGTGGTTGAGAGGGAATTTTGAAGTGGGGTGGCGGGGAGGGGAGGGGCGTGGGAAGGTATGGGTATGGGATGAGATGGCGGAGGCTGGGTGGAGGTTGGAGGTCGGATGGCTTGGAAGGTCTCGGGAGGAAGAAGTGGTTTAGGAGATAGTGATGAATTTCAGACGGGATAGGATAAATGAGGGAAAGGAAGGGGGAGATTGAGCGAGGAGATTGTTAAACATTGAGATTTTAGTCTGTGTGTATATACCCTCATGTGCTCATTCTATCTATCTGTCCAGACATCCATACACCCATACATCTAGACACCTATCCTATCAATTCCATCCATAGAGAATGTGCATACAATACCACCCTCCTCTCCTCCTCTCCTCTCCTCTCCTCTCCCTCCCTCTCCCTCTCCTCATACGCATCCGGCTTCATACCTCCGCCTCCACCTCCACCTCCAGCACGCACGTATCCCGTCTCAATTGGCAATGTTTCTCTCGTTGGCAGCTGGCACCTCCCGCCGCAGGGCAGGTACGCGGTCTCCCCAATTTCTCCTTGGCTCCGCCCTACCAGGTTCCTTCCCTCTGTCTCCGTCTCCTCACCAAAAAATCACACGCACGCCCACGACTCACGACCGCGATAAGAGAAAGGCAACAAATACCCATTACCCATTAACCGAACCCTGGTTGAGCACTCAAGTCCCCAATCCCCATCGGCGCCTCTCCAGTGCAGAAAAACAAGCCCAGCTAGATTAATCGAAACTAGCGAACTAACGATTCCCATAGCAGACAGTAATCTAGCATGTACCCAACCCAAACCCAAAAGAAAAAATGTCGCTCACAGCCTCCTCCCAGTCTAGTCGCTAATCGATCTAAAGTGGAACCCTGCTGCTCCGGCCTAGGAACAGAGCCTAGCAAGGAGGGACTAACACTACTAACACTAACTAACGCTACCTGGGAGAGCTGGCTGGCTGGTACACCTAGTCCAGCTACATAGCTAGCTTCTATCCCCCAAAGCCCAGCCGAGCTGAGCTGGGCAGGGGTCGACATAATCCCCGCGCTAGGGGGAATGGGGGAAAGGGCTCTTCGAGACGAGACATACCTACGTACCACCTACTACCCTATACCTCGCTAACTAGGAAATCTAACTAGCAGCTAGATTGCTAGGGTTAGAAGAGGTAAGGCGCTGAGGGGGCACGGATGGATGGGCTTAAGTTGCTTGCTAGCAGTGAGCCGAGGGATGGGTTGGGGACAGCTCAGGATTGACTCCGAGGAGACCAAGCAATTTATAGTGGGTTTCTTTGGCGGTGTTTTTTTCCTGTGAGATGTGGTGGTGGTGGTACCTTGGCGGGTTGAAAGAGCTCCGTGGCTGGTGCTGGTGTTCCACAATTCTGGCCTGATCGTCGGGGTGTGCATGTTCGGGGTAATCCGTGCTCTGCCTGTCTGGCTGCACACATCTCGCATACGCACTCTACAGTGTCCTTGAATACAATGTGGCTAGAGGGCTAGAGAGACGCGGGTGAGAGAGAGAGAGTCTTTTCATCTAGACGGGCTGGGATGTAGTACCACACACACACACGCATCTACTGTACAACCACCACCAACCTCACTCAATCTGCAACACTCCCCATCCTGTCTGTCCCTCGTTACAGTACATTGCATATATTGCTTCTCCCGCCACCACAAAAGGTCGGTCGGTCGGTCAGTCGGTCCTAGCTACTCCACGTGCCACCACCACCACTAGCACGCACTGTATATGCCCCTTCCCTTCCCAATCCCCATGCCCATCACCTCCTATCATCCCCTTCCCAAGTATTATATCACACACACCCCATCCCCCCGGGCCCTCATCATCGCTTTCATAAGCAGAGCCGCAAAACACAAAAAGATAAACTCCCCCCTTTCCCAGCAAATAAATCGCTATCCCTCCCCTCCCTCCCGCTCGCTTTGCCCAAACCGAAAAATAAAAAAGAGAACCATTATATACAAGTTACCCCACCCCCCATCCCCCCTCCCGTTTTTGCGCCCAGGAGAACTTTTTTTCCGCCAGCCGCTTTCTCCCTCTCCGACGAAAACAAAGGAGATTCGTGAACCCTTATTCCCTCCCCCCGTCCCTATCCCGCCGCATGTACAAAAAATTTGAAGAAGAAGAAAAATGAAGAGAAAATCATCCCAAGTAGTAGGAGTTAGTAGAGTATTAGTTAGTTATTATCCCACCATCTCAGTCCCTCACGGACCGCCCCGTCTCCCTCGACCGCTGGCTACTCAGACTCACAATCTCCGCAGCACTACTCCGCACCTCATCCACATCCGACCCCTGATCCGTGACGCGGATACTATGATTCCTCACGACGCCCATGCTCGTCGGGCGATCATGGCGCGTGTGGTCATTCAGATTCCCCATGAGCGAGTCGTCATTAAGACTTATCAGCGGCGGCTCCACCGAGTCGTTGCGGGAGTGCGAGGAGGGGCCCGTGTGATCGCCGTTCTGGCCTCGAGCCGAAGTACCTGGTGAGGAGGACACGAAGGACGATTGTCCCGAGGCATCAGGGGGTTGTAAGCCCTGCTGAGACGCGCGCTTAGAGCTCTTGCGAGGAATCGGAATATCCTCATCCACAAGCGGCGGCTGCTGCATTCTCGAGCTCGCCTTACTAGGAAAGCGACTCGGGATCTCTAACCCCTTTCCGCGGTCTAGCTCGGGGAGTAAGGGGGGCGCATCGGAGATACGCGTCATCTCGAACCCCTCATCCAAATCATCGTCATCCGAATCATCATCATCATGTTTCGACAACAACGGCGACTTGGCACCAACCATCATCTCATTCCCCTCCCCCACATTCGTAGGCTCGTCGTTATCCAAGTCGCGCCTGATAGCGCCCGTGGCGGCGATGGGGATGCCCTCGGGTGGAGATTCGGGCGATGGCCCGTTGCGAGGGTCAGCCATCCCCGGAGGCATGCGCGAGCTGCGGACGACTTCGAAGCCCTTCCCCTTCTCCTTGGTCTTTCCGCCGAGGAGGTTCTTGAACCAGCCGCTGGCAACGGTTACCGGGTTCGTGGGGTCCACTGGTCCAGTGCGCAGTCTGCGGTTCGGCACGTTGGCGTTGAGTGCGGGTCCGCGGACGCCGTAGTAGAAATCGACTTCGCGCGTCGTGTAATCCGTTTGGGACCTCCTGTGTTCTTGGGAGGGGCGGTCGGCATGCTGATTCTGGGCGGCCATGTATGAGGGCACGGGGGTTTCGCGACCAGAGGTAGAGGGGCCTTCAAAGGGGTCGCCTGCTGTCAATGACTCGGGCTGGCTCGACCTTCTCATTCCCCAATCGCCACTTGCCCAAGAACCCCTGCTTCTAGCTCCAGGACTGTAGGCGTCTATGGTGGGTCGACGGGCTCGAGGTGGTCGATAGTAAGGATCTGAAGTGTCAACAGTGTTGAGGGTTAAAGCACCTCTATCCTTTTGTCCTGCCAGGACTGCTGCGGATGGCAGGAATGGGAATGCATTTCCATCCTGAACCGTCGTTGGAGTATAGCTACTATAGCTGTCCATGTTCGTAGGCTGGATTGAGGCGCTGCTATTTCTATCAATGGGTCTAGCTCCATCCAAGAGAATATGCCCACTGCTTGCCGACTGGGTCCTTAAGCCACCATTCGATAACTGTGGCGATTTGCGGTCAACCAACTGCGCACCATTGTAGGACTGGTTTTGCTTCGAGTATGCGCCGCGCGGCAATCGTCGAGATAGTTGTCTCAAGCCGAAGACTTTGGCGAAGCCACTGTCATCGTCAACTCCGACGCCAGCCAGGCGTGCTACAACCTCGACTATCGTCTGGAACGCATTGAGTAGAAACCCGAAGATCAATACGATGGCGTGCAGCACTAAAATTGAGTATCCAAGCCATGCTTTTACCCCATCCGAAACATCGAGGGATGGTGCAAATGCAACCATGAGAAGAATTGAGGTAAATCTAACACCGGCGAAGAATGTATGATACGCATTCATAGAAGTGGGTGAGTGGAATGGTCGGAATGCGTGCAAGGCCACGATATTGATGACTTCGCAGATCGCCAGCAGCACAATCTGTGCTATTCCAGACGGCTGGACAGCCCCAATACCAATCCCGCGGACAAACGTGAGGAGTACTGGGACGAGGGCGAAAGTAGCCGCATCGTCCGAATATGTATTATAGAGTGACCCGTATAGGAGAACGGTCCTTAGGTCATCGAAGAGAAACGAGCGCGGCTTACTCGATGCAACAACGTAAAACAGCCAGCCTGCGAATATGACGAGGGTAACAAGCAGCAGAGCAGCTAGAGCTACTGTGGCTGGGGGAGAGCTTCCAGCGATGACAAGCTGGAACATCGAGAACGTGGTAATCGGTAGTAAAAAGTAACTGAAGACTATGCGGATGACGTTGCCGACGGTGAATGGCATGTTCTTTGACCGTAGATCTTCCTCCTGGATCCTAGAGAACCGACGGAAAGCCCATTGAAGGAAGAATCCGATTTGAATGACAGTTATCACGATTGCTATAATCGACAATAGCCACACGGCCATGCCTGCCCATATATCAGTCACTCCAGTCATTCCAACGAGCTGGCTTATATGATCAAGGCCATGGGCTCCATGCGTGACATAGATGCCATCAACGAGGGCCTTTGTGCCATCCCCTTTCGTGACGAAACTCTTGTCGAACATGAGCGCTGACCAGGCAAACTTGCTTACGACGGGCTGGTAGAAGCCGGGATAGCTTAGGGAAAGCCCTCCTGTGAGAACAACGAATTGAATGTACTGTAAGCAGTCACCAAAACCAGGCGTAACCAATCTCAGCAGGTCAGCATCTCTGCCGTAGTTTGTCGTCCACTTGAAGAGGTTTGTGGTGCCCCAGGGGCTCCACATGCCCGCAACTGCAGTTGCAATTCCAACCAGTATAAGGACGGCAAATGGAACGAGCCTCAGCATACCGCTAAGGCTACCGCCGAGGTCCGGAGTCACTTCTGTAGTTATGCAGCCGAGATTTGTCGCGGGGTCTAGTTTGTCGCCATTTATGATCAAAAATGTAGCAATCAGGGACGTGAAAGCATATGATGAATCCATGCTATTCGATACTTTGAAATAGGGGAAGCTGTCTGGATGGTCTCTATACTGTATATTAGTATATACAAATGAAGTAGGAGACGGATGGGTATCCTCACATATCAGCAGAGAATGCCGGTCCAAGGGGGCACACTCCGTTGTCCAACTGGTCACAGAAGTTGAGAAACTGGCTCCACGGTTGATATGTCAGAACATTGATTTTGTTGTATAGCGTGGTATATTTGTAAATAGGTTGCGGAAGGTTTTCTATCTTCCCATCTGTAAACTTCGGGTCGGACCACGCAGGGTCATTCGCCGGAGGGAGATTGACATTCGTATATGTTCCGGATACATTCCCATAGACCTTGAAAAGCAGGTTGTGTGCATCACTTGCTGCATCGAAGGAAACATCAACGAAAGTGGGTGTGAATTGTAGTTTCTTGGGAACACTGTTGATGTATGATTCCGGGAGACAATTTTCAAACGGGACCAAGACAGCTTGAACAGGCGCGACGCAGAGGCTCGCAGCTACTAATGCCAATCCATACTGGAGAAGGCGACGCCTTGGGGCCTTCCGAACCGCACGTGTAGCCTTTTTGTGATCAGCAATACCGCGTCTCCTTGGGTGGGATGGCTTGTGATGGTAGCCGCTGCTGGATTCGAAGTGGCTGGCTTCGGGGCGAGCGCTGGATACATCAGCGGACATCTTGAGCATCATATGCCGTTGATTTCTGGGCGCATTGTCGCTCTGGCCGAAGAATTCGCTGGCGCTTTGAGTTGGCTCGGGGAACACCCTCATGGGTTTCGTTCGACGAAGTCGAGCAGCGTCGCGCACGGCCGGTTGTTCTGGGAGAGCATGCAGGCAATGGCGGAGGCTCTGTCGAGGCCAGATCAAGGACAATTCGACGTCATATATGGAGAATCCGTGGTTGTGAGTCCAACGGTCGAGATTTTCCCTTTTTTCCTAGCTGACCTGGGAAGGAGGAGATGGGTCGATGGAGTGACGTGGGGAGGTCAATAATATGTGTCTATGGTGGAGTCTCTCTCTGTATGGAAATGCGAAACTATAAACGAGCTAAGCCACGATTTGAAGGCACGGTACTTCGTACTGTATGGAGTAAGTAAGCTGCTTGGCGCGGAACCTGAACCAAGGCAGAGCGCGAGCGCGGGATGGGAATACGATGTGGGGCTGGGCTGAAGACAACACAGCAAAGGGGAAGGGGAAGGGGGAAAAAGAAAAGGATTCATAGGATGGATTATACGGAGGATGGCATAATATTATAATAAGCAGTAAAAGAGAGAAAGACGTTGTGGCTATATTTGTATGGATGATGGTAAATATTTGTTAGGTTTCGGGACAATGGATATATATTGTGGTATACTGTGTTATATGTGTGACAGTTCATCACCCTTCTTTCTGTCTGCTGTGCCGCCCGACTTTCTTTTCCCTTGATCCTCTCGAGACACTGACACACTCACACATCCACAAAAACATCCACAAAGTACGAGAGAATCGGTCTAATGGTGCCGATGGAGAGTAGCATTAATGGAGAATGCCGATGAAACATAGAAATAGAAATAGAAGTGGAAAAATCGAATGGAAATGGAAGGTCCTTTTGGTGCACTGTGCTCAGTTGTGTCGAGTTTACCAGCGTCCAGACTGCACCAGACCAGACTCCACGGGTATGGGTATGGTACTATATTATGGTTTGACTTATCGTTGCGAATATAGCCTGAGTCTGAGCGACCACTTATTTTATAGTATTTATATCTATGTTACATACAGTCAGTGCTTGGTAAAAAAGAACAGCCAGCCGCAGCACACAGTGGAGAGTGTCGCATGTATCTTACTGTGCGTATGGTTGTTCAGTATAGACAGTAATAACTACAGTTATTCCTTCAACCCAACTATTTACATTTATTTATATTGCACAGTCAGCCCAAAGACCAGAAAGCAAATAAACAGGAGAGCACAGAGTCAGTCATAGTCATCACTGCCTATTAAAGCGCATCGAGTGCGACGGTGACGACGAAGCAGCTTCCTTCCGCATCTTAGCCAAATATAGATTGATCTTCCCCCTCTTTACTCAAGTATCACTTTCTCAGGGTCAGCGGTGGGGACTGGGCATCATCGTCTGTATCATCGTGGCCAAGCAGTAGCCGGCAAGAACGATGATCACACGAGCCCTGTGCATACTCCTCCCTAACACTACACGCACGATGATGCTTCAACGCACTCTTACCCCCCCAACAGCACCTATTAACATCTATTATCCACTCTGACCATTCACATGCCTCCATTCCCAAATGAAGACGGGCACTCCCTTTTCTCAATGCTAACCATTGAAATGCCTATCCTACTCTTTCGTGATTGGGTCGATTGATTCCCCTCGCGCTGGGCTGATGCGCAGTAGTAGAAGGCACCACAAATTTACAGCTGACTTTAAACTTTACTCGTTACTCCCCAGTAATCGCGCACTCAACTTGCTCCTAATCTGTGATTGCCCATTAAACAAACAACCTCCGCATCTCTTTGTTTTTGTCTTTGCGCTGTCTCTGTTTCGGAAGTTTAAGGTCGTGCCCAAAACATCAGCCAAGGAATCCAGTCACCATCTCCGACATTAGCTGCAGTGCTTATCGAGACATATTACCCCGCTGGGCCTTCCGTACCTGACAAACGCGACCTTTATCTCGACCCCCCGCTGCGGGCGAGGCACACGATCCCATTCAAAACGGGCTGCCACATGGAGATCTAGCCAGTAAGTCTTATTCACGACCCCCAAATAGCACTGGATATCACGAACAAGCGACAGATCTGTCATTGTCTAGTTATTCACGCTCCTCCACGCGTCCTTCCAGCGCACTTCTTGCTAACCAATGTCGTCTGGGCAGCTCTCTCGACTCGACGCCTCGTCATGGATGAACAACCCAGCTCAAAGCAGATTGCAGCAGCGCGACTAGTTGGAAGGTTGTTTGGCAAGAAACAGGAGAGGAAGGGAAACCAGGACGAATATGTAGCTTCATTCCTACAGCGACCCTCCTCGGACACGTTGCGCATGACTGGAGCCGATCCAAACCAGAATGCGACACCGAAACTCGCAAAGCTTGATACCCTTGGCGCACGGCGCTGGCCTACAGCATCTGAGGTTATCCGGTCAAGAGATTCGTCGCAAGCCCCTCCAGAACACAGACCGTCTAGACCAAGCCGCAAGGGACTCGTGGTTCGCTTCACCGACAAGTATCCTGAAATAATCGGAGAAGGCGGTGACGAGGCGGAGGCTCCAACTGCACACATATCTGCTTCAAAGAAACGAGCACAATCATATCCTCAGGCTGGTGCTGGGCAACCTCCGCCAGGATATCGGCCAAATGGAGGCAACGATGGGCAGAACGACCAGGAACGATCAAATCAACCGCCGAGGGATCCAAGGTCGCAACCAGCATCCCAAGCGCCTGCGGGCCAGCCTTGGCCACCAAACGCCCCAAGATTACAACCAAGTGCTTCGCAAAGAAGGGCCGACGTACCAGGTAATTACGGCGCACCGGCGGCTGGTATCAGTGCGGCCAGTGACCCAGACCATGGAGCTCTCGTGGCAAGGATGCAGAAAGAGATGAAGATCAGTGAAGGACAAGCTCTCATTGCCGACCAGCAAAACCCTCGGTCTTCTGTTCAGAGAGGGCCAGTATCTCGTGGCAGCAACACCCCGTTGGAATCATTTTCCTCCCAAGTCGCCGACGCTTTCAATGGACAGCCGAAATCGCCTGGTACGGATGTTAGCTCAAACTCGCCTCCGCCTAGTTACCATAGCGATAGTGCCGCCAGAAGCCCAAGGTCAAATGGTGGTCCAACGCAAAATATCTCTCCTGTTAATGCAGAACCTCATTCAATGGCAAGGCTGGTAGCCAATCTACCAACGCCGTCGCCAGTAAATAACGAGTCGCTGGATGAATTCGCCGGCCGGATCGGCTACTTGTATAAGTTATTTGAGTTATCAGCAGAATCTAAGGAGTCCCTGTCCGCATCATCATTCGAAAATCTATTAAGGGCAGCTTCGTGGTGGTTTTTGAGGGGCAGGAGTACTATAGAGCAAGTTGCCAAACGCCGTGCACCAAATTCGGAAAGGCTTGATATCCTACAGCAGCAAGGCAATGCTGACTTGGCAAAATGTCAGTGGATACTCAGCGAAATATTGGCACACCGACCTGAGATTGGAGACAGGTCTTCTGAAGAGATCACAGCCCTTGAAAGGACGGCTCTAGCCAGTGGGCAAGATGATGTCGCCAGACTCCTCGAACGATATCAGGCTTTATTCTCAAATCTTCGAAAGTTGACTGGATCTATGAAGAAGAACAATATCATGCCTCCGCATAGTAACGACGCCATTCTTACACAAGGGCTCAATACAGGAATCTGGGTCGACTACCCCTGGCAAGACCCCTCAATTCAGACACTTTTCTCTGGGATCCCCCTATCCTCAATACTATCACCGAAAGGGCCAGACAGCATTTCGTCAACGGAGGCACTGCCGCTGGGAGACACCGAAAATATGTTTACCTACAGCCGAATACACGTTGGCGTTTGCCTCACACGAGACGGACATGAACCTATACGGCAGCCGTTGCCGTGCATCCTTTCAGTTCAGCGTGAACGTAACGACAAACTTATCACCGCCGTGATCTCCAGTCAGGATGGAGTTATCTCCATTGCCATCCAGCCTAGGAATGGCAGCTCTCCCACGTGGCAGGACGTAGCATGGGACACCAAGAGAGACATGATAGACGTTAAGCTCGGAAAGCTCTTTAGGGCGCGTGTTTTATTTGCACCTGGGGACTTACCCACGTTGTGGAATATGTATGAATATACAAGCAAGGTCCAGACAAGCTTCCTCGCCCATAGCGATGAAGTTCTTGTTATGGAAACAACCGTCCGATCAGCACACTATGCGACAAAGGAGCCGACTGATCAGATCTTCCCCAAGGATGCAGCGCTACATTGCAAAGTAAGGGTGTTTGAGAAGGTGATCGTAGAGAAATCGATTACCGGGCCTCATACTCGGCACCGTGGTGTCCGTCTAGCTGTGGCCACAGGGCCGAACACAAAGTCGCTGTGCGGCATTACTCACGACCTCCCCACCCAAAGGCCCATCCGGTATGAGCACACGCGGGTCGACTACGGTGCCTCGCTCTATCTATATTTTGGAGATGGACCTGCTGCGACTATAGGTCTAACGTTTGAAACAAACCAAGACCGCTTCGCATTCCACAACACCATCATCGGCGGCCAGCGACCAAACGAGTCGACTGCCGCAGTCCTACCCCTAAAGAGTTTCTCCTTAACCCGATCCGCAGAAAGCCAGTCCACGGTCGTCCCCCGCATGGTCCTAGACAGCTTCGAATGGAGCTCCCTCCAAGTCATCATCCACAACAAAGGCTCCGACTTCAACTCCACCGCCGTCCAAAGCGCCGGCCACCTCCGCATCATCGCCGAATCCTCAAACAAAGACCGCATCACCGACCGCCTCGTCCTCGCCCCCGGCGAGCTCAAAATCCGCATCAACACTAAGGGCCTGCACCCGCGCCTCAGCATCCTCCGCTCCGAACAACACGACCTCACCATCTCGTGCACCGAATCCCAAACTCCCGCCGAGGTGCGGCAACGGCTAGCGCAGCTCCTCGTCCTCGTTGCGAAGGTGCCGACGGCTCGCCACTATAGCTTCACTACCCACGATGACATGCACGAGTTCCAGCGCGCCATCACGGGCTTCTCGGTCCTCTTCTCGGGCACAGCGGCTACCTTCGCCATCTCGCGGCGCCGCATGGTCGTGCCCATCCACAAGAAATGGGAGACGCAAGCAGCGTGCGTGCAGCTCCTCGAGAGCGACGGGGTCGTGCAGCTCGTTGCGTTCTTTGAGGGATTCAGTCACGGTGAGAGCATGAATTTCGTGCTCAAGCCAACGGATTCCTTCGAGTCGTTTAGCAAGAGTGGGAACTACGGCGTTAAGCTCGCGGATGCGAAATTCGTCCTGCCGGTCCAGGATGAGGCGGGTATGGGCGCGGATAATGGGTTTGTTTGTCTAGATCAGCTTGAGTACCCCGTTGAGCACGATGATATCATCGTCACCTTCGATATCGAGGATGGTACGTATCCCCCTATTCCCCATCCCCCCACCCCCACTGGTTCGGGTTCGGCACATCTTACCCGCACCCGACCTGAGACACACCCCCCACTAACAACACCACCACAGAGCGCGACCGCTTCGCCAAAGCCCTCCCTTCCGAGACAAAACACGCGTTCCGCTTCGGGAGCACTAAGAGGCGCGGAGAGTGAGCCGGGTGGGGAAGTAGTAGTAGCCTCCCTCTAGAGTAGAGTGGGTGAGACAGGAGTGGGGTCAGGTGAGACATCTGAGATGCGCCGCTTGTCCATCCAGGGGGGTGGGATATCACACATGTGCTGGAAACTCACGGATTCGATTGTTTTTTGAGCAGAGGAGAGTAGATGAGAGGGGTTTGAATACTGTTGTTTGGCGCGGGAGCGTAGACGTTTTTCGCTGTTGCCAATGGGGGGCGGGGGGGTGGCATTTTTTGGGATTTTGTGTGCGCTTGGATGCTTATACCTTGGTGCGGTTGGGTGGGGGATGAGGATCCTCCCCTTTGTGTGCGAGGTGGGGTTGTAGATGAGATTGAGATAGCTGGGAGGAGCTGTGCTCTATATCTTACATAGCGAGTGAAGCATTGGGGATGAAGGGTGGGAATTACATATTCAAAAACATTCAAAAACACGTAACTCGCATCGAACTCACGAACACAACTGACAGCTTGTGGAAGTCCATGCAATTGAATAGCTACAGTATAGCCCAGTAATATCTACCTAATCGCGCAAAACGAGCAAATAAGCACCGCATCACCCTCTCACAGCGTAGCCTCTGCCTAGGCCCGCCCCTATTCCTATTTACTTCCCTCATTCCTCCTCCATTTCTTCATCCTCCCTGCCCCTCCTTCCCTTTGTGCAAAATCCGCTCCCAACAAGAAAACGTAAAGAATTAATTCACCGCCGCAGGTTTACAAACGCAGTCGGACACAGGTGGCACACCGCAATTATAAACGAGTTTTTTAATAAAAAAACCCAGACAATCGCACTGCGATTATCTCTCTAATGCTCGAGCAGTCTCAGGGAGCCCTGCACGACGACGTTCTCGAGGATGGATCCCGGGGGAATATCAATGGTGCTTCCCTCCGTAGCGACGATGATGACGGTCCCCTTGAAGGTGACTCCGCGACCGAGGTTGACGGCGCCGGTGATGGTGAGATGGTCGAGCTCGAGGATCTTGGGGATGCTGGGGATGTGCTTCTGGAAGTCTGAGACCTTCTTGAAGTCCGTGCCGAGCTTGATCAGCGGGGCGGGGCCGAAGCGGGTGGGGTCGATCTGCAGCTGGCCGTGCTTGAGGGAGTAGAGGTCCGACTTGACGAGGAGGAGGTCGGAGCAGGTCTTGACGGGGAGGAAGCGGCGGCGGGGCACGTTGACGCCGTGGGCGTTCTTGAAGTGGCGGATGGCGGCGCCGACGGCGGTCTCGAGCTGGACGATGGAGACGTCCGACTCGCCCTTCTTGTCGGCGGGAATGGATTTGTTGTTGGGGATGATCTCCATCTCGAGCTCGTTGTTCATGACGACGCGCTTGACGGCCTCGAGGTTGAGCCAGATGTTGTTGGTGTTGAAGTACTTGAACTTCTTGATGGACTTGAATTCGTTGACGTGCTCCTTGGGGACCTGAGCGATTTCGAGGAGGCGGACGGATCCGTCGTAGTCGATGATGGTTCCACCCTTGACATCAGCCTTGGTCTTGTCGGTCAGCTCCATGATGTACTCGGACTTGGTTTCGACCATGTGCTGGAGGATGCGGAGATCTACAACAGCTCCCAGGTTGTCAACGTTGGAGAGGAAGACAATCTCGACACCGCGAGCAATCAGCTTATCGAGGATGCCAGAGTTGTAAAGGGACTCGAAGACATCTCCGTGTCCGGGTGGGTACCAATCGGTAATGGCGGAGTCGAAGGACTTGGGGACTGGGAGGAGCGAATCCTTCAGGACTCTTGGGTACCTCGACTGGTTGAAGGTCATGATATCAATGCTGTGGCCCTCGTACTTCTTAATGATGTTCTCGGTGTCAGAGTCGGTGTTGAACGAGTTCATCAGGACAAATGGCACGTTGACCTTGTATGTGCGGTTGAGATATTCGATCTGGCGAACGGAGAGATCGAGGAACGACATTCCATCGCGGACCTCGATGACCGACTTGGGGCCAACACATCCCATGGAGGTACCGAGACCACCATTGAGCTTCAACACTGCCAGCTTGTTCAAGAACGAGACAGACTCGGAGTTGGCAAGGTCGTTGTAGTCGACAACCTGGCCCTCGGCAGGGGGCGCAATGCGGTCCCAGTCGAGAGTGCTTCCCTTCGCCTTATCGTTCAAATACCTGCGGAAAAGGGCAAAGAAGTTGTCCATCTCAGTCTCGAAAAGCTACACAGGATTAGCAGCTAAACATAAACGGTGTGTGTCTGGGCCTTACCTTCTTCTCCTGCTCGTCGGAAACGGTGTCTGAGAGCTTGTTGAGGTGGTTTCGCATTTGGCTCGCGGCAATTGATGTGGATGTGTTCTCAAAGGCCTGTTTTTCACATTCTGTCAGTGGTAGTTCGGACATTGCTTTATTGTAGATAGCAGGATCTTGGGTTAACGCCATTTTTGCAGTTGGGACAGTTCTGATACAAGGAAACTTGAAGCTTGGTCCGGAAGGACCAAATAAGGAGATTCCAGGAGGGGGAATGGCTGGTAAATGAATGAATACAATCCAGGAACGTCCTATTGAATGTCCAATTTGATATGACGACACTGGTACGTCTTTGTGGAATTGGGACCTGGAGGATATTGAATGTGTGTTGAAAGGAGGTTTGTCGACCTGGTAACTCAGTGCGACGCCCCGTCCAATTCCTCCCCTTCCATTCAAATCGCTGTGGTGATTCGCGAAGCGAATCCAAGTAGGATCGCTTCGTAGGATCGCTTCGTAGGAAATTATCACTTGATTCCCAGAGCCTTGCTAGATGAGTGCCCGAATCTCAAATCGCTTCGCCATTGTATCGAGGCCAACCCCTCATGGCCAACAACTCATGTCGTGATTGCCCTGGATGTTTGAACCGCGGGAGGTACCAAGATAGGGGCTTCGGTATATTGCTAGACTGAACAGGATTGCACAGGAAGTGACACTTACGACGTGTGATTGGGACTTTCCATGGTGTCTAGGGACGCTATCTGGTCCGCCATCGCTCCCGCCCCCAAGCGCCGATGAAGGCTTCAGGTGAGTCGGGAGAGAGCTCTTGAATGACGCCATCTTTTAAAATGTACAGAGTATCAACGGTTGATTTTCGGAAGGGTTGATCTTCGGTGTGTTCTGCTTGTTGGAGCTGGTGGGCGCACTCTCTATTTAAGGTCTGTTGTCAGCGGATGCAATTCAAGGTTCTGACGTCAATAACTACCCCTTGGGGACAGTTTTAGCTGGGAAAGGCGGTGTTGTATGATCAGCTTACCTATGTCAACAGCGCACGAAGGATTTTTGAAGCGTAAATAATGAGGCTGAGATCAGCAACACAGGAGTGTGAATTGAAGTTTGAGAGGTTGAATGGGAATGGGGGGGTCAGATGCAACTGGTGACAGGAGCGTTATTTATTATTAAACTCGAGCTTCCTTGACAGCTTGGCCTTGGGGTGAGACAGAAACCAGGATGCGGACATTTGGAGGTGGATTATCATTATTCCGAGAAAGATACGTAGTATGGGGGACCATACCACCAAACGACGACGAACAAGGCAGTGCAAGTGTCTCTGGTGGGGGGTGTAGGGGGGTAAGGGGGGCAAAATGGAACGAAACAATAAACTGTAATTTCCATAATTTCCATAGATCCTACTAGTCCTTTTCCTATTGTGGCAAAATAGGTTTAGAATGGCCTACTCTATTACTCTATTACTGGCTCTATTACTCTATTATTCTTATGTTTTTGCCCCATCCCTTTTTGTTGATTTTTGCACGGGAGGTAGTAGGTAGGTACTCTATCTCAATTTTCATATACGGGAAAAAGGGCCTTGCCTGGATCCAACAAACAAACAAAAACTCTTGGAAGGGGCGTGCCCAAGTCACATCTTTGGGCAGCCATCCCGTGGTCGAAGTGGTCGAAGATGGTCGAACAGTGATCCAGCCACCCCACCAAGCCTAGTATCTTGTGGCGTTTAATTTGCACCCTGCAGTTATTGCCTCAAGAAGCACCGATTGGGATTCTCGCCTTTCTAAATGTGGAGCACTACTATAACCATCTTATCAACGAACATGAATTTTCAAAGAAATAGCTTCTCAACAACGTCGTACGATGCAGCCCTTTGAGCCGGCGCCCTGCAGGACACAGTCAGACCCATCAGCTTCTACGCGCCCTTTATGCTCTTCGCCGGCTTGGATAAGCTGAGAAGAGCTGAAGGGCTGAAGGGGGGGAAGGCTGAAAGGCACAGACGGAAGGGATACCACCGGGTCCCACTCCCAATGTCCCACCAGATCAGAGAAAAAGCGCGCGAGCATGGGCCGTGCTGTGCCCATCGATATTAACGCCACAGCCCAACTGACCGTGCTCCTCCGAGATGAGGAATGGATCCCACATCTATTTATCGCATCCTCATCCCGCCAAAGGGAGTTCCGTCAAGGACCACCGGATCCCCTGGTTGGATACACGTGCAGCGATTGAGCGAACTGCCGTTCTTATGTCAGCATCCATCCTACAAGGCTGCATCTTAGGGGACTATATTTAGACACGGCGTCAAATTGACGATGATTTCTCAATTTGCGAAATGTCTCGATTTTGTGACACAGGAGTGTGATGTGGTGATCCACTCCTCCTGATCCTCCAGGTCACATTTCAGCCGCATGCAAATACAGGGTCCAATTCCAGACATTGTATCCAAAACGTGATCTTGTCTCTCTCTTCCATTATCATTATGTCGTAGTTCTCGTATATTTTCACCCCATTCAACTCCGGTCAACTCCGGTGCCAACAGACCCAATATCTGTGGTCACTGAATGCAACTCCATACCCCCATTATATCCCAAGAGTCTCTTTCAAGCTTTGCCCTTCCCACCATCTGCCTTTCCAGGCCCGGCGGTGAAGTACCATGCAACGACAGCAACCGCTATGATCACCAACGCGATAGATAGCGTAATACTCCACGAAATAACTCGGCACCGGCGCTTCTTCTGACGCTGTCTAACCAGCCAATCGTCCCTGCACCAAACACAGTCAGCATTTGAGTCAAGCTTACTTCGCACCGCCCTGTCATCTCATCTGACACGCTCCCACCATCTGGGGTATGTATGCAACTAACCCATGCTTGTCCATAGTCTCCCCCGTGCTGGCACTTGTCGACCTAGCCCTGCCATTCTCTATATCGGCGGCTCCCTCGGCCTCGTGTATTGCGGCTGAGAAGCGCTTCCAGAATATCGGGTCGGCAATGGCGAGGTTGGGTTGTTCTGAGACGGGGCGTAGGTGAACCTCTTGCGCGAGAGGTGAGGGACGGTGCCCGCGGGGCATCTTGGGGCGAGACATAGAGTGGTGATATCTCAAGTGAGAGTTCGAAGAGACGGCTGTAGAATCCCTTCCCGAGTAGAGTAATGAGTGAGAGTTGCTTCACCAGCGACGGGTAGCTATAACGATCCGCCTATGTGATCTGCGTATGTGCAAGCTGAGGTGGGTTTCCTGCTGCGTCTGGAATGATAGTTCAATTGAAATGAGCGAAATGTCCAGGCACAAATGAGTGAGCGCACTGGACTTGAAATGTGAAGCTGGCGAAAGAATGAAGCCTTCAAATCCTCAAAAAATATGTATCTTCAGCACTTCCCAAAAACAAAACAAACAAACGCAAAAAAAAAACAATATGTCACTGTGCTATTATAACCCACCTATAAACAAACCACCTATACCCTTATCACACCAGCTTTTATCGTGCATACCCGCCCACAAAAATCGCCCTGTTCTGGGCCTCCAGGAACAAATATTGGGTACACAACCATGCCACAACCCATAAAAACTCGTAGCCGTTTGTACGACTTACTGGTATCACAGCATCCACTCGGGGAGTCGAGACTCGATCCGATAAGTGGGAAGCTCTTCCAATGAGCGTGCTGGTGAAAGGGTTGCTAAATGTGGGTTTCGCAGGGGATTAGTGGCCGGCGGTGGGAAGCTGTAGAGGCGCCTAGACTCGCTTAATTTTAACTCATACATGGGACTATATATTGGACGATGATAACGATTGAGTTGGCGTGGAGCAACCAAGGTTGATGGTGCTGTCACCGTGGAAGAGCCTTCTGCGGTAAAGAACCTTCTATAATATATGAGGCTGAACCTGAGAAAGCAGCTACAGTAGACGAGGCCGAACCTAAGAAACCAGCTACAGTATAGTAGAAGCCCACAGCGGAAGAACCTGCAACGATGGAGGAGCAGCTGGAGCCAGGCTTCGCCTGAGAGCAACTAGCCATATATGACCACGCCATTGCGACAGGGCGTCCACTCCCCGCCTCATTTTTTGCTCACCTCGGGTCCAATGCCCGTAAACGCAGCTTGCAGTCCTTCCGCTATGACGGATCGACGTGTACGGAAGCTATGAAGCAAGACTATGTGAGACGCTTAAGGGCGCTCGAGAGCTCTGAGGGGCTGGTGGCTATTAAGGGACTGTTTAAGGTTTTGAGCAACAGGTCCAGAAGTTGTTGCTTTCCAACCAAAAATACTTTACCGAAAGGGGTCTTGCAAGTCTCAATCAATGGGCACCAGGGGGCCGACGAAATCTTAATGTTGCTAAGTGCGCGGAGGCAGCTGCACTGTCAACGACACTGCCGCGGGCGATGGGGGGACGTCGGGTTGCTGAAGAGCCCAATACCAGGGTCGCTTAATCTGACGTTACGCAAAGCAAGGGCTACTCTGAGTACTATAGAACCAATTGAGTTATGTCGAGCCCTCAACGTTTAGAGCTGTCTCCGTAGCAGAACCCGTTACAGATCGAACGTGATATAGTACAGGAGGTAGAGGAGGCCAAACTATGGAAGCAACCGCCACAAGCGCGGCCATAGGGGCTATATTAGCTCAAGTGGAAGCGCGGGATCAGCCTCGCCAGCGACGGACATTCTTGCAATATACCCCACCAGAGGTGCTGCAGCGGCGACGGAGCATCTTGGACTCTATGGCGTCGGAGCTGGCCATGTATGAGGCTGCCATAGCAGCCGGAACGCCTCTCCCAGACTCGATTCCCCTTCCGGCCTATCACCCCGAACAACACCAGTTGTTGGCGAATGGCGGAGAGCATAGGCAGAGGTCCACGATGGACTATGTGGAGTTCTTAAGGGGGGCAGTGCGGCGGGGGAACGAGAATCTAGCAAGACTGCGAGAGCAGAGTAATCGAAGTCTCCAGGGCTTGTTGCTGATGGCTCGGAAGGAACTCGATGTTGCCGACTGTGCGAACGCAGCTGCTCGCTCAAGGACACTACCGCGAGCGATGGGGGAAAGTACAGTGACTGAAGAGCCCGTTACTGGGCTCGATTAATTTGATGTTGTAAGAAAAATTGAGAGCTACTTAAGTACTGTGCTGTACTATAGAAGCAACTGAGTCGACGTGGAGCCATCAGGTTGACCGAGCTGTTGTCGTGAGATAACCTGCTACAATATAGAAAGCTTGTCAAGAGAGATAATCTTTCACATAGGAGCCATGAGTGGAGCTTGAGCAGCGGAGGCGACGAGGCGGATGAAGCCCCGGATGGAATCTGTTATAAGGGAGCTGGACTCATATGATGAGGCTATAGCAGCAGGAACGCCTCTCCCGGTCTCTCGTATACTCCCGTGGCCCATCGACCCCAGACAAAAGAAGCCGTCCTTGTCCCAGAGTACATTGTATGAGGAAATGTCTACAGAGGACTATCTCAGGCAGCTAAGGAAACTAGCGCGGGTGCATAAACGGAGATGGATATGGTTGCAAGAGCATAATTTTCTATATATCCACTGGATCGTGGCGCGGGCCCGGATAGAACTTAATACTGCCGAGTGCGCGGAGGCAGCCGCCCAGTCGAGGACCCTGCCTAGAGCAGCACCTACTCGGAGAGTCAAGACTCGATCCGATATGCGGAAGACGTTCCAATGAGCGTGTCGATGGGAGGCTTGCTCATGTATGTTTCGCTGGAATCGAGTTAGTGGGTGTAGGAGGCTGGATATGGATTCATGGACTCGCTTAATCTGGGCGTCCTGCATCAGGAGGAGTTACTATAGAAGCAATGGAGTCGGCACGGAGCCCTCGAGGTTGGCAGAGGTGTCGCAGTTGGAGAGCTTATTGCCGCAAAAGAACCTGATGCAGTATACGAGACTAAGCTGGGGCAGCCAACCGCGGCAAAGAGCCATGGCGGACGAAGCTGCCCTGTGGGCGAACTTACCTTTGGCGACGAAGAAAATTGCGGGTGCTGACGAGCCAGCTACCGTCGAGGAACATACCGCTGCTGAAGGCGCCGTTGCAACAGAGGTTTGTGAAGTGGAGGAAGAAGTTGCCATGGGCAATGGGGTTGGGAATTGAAGACCGTGCCACAGCAGAGGAGTATAAGGGCGAGGAACCAGCTACGGCTGAAGACCAGTCACTACCGAGGAAATGATACTTGGAATTGTTATCCTTCTGCTATGGAATTTTGGCATACAGATTCGAGAGCGTAGAAGATGTCAGCCTTGTCAGGCACTATGAGAAAGCTTTGGAAAACGTAGCTGATAGGGAATATTAAAATCCATCCCCAATAAGATTCATTCTTCTCATTAAATACTCGATATCGAGCTAGATTCGCCAGAAGCGCTATATAACACATCGCATCCATAAAGCCTCGCGGCAATATCCCGGGTATCCCGCTCATCGCAGCAAATCCCCCCTAAGCGAAGTTACCTAAATCCCATATACCGAAATATCCGACTACGGACAGAGGTTGACACACCAACGCCTATCCCATTGAAAACAATCCCCTCACATAATCGCACACTTCCCCTTCTTCTCCTTCTTACTCGCATAACTCGCCGTCGTAACATCCGTCCACCCGGCACTACTCGCTACGTCGTAATCCTTCTTCTTCTTCCCCTTCTTCTTCATCGTCCCGCGCCACCCCCTCTCCTTCGCCTGCTGCATGTTGATCGCCGCGCTACGCTCTGCGCGGCTGGCGCGGCGCGAGACACCAGCTGCTATGGGCCAGGTGGGATGGTGTGCCGGCGCGTCACCGTTGGAGCTGATGCTGTAGATCGTCTCTAGACGCGTCATGTGTGGACGCAGACCGCCCGGGGAAAATTGCTGTTGGTCGCCATATGGGCTGGGATACCCGACTGGGTAGCCTTGGTCGTGGGACGGAGGCGGGTAGATTGGGGACATGGTTGTTTGCGCATTGTATGCCCCGGTAGCTGCCCTGGGAGGCGGTCCAAAGTCTGTGAAGCTGGTCTGGCCGAATTGTGGCAGGCCGGTGTTCACTTGGTTGGGTGATTCTGGGTACATGTTCTGGTGGACTGGATGCATGACGGGTGGCTGGACGACGGGTAGCTGTTGGAAGGATCCTGAGGCAGCTCTTGGGTAGTTGGATAGTTGCTGGCTGCTTGGTCTTTGGGCGCGACTATTCAGCCTCTCTAGCAATGATGTGCTAGGTAAGTTGACATCCGCAGGAGTTAACTCTGCAGGTGGTGCTGGTACTCCTGAGCCGGCATCTGGAGAGATGCCTGTCTGTGGAGCTGGATCCTGGCTGGGAGGGTAGTGTAGATCCAGTGGGGTTATCGGTGACAGCGTTGGTAGGCTTGTAAACTGCGAGCCTTCGGGCGCCTGAATACTCACGTATTGTACTTGTGACCCATCAGTTGACGCCGTTTGTTCGGGAACAGTTCGCGTTTTCTCTTCGTTGGCGGGTATGGTGTTGCTAGCACTACCAGCATCGCCATCCCAGTTATCCGGTGTCACGCTAATATCCCGGACTGTTGGAATTGGTATAGCGCGACGTGGGATTGGAGACATAGGTTCAACTGAAGGAGTACTCATGACAGGGCTTTCCGGTATAGTCACCACCGGCTGGCCCACAGGTCGACGAGGAATTGTGTTGGATGGCGCTGGCGCTACTGGCACTGCCGCAGGAGGCTCAGGCGTCCTCTGAGGAGAAACATCATACATGTCATCAAAATCATCAGCGTTTGCTGGAGTCTGGAATGGCTGAGGCTCGCGATTTATATCGCTTGATGCACTTATGGCAGACGAAGAGCTGGCAGGTCGGGGTATAGTGACGGCTAAATGAGGTGAAATTGGTGAGGCGAGGGATAAATGAGGTGACGCAGGTGACCCCGAGGATCTACTCATTGGAACATATGTCGTTCTGGATCTGCGTAAACTGGATAAGGGGTTTGACTCCGTCGACGCGCTGCTCCTCTGAGTGCTAGATCGGTGAAGGCTGTGTGGCAATCCTGTTACCCCGACTTGGATTGCATTTCGTAAGTGCTCTGGAAGTGTTGGTATGTCATCTTTGCTATATGGCGGTGGTGGGGGGACCCAATTATCCGCATCACTTTCGTGGGGAACTTCGTTGTGACCATCTGCGGGCCGCATCCGAGGGGGACCTGGTTGTTGCCCAAAACGAGGTGGATGAAGCACCCTATTTATAGCTGCTGCAGTTGCAGCACGTCGCAGTGTTGCCACAGAGCGGGGAGTACCATGCGCATACGGCGCATCAAGTGCTTCTTGGTCGTCTATTGATGTCATAGATGCCGTTTCTGAGGTCTCGTCTGTCGGCGATAATGCCTCCCTCGTAGCAGACAGCCTTCGGAGTCCTGACGTTGGCGGCCCTTCCAACCTCCTTGGTAGAGTAAAAACAGGACCTCTCTCCGGCCGTACTGCTATTGTGGTTGAACGAAGGACTGCTGGATGAGTTCCTCTTGATTGAGCAACAGTTCGCCTGCGAACTATTGCCACCTCTGTCTCCATATCTCGGTGCTCTTCCTCGAGTACTTCCGGCTCTTTCTCGCCCACTTCTATCGTGATTGTTCGCTTTTCGCCGTTCACAATAGAGTAGTCAAAATCCAAGAGTAACAGTCTTCCACCATCCATTGGTGCTATGCCGTCTTCGTTCAAGTCGAACGCATGTCCTTGGGCATAGCCTACACCCCCTGGGGCAGCTGCGACAAGCCGCTCATATGAAGTACCTGGTGAAGAAGTTACCCACTTCAGAGCCACAATTCCGTCGAGACTGCTAACATGCCGCCCTTCAATGAACGAATTTCGAGATCTGTTGGAGAGTTCTTGCCACTTGGGTACCTTGTTGCCGTTTGTATCTTTGGGCGCGACGGTGGTCTCCCGTTGCCCGTTGCCGGAAAGGCTACTTTTGTGGCTGAGAGGCGTTCCAAAGTCAGCCGAGTCAGCTTCTGCTGTTGGTTCAGGAGGCGCATCAAGATTTTCAGGGACACCGTAACACCATATTTCCTTCCCCTGAAACCCTGCAGAAACCAAATCACCTGAGCCAGTTGTTGCGGGCAGAGTGTTGGGAAGTAGTTTTTGAGTCGATGAGGCATCTGCTACAGGTCCAGTAAAATAGGTCGTTCCATTGCGAAGATCGTCGATACGGACAGCTCGGAAAGTTTCAAAGGCTCGGTCATAAGTGAATGTCCAGTTTGCCCCACAGTCCGCGGCGCTTGGTAGAAGGACCGCATGGCTACAGTCTCGACTGCTATTAGGGAAAAGGATTGACGTTGCCCAAAGCTGGCCAATGCTGTCCTCTGGTGAATATTCGCCGGGGTTGAAGTATGGCGCTGTCAATATGACAGTGTTGGGGTTTTTAGAATGTATAGTGGTGCCCATCAGTTGCATGCCATCTCTGGAGAATGACAAAGAATCCGCTGCGTCAGATTTGACACCCCTTTTATCCGTGGCTAAGGCGGCAGCTGACAGAGAGTACACCTCGATGCCCCCATCATACGCTGCTGCCAGCACCGAACCGCCGGGGGATAGTGAAATTGTGCGAGGATGGTGATCCAGGGCAATTGCTCGAATGTGTTTTGGCTTCCCGTTTCTTAGGTCGTAGAGGTCAACCTGATGATCTATTGATAATACAGCCAGCAGAGTGCCATCGTCGAGTATTGTTATTGATGCAGGTCGTCGCAGGATCTTCAGCTCGCGTTCAACTGTGACATCCAATCCCACAAAACGAAGAACATGAATCCTCGATGTGCTATATGCGAGAACATATTGTCCATTGGCGGAGAATGCGAAGTGGAACGCTTCACCTCCGGGTAAAGCGGCAGAAGAGCTTATAGACGTCGACACCAGCTTGATTATCGTTTCTTGTGGGCGTAAATATGCCTCGTAGAGGTTGCGCTTGACCTCATGTGCGAATGCTTTTCGGAGTTTCGGAAGCTCGTCGTCGCCTACTGGCAATGCGATAGTTCGATGGCTTGTCGCATAAGATCGGCATCGAGACAGCTGCTGGGCATAGAGTTGCGCTTGTTGCGATACCCTGCGCCAATTCCGATTAAGCAGAACAAGAGATGCAAAGGAGCTGGGGTCGCATGTCGAGAGGATGCTGGGACATCGTCAGTAAGATAACAATGGAAGCGTAGCAGACATACAGTTCTATGATCTCATCCGGGAGGCTCGCGAAAGCGCATGCGGCGTGCTTGGCGTCCTTGGAGTCCACAATGTCCGTCAACGCCGCTGTTGTAGAATTATCCATCTTCATAACAACGGCTGTATCGGCGCATCCACAATTTGCATCATCGGCTATGCCATTAGAAGTTGTCGCGGGCATGGAATAGTCGTGAGTAGGCGCAAAAAGATGCGAAAGTCAGTCAGCCCTGACGCGGACTGATTCTATAGATAGTTAGGATTCAACCCCCTGCCAACTAATATCGCGTTTGATGTCTGGGCTAAGTGGTGGGGGAGCAAGGAGTACGTACGGAGTGTGTACTCAATGTAGACGACAGGATAGTCGCGCCCTGTACTCACAGTAGCACGGGGATCCTCGTTGGTTGTCAGATCTCAATTGTTGGAAAACGGACTACTACAGTAATCCCCCCTCCCCTGGCTGCAGCATTGGTCCGGAGATGCAACCTTGGCGAACTGCGTGGTTCAATGAATTCACGTCTGCTGGTCTCTCGTATTTCCAACTGACTCCAATTCTTCCAAATTGCTCAATTTAGTCAGGATATAGCACGTTAGTTGTGTAGAGCTTCCTATTTGTTTGTAGAGTACAGTTTGCTCAGTAAACAGCAACACAACCTTTCAGGGTCCATCTTGAATCTATTACTATATTTAAACCAACGCGTCACCAATGAGCATCTGTCCAAACCGCGCGGGTACAATCCCCTACTGGTTATCATATCACGTGATTATGCTTATCAATGAAGCTAGGGCTGTTCTAGTGGCAAAGCTAACTTGATCAACCCCTCGTAGGCGCCAAGCAGAGACTACTGGACTACAAATTGTCGTCAACCGATTCTCCACCCTTTTCCTTTCCCTTCCCTTCTCTCTTTTCAACGAATTTACATGGGAATAGGACGACTGAATCAGGTCCTATTTTGCTATCTAGATCATGAGCCACATGAGAGACACTGATTTTGATCAGCTCATGAAAACACTGACAGAGAACTTCAATGTTCTGGCTGACGAAGTTCAACTGTTGAGCGATAGGAAGACTGTTCTCGAACACAAGCTACGTTTTGCCCACGAACAGGTATGCACAATCCATCATTTCTTTGTTCTTTCCCCCCCAACCACACTATGTGATGAGACACTTTAGCTCTAGATCTGGAGTCGCTTCTGGTGACAACGACCGACAAAAACCAATCATGTTTCCTGAATACCGTTCCTTCATCACTATGAATACGTTTATACATTTGCAAAGACAGCCCGCTGACAATCGTCTTTATAGTATCAAGTGTTAGCACTCAAGTACGCGCCGTCTGATGATCCAGATATCTCGAGCACTCTAGCTAAGCTGCAGCTTCCCGCGGACATCCGAGTGAATGTAGAGGACCGGACGTCACAGGTGCCGCTACCTCCCCGGAGGTCCGGAAACTCCAAGCAGCAGACGGCTGAGGCTATAAGAGATGGGCGAAAGGCGTCACAGCTCATAGCTTCCCTTAAGGGCTGGAATAGATCTGCCGTTAGTAATCGCAGTGCCTCAATAGCTACGAGCAGTAACAATAGGAACTCCCGCGGGGGAACCTCCTTTACAACATTCCATGAACAAGACTTCACAGTACCGGGCAAAAAAAGCCAACTGATGTGCCCATTCTCTCAAAAATCCAATAAGCCCGCTCCGAACCAAGACTCATCGAGCCAAGTATCAGCGATGGAGACCGCTGAGGAAACCACTGCCGTCCCCGATACGGAAGACAACACCCCCCATCACTCAGCAGATCCCATATGCGCAGCACTATATGCCGAAACACATGTCTCCGCGCCTCCATCGGCCGCCGGCTCCAACAAATGCCCCATACGTTTCCTAGACCAGCATTCTCCCGAAGAGGTCGCAAGATATTTTGAGACCCACAAGCATGAAATCCCACGAAGCCATGAAGTATGCGTGAAGCGGTATACGAGGAATGAGGAAGGAGCTAGGAAGTTGGATGCGAAATATGGTAGCATGGTGAGCATGCTGCAGCAACTGGGCCAGAAGCACCAGCCGATGTTACCTGTGCAAGACGAAATTGAGGAATACGAAGTGGATAAGAGATCCAACGGACGAGTCGAGAGCTGGGCGAAGGCTGTTAGTGAAGAAGGCGTCGATCCTGCCGAAGCAACAACAGACGTCCCTACCGAGCCCGAAGAAGAGCGCGAAGGGCGGTATGACAGGCAAATGAATGAGGTCAGGGTTGGCGAGTCGCCGAGCCGTCCATGGGGTATTTCAGTACCATACGACTTCCCGCCTGCTCCTCACTACACCGAGAACGATTTACAAGCCTCCCCATCCGCCCCCGCCATTACCCGTGACTTCGAAGGCCAGCCGCCCGTGAGCCGCTGCCCATTCGGCCACGGCGCAAAAGCGGAAGAAGTAACAGAAGAACCTCCATCCTCTGACCGAGAGGATATCCCTCAGGCCAGGCCAGCGGGACAATGCCCATTCAGCCAGAACATGGACCCGAACGCACCGCTTCCCAAAGACCACCCCACTGTAACACCGCAAGACTCTGGCTTCGGCGCAACATACGAGAGCCAGCCGCAGCCGGAACCTGCATCGCAGCCAGCATTCATAGCAAAGCCCGAGGCTGCCACGACGACGGGGAATAATGGTGGACCGCAGATGCTGTTCACGGGCCCTGTGTTCATCGGATACCCTGTTGAGCAGGCGATGGCGTTGATGCAGCAGTGGCAAGCTGGAGCCAACCAACCGAGATGATAAGAGCAACGAGGTGGACGTTGCGTTGATTTTTTTTTGATAGCGATTAGCATTCGATTTTTACGATATCAGATTGTCGCATGGGTTTTCAGCGTTGATTCTTACGGAGGCTTCTGTGGGAAGAAGGCCGGCGCACTTATTTAGCTGTTTAGCTTAGCTTTTAATGTACACTTCTGTCAGAAACATAATATTTAAACTTGTCTATTCGTAGCTGTACAGCAGAAATATATGTATTCTATTCCGTTTTATCTCTTCATCTTCGCTGTCATAATAATGCCGTACAAAATCAGAACCCGCTTCTATCGATCTTTTGCCAGGTGATGCTATATCCAAATCAACGCCAACCCCAAACACCACTTCAAGCCCCAATCTACACCCCCATATCTCTACACCTCTTCTTCCCTTCTAACAACCCACTCTCACCTCCCCCCCTCCGTCTCAACCCTCCCCTCCTCATCCGTCCAATCATCCCTATACCCCGCGTCATCATTATCCCACAAACTAATATCATCCTCCTCAAACCCCACCGGATCCGCCAACCCAACCCTCTCCTCCTCATCCCCATCCCACGTCCCCTCCTCCCCCCCAATCGCCTCCGCCTCCAACTCCCTCGCCCTCGCCATCGTGCGCCTATAAATCACAAACCCCAGCACCGCGCCTAGGATCCCAAAAACCGCCATGGAAACATAATTCACAATCTTCGTCGTGCGATCCATCTCGCTGCCCGCCTCAGCAATAGCAGCCAGCCTACTCCCCGCAAAAACATGAATAAGCAGTTTCGGCGTCGCCATCGCGGTCGCGGCGGTGAACGCAAGCGGGTGAACGGTGGGGAGCGTGGACATGGCGCCGTTGGAGATGCTGTAGGGGAGGGGACAGAAGCGGATCATCACGAGGACTTTGATGCCGTCGTGCTTGAGGATTGAGGCGAAGGCTTCGAAACGCTTGTCTTCGCCGACGAGACGGTGGACGTATTTGGAGAGGATGGTCCGGCTGGCGAGGAAGGAGCAGTAGGACCCTATTACGTTGGCGCTGGCGCAGATGAACCACCCTTTCATGCCGTAGACGAAGCCGGCGATGGTGAGGGCGGTTGTGTAGCCGATCACGGGCGGGAAGGCGGTGATGAAGATGAGGGCGAAGCTGATGAGCCAGCCCCCCGGTAGGGCGCGCCATTTCACGGCGACGGGGGCGAGAGCGGCGAAGAGCGACTCGGAGTAGACGATGAAGAGGATGCCGATTGTGGAGAAGAAGATGTAGGCGCCAACGAAGAGGATGCGTTGGGTGAGTGTTGCCGAGGCCCAGAGCGCGAGGGCTTTATCCTGCAGGATCTTGGCTTTGAGGAGGTAGGAGGCGGCTGTGGAGGGGGTGGAGAGGGAGGGGCGCCGGCGGTGGGAGGCGGAGGATCGGAGGCGGCGGGAGAAGGAGGGGCGGGGGGGGGCGTCGGGGAGGGGGGAGACGAGGGGGGAGAGAGGGGGGGAGGGCGAGGAGGGGGGGAGGAGGTGGTGCGAGGCGGTGGTGTCGTCTTTGAATGACATGGTTGAGAGGCGCGCCGGATGGGCCGGGTTGGTGGAGAGTGTTCTTGTATGTGTTGTCTGTGGTATTACAAGATCATTGAAGAAGTCGACGCGTTTATTCCCTTCGTCTCGATGCGATTCCCAGCGTTCGTCGCGCACGGAAACAGCGTGGGGTTGCTTGGGTTTTCGACAATTCTCGACGACGACGACGGGGCGACAGCGAAAAAGGTTGATGCGTGCGCGTAGGCGGCTAAGAAGAAAGGGGATTCGAGAGGGACCGTGGAGGCCTGATTAGGGATGCATGTCTTAGAAAGTCGTCGGTGATTGGCGTTCCCTGTGTGTTCGTGTTCACTTCCACTTTTGGAGCTGATTGTTGGAGGAGGAGGGAGGGAGAGGCGGACTGGAGTGAGTTACGAGGCCTGTGGATTGGGTGCTGAGGCTGCTGAGGCTGACATGAGACGTCATGGATCCCTCCCTCCCTTTCGTGTCAAATGCTTCGGGAGGACGATATCCCGTGTACCGTTCGTGGGGAGTTTGTTAGTAAGTAATAGTAGGCCGTAGGGAGTGCTCGATCAGCCCACGTCTCTTGGCTGGCGTGCTTGTTATTCTATTTCTATTTCTATCACTTATCGCCTTGCGTACAGTATTTGTGATATGGTGTTCCTCCGAGTGAGTCCCTCTAGATCCTATAGAGTAGAGTCAACAGTAGTACTGGAATCGCGCCGTAAAGGACAAGTATCGCATATTCCAGGCCTTTCCCTAGACCACTGCCTTCTCATAAACTAATAATGCCTATGTTGAAACTATACTCCTTTGTTCTAATTGTCCTCTTCATCCCCTTTGTCCCCTCTGTCCATCGCATCACCACAGTAAACACATACGTGGGGTTTATGGGGTGGTGGGTGGTGCCAAAACGTGCAGGTACAGATGGTGAGAGAGTACCTGGTGTCTGCGGCTAAAATAGCGCTACAAAGATGTACTGCCACTCCACTCTACTACTAAACTTACTACTAAACTGTGGTGAGCTGAGTCCCATCAACATCTGAGATCACCCCCATCCCCAAACCCCCCTCCCCTCCTCCTCACCCCCCAATCCAATATCGATCCGCAAGGCTCTCTTTGTCCCACTTCCCCTACGCCTCACCTTCTATCCCACCGATAAACAACAACCCCCACCCACCAACCTCACCTCTTCTTTACCCCAAGGTCTTCTCGTTCGTGCTTTTGCGCCTGCTTGTCGCCCTCCCTCAACCTCACTGCCGGAGGTTCGATCTAATCCCCGAAACACCCCAACGAACTAGTCCGCAGCTCAGCTCAGCTCATCCCAGCCCCAGCATCGTTCGCGCTACCCCCCTCGGCCGTCCCGCAGACCGTCTATCGACCTATCTATATCGCCTACCAACAGTCCATGTCGACAATGTGACGAGATATCTGGCATCTGACATCTTCATTATAGTGTCACTGCTGCAGCCGTCGCGTCACAGAGCCTATTGTACTTGGTTCCTTCTCCGGGTAACGATCGTCGTCACTTCCAACATCAGACTCTACGCAGCTACCCACCCGGGCATCGTGAACCTCCTACCTTGGTTGGCACCACCGCTTCTCACAGCTTGCCTCTCACTCAGAGGCCGTTGACGGCCCTATTAATACTCACCGCCTCCACCTCGTTTTAATTTCCAGCTTGAAGACCGACCCGGCACCATGGTGTCCGAAGAGACCTACGAACTCTGCCTACCCATCCTCCGGGACTCAACTATCGAAGACGAAGACAAGACAGATAAGCTCGAGGAGCTTCTAAAGAAAGAGACGAGCCTCACTGGCAGCACCCTTGAAAATGCGATCCTAGATATCCTCTGGCGCCACCGCGAGAGCTCAACAAATACTTCCTCCCCTCCTTTAATGCGCCATACCGTCCTGAGACGGGCATCACCCGCCTCATGGCAAATACCCCGGCCAAATGGACCCTCCGCGAACTCCTCGCCCCGTCTTGGGGTCAGCCCGCTGGTGCCCCCGGGTTTCGTGCCTTCGTCGTACCGAAACAAAACATCGAGCATCAACTCGCCCTTCACCTCACCGCGCCCATCTCCAAGGCTGAACTTTTCCAGCCCTGTGATACCTCATAGTCCTAGCCTCAATGCATACGAGTTCCCGACAGATACGGGCCCCACACAAGATATATATGGTGACCTTGGAAGCGATAATGTCGATTGGATTGTCAACGACGATGCTGTTGCTGCTGCTGCATCCGCGAATGCAAACGGTGGCCATAGCGGACTCAATGCTGCTGCGGCCGAGTTTGTACAGCCTCCACAGCAGACAGATATGAGCCCTATGGATATGCTTCGCTCAGTTCTTGGCCCAACCAAGTCGGACGAGGAGCTCAAAGTAGCGTTAGCGATGCATGGCTACGATCTCAGCGCAGCAATCGCCGCGCTTATGGAAGGACAGCCTACCGATGGCGTCAACCAACAGAACCAGGCGAATGAAATCAAAGCCATATTGATTGGCAAGTCTATGACACCAGACCTCGCGAGACCGGTCACTCCTGCAGGCCAGCAGCGAAACGGTGTCGTTTGTAGGTTCTTTCTCTCGACTGGGTCGTGTCTCCGCGCGGACTGCCGGTTTAGCCACGACCTGAGTAACCATATCTGCAAGTAAGTTAGCCCTTGAAAATATCCTGGTTTTAATACTGACACTCCTGAAGGTACTGGGTGATGGGCAACTGTCTCGCCGGCGAAACATGCATATTTTCTCATGACCCATCCCATTTCATGAACCGCCTTGCCCTAGACGGCAGCTGCACGCCACCGCTGCAAAATGCGCAGCCAAATATACAATTTCAGGACCCTAATAGCTTCCCATCGCTTCAACCCCCAACGCCAGATCAGTGGGGAAATTCTTATCAAACAGCAGCTTTTAACTACCCAAATATGGGCTTCACGCCCCCCACTGGTTTCAAGGCCCTCCAAGGCTACGCAAGCGACGGCTCAAACAACAACAGATCTCGACCAACAAGCCGCGCCAGAGACACCCCCGCAGCACCAGCATTAGACGATAACGAAGCCTTCCCCTCCCTTGGCGCAGTCTCCACACGCGGAGGCAAAAAGCACCACGGCAAGCGAAGCAACCACGCCAAAGAGCCACCCGTCCCCAGCTCCCTCGCCGAAGTCGTCAAGATGTCACCCTCGCCCGGCCCGGGCGCCCTGCGCCAGGAAATCAAGAAGCTCGGCCGCAACGGCAGCTCCTCCAGCATGCGCAATGGCGAGAACAGCGCCGCGGCCCAGGCGATCCCGAGTCCGCAGCATGTGCCGTGGCTCGAGACGGGCGAGAAGGCGAATAAGGCGTACCTCAAGGCCAGGTCGGATGCTATTAAGCACGGTGGCTTGAGGAATAAGTTTTTGCAGAGGTAAGCCGCCCCATCCCCCCTGTGAGGAAAATGAAATCAGTTTTACTAACACCCCCCATAGTGCCGCACAAGCATGGAACCGCAACGACGCCCGCGCCGCCAAAGCCCTCAGCCTGCGCGGCCAATCCGAAAACGACCTCATGCGCAAAGCGCACCGCGAAGCAGCCCGCGAGCTCTACGAATCCCGCAACAAGCCCTCCGCCACCTCCACCTCTTCCTCCTCCACCGCAGAAGTCTACGTCGACCTGCACGGCCTGCACCCCGAAGAAGCGGTCGATTACCTGGAGAAGGTGCTCGTTGAGCATGCCGCGAGCGCGAGGCCCGTGTATGCGATCACGGGCACGGGGCACCATAGCAAGAATGGGAAGGATAAGGTTGGGAAGGCTATCAGGGGGTTTCTGGGCGAGTGGAGGTATGCGTATAGAGAGTTTTCGGTGCCGGGGGATCGGAATAATGTTGGGGGGATTTTGGGGATTGATGCGAGGAGCTTTGAGAGGAGGGAGGGTGTTGCTGGTGTTGCTGGTGTTGGTGGGGTGGAGGCGGCGGCGGGGAAGGAGAATGCCAATGCGAATGGAAATGGAAATGGGAATGTGGAGAAGGAAACGCCGAAGGTGCAACAGAAACCGGAGGATTTGCTGGCGCAGGGGCATGAGATTGGGGATGGGAAGGTGAGGATGTTGGTTAGGGAGCCGCCGAAGGGTCCGGCTGCTAGTAGGGCCCGGTGATGGGCTTGATGCTCGGAGGGGTTGAGGGGAGATCAAGAAGAATCAAATCAGTTAAAACTAATGTGTTTGTGAGGGAATGTGTGGTTGTTTTGACGTGACATGTTTTGATGCGCTTGGTTCTGTCGTGTTATGGGTGGATGAGAGGGTGTGTGATGAATCTTCCGACGTGATCTGATGAGATGCATGTTTCTAGGATACAATATACTTACTGTATTTACATGAACCGCACGAACAGATTGATGCCACCTGGTAGTCGCATACTGATATATCAATAAATCAAAACTTGGCTTTGGTAGGGAGAAGCCAGTTGTGTCGTGCCGACTTATTGTTACTATGGGGAGGCATAACCTCCTCACCAACTCCACGAATAGAGGCAGAGAATATCCAAGAGTCAGCGTGCAAAGAATACCAATGTGATAAAATCCCTAGTGGCATGGCATATAAGATTCTGGCGTACAAAGAAGACATCCGTATGGCGGTCACAACAGATCTGTTCAATCACCAGGCAGAACAGATTGATGCTTTATTGGCAATTGTCCAAGAGCAAATGAACGAGATCAAGAGGCAGAGAGTGGCTCGACAGGAGGAGGGTTCGGGATCGTGGATGATGTTCTTGTTGCTGGCGCTCTTGTTGCTGTCGATACTCCTTGCTGTCAATACCACTTTTTGCTGTCGATACCCCCCTCGCCACCATCACCCCTCTTACCAGCGCTCCCCACACCATATATTGTTATAATATCGCAGACATACCCGCAATGGACATGGTAGCATAGTAATTTTAAAGTGCTTTATGTTCGCCACACAGGTTCTTCATTTGTCGCTCGAATATTTTGTTTATTAATTCCAGATCTGTAACTGCCTCGGTATCATATTTATCTTCATTAGCTTCATCCTCTCTTTTGCCCATAGTGCATATTGGTTCACGATGCTGTTTGGGCGCTGCATATTGTTTGTGCTCTTTCGGTATCATGGCCGAAGAAACATTTATTCATACCCTCGTCACACTCTTGTCTCTCCTTCCAGGGCAACATTGCAGACAGTTTGTTCCATATATCGTAAAAGTGGGTATGTGGGATCTCGCGATAGATATTCAGACAATATGAGAGGGAGCAAGGCATACATATGCTATTACCGGTGATATTCCAGTCACACATTACAGATTCACAAAATATGGCCTCCTGGTATATCTAATCCTCTATGTGAGCAGTGTGGGCAAGACCGGGGCAGAATACATACTTCTCCATTATCTCCCCACATGCGTTTCTGCTTGTGGGATGCATGGAATAAGATGGTGGCAGAGTTGGGGGAAGGGGGGGGGGGGGTTTCGTATTCAACTCAGCACTAGATAAGCTTCTTTCTTGTGCATCCAGGTGTATTATACGAGTCATCATACTGCGAAAGACACCAGGATGCGAACTTCCGCAGCTCAACAACAAATTATCGGATTGGTTACACGTCCGATATGTACTCTATTATGCAGCGAGACTATCTCGGGGGGTACTAGGAAAAGGCTTGATAGGAACAGGGGGTGATAGGAAAAGGGGTGACAAGAAAAGGGGTGACAGAAAAGGGGTGACAGGAAAAGGGGTCACAAGAAAAGGGGTGACAAGAACAGGAGCGACAGCAACAGGAGCAATAGCAACAAGATCATAACCATCCATTCGTCTTCGGCAACCCGCTTTCTGCGAATGCGCTCCCTCTCCTTCTTGGTAGCAAGCTTGAACTCATCCGAGACTCGCTTTGCCACAACCGTGATCTTGTCGTGTGCAGTTTGAGGATCTGGTGTGTGGTTGTAGCAAGTCTCTCGTGTAGCTATAGCTCGTTGGAGAAGAGGCAGGCGAGTTTTTCCTCACTCTCGAATCGTGCTTTTAAGACAGGTTGATATTCAGAGATGGGTGTACTCTTGAGCGAAATCATTCTTTAGTTGTCTTTGTCCAGCAAGCTAGGACTTTCTGAGGCTCTTTACGGTGTATACATGTCATCCATATACCGACTAGGCGGCGAAGTTTCTCCACGCAAATACATTTTGAGGACAGGACGTGATACGGTAGACACCAGAAAACAGGAAGTATCGTGGGTTTATAATGAAGTCCCCCTCCCTCCCCCTCCCCCCCCCCTCCAGGAAGTAAAAGACGACAAGTCCCCGCAAAAACTATTCTACCAGCATGCCAACATACCCGTATCTCGTCTCGAAGTCGCTGTGCAGACACCAGTCACCGCGGTGTCGTCTTGGTGTTAAAGCACGTCTGCACCACCACTGGGTCAGAAATCCGTAGTCGAGATACACATATATAGTTGGCCTGCTGCTGCCAGAGATATTGCTTCTTGACCATGCATCAAAGGAGATCAATGCCTCTCTTATGGCGTGTGTGAGTTGCGGCTGGGGGGGGTGTGTTGATAGGTAGGTTGTGATTGCGCTAGGATGGTGGTGATATGGGGAGGGCGGGCATGGGTGAAAGGGGTGACAGCAATAGGGGGTGACGGCAACAAGGGTGGGCGACAGCAACAGGGGTGACGACAGCAGCAGGAGCAACGGCAGCAACAGCACCAATATCAACAATCCCGCGCCACCACCACCCGCCGTCCAAACATGAATCGTAGCCCCCCCACGCGAAGTGGGATCGGACAGGACAGTATACGTTTTTATATCAACCTCCCTCTCAACCCAAACAAACTACGCCCTCGTAATTCCATAGCTAAAAATGGCAAAAAAAAAAGGCAAAAACATACAACAGTGGGTATTCGCTGGTGGTCACCCACCCAACTACTAATCCACCGATCTCAAGCTTGTGTATGGCAGAGCGGACGGGATGCCCAATTCTCTTGAGTCTATGGTCGTATGTGACAGTTGTTCGCAACGTAGAGTATATATAACCCCATACTGCATACAATAGGTTGGCTAAACCGGCGGCCGTCTAGGATTTTGTGTCTCGAGGTTGTGGCATCACGGCTACAAGTTGAGTCACCTAGATCTCTCTAGTTCTGCGATCTTCGACTTGAGAGTAATCTCCTGTTGGTCGCTCTTGAACTGTGTGCCGTTATAATGGTTCCCGCGTTATGTAGTCTCCACCTATGATCTGTGCGGCTAGTAAAGCTAATAGGAGAATGAGCTCGCCGGTATAGCACCGTCTCTGAGATATGGAAAAAAGGCGAGAGGGCCGAGGAAGGAACATGAATGACCGGGGGGAGGGGTTCTTATTCGACTCAGCGCGAGATAAACTTCTCATTCACACAGAATCGATCCGCTGGATGGTAAAAAAAACCTGTGCAGGGGCTATAAAAAGACAGACTTGGACGCGTATCGGATTGGACTACTCATCCGATATTTGATCTACTAGGCGCCCACTTTTGACATGGGGGTTGGTAGTGGAAGGGGTGATAGCGCAGCAGAGATAGGAATGGGAGCGATGGAAATTCGAGAGATGGGGGTAGTAGTGACAGCAGCAGGACGAACGACGGCATCAGGAATGAGCAACAGCAACAGGAGCAACGACATCAACAGCACCACCCTCGACAATCCCCCCTCCCCCCTCCCCCCCCAACCACCCTCCAAACCCAAATCGTAACCCCCCCCTGAAATGCTGATCTGTTTTGGGTTGACCGACTTGCCGCTCCCACCTCCTTTTCCAGCACAGTATGTGTCGAGTGGGCTCTAACGATGATCTCTCCAGACTCAAGGGCATCTTTGATCCAGGCAGAGTAAATGGCCATTGCTGGCACATCTGCAGGGGTGTTACCAGAGGACTCAATAACCTCCTTTACTAACCAGCGAGGTGGCATGGATCGGCACCAGCCATCGTACTTTCCACACCACCGCCTCCCCCGTCTTCTCTAACTATATATACACCCCTAACCGCATCCAACCGCCAGACAACAACCTCGACGAGTAGCAATCCAATCTCCACACTACATACTCCCGAGAAGACGCCGCGCGAAGCAGTGTATATGTTCCTTCTCCGGAGGCTATACCTATAGGCAGTCAGTAGAATAGTCGAAGTTACATTAGTAGTTAACGGTATACGTACCACAGCTCTCGACCTTTCCGTCTATTCTATAATCGGGTCGTTCCTTCCTTCCTTTTTTACTCAGGTCGTTCGTTCCTTCCTCAGTCAGTTAATACGTCGTTCCTTCCTCCCCCCCCCTTTTTTTTACAAGGTCGTTCCTTCCCTCTGAAAGCCCCTCGTTCTTTCCTCAGTTGAGGGGGTCGTTCCTTCCCTTTCCTAGTTAATGTGGTTCTGGTTGCTCCTTCCTTCTTTCTCGAGTCGGAATAGCGTCTGGTTCGAAAGATGTGTATGTGGTGCACACTTAGGGATGGCTGTTGGGGCGGTTATGGTGGGGGAAAGAGGGGTGGAAATGAGAGGGGAGGGGAGGGCAGGATTGTAGGATCAGTCGGTCACAGTAACCATATAACTCCATCACATTTCAGTAGCACGTTTGCATACACATACAATCACCTTGCTCACCACAGCCATCCCACCCCTCACTCACCCTCACCACACCACCGAACATCACTCGTTTTTCAAGCTTCAAACAGTATCAGGTTGACGATCTACATCACACCATCACCAGTCCAAGCAAGAAAAACACTGCAAAAACACGCAAAGAGAGTAAACAGCAAATAAGCAAAAAACAAAAACGAAGAAAGCATTAAATTAGAATCGAATTGTGTAGTAGTGTTTTAGAAAGAATCATCATTTCATGTAACTGCTATGAACTAGTTTGTGTTGTTTGTGTGCAGGGACATCTTATTATGTACGTGTTTGTGTTCAGCAATTGTCTCAACAAATAAGAAGACTTGGGCTGGGGCTGGGCTGTTATTGGAAAATCGAACTGGTAGCGCGAATGGTGGAATTATTGGTACAAGAAACTAGAGAGAGTAAATCTAGTAGATCTTGTAGGTGGCGGTGCCGGTGACGAGAACCTGGTGGTTGTGTTAGAAAACCGGTTTTCTTGGAGTGATATGAAGATGGTGAGGGGGGGAATCAAGACTTACAGTGCAACCACTTGGGTCAGCAACACCATTGTTATAGAACTGGCCATCAATGTACGCGCACTTTCCGCTAACATCACCCACAATCTCCAAGTTGAAGTTGAGCTTTCCATCAGGGTTGGTAGGCTTGTTCTGGAAGATCGAGATGTACGTCTCGCCAGTAGGTCCCTTTCCGACACCCAAGTTAACGGGAGCCCAGTTACCCATGTTCGAGCCGGCCTCGTTCCAGCGGCACGCATCCTTGAGAGGGGATCCAGCGGGGTTGATGTAGTACTGGGCCGAGGTGGCGGCGTTGCCCCATCTGTAGTACTTGTTGGCGTCGGGGCAGGTGAGCTCGTACTCCTGGCCGGGCTGGGTGTCGAGAGCGACGGTCTCAGACTCGGTACCGGGGTAGTCGGTACGGCAGATGGGGACGTTGCGGCCGATGGTGTTCTTAACCTTAACCTCGCCAGTTCCCTTGATGCAGAGAGTCTTGGACAGAGTGGGGTTGGTGAGCTCGAGCTTGCCCTGGGCGTTACAGTAGAGACCGCCGATGGACTGGCCGGTTGCGCCCTGGGAAGAGGGCCACTGGGACTTCTGGTATCCGGGTGGGCAGGCGTACGAGCAGAAGGAGTTCTTGATGCAGTTGTCGCCACCGATACCGGTGTTGATCAGGTGGATCGCGGCATCACCAGGGCTGAAGCTGGGGGTCATCTGGAGACCGGTCCAGCCGCCGAGGTTGAGCCACTCGGCAGCGACGGGGCCGTAGGCGGAGGGGAACTGGTCGCAGTCGATGGTTCCGCTGGGGAAGTCGGCGTCAAGGCCGGTGGCACCGGAACCACCTCCCGAAGAAGGAGCCGGGGTCGGCACGACGGGGGCGGCGCTCGTGGTTGGTGGCGGAGGTGGTGGCGCAACGCTGGTGGTCGATGGAGCCGCTGGGGTGGTGGGCTTCTTCTGCTCCAAGAACTCACCGGCGGCGACGGCAGCCTTGGTGGGAACAGGGGCAGCAGAGGTGGTGTCGTCGAGGAGGATGTAGATTCCGTCCTTGACACCCTGCTCGACCTTGGCGGCGTTGAGCTCCTTGCCGTTCATCTCGTACTTGGTCACGACGGCGTCCTCAACGACGGTTGCGTCGGCGCGCTTGGCGACTGCGGAGCCGCGGACGTGGGGAGCATGGCGATGCACGTGGCGGTGGGAAGCCGCGGCCACGGCAGAGGCGCCGACGAGGGCGATGGTGATGAGCTTCATTGTGAAGGGTTCGTGTAGTTCTTTGGTCTGGACGCGAAGGAGGAGTTGTCAGTTTCTAGTTGTATGGAGGCGCTTTGTTCGCAATTGAGAATGTTTGCGCGTTGGAAAACAATCCAGCGCGATTGATGCGTGGAATTGAATCATATTCAATCTGTTGAAGGAGAGGGGAGAGGGTCTACTCACATTGGGTTGATCGGATTGATAACAGACAGCTGTGTGCTGTTGTTGATCCCGGGTTTCAAAGGTGAAGTTGACGACGACGAAAGGTTGAAGGTAAAGTGAATTTCCTGATCAAAGAGTGTATTCACCGACAGCGACCTTCCAAAGGAGTGTGATTGAGAGTCTTGACTCTCAGTTGGGTGGAAATAGAACGGTGAAGTGAGGAAGTTGGTAGAAGGTGTGGAGAGGACAAGAACGAAATGAGGGCGGCAAGTAGAGTAGTAGTGTGTAAAGTGACCGTAAAGTGACCGGTTAGGAAGAAGAGTGGGGACCGCAGATTGAGGAAACCAGGGGGGGGAACAGAAAAGGAACGTGTGTCTGGTTGAGGGAGGGAAGAGGAAAGGGGGGTGTACGGAGTAAGAGATTACTTGTTTACTATGGAATGGACTGGTGTTTATGGGAGAGGTAGTGAGAGGTAGAGTTGTTTGGGGGGGGAGGGGGGTGTGGATCGTAAAATGAGAAAAAGCCGGAGTAAATTGGTGTAAATTGGTGTTAATTACCAGTAAACGCGTGCCGGGCGTGCGATCAACGCACAAGACACGGGGTCTGGCCAAACAGTTACCATCAGGGGGGGTGGCGCTAACGCTCCCCGTACCCCGTGCTGTCCACATCTGTAGTGAGCGCGTGCTAAAGATGCTAAAGGTGCGAAGGGGGAAAGCAAGCGAACGGGAAGCTAGACCCGAATAAGGGAGTTACTACGCGTTAGCGAGATTTGAGGCGAACCCACAGGCAGGAACACAGCAGCCATCAGGGCGTATTTCAGGTCCTGCGACGCGCTGATTGGCTGATGGGAGGGTTGCATTGATGGAAATGAGCAGGCGGTACGGGATGTGAGGTGAGTCCCATGTGAGGTAATACGCCAGTTTGGCATAAGTGACCTTTACAGAAGTGGTTTATAGGCTTGGGTTAGCCTTGGGTTAGCCTTGGTTAGTCTTGGTATATGCGCACTTTGCGCACTTTGAGCACTTTACTCTGGTGACACTACGGGATAGTTTGCATGCGCTTTGTTGTCTACTCTCGCCTCTTAAATGGTGGTGATTGGGATCAGCACCAACCAAGCTTTCGCGTCATTTTCACGGTTCCACTCCCTTTGTCCAGATACAGTTCTCATCTGCCGCGCTGCACACAAACTTAATCGGAGATGTGCTGAGGAGAGAGCAGAGGTGCACAGGAGCGCACGCTTTGGGAAATGCACTACTGGTGAAGGTGAAGGTGTTTGTTGCTCGGCAGCCGATCGGGACGATCTGGTGGTCTGGACAATTGGGTGTCTGAGGGATGTGTGTGTGTCTGAAGCTCAGGAGGTGGTGTTGTTTTTTATGACATGTGGTTTTTGGATGGTGGTGAGTATGTCTGGTAGTGGAGATGAGGGATGGGATGGGATATTAGGGATGAATCAGAGTTGACAGCAGAGTTGACAGCAGAGTTGGCAGCATAGCTGGCAGCGACGACGCGACAACTCACCGCACAGGAGGCGAACAGCACATACCAAGCCGCCACGCCGCCACGAAGAAGAATTTTACATCAACTTCTTCAAATTTTCTACCCAATAACCACAGCACAATACCATACACACTACCCAACCAGTCAGCCTTCAACCAGTCATCCATCCTATACCCAGTCAGCCCTACACCAAGACTGTTCCACCTTATACCAATATTCGCCTCACACGAACCACAGTTCACTGCGTACACACACACCACAACCTGCCAAGTTCCCCCCCTACGCATGTCAGAACCAGTCAGTCCTTGCCTCCCTAATCCACCCAACCATGCAGGAAGAAAATATTTCTTCAAAAGAACCACAATATATCGCCATCCGAACTATCAAACATGTCAACCAGTCAGTCACAGCGGCGCGAACCAGGACATGTCGATCACCCGAACCAGTCAACGGTGGTGGTCACGTGAAAGGGTGTATGGTAGGGGTATGGTATGGTGTCACTCGCGACAGGAGGCGGATCAAAAAGCAATCAATCCCCCTTTTGACATCTAATACGATATGTACGGTATATACCCCCCTATCTGGCATGCAGTATATACGCGTCCAACCTATGTGTCTCACCCCAAACCACCACCGTGACCCGTGTCTCCCCCATCCATCCCATCCCTATTTGAAGTGAGACAACAACAACAACAACAACACCATCGCCGTACAGTAAAACAGGATTCCAGACTCACCATCTAAACTGAGCTGAGCTGAGATAAGCTCCCTCTTCCAGGGACGAGGACGGGGTATAAAACGAGCTTCTGGAACGAAAACATCCTCGGTTGCAGGACAAAATAAAGAAGTATAAACATTTCGACAGGTCTCCCCTGGGGCTGGGATAATATAGGGCCCCTCGTGGGGTTTTATTCGGGTTTGAAGACGCTGGTGGTGCTGATATCCAAAAATTGGATGAGCTGCACTTTCAAGTGGTCAAATGACGGAAAATGGTTGATAGGTGACACATACACGAGGTGCATGCTAAGCTGGTCTCGAGCGGCGGCTCCTGGGTTCTTTGAGGGTGGGGGGTTGGAGGTGACGGGGGCGTGGCGGTGGTGAGAAGGTTTGTGGTGAGAAGTAGAGGTGAGAATAGTGCGCAACAGGAAGAACCCGTATCCTGAGAAGAAGGGGAGCTGAGTGCACCATCGCAACAGTAAGAACCCACAAGACATTGTACAGTCGGAATTGGGATTGCTTTATAACGGCTGAACACTGTCATAAACGAGTTTCAAGGCGGATAGGTTGGGAATGGCTTAACTAGACTATATATAGCACGTCTATCGTATATCATATATCCCCTTCCTCTTTCCCATTTCCCCAAGACACAAGATAAAGGAAGCAAAACTCGGGATCCCAGGCTCACCAGCTAATCTGAGATGAACTCCTTCCTGCAGTGGCGAAGTATAAAAAGAGCTCCTGAGAGGAAAGTTTCGTCAAACCAACGGCGATATATGGAGCTGAAAGGTTTTTTTTTATGGAACTGACGTAAAACGGGCCACACGCACACAAGAGGTGTCTTTCGAACTTCCCCCTAGCGACTCTTGAATGCTTCTGGGGATGGTGTATTGGAGGTGACAGGAGGGGGGTGGTGGTGAGAAGGTATGTGGTGAGAAGTAGAACCCGTATCACGAGAAGAATGGTAGGTGAGAACACCACCACGACAGAACCCTCTATTCACATCTATCACGTACACGACCACGTCAGAGTCACCGGTCAAGTCGATTAGTTTCCAAAACGTACACCGTTTTGTCTCGCTGTTATAGTGACATCCAGCACATGCGCCGCCAAAGTAGCTCCTCACTGATGAGCATAAATATAAATAAGGCTATGCTGGGGGAAACTGCTTTAATCATGGAGCAAAAGAAGACAGCCTAAGAACAATATATCAGTTCTCCTCTCTAGAAACCCGGTATGGTCAATACATCAGCCATACACCTGCCTTAAAAGGAATTCAAGGACTCAGAAAATCAAGTGGTTCACACGGATGATGTGTCTTCTGAGCTCCTTCCCCCCCCCCAGGGTCTCCTTACCGCTTTCAAGCCTGGTGCAAAAAAAGGCAACCACAAAAAATAACAAAACAAAAACATACAACAGTGGGTATTCGCTGGTGGTCACCCACCCAACTACTAATCCACCGATCTCAAGCAACCACTTGCTTTTTACTTCGGTTGGTGACATCCCGGCCTAGCCGGTGAGCCCCTTGCCGCCTTAGGGGTGAAGCGAGGGTTAGCCGCGGGGTGAGGTCACATCGACTGTAAATCGCATCCAAATCACCACTCTTGGAAAACATCAAGCATGGACCTCCCGAAGGACGTTTATCCTACTCCTCTAGAGAGGGAGTTATGGGCCAAGGCTGTACAAACTCCAGGTGAGGTGACAGACGCCGAAAGACTCATTGTACTTCGACAAGCGGACCTCACTACACAAATTGCCCACGCCCTCGAAGTCAGTGGATTAACACCGGAAGAATTGGAGAACAAAGCCCTCACAAGTCCCGAGTCGATGACATCTGAAGAATGCCGTTTAATGAGAAATGGGTACCACATTTGGGATCCATGGGAGTCGACAGCAAACAGCAAAATTCACTGGTGTCACGAGGATCGGACGGCTCACTTGAAAGCTCGTCGTGCACTTGTAACTCCTCGGGATGACGCTGTATCGTTAGCTGTTAGATGTCGGGCAAACGACTTTTCAGCTGCCAGAGCAAAAGAAACCAAGGCGAGATTGGAGAGTTACGCTGAGGACATGAAGCAGCCTTGCAAATGGGTACGGAAACTTATCGACCCATCCGTGTCATGGAGCAATCAGACTAGACGCTGGGGGTTTGTTGTCTTCAGGGATAGTGCAACAATTGGTGACAGCAACAATGACTCTTGGGAAAGGTTTCTTACGGTTATGGACAGTCGCGTGGATGAGGGCCTCAGGCTGTTGAAGGGCGGCACAGCCATCATCCCAACGAAAGAGTTTACTTTCTCAGACGGGCTTGTGTCTGAGAGTAGCCCTGAAATTTTACGCAGGTCTGCCTATTTCCTACTCTTTCCTCAAATTTCCTTGACTGACAATATTCTAGCATTTTCCAAGACCGAGTGGCAGGAGAGGTTGACCCAAATCCACGTATTCTGACTAATACTTTCCTACTCGTCACTCCCGAGGTTGTGAATGCGTGCATTAACACTCGTACACCGTGGATATGGGCGTATGACGCGAAGTTCGTCCCTTCAACCACACCTCCTCCTCCACCTCCATCAGCAGATTCAGCAGCTGGGGCGGAGCATTATGAAGGCCGATTAAAGGTCAGTTTGTATACGTTATTGACCTGGTTCTATGCTGTGCGATCTGAGGAGCTTTACAGCATGGACCTTTTTTGGGAACTAGCGCAGAAACAACCGGTTCAGGCTTGGAGTGTTCCAACTCAATCGGGACTTTATCACCATCCGCTTGTTATTCTCAAGAAGGGCACACTGTATCCATCCAACACGTATGAGCTTGAAAATGGCCCGTAAGGCAAATTTATTATATATTATTTTTACGGGCAGCAAATCTTCACCCCTCCTAACCCTTCACATAGGATAGACCACATACTCTGGAAAGTTTCCAATAAGATCAACTAAAATAACCCTATACTCTCCACGGACTTAAACGGATATCAGGAGAGTTAACTTGAAGCTCCAATTGATCTAGATTAGCAAGAATCTCCGTTGCTGTATCACGTAGATCTGGATCAGATAACAGCATTTACAGATGTAACTCTACTGTCCGACCTTATGATGACCTTGTTTCTGTTTCACAAGCTCACTCGAAAGATATGTCGAAGCAGGTGTCTCAAGACAACATTGCTGCTTTCTTTGGCGAACATATTGTGAAATATCTTGCCTGTCTCCTTAGTGTAGGCTCGCAGCTCTTCTACATCACGAAAGGTCCGAACTCTTCCCTTACTACCACTTCGTCCCCATTCGATCAAATCAACGATGTTGACCTGTGTCTTTCGCACAGCCTTTATTCGTGTCATCATAAATCCACCAACTTTCGTTATGCGGTACGTACCTGCTCGCATTGCTCGCTCGTTTTTGGAAGCGGCTTGACACCGATCGCGCGACAAAGCGCATGCCACGCAGTCAAATCGCTCTCTGCACCATACCACATGTGTAGTTCGTTCTGCAGCGCACCTTGGTATCTGTCCCACGCATCTTCCGACGCGGCATTCCCGCGGTGCCATCCTTCGTGTCTCTGCAACTTGGCATAAGAAGTAGCGGGGGAGAGAGAAGGGTCATAATCAAACATTGGGAAAGAGCGGAAAAAGGCATCTAAAGGAGTCTCCGTATCCTGTTGGTTAACGTGAGAGTCCCGCAGATGCTGCTGTAGAGCTTCCTCACTGCCGTAGTGACGATCGCAGGTTTCACAGTCGAAGGACGGGGCATGCGCTGGCGAATCCCGCAGGTGTTGTTGCAGCGCCTCTTCGCTATTAAAAGATCGATCGCAGTCATTGCAGTCAAAGGACGGAGCATGCGCTGGCGAATCTTGCAGGTGTTGTTGCAGCGCCTCTTCGCTATTAAAAGATCGATCGCAGTCATCGCAATCGAAGGACGGGGCATGCGCTGGTGAATCCCGTAGGTGCTGCTGCAGTGCCTCCTCGCTACTGAAAGATCGATCGCAGTCATCGCAGTTGAAGGACGGGGCATGCGCTGGTGAATCCCGCAGGTGCTGCTGCAGTGCCTCCTCGCTACTGAAAGATCGATCGCAGTCATCGCAGTTAAAGGACAGGGCATGCGCTGGCGAATCCCGCAGGTGCTGTTGTAGCGCGTTTTTGATATTGAAGGACCGATCACAAAGAATACAACAGAAGCTCATAGTGTCAAAGTTCTCAGGTCCGTATTAATTCAGTTGTTCAGGAGAAAGGATGATGGGGATCATTGAGTCGAAGCTCTAGTTATTTCGTGTCTGGTTTTCCAGTAATTGGACCTCAGCGTGACAGCAATGCCGTGTAACTACAACTCTACACTCTCACCCAATGACCTAGTGACACGCAAGCTCCTAAGAATACGTATCGCGAGGTATGCAGATATGTCTCCTCATCCTTTGAATACGACAATTATGCTTCCCTACTACCTGTACCATTATTCAAAGATCTGATGAAATAACTCAACATGTTTAAGGTTAGTAAGTTAAGCTTCTAAGAAGCCAACGAAGGTCGACGAACTGATATGCCTCTATATGACAGTCTTCGCAATCAGTTTGTTTATCTACGTTCGACGGTTTTAGATGCACTGTATTACGGCTTTAGCTATGCGGATACGGCGCTTTGCATGCGCTTTGCATGCGCTTTGCATGCGCTTTGCATGCGCGAGAGGCATTTTCTGCCAATAGAACTAGTCAATGAAGCAAAATATCCAAGGTGAGCAGTGAATGAAAAATATATATATATATCCTCTATCACCCATCTTATCCCCCCTTATCCCCCCTTCACCCATCTTATCCCCCCTTATCCCCCCTTCTCCCCTCTTCGCTCTTCCCACTTTCCCCAAGAACAAAAAAAGTAAAACCCGGACCCCAAGCTCACCAGCTGAGCTGAGCTCTTCACTGCGGACAGGGAATAAGTATAAAACGCCTTCCTCAGAGTGAAAATCGCCATTTCATTCCAGCAGCAGTAAGCCAAAGCCGAGAACAGCTCTAGGTATTTAGTGTTCGCTCCGGCCGTTCCTATTGCCTATCCAGCATGAAACAAAATTCTCTAGGACAAACAAGCTGCTGGAACCAATGCGCGTAACATGTTGACAATCGAAACTCGTGAACGGTGGGTGTGGGAAGTGTGGTGGTTATGGGGTTACTGGTTGAGAATCTATCTGGTGAGAAAGGAGAGGTGAGAAGGTCATCACGACAACAAGAACCCGTGTCACGAGAAGAAGAAGGGAAGGTGACAGCACCATCGCGACAACAAGAACCACCGTGTCTACCATATCGAGAAGCCGAAGAGGTTGAGTAAACCACTCAACACATAAAAAGGTATATTCTCGGCCACAATCACAACGTCAAAAAAAGGTTTTTCGGTAGCCGGTGAATGAAACAAGCTGTATTCCCAGATTCTAGAGTCCATCATATAGCCCCCCCCCCTGTTCCCGATTTCTCCTCGACACGGGATAAAAGAGTAGTCCGTCTAAATTCCTGCTCCTGCTCACCCCTCTCACTGACCGTCTCGAAATATAAAACCCCGCTGCTCCTCCTCAAACATCCTTCAATCCCACAAAGAATTACCAAGAGAGAGTCATGATGAATATCCTCCGGCAGCATGACAAGTCTGCCCAACACGCGGGAACGGGGGTCAGGCAGGCGCCGAGATGGGAAGGGGTAGGGATATGAATGTGTCGATAGGGAGGGTGGCGGTGACGAGAATTTGAATTGTGGGCAGGTGATGGTGGCAAGAAGGCGTATCACGAGAAGAGCGGGGGTGAGAACACCATAGCGACAGCAAGAACCACCGTACCTACCGCATAGAGAAGCCACCACTTACGGCGTCGATCAGTTTCTTTGCGAATGACTGTGTTTTTGAAAATCGCCCGCGACCTCATTACGACTGCGGTACAACACGTCAAACGTTTTGTCTAGCCGACTTTTGGTTAACGATTCCTCTTGAGGGACGGTGGCCTTTTGTTATAAGAGGCTCGTGAGCAGTAACCACATAAAAACCCTACAGTCAGTGAACGGCGATTTAGAGCTGTGAGGTGGATCGACTTGTATGGAAGGTGAAGGCGCTCGGGAACCTGAGTGGGAAAGAAGCCGAGAAAGAGGAGCGTTCACAACATACCGAGACCGAAGTCCTTCGGAAGAGTCCAGTGTGAGAAGTGACAGTCTTGAGGAAGTTAGCCAGATCTCAGTGAATAACGCAAACATGTCGGGAAGTAACACCGGAGCGGGTGCTGTGGCTGGAAATCTGGACTGAAGGAGTGTGATGATTGCGGACGCCAAACGCATGAATCAGGCGGACCTCAAAATCAACAATTCAGTAATGCCTCTACACAAGATGTGCGGGAATTCATTGATTCTATTGCGTGGAAACATTACATCGAGATGAGAGATTTGAGGAGATGTCCCCTCAGGGCCGCATGAGTTGGATGAAGCTCTCATCCTTATGGTATGTATGCTACGATGGCCAAACTTCGGTGTTGATATGAAAATGTTCCTCTGCCTCGCTTTCATCCAACTCACCCCCTGCTCACCCTTCATGCCATAAGGGGCCTCGATTCCGCGATATACCTATTACCACGATCGTGACAACTATCCACAGTAGAGTCCACACAAGCAACAAAAAAAAATGAGGCAAAAAAAACATACAACAGTGGGTATTCGCTGGTGGTCACCCACCCAACTACTAATCCACCGATCTCAAGCTTTCAGTGGATTAATACTCAGGACGGTGCCATTTGGACTAGCGGGTGAGCGTCGCCGCCCTTAAGTTTTTGATGCCTTACGATAATCCGGTTATCCCCCTTAGCTTCCTAATAGCAGCCACGTCGACACGCACGAAGTGGGTCATGTATTGAGACGCGATGAACGCGATGCACTGCGACTTTAGATGGCTATAGATAATCCGGTACCTAGGTGAGCGAAGGTGAGTAGGGTGAGCGAGGGTAAGCAAGGTAAGCGAGGGTGAGCTTAAAAATGGTATAAAAGAAACGCTCCTGCTATGTTTAGATTTTGAATTCTACCATCTACAACATTCTTTATTTACTTTTAAGGACCCTAGAACTATAGGGTGAAAAACTCTCTCTAAAGAAGAATAAGCTGCTCTAGCATAGTTATAAGGCTACTTTAAGTAGAAAACATTTAAGGAAAAGAATATAATAGGTTAAGTTGAACAAAAATATCTCTCTAGCGCTACTAAAGTTAGGCACATAGACATAGGAGAGGTATTTTAAAAGTACATAAGACTTAACACTATGTATAGTGCTACTAATAGATATATTAGTTTTCTAGCTATAAAGGATATAGAGATAGAGTCATTACTATAACATAACAGCACTCTATATAAAGACTTTGTTAAATACTATGCTTTATTATAATATAGTTAAATTAAGGAACTTCTAATAGTCTATAGTATTGTTAATATATAGTACTAATATGTTAGCTATTATACTTAAGCTATAAAATCTAAGCTTACTAAGGACATTGTTAGTAATGTAGCTAGTATATAATCTATAATCCCCTTTTATTAAATGTTAATTAACATATATCTAGTATATTAAAAGATCTTTAAAAGACAACCTTAGTCTAAGTATAAAGAAACATAACAAATACTTAGTTACTAACATAGACCTAATAATGCTAATAACATATCTATAGTGTTCTAATGATTATAACTATCTATATAAGCGCTATAGGCTCTAGATATCGTTTACTTTGCTTTTCTTTGCTAATAGTAGCGCTAGAGGTAGTGCCTATATAGAGTTAAGCTCTTATAGGGGAATAAATGAAGTAATTGCTTATAAGGTATGTTAAGTCTAAAAAGTGCGATAATTTGCTAACTAATTAGGATTGCTATGTTCACTTGTTACGAGAGGCTAATAGCAGTTTTACTTTTAAGCTTATAGTAGTTTAGCGATTATTAAAAGGAAAACGTAATGATAAGAATGATAAGTATGTAACTTTGCAGAACACTATAGGCAATGCTTACTAGACATAGCCTTAAGATCGTTATAGAGTTAACAGACAATCTATAAGATAATAGAGTAATGTCTTTTTTTACTATAGTAATAGCTAACAATGCTTTTAAACACTTTGAGACTTTAGAAAAGCTTTTGAAGGCTCGCGTGCTAAGAGGAAGAGATTCGTGGACTTTAAAATGGAAAGACGAAGCCCTTAACTGTCCTGTCCTTTGAATGGTATCTTCAAATAGCGTACACGAAAATAGGGCACTAACATTCGTATCTCTCTAAGATTAAATCGTCTCTCTTACAAAACGTGCTAGCTATAGGGACAATGTGAAGATCTATGCAATCTGCGCTAGGGTTGTAAATAAGATTAAAGGTGAGTTTAATCTATATTATACTTAATATCTTCTAATTGTGTTAAGATCCTTAGATACGCAAACAAGTTATAGGTTAGAAAAGCGATGCTGTATATAAGGAATACTATAGGTTAGGGCTTGTTAAAGAGAATATATTTGCTTTGTTCTCTAACAAAGTTAGATCTACTAAACACATTAAGGTGTTATGTAGCGTAGGTCATCGACGTGACTAGAACGCCCCTAGAGACCTTACATGCAAAGAGAAAGATGAGTTTCATTAACAGCCTGAAGTTCAAGAGCTAAATAAGCGCATTAAGGAGGCGACGGCAAAGATACCTCTAAATCCTAACAAAGGCTTAGCCTAGTTCAAAGAGCGACATAAACTATACACTGAAAAAAGTAATCTACTCTAATCAGCTCGCGCGTCACATAGAGAGAAGTGGTTCTCTGGTAGTTTCGATGAAGAGGCTCAACGGCAATTGCAACAAGAAGGAGAGGATGATGAAACTTTACCAAAACCAGCTAGCAAGTTTCCTTTGATCCGCCACCTTATGCCGGAACGCAATCGTATCGCAAATGCATTATTAGTTACTAAAGATCTACAGAGCAAAGAAGGACAGGCTGTTTTATGATTAACAGAATACGATGTGCTGAATTTTGCCTGATTGTTGTAGTAGTATTCGAGCCAGATGCAATAGTCCTTCATATTAATTTGCTCTCGTAGCGGAAAGGAAGATAGAGGGCCAAAGTGCTCCTCGAATCTGTCTCGGACAGTGTTAATATTGTATCTAGAGAACGAATTGACACGTATAGGATCTTTAACTGCTAGACCCTTTAATACACCATGAAGTGTTAGTTCACTTAGAATGTAAGTCCCAATAGGGTTTGATAGGAGGCTGTCTTAACTTACGCTGCCCGTTAGCTACGACTCTGTCCAGTGAATGTATTCCTTGCGGGTTTGACATCAATGAAAGCTGCTCAATCCATCTCTCCTGGACATTGCCTCTACCGCATTCTAAGTAACATTGCATCATTTCGTCAACTTCCTGTATGCCCTCGTTTTCCTCGTCTATAATTTCATGAAAGTCGTCCTCGTCGAGTTGCGAATAAAAGCCTCTCTGGCAGCAGACATGAGTCAATTCACGCTTCTCGAACTGCTTAACTCTAACCAAATCAAGCATCCTTTGCTCTCCAGTATCCTCAGATCCAAGCTCTGATAATATCTGAAGCCATTCTAACGACCACATATCCCCATTCGGAAAAAGACATGGAAAATCTCCCTTTCCTAGTAGGACAGTCGAAGGTGTACATCCTGAGAGTGAACAAGCGCATACACAGTGATCTCTTGCTGCAGGGTCTGCTCCATGTCGAAGAAGTAGTCTTACTGTATCGAGAAGCTCTGAATGTAGTAGCAAATACCAATCCGCAGAATCGGGGTCATAGGAGGTGCTCCTTGACTTTTGTAGTTCCTGAGCAATATGATGTAGTGCTGTCCATCCCCTGTGGTCTCTCTCATTAATGGAAGCGCCCTTGCCTAAACATGCTTCGACTAAAGCGGCATTTTTCAACCTAACCACTTTCATAAGCGGTGTGATGCCACTCCTGTCCTGGTGATTAATCCTTACAAATCCAGCTCGGAAAAGCGCTTCTACTTCATTAACATCCTGTGTTTGGTGGAGAAGCGTGCTTTCGTCATAAAATATCATATTGGAATCAGCTCCCATGGAAAGCAGTTCTTGAAAATGCTTCTCCCCCCACCGATTCTCGCGAGATAAAACATATGCTTGCATGATGTAGTTAAGCATACCTTGATAAGAGTGGGCTTCGTAGCGTTGTTTGAGATGATTAACTACTACGGTAATGAAGCTCCAGTTGTCTCGAGTAAGCGCATAATCCAAGAAGTTACGTTGCCGAAGCCGATCAGTTACTCTGGGATCAGCTCCTTGATCTAGCAATAGGAGTGCTGATTCGGCTTTGTCATATGCGGCTGCATACATCAACGGAGTCGTCCCATTCTTGTCTGGCATATCTACAGTCTCGTAGATCGAGATGGGCCACCGCAAAACTTTAGGACGCAATATGGCAAGGTGAAGCACAGATTGGCCCAAGAAATTTATTTTGAGATCATGAGACTTCGAGAAGTGTTGACGGAGTTCTTGTTCAGATCCTATTAAGGCAGCTTCCATGAGAGGGGTTGTGTCGCCGAAACCTGTGCATGAGAAGATTCATTAGCAATTGTTTTTGTGACGACGCAGACATACTCACTAGGGTCGTTTTTCACACATTTTCCGATAAGTCCAATGAAGAAGGGATCAGGGGTCATTTCTTCACTTATCCAGCAAGGGTTGGAAGGCTCTGGCCAACTCAATAACGACTGAGAGTTTACTAACGAAACATCATATCCATGGTCTAGTAATTCTTCCACTGTACTCAAGTGTGGAGCTTCTCCAATCCAGTGAGCACAGAGACATAGCAGTCTAGAAATTACATGTCAAGAGTCAACGAAGTGTAAAACAGCATAATTTCTTCTAAACTTACGACATATCGGTATCCAGCTTTGCGCCAGACTCCACCAGCAATTTGAAGAGCCCAAATTGTGCTTCTTTAGAGCCGAACTTCCATGGATATTGCAATAACTTCTAAAATACATTAAAATTTAGCTCTCGACTTAAAAACAAATATGGTAAACTTACCTCTAGCCATGTCTTCCCCGATGGGTCAACGTCCTCCGGTGAGGCTTCTTTTTCGTTGAAGAGCTTTGCTAGCATCGTTTGGGCCTCTGGCCACCGAAGTTGCATTGTTTCGCATTTCCATAGTAGCACAAATCCGGGAGATGTGTATTTGACAGTTCGAGAAGGGCGAAGCACAAACGACAATGAACATCCACTCTCGCCCCATGCAAAGCCCAACCCAAGATGAATGGCTTGACGAATGTTGAAATGAGAGAGGCTGATGTAAACCGACGTACGGATAGTCTTGTTCGCACAAGATGGCCTGTCGCAGGCGGAAAGAAGATTAGCAAGTGAGGTCAGTTTCCAAGACCAGAAACGGGCAGACTTTGACAACAGTTTGTGGCAAGAACAACCACATCTGTCGTTTAAGAATAGTGTGCCTGATTGATCTGAATAAGTAGTTGGCCTTTTAACTTGTCGCTGAGGCTGTATGAGGGAGTGGATACTATCTCCCTTATTGCTTTCAGACACATTCTGTGTCGTCTTTTCTTCGGCTCCCAGTCGACTGATTAAAAGTTTCAGTTGCCGTCTTGGCGATTTCTTCTAGAGCTGTAAGTCGACTAAGCACTTGAGTGCTAAGGTGCGAAGTATGAATAGATTGATGCAAGATCAGGAAATTCGAGAACTGACGAAGACGCCTAGCGGCTTGCTTGACATCCTCTTCGCGAGCAAGGCTACAGAGTGCTTTCCATCTTTAGTTGAATGAAGTCTCATCTTCTTTTGGAATTGTTCTCCTCATAAACCCTTCAAGCAATTCAACCTGAGCAACGCATCCTCTGATCATGTGAAGAACAACCTCAGTTTGTTCACTCAAATATTTTGTCACATCCGGGTTACATAAGCCATCCAGTGCGTCTCTCATAAAAGGTAGTATGACTAGTAAGTTGCTGAATATATTTTGTTTTTCTTTGAGCGAAGACTGGAAATCCCGTAGCCGTCTAATAACTTTAGAGCTGAAGTCAACAAATTGGAGGATTGAGCCAGTAAGGCCAACGAGCGCAACTGCTTCGACCATGTTTATAAAAAAAAACGGAGATACACAATAATAGTAGACGTGATGGAATAAAATGAGACACTGGAAGAAAGTATTTAAAGATGTTGGGGCCTTTTGCCGTTGAGCAAGGCTGGCATTCGCTTACAGTCGGACCCCTGTTATAACGATGTAATTTTGACCAGACTTTTATATCGTTATAATTGAAATATCGGTATACTAGAAACACGTGATAAAATTGAATGACTATGTAAACCAACTATCTAGAGTACTCTGCCGCCTTGATGATATTACTAGAGCCTCAATATCAGTAGTAAGGCGCTCTAAGGCCCTAGAATATGATTTCCCAAGCGTATTTGATCCTTCTATATATTCTATAAGAACTTAAAGAGCTTAGCGGGCTTCTAGTAGCGTTAGTAATGGCTGTTCTATTCTTCTTCTTCTTCGTCAGCTTCGGCTCCAGCTGATTGTAGGCCCAAATGCTCCTATATTACCTCCTATAGAATTGTATTCTCATTAGTAATTATATCCTCTTCTTCGCTCTCTTCGATGGGGTTTAAGAAGCTTGTAAGTGACATAGCGTCATGGATTTTACTAGCCTATATGTGGTTATTGGAGACCGTCTTGCTCGTAGGGTAATGCCACATCCTCCCTCTCCCAGGGCGATTCGCCTCTGCCCGAACTGAGAAGGAGATGAGGTATAAATAGAGGGACACAGTCGAATTTATAATTATAGGAACAAATTCAGGGTTGATATATGTTCCGGCCCAACCGTGAACTATTCTGGTTCATGAACTGGCCGGCCCGTTCATGAACTGGCCGGTCCAACCATGATTTTTCCGGTTTACGGTTGGCCCGGCCTAACCGTAAACCACAAATAGTAGAAGTAATCAATTGATCTGCCCT